GGGGGGGGGGGGGGGGGGGGGAGAGTCGTTGGCCTTGGTAGCAGTACCGTTTGAAGATGCTGATGGTCAACGACTCAACGGTAGTCACTTGTGACGTCACTAGTGGCAAAGTAGCATGTACCGAAAAACTTTCTTGTTGTTTCAAAATCAAATCCCCGCCGCTACTTTCTGCAAATTCTGATATTATCTCATGAGGCAGAATTAAGATCACATGAAAAATTGTCTTTCTTCAAATTTCACACGATAATAACGCGACAAAATGCACGCTCAGTAACGAGTCTGACGTAACGTAACGTAAATCGTAAGAGAAGCCGTCATCTCCGTTGGCTCCTTTGTTTTGGCATCATAGCATGGTAGATGGCGGGAAAATTTTAGGTTTTCTAACCTATAAACATACTCGAGCCCAGTTGAATCGTTGTTGAATCGAAAGGCTTCTCCGTTACAATTGCATTTATGTGAAATTTCTCTAGGTTTTACTGTTGGTGCGCAAATAAAGTGAGTGTATTACAGTTTACGAAGTTTCGGTTGTTGTTACTGTAATATTTACCATGGCCGAAAAAATCTTCTACTCTAAGAAATACTACGATGACAGTTATGAATACAGGTGAGTTCCTCTATTCTCATCGACCATTTACCTATTTATACTAACAATATCACTCTTACATTTTTTCTCCCTTCCCTTCTCTTATTTCTGGTCACTAACAGTTTTCTTAATATTCCCCTGTCTGTGCCTAACTCACACTCCTCTGAATTAGTTCTTACCTTTTATCTGAAGTGGAATGTTAAGCATCTGTCGCATCCTATTGTTGGGACGATCAAGTTCAGGATCCCGATGAAGGTTTAATAATTGAAGATTCTTTTCTAATCATAGAAAACCTGTGCCTAGACTGAGTTCTTTTTTATCAGCAGACTTACCCAGTCTGTGGGTCTTTTAACGCCACCTTCACTCAAGGTTTCTCTGAACTCATTGCTGATTGTTATCGAACCTCAAACAGACAAAAGAAACTTAGACCTGATGAGTCCCTCCATTATCGGAGACCAAGCTCCTTTTTTTGTGATACCATGTTCATCTTAAGCCTAAAGAATCTGCATACTGCCTCCTTGTGTCTAGTCTAACATTAGACTTGGATTCTCGCAGCTTTCACCTAGAATTTTGATAACCTTCCTATGAAAGGAAAGTGACGGAGAACTTTTTTTGTGAACTCGTAGGAATACAGGAGTATTCACAAAGACTGATAAGAGCTGAGTTCAAACTTTTCATCACATCGGTAGACTTCTATGGCAGTCAAAGATAGTTTTATCATTCAGCTCCTGGCTACAGCTCTTGGCACTGTCAAAGGGTTGTTGCTAACTATTTTCGTACTAAGTATTTGCTCCAAACCTTAGAATGCCAATTATAGAAAATGCTGGAGGTAAAGGCAAAGAGAATTCCAAGGGCCAGTGTTTTATGTTATCAAGGAGCATCCTGCATGGAGCCACATCGGGTGAGAAGTGTGAAATGTTGGCAAACGCAATGGTTCATAACAATAATAAAGTAAATAAAATAATAACAGAGTAAATATTGTATATTTGTAGTACTTAGGATGGGATGTCACAAATTGTGAAGCTTAATTGAAGGTAGGTAGATAACCTTTAACGATATAGATTTTTGCACAGGTAGAAAGGGAATGCTGCTTTTCATTGTATGCTAAGAACAACGGCAAGATGAATTCAGAGTTGCATTTGTCGATAGCACTTTAGTTGAGGTTCAGCCATTGCCTTCAGCAACTTTCATACTTTGTTATTAATGAGTTTAATTCAAGTTATGTATCTAATGTTGGATGGAAAGGAAGTATCCATTACCTCTAAAGCGTATGATTAACTTTTCAAGTTATAATCTGTAAGCATAATAAATGTGGCTAAAAAATTTCATGGATTGTCGATATCAATCGTTAAAATGTTTTTAATTGTGCTTTTGACTTTATTTTTGGGTTTGTTAACCTCAAAATCAAAGCACATACTTTTGAGGCTTATTTCTACCACTTGTTGATCTGACTTCTTCAAATATGAACTTCATAATCAGACAGATATATTTTATGTCTACTTATTTTTGTAATATTATTTTGTAATAACAAATAAATAAATATTTATATGACAGTGATACATAGAACTATTCACCAATGATTCACCTTCATTTGGATGAGCAATGTGTAGCAGAACAATTCTCCTTCAATGTTGCTGTGATTTGATTTGAATTTTGTGGTTTATTGATCTTGTTTGTCTCCTTGTTGCTTTGATCTTTAAATTCACAAAGCTTGTTTGGTACATTAATACTTTGGTATTCGTCTCTGGAAGTGTTTAGTGCTCTTAGATATTTCATATGCAGTTGTCAGAGAGCGCATTCACAATTACAATTGATGATTCTTCATTCCCTTTAGAAACCCGATAGTTATTTCGAACTAAGCAATGAATCACCTTCTACCTTAAACAGTTTATCCCACGAAGATATATGTTGTATTACACATTCTTCAATAGTATTATATGTCAAATACATGACTATCGTATTAGCTGTTGTACTGAATGGGTTATGCTCAAATTTCAATCTTTACCCATTGAATCAACCAAATTCTCTGAAAAGTAATTAGAAGCTCAAAGATAGCATGTGAAATAGACCTAGTTTAATCTGTTCCGAGAGTGTTTTACACATGAAAAGTAAATTTTATCTTCTCAGTAATCTTATCAATTCGTTTTTTTCAGGCATGTAATCTTGCCGAAGGAACTAGTGAAGAAAGTTCCCAGAACGCATCTGATGTCACAAGAGGAATGGCGAGCTATTGGAGTTCAAATGAGCGATGGATGGATCCATTACATGCATCACACTCCAGGTTTGTTGCTTTAGTTAAATTCTGTTACTTCAAAACCGGTTGTGTGACCGAATTCTTGATCGTATAACATGAATTTACTCAGCTGCTGTGTAAACCTTTCTAAGGGGAATAGAAATTCAAACTCGTTCATTGTAAGTCAAGACGAACATCAATCTCTGATTAGCCCCAAAACAGCACTGCTCAATAGGCTAATACATCCTATGATGACACCACTAGTGAGTAGTGAAGAAGTAAGAAACAATTATTGACTTCAGTCTCACTCGCTCAACATTCGATGAGCGAGTTTCTTTTACAATTTATTTATCCTAGTGTTGGTTGGTTGTCAGTAGGTAGGACACTAGCCAGTGTCACCCAACAAATATTTTGATGAAAAAATTGAATGTAATCTCTGTTATACCCTCAACACAGACCCTGATAAAATGGTAACCCTTTTATCTTTGTTCGACTATTTCCCCTGAGTAATCTACATGCTTTGCCTGTTCCTTGTTTTCCATCTGTTAACTGAAATGCCCTAAAGTAAATGAAAGAGTGAAGAAAAAAGACTGTTTTCTGGAGGAAAAAAAAGTCTATTGCAAATTACAGCCCAACCCATACACTACAGCAAAACAACTACAAACGTTTTTAAGTGAATTTTATGCGTTGCAATTTGCTATCGAGTATCATTATAAAATACCTGAAACAGTCTTGAAGAAGAAGTCAAAACTGTAAAATTTTGACGAATCTTTATTATTTATTGCTGCCTTCTAATTTGAGACCTGCAGGATCTGTAAATTACAGAACTTACAGGAAGTGGTGATCTGACAGGCATTAGCACCTACTGAATTCATGCAAGTATACAAAACCAGAACCTGGGGCATTACTAGAAGAACTGAAGAAATCATTAAAACTGTTGTAACCAGAAAATTTTAAAATATTATGTCGGTGATGTTATCACATGATGGGCCAAATGGAGATGTTGCATGTGTGAGGGATTTGCGGTTTGACTATTGTTTCTTATGTAAAAGTTGGCAAGAAACACGATGGTGCCACTGGTTTTCTCTGAAATCAACTCCCAAGCTCAAAAAAAGCTCTCAAGTTGAGGCCAAAATGGAGGGAATATCCCACCCCACCCTGAGAGTCCCCCTCTACATCAAGACAAACACTCCATGCAAAGATAGGGACCAAATACACTAGCAGTGATGCCGTGTTTTCAGTCTCTGAGTCCCCAAATAAAGTGGCAGCCCTGTCAATATATTTGCTCCCTTTCTTTGCATGGAGTGTTTGTTTTGATGTAGAGGTGGACTCTCAGAATAGCGTGGGATATCCCCTCAATTTTGGCCTCAACTTAAGAGCTTTTTTTGAGCTTGGGAGTTAATTTCAGAGAAAACCAGTGGCACCATTGAGTTTTTTGCGAACTTTTACATAAGAATTAACAGTCAAATTGCAAATTCCTCACAAATGCAACATCTCCATTGCTGCCAACTCTTAACAGGTCACTCCTCAGACGTGGTGTATCTCTATTTCCACAAGAGCCCTGGTCAGCATGGAGTCAAATGTAGAACAGGGCTCATAAGGAAATTGAGGCACACCCTTTTGTCAGAGGTCCGATAGACTGACCACCATCTGTTTTCCCTCTACTATTTTTTGAATTTTTTATTTGAGCAACTGATCTATTATGTTAGTAAATCGATAGATTGTGACGTTGCTTTCAAACGAACATTTTCCCTTCTCTTTCAGAGCCTCATATACTGCTGTTCAAACGACCACTACCGAACTCTGAGAAGAAACTAGTCAACGGCTTGAATGAAATGAAAGTTATTGAAAACAATTGCTGAGCTTGAATCATATGAGTTCGTTTTCATTCCTTTTTGATTCAACCTTTTTTTCTTACTTTTATTACTGTGAATAATTTTCTTGTGTAGAATTATCTTTTGAATAATTGTAAAATAAGTCTTTTACGTCAAGTGCTTCATGAATAGTCGTACTTACTCAGTCATTTGTACCTGCTCTTTGAACAAATAACGTCTTCACAGAGGAAAAGAATGACTGCGTCTAATACGATTAAAATCTCCTATTTTTCTGTCTCTCTATTAATGAATCTTATGTTGATTCACATTTACTCAGAGTGTGAGATCATTCCCGCTGTAGTAATGAAGATCAGAGTTCATATCAATCATTTTAACTTACAAACAGGATCCTTCGGTATTTAATAAAATTTAGACAAGTAAGTCTTAAATTAACCAAAAGGTAGAGGATTAGCTGCAAGAAAGCATTAATGAATAACACAGACTCTGTACCTCTTGTCACATTCTGTTGAAATTGAGGAGGCAAAAAAATATAATTTTGTCAGCAATTCAAAAAGAACAACACACACACACACCCAGGCTTGCAATAAAAAAGTAATATTGGGGAGGGTCCTGGAGAAGGGCCCATGCTAGTTTCTCTGAGCAGCTGCTGTCCAAACAAGTGGCAGTGTAGCCGAGACCATTGCCACCTGCTTGTCCAGATAAGGTGGATCAAAGAGACAAACTTGCCTATGTTGCCCTCTTCTGGATTCTCACTCATTAAATTATTAAATTAAAAATTAACAATATTCTCCATAGTTTATTGATTTTGCTGCTTTATAAATTCATTTGCTGCGCCTATTATCTTCTGATGGATCTAAAAATTGCTTAGACACAGTTTTTGTTTATGTTCTGATTCTGCTAAATAAAATCCATAAGAATCAGCATAAAAGATCAGAGCATAAGAAACAAGCTGCATCATACGTTGTAGGGATAGTCGCATTGCTCTGTTTTCATACTTCAGACAATTTTTCTTCTTTGATGAGATTTTTCTTTTTTTTTTGGTAACTTAGAATAAATGGATTTGTATGTTCTTGATGAAAAATACTCAATCTGTGTTTTCATCACAGAAACTGGAAATTTTCAACCTCCTGGTTATCTTTTTTGTTTTTTTTTTTCTTCCAACGAATATTCGTACTTAGTTTAAATTCAAAGAAAAGAAGGAAAAAAGAAAAAAGAAACAAAACACCAACGTAACAATTTAAAGGTTTCAGAGGAAGTTCTAAACTGTGCTGATAAACGTTGTAAATATTTGATCTAAAGTCTTTATTTTTTTGTTGTTCTCATTTTGTATGTATATTTATTTACTCTTCTTCATTGCTTTCCTTTGGTCTCCTGTGAATTGTATCCATGGAGGTTTAATAAACTGTCTTATTTTAGATCTTTTTTCGTGTAACTTAATAATTTGTTGTTACTTCGGGGGGTCATATTGTGTCCCGCCTAGATTTCTATTGTAGCATGGCCAGAATTTTCTGCAGAAAAAACCATTTGAAATTGAATTTGCTATTTTCACGAATGGATCCACTTTATTACTGGACTATTGCAGCGCTGAATCTGCATGTACACTTTTTTGCCACTTCACCCAGTGGGCCCATTCGCGAAAATGGCGAAATCGAGTTCAAATGTTTTTTTCTGCAGAAACTTCTGGCCATGCTCCAATAAAAATCTAGGTGGGACACCATATGACCTCCCTTTATGAGCCGAAAACTTGTAATCCATACACTCTTCCTTTGTATAAAGACAATTAACTTCAGGGCAGAACCAACTTAAATGGTTGAAATGAAAAAATTAAATTTTAGTGTACCTCCCTTTATGAGCCGAAAACTTGTAATCCATACACTCTTCCTTTGTCTAAAGACAATTAACTTCAGGGCAGAACCAACTTAAATGGTTGAAATGCAAAAATTAAATTTTAGTGTGAATGTTATCTTTGAAGGTGCTATTTCTTTCTCAGACTTGCTTAAAACAAGGAGATAAGGCTTCTTCAAGAGTAAAATTAAGGAATCATCCGTATGAAGGATCCAAGAATTCCACATTTTTCGCAAAGTTTCCTGTGTTCTTTACACCATTTAAACAGGCCTTTCTTCATTAAAACAAAATCATTTTTGACTGCGTCTTTTAAATTCCAACTAATGACAGCCAAGTAGTCGAGATAAAAGCAAATAACTATTGAAAGTTACTACTGGAAGGTGCTCTAATAGCAGAATGTAAAAACTGTCAGTATATGTAGCAAAATTCTTTATTATTCTGAATTTTTCTTTCTCTTTTTGTAACATCTATATACACAATACATCATAATTTCAGCATTTAAAAATTTAAGTTCCAAGTTCAAACATAAATAAGAGTTTCAAAATAAGATGTATCACAAGTACAAAAGGTTTTCAATCAAAAGAATTTTCCTCCAGTTAAAGAAAACTTTAAAAAAAAAAAATCTATGGCAATAGTATGTAAAAACGTCTCAAGGGGTACAATTCATAAAAATAAAACAACCTTTCATAAAAAATGGTATGAGAGTCCTCTCAAATATTAGTATCTTTTTGGTAGGTATAACTCCAAAACTACTGCGTAAAATTACGATCTGTGAGATGTTCCTTACCGGTCACACTAAGAACTTTCTAAAGCATTAAAGAGTGCTATATTTTGTCTATTTTTGATGTAGACATCATTTTTTCTGGACCTACCTTTGCATCCAATGGGTCAATTTATTCAGGCTACCGATTCGACCAAAATTTGCACAATCAAATGCAGAAGACACGAGAAAAATCATTCAAAAATCCTTTTTTTTTCTTTTCATTTGATTTTGTATTACTTCATTGTATGAACTTTGGACCCATTTAATGTGGTAGGAAGTTCACAAAAAACGCCTTTCTTGGCGTTTTGGTACATTGAATTTGAAAAACTCAAGTGTGTTAAAAAGCTGACTTGTAAAATGAGAAATTCTAGATTTTAATTTTATGCTGTAATTTTGAAGTTATGGGAAAAAGATACTTACTATCAGGATTTCCATTGTAGGTTGATAGTAAATTTCTTAATTATCTGCCTGACAGGATTAGTAATCTGTTACTACCTTGAAACTTACAGCGCCATCTCCGCTCATTGCTATTAACCAGGTTATTATGAGCCTTGTACTCATATGGAAGGCCCTCAACCCTAAATACAAGAATAAGAGCTAAGGCTTGCAGCTAGAACTTCTAGGCTGGAGACACTGCTCCAATCGATTTCCTTTCTAGTAAATTTGCTGATTGCCATTCGGAGTTTTTTTTTTTTTTTTTTTAATGAAGGCAGGATACCAAACAAAGCTCCCTTTTTGGGTGAGGGGAACTTCAGAAAAAGAAAATGGACACAAAGAATATGTAATGAGAGGTAAAAAGAGCCAGAGACCACTTTGATGCAAGCATGGAAAACTTAATGTACTGAAAGCTTTCTGAAAAAGATTGACTTACTCCAACACATTGAAAGATTGCAGGCTAATAGAAAGTAACGGTTAGAAAAATAACAAAACAAATTCAACATATCAAACAGAGAGGGATCTTCTAAAACATGTTCCTCAATTGGACAAGAGACTCCTTTTGAGAAGTATTAATAATAAATAATAATATCAAAATGATAAAGCAATAATGATTTAGATATACAGCAGCTCCATATCTTATACTGGAGCTGAACAAAATTAATTCACGAAAATAATTCAGTCAATGAAGCAAAAAATGGCAAAAATTGAGATACAATTGGCATCTTATCTGATGTAGAAGTTTTCCTGATGTCTTAATGACTGGCGTATTTTGGGTAGAACTGATCTTATGTCCACAGCCCATTTTTTAAAATTAAAAATAAAGCAACATAACTTCCGGACATTACAACTGATTTTTTCTGATGTGCAGATTTTTCATATAATTCCATGAAACATGGAAAATGTTAACAATTGTCACCGACATCATTTAAGAATCATTTAATTAATGTTATCATTAAATATTTTAACTGAGTTGCGACTCGGAAACGAAATTGAACTTTCACAAGTCAAGCCGGCAAACTAAGATAAGAATAGTTACTACCAAATATTTTCAAAAATTAAATATTTGCAGTTGGAATAGAAGGTACAGAATGGTTCTTGAAGTGCTCATAACTTGTCTAGTTTTCGCAAGGAGACGTTCAGAAGTGACAATAATTTTTCATGGTAAAATTTTTGAAATAGCAAAATTACCGACTTCTATGGGTGAACTCACAAACTTAAAATTTTGTTTCCAAATCGTGAAGAGAGGGAAAATAAACAAAAATTCAGCAACATCATTTAAGATTCTATAATATTCAGTTTTTTCAGTGGTTTTCACTGTATAAAATGATAATGTAACTTTCAAGTGAAAACTCGACTATATGCATACGTATTGGTTTAATTCAGGAAATTTTGGGCTGGTCCAAAAACCTTTACCGTCATAGGAAACACAAATTAGGGTCAAATTTGTTTAACCGCACTCTCATCAGCCAAGCTGCCAGCAGAATCTAAATTGCATTTGGAGCATTACTCACTCGTCATTTAGGAATCAGCCGATGAAAAAATTACTCCAATGTGACAAACAAAAAGTAGAAAATTGCAAAACAAATGAAGATAGAAAACAAAAAACACATAGGAATAAGTCTACTAAATAATGGATTTGTATAAAAAAGTACAGGAAATTAAAGAAATTAAGAGAATAGATTATCTAGAACAATACAATTTTGTCAAAGGAAAAAACCAACAAAGAGATAAACTTGTTACCCTGGAGGCAGAGGGGGCTTCAAAAATTGATCAGGTAAAATTTGTAGCTTCACTGTCAGAGACGTTAAAAATTACATGGCAGTGCGTTGATAGTCTGGGGGCGCTATACCATAGTCAGAGCGACTAAAGAGCGTTGCACTGTTTTTAACAAGATATCTGCAAGGGAAGAAAGAGAAAAAAATGTGATTTTTAGTAATGTGAATATAGACATAGGTATTAACAAGTTTTTTTGTGTGAGAAGGAGTGGTTTGTAAGCATTGCTGAAAGGCACTGCTGTACTTATATATGCTGTTCCTACAAGATCAAGTTCCTTTTTGAAGGCAAAAGTAAAATATTATGAACCTTTCCATAAGCTTGCTTCAGCACTATAATTCCTCCGCAACACTTTGGTACGATTGGTCAAACAGGAATTTCTCTTAGGATCTTACCTAGCAGAAGGAAATTGCAGAACTTACACTGTTAAAGAATATTGGACATATGCATTTGTGGGTTTATTTGAACCTATTGTCTTTAGATAAGAATGGTGTGTTGTCAACAACACACCGCTATTGTCGGGATTCCTCAGTCCTCGCTAAACATGCTGGAAGAGAATCAGAGATGTGTCTAGTCTAGGTCAGGTTTCTGGCGACACACCGTGTGTATTTAAGGACAAAGGGTCAAAATAAACTCTCCGATTGTTTCATAAGTGATTTATTTTTAACAGCGCAGGTTGATACTTTCCAGTGGTCTGATTTTCCACTCCAGAACATATTTCAGCGCTCCAGATTCATCATCGCTTAAGAGGGCCTTAGGGATAATTGAGGTGATTTTTGGCATCTATGTTCACACCTCATTGCAATTTTGCAGAATTTTTTCCTTTTATAGTGCCTCACTTAATAATGCTCTTTCACACCTTCTGGCACTTATGGGTGCTGAATGCTTTTTGAAGCTTAAAAGTACTTCAGAGCATATTTTTGTACCTCAAAGTGTTTTTCAGTAACAAATATCTTCAGGTGTCATTAGTCCATAGTTGAATTGTACCTTCAAATGTCTAGTCTTTCAAGTTCACTGGTTAGGTTTAACAGAAGCTGAACAAGTTTCGCCTCTCATATTTTCCTTTCCTCAATATAGATTTTCTCCTGTTTTCCGTAATTTCCTTTATCTATCCTCCACCCTCCTTTCCCTCTCTCTTCTTTTCGTTTTTTTAATAATTTTTTTTAACTCATGATCCTTTTTCTTGCTCCTTTTCATTCACTTTCATTGTGAATTTTGGCTCCCCCCTAATCATAGCTCTGTATAACTGCTTTGGTTGCGCCACAGTATGCAAAAATCTTGAGCTTAATTTTTTAAAATAGGTATCAATGACTATTTTCAAATAAGGCGCTTCAGACCATTGATCCTTCATTGCAGTGTAATCTTGATGGAGAGAGAGAAATTAAATACGTTTAAAAAGATATACCTCCTGATCGGTTGCCTATTAAATCAAGTAGCTGACTAAGATTATTAATTTGACAGTCAATTAAAGAAATAGGTCAAGTAATAAAAGAAAACAGACATCTTTTTTATGAGCTCTTCAGCTTACGTAAGAATGCATTTTTAAGGAGGCTCATGATGAAACTCTGCTAGCCTTGTCAGCATTTTAGTCACCAGTTTGCAACACTGTGAAAAAGATATCTGCTTTTCTAGTTTTACCTTCAGTATCTACTGCTATGCTAACAAATTTTCAGAAGTTTGTGAAATAACAGTAAAAATAAATGATGAAGTTCATTAACATTTAATAAAATTAAAGAATGGAACAAATGAATCCAACTTACTTTCCAAACTCAATGAAAAATACTGTCAGAGAATTGACACTCCTTTCATCCAAAGAGGTGTAGGCTAAAGCTTTCCCTATTCTCACTGTTGGGGAGCAAATGAAAAAAAGAGAGACAATTAAATCATGGATATGAAGAGATGTTGTTAAAAATTAAAATGATGAGCTTGCACAAACAGCGCATCCTCACACGTCTTTGTTGGAAATCCTAACAATAAAAATACTCTAGGGCAAGAGTAGGCAAGGTATGAAAAAGGTGAAAGAAAGGTAATAGAGATGTTGCATGTGTGAGGAATTTGCGATTTGACTGTTAATTCTTATGTAAAAGTTCGCGAGAAACTCGATGGTGCCACTGGTTTTCTCTGAAATTAACTCCCAAGCTCAAAAAAAGCTCTCAACTTGAGGTCAAAATGGAGGAGATATCCCACGCTATCCCGAGAGTCCACCTCTCCATCAAGACAAACTCTCCATGCAAAGATAGGGAACAAATACATTGACAGGCTGTCTTTTTATTTGAGGACTCTAAGACTGAAAACACGGCAACCCTGCTAATGTATTTGCTCCCTATCTTTGCATGGTGAGTTTGTCTTGATGTAAATGTGGACTCTCGGGATAGCGTGGGATATCCCCTCCATTTTGGCCTCAACTTGAGAGCTTTTTTTGAGCTTGGGAGTTGGTTTCAGAGAAAACCAGAGGTACCATCGTGTTTCTCGCGAACTTTTAAATAAGAATTATCAGTCAAATTGCAAATTCCTCACACATGCAACATCCCCATTAAAATCACTGAAAATCATGTGAAATCGTATTCCTAGAAATTAGTTACTAACACCGTTTAAAAAATATTTTTTCCCATTTTTTTGTATAAAACATCAGGGGTGTTTCTAGGATTTTTCTTACTGACTCCATAACAACATCATGATGTAATTTTTATTTTGTAATCAAACATCACATGGTTGTGTAAACTGAAGAGCACCCATTTCAGGCATCTCCGAAAATAAAGAATATAAGTAGAGTGATGTATACATGGTAGAGTGCTGTAATGTTTTCTATCACGAGGTAGAATGAGTCTGTATTCAACCAACAAGAGGAACTTCCCAAGCTGCTACTTCAGATCGGGCTGAAATTTTTTGTGTCGACTCTTTGGATGAATTCCTTAAGACCGTATTTTTTTGTTTTTTCCAATGCACTCTACAAATTCCGAAAAGTCGGATATCCAACTGCAACAGGTGGGTCAGGCAAAGCCAAGCAGTGCTTGAGTCTATATGAACTTCTCCTTGAATAAAAGGATTAAAAATGCATTTATTCATAGACCTTGTTCAACAAAAATGATTTTAGAAAGACCAGATAACTGAAGAAGCTTGATGGACACTAAAAACTCACCAAACAGTCTTAAAAGATGTATTGATCCATAGATTTTTGACATGGGCGTATCTGGATATTTTTCCAAGATCTGTAACATGATTCATGTAGAAAATCAAGAACATCTAAATCATTCTATGATAGATAATTTGAGTTGAATGAATAAAAAAAGAATCTTCCCTTCTTTAAAAAAATTACAACTATTAATTTGACCAATATTTGTGACTTTTCCCAGCCGCTGCACAGTTCTTCCATAGAGCGCTGCTTTACTTGTGAAGAACTCCGTTGAGTAGAGTTCAGCGTTGCAAAAAAACCTTCAATAATTATATTTAACTCATTACTCTTGGTTTACGAAAACTATACAATTTCTGCTTACTTAATAAAATAATGAGTTCTGCGCAGTTGGCAACAAAGAGTTCATTCAGACATTTTCAAGCATTAGTTCAATTTCCTTGTAACAGCAACAGCTAACTGAGTTGTAGGCTTAAACAGGGAATTAGATTATAGGCCAAGCAGATCAATCTGGTAATTAAGTTGAAACTTTATTCATGGACATTTTTGGATATGACTAAATCGAACATTAGAGGCGATTCTAAATATTTTCTAAGGGCCTTTGTCAGCATTTCTCATTCATGCACTTCTTTTTTTCTTCCTTCTTCATGAATGAGAATTAATAAATGCTAGGCTAAAAATAATTTTTGGTTTATTAAAAGTGTATGAAGTACTTTTAGATTCAATAATGGACCACTAGATAAGGTGCGAATTTAAGCAGTATTACACTTTGAGCAACAATGAGTTGGAAAAAGAACACTTATCAATTGAGGAGCTTGCCGAAACTGTTGTAGTGCAATATCTGATTAAAAGAGTCTGGTTTCCTTTGTGAGCAAGAATTCAAAATTGTTGTAACCAGTGCTGAATAAAAACAGTAATTCTCATGGTGCAACTACTGTTCTATGTAAAATTTTAAAGAGGACACTTGGATCGGAAAGCTGAAATTCATGTCTTGTCTTGTGATCCTTGAACCCTTTCTTGATCCAACTTTACAGTCTGGACATTTTTTGAGTCCTTTTCATTTATTTCTGAAAAAAATTACCTGAGCATATTGCGGCCTTTCATATTTGTATAGTAATTGTGATCCCAGCATGACATTGAAGTACTCTTTCACTCCATTCATGAGAGTTCCTATTATTAGTTCCCTGTAAAATGGGGGAAAAATAATAAATTGAGATGGGTAAACTTGCAGAAAAAACCTAGCAGTTGAAGTTCTGAATTTCCTTGGAGATGCAGAAAGTTATGTAAGCAACATTTTCCTGCACCCACCCAGCAGCTCTTCAAAATTTTTAGTTATTAGCCTTCCAACCATCCATTTTCAGAGGATAAGCTTTTTCTTGATTCCTGCTCAGTAATACCAGGATCCATCTTGATTAGTGAAATGACTATGTACAAGATACCGATAATTTGGCGCCAGCTGCATTTTGAGATTTTTTATATTATGTTCCTAATTTTTCAATAGTTTTACACCTACTACCAAGTAAAAAATTTAGGTGATTGAGGAATGAGCTCTTCTTTCCTTGTCTTGTGCTGGCCAGGGAGATAAGACAAGTGGTTTCCCAACAAACTGAAACGTAGTAGTTAGAGTAGATGATGGTAACTATCTGATTAGAGAAATTGAAATCAAGGAACTTTCAGTAGAAGTTTTTTGGGACTGAACAGCGAATGAAAATTTTGAAATTTTTCAAACCCTACTAAATGACAATCCTTATTTGCATATCTATTAGATTTCCGGACTCAGCATTTCAAAATACACAGGAAACGAGTACCATATGTTTAAATGATTCTCCTCGCTGTGTGTGATGTAAGTTTTCTTGTACTTTCAAGACATTTTAAACCACTTCAAATATAGACTGACCATGAATAAAGGTTGAGATCGTGGACAAAGGAAATATTAAAACATCATAACATTAAGACGATAATACTCCTTTTGAAATTTTTTTAAAAAAACCAAAAAAGATAATTAGCTCACTTTTTGGCTGTATTTCCACGGCTTGCTAATTTATATTTCCTGTAGTCTTCAATAATTTGATCCACTGTAACTCGGGCTGGTAAGTTCACCAACTGAAAAATTGAGAAGAAATACTTTCTATGCCACAAGAGGTAAAAGTAAACAAAATCATATATTTCTCAGCTAGATTTACAAATTCATGATGGAATTTTTTTCTTATGAAACTGTATCTTTGAATCATTTTAGAGGAGAAAGGCGCTATTGAAATACGTTAAAATATATCTTCATTAATATGACTGTCCTAGGGAAAAATTGCTGAACAATTCCATATTGAGAAATTTGACACGGGTACAGTGGACCAGGAGTTAAGGTACAAATTTAAGCATTCTTATACATTTTTCTTGACCAGAATTTCACTTAGAGCACGATTCTTGCAACAAAAATTACTGAAATCATCTCCCACCTGAGATATTACTCTATTTATTTTACATTGACTACATGTTGAATTGCCCGATCATAAGAAAAACAATGCTTTACGCGAGTCAAATCAGGCACTACAAAGGTTTTAGCAGCCTTCTCAATTGAGCAGTGAACTTTCCCCACCATGTGATGTTCACCGTGTAAATATTGTGCAATAGCCAAGTCGAAGGATTAATATCAAGGTTGTCATATTTTTATACTCCAAGACTGTTACGGTTGCGTTCAGTGTGCGATTTAACTCAAGTAGACAACTGTTTTTCCAATGAGCAGGAATTTCGAATTATGCATTGAAAAATACTAGTACCTTCTTTAGGAGTTGATTGCAGTGATAATGATGCACGAATCTTGTTCTAGGAGAAATTTTAGTTGAGACACATGTATCAGAATGCTTAAATTTGTACCTTGTCCAGTGGTCCATTTCTTAGAGGCATGTGTACTTGACCAACATTTTAGCATCAGAAATGCTCCAAAATGTCAACCTTATCATACCTGAGTTACACAAGTTTGAATGTTGCAGTTGTAAAACCATAGTCTACAAAACTGCAAGATAAAGTTTGAGTTTCACCTGATTGAGAACTGTCAGATTGAAATGCAATGTTACGCCCTCTTTTCGCACCCAAAAGATCCGACTTGTTCAGGACTTTTTCATGGAGATACTAGAGAACACTTTCCCTTAAAATCTCAAACTCCCATTTTACAACTCAACGACTGCATAAAAAATATTTTCCTGAAAATGTTGTCTCCATGTGCCGGCATCTTCTTTCCAACTGATGGTCTAATATGCTGTTCCTGACTTTTAGGGGCCTGTCCAGCTCTTAACTGCATTCTGGGGGAATTTTTTTGGTACTACCTATGACTACCTATAATACCTATGGTATGTTTGTACTGAAGTTCTTTAAGTTTTTCTCAGATTGAAATATGTCTAGGTTTCATCCAGAGGCATAAAATAAACAAACAAACAACAGTTATCAGCTTGTCTCTTGGTTGAGACAGAGATTACTTATGCCAAAAAAATAAAAGAGATTATTGGAAAAGTATTTGTTATTACTTGAATACCTTTCGATGTTGAACAATATAATCCCAATCATCTACGAGGTACGGTTTCAGTTCATCGGGCAATTTTATTTTAATCTCTAGCCTTGCTCCAAATTGCTCCTCCTGCAACAAAAATTAGCTATGAGTGTAAATGAATTGTAAGAGGGTGGTTACAAGTATTGTATTTCAATCACCATTCATGGGCAATAGGATTAGAATGGCCCAACTGATCAATACTTTCATTGGCAGCGCATGGGCTGAAACTTGGGAGGGGGAGGGGTCAGCTTCAGAAGAAAGGGAGGGGAAGGGTCTCGTGGGTTCCCTACAGAAAAAATGTTGAAAATTCAGTACTCATAGAACGCAATTTTCAGTTGGTTTCTTGATAAAATGCAGGGGCGCCGCTCGACCTTCCCCTATACATGCGCCACCACAAAGCAAAAGTATTCAGGAAATTTTTCTTCTCTTCTGCAAATGCGGAATTTCTATTTAAAAATCCATCCCAGCAACAAAAAAAAACAAGGATTAGATCTTTCTCAGTGCTGACAAAATGGAACCTGACTTGCATGAAGTTATCAAGACAGAGATTTTTAATTTCTGTGTCTTTCAAAATGTTGATCCCCCATACTAGGACAAGACTGATAAACTCACATTTATCTTCAAGACAGAGGCACAGAAACTTCTCGACTTGGTTCCAAACCGAGACACTAACGTTTTTATTCACCATTGGTAACAAAAAATTGCCTACATGAAAGACCAGAATCTACTTGAATCAAATCGTTCACTACTTAAACCTGTTTTAGCAGACTTTTCGATCAGCAATGTTCCTTCTCTGCCCTACATGCTTCGAAGTGTGAATAACTTACCTAGCTGAGCCAAAAGCTAATTTAGAGATTGCCATATTTTCATAATGCAAAGACCGTCATGGTAACATTTGGTGTGCAACTTAATTCAAGTAGATTTCAGTTTTTTTATGAACGGGAGGTCAGAATTTATACACCAAAAAAACATTAGTATCTTTGATAGGAGTAACATTCAGTAATTTTTGTTGCACAAATTATGTTCTGCTGGAAATTTTGATGAGAAAACATCAATTGTAATGCTTAAATTCGCATCTTGTTGATTGGTCCACTAATTGAGACATTCCCATGCTTTGATTCAAATGTATTCCAACAAGCTAGAACTTATCTTCATCTACTGTTGAGGTCAAATTCAAAATTGACAATATCATATTGCAGAGCACTAATATCAAATCAAACAAACGAAAGAAGAAAATTGCAATATTACCGTTTCGACTCCTGCATCAATTTTTGTTGCACGTCTCTTTGATGGTGTTTCTCCGGCTGAATCTTGTGATGATGAAATAGGTGCTACTGGAGTTGAGACTTGTTTACGCTTTTCACCCCTCTCTGGAGATTCAAAACAAAATTAGTCTGAAAGGAACTGAACGCTTCTTCATATATTTGCGGAATATGAAAAAAAACCGAATGCACTCACTCGAAAAGTGGCCAAAGTTGTACTTTGCGTCTTCCTCTACAAATAGTACTTCAGATGTCAATACTTCTGATTGTAGGTTGTTCAGTAATGCTGCGAATGCTTCCGGGAGGATACCATATCACTAATCGCAAATGCTACATTAGTGGTGTTGAAGGGGTTATGTTGATTCTTCCCAAAGTAAATACAGAGTGATTCATTAAGAGCTTACAATGATATTCTCATTTCATAAGAAAAAATTGATTACTATAAAATGTCATGAAGATGGGGATCTGATGGAAGATAGTATTTGAGTGTGGAACAACCAAAATTTTCTTCAAACCACTAACAGGACAGAGAGACAAAATATGAATTCGTCACTAAAAAAGGAAAAAGAAAACTAACCTGATTTGTCATTTACCGGAGTGGAGGAGCGGCTATCAGAATTTTCTTTCGCTGACGGGGTATCAAGACCTCCTGCCTTTCGTGCTTTTTTTTTTGATTTTCTGGAACAAAATTGATGAGCTGTCTAATGAAGCTATTACTACTAACACCTAACAAAATAGAAAATTGGGAAATACTAAAGAAATTTGGGAGTTTTGTGGTACAATACCAATATACTTACTTACAATCATGCACTTATTTCATCAGGTTTGTGAGCTGAAACCAAAATTGTGGTTCCAATTAAAGGCAGATTTTGCAAACGTCATAAAACTTGATCAGCAAATTTACTCCGGCCGGTAGACAGTGTTGGGGGACGGGCTGGCAAGGCAGGCTGTAAGGACACAATATTGCAATAGGCCTGGTTCTGGGGTAGCAAGTCCTTGTCAATCAGACATTGCAATTCTATGAGCGCCCAAAAATGCCCTTTTATTTATTCTGTCCGATATAATTGCCCAGACCGAAGTATGAAGGATGTGTTACAATGCATATTTGCATTTTTTTAGGGGTAGCTTTTAATGTTTAGCTCTGTACAGCACATCTCTTTGAATGAAATGCAAATGGGCTGTTGCAAAGTACATTTTTTCACTTTAATACTTCAGGACTACTTTGAAGGTGGCATTAAGCATAAAATTTTGATTTAAGGTAGGAAGTTTCATTACAAAATTGACACCTAAATATGCTCATTGATCACTAGACAAAGACTTACTTACTGGATCACAAGAAAAAGTGAATTTAAGCAACCTGATAAATGCTAGCTCTTCGAAATTTCTTGTATACCATGATTTGCGCAGTTTGATGTAAAATTTGAAAAACGTGGTTGATTCGAATAAACCTTTCAAAGCTGCAAGTACACTTTGAATAATCGAGTCAAGGAAGCTGTACAATCTTGGCACAAGAATATTTGGCTGATGGCATGAAAAGAGTTTGTCCCGCATCGGCAATACTGTGTCCACTTAGGTAGTGACTACCATAAAAGTAATGTACCATTTCGAAGGCAATTATGTCAGCTTTAACTTCCAAAGTACTTGGTTTTTGAAAAAACCTTGGATTGGTCTTGAGATATTTACATAAGTGCAGAACTTTCCAGTCAATCCTCGTAATAGTACTGACCAAGCACGTTTACTAGGCTCAATATCAGAATACACGAACTTGAAACATGTTGTTTGATTTGTTTGAAATGTTGTATGGTTTAAGGGGATAATAGTGAATTACTGGTCTGGTTTAGATCTCCAGACATCTGCAAGTACATTTTTTTTTGCTTAGCCTTCTTAGTTTTGAGGCATCATGATGTTTAGTTCTCAGTTAAAAAAATTGAACATGAGGGAAAATTGGAGAACTTGAAATACGGTTGGAATGACTCCCATTAAATCTGTCAAATTGCTTCTCTGTTTTGCCCTGATGCTTCCTAGGCAATCAATTTGGTTGAACGTTAAACTCATTTACAAAAGCCACTAAGAGGTCTTAACAATAGCTCTTTAACATTATAAAAAATCATCAGGACCTACAGTACTTCTGTCAAGTTCAAATTAAAACATTGAGAACTTACGATTCAGCTTCTTGAGCTTGGATTAAATCCTTCTGCCTCTGTAGATTCTGTTCATTATACTTGAGGACTCTGTCTTCGGGCACCCATTCATCCCAACTGAACAAAGAGAGGAAAATAGCGTGTTAAACAATTTTAACTGATAGCAATAAAAAAATAATTTTACAAAAAGAAGAGGAGAAATTACCCTTGGATTTGGATAAGAAATTCCAGAAAAAGATAATCACATTGCTTTATCAAAGCAAAATCACTTCCATAAGAAAAATGCAGCTGATGATTATGGAAAATAATAGTTTCAATGATTGGTGTCAATCTTTTTTTAGCGACTGGAAACTTAAGTTAGGTATAACCTTCATGAAAGAAGGTACTCACAAGAAATACTACTTTGATATTGTACAAGGAAACCCGCTGGGTATTGAGCGGGTCCAATTTCTGAACTTCCAAGACAACGCATTCATTTCATCTAAATGAAAATTCTCGCATACATTTACATTGCAAGTTTTCTTTCATATTAGTGTTGAACATTAGTAGAAAATCACCAAAAATCCAATTTAATCATTGAGAGACCTCGAGAGAAGTTGATTTCCTATACTTTCGTTGTCTCATACTGATCTCCATGCTGGTCATGCATGCAAAATTTGGACACTGAGATTTAACAAAGTTCTTTTTATCAATTTAAGTACATTATAATTTGAACTGTGTACTTCTATTAACTGCTCTGAAATTTTCCATGCGCAAGTTTCCTCAGATGCATCAAACTGAAGGGAGAGGAAGAACATTTCACAGTTTCAACCTTTGCATGAACAAGTCGACAGTGTAAGTTGGCAATCACATAACTCGATTTGCGACGTTGCAGACTTCCTGTCATACTTAATTTTTTAAACAGAAAACTACTCAACGGTAATTCTTTAAAACTGCCTTGATTTTTCTTCTCTATGTGAACTAAATTCTGCATAGACTTCAAGGAATGATGGAAATTTTTTCTCCTTTAAAAAAATAAAATAGAGGCGGAGATTTTCAGACACCGCATACAAGTTATGTGATTGCCGACTTACACCGTCAAAGTGTACCTGGAAAATGTTTGTGTGTGGGAGGGGAGGGAGGAGGCAAGGGCTCATTTACACTGCACAAGACTCAACTACCAGCTGATTATTGAAATCGATGGACAAAGCTCTAGACAAAGAAGGCAGGGAGAAAATTGAGCGATCCTTTTGAAGGAAGCGGTTACTTATGATGGACACAGTAAGTAAATAATAGAATAACTAACGGCAACCCACAAGGGACCCTATGATTAGTTCATCATTTTCTCCCTTAGTCTACACAACCAGCCGTCTCGACCGATAGGATGGCTACATTTTCCCTTTATCTTATTTGCCAATTGCTTTGTCTATAAATTTCAATAATCAGCCCGCTGGTATTGAGCAGCTTCACAGGATCATAGAGGCCTGCCCTGTTCCAGACTCTTTCGCTTAATTTGACCCATAGATCACACTTGTGCAGTATGGCCGTTCAATCCTTGGACAGTCTGCATTCAGTTTTTGTGCATCTTCTGGTACATTATAATATAATATTAAAAAAAAGAGAAGCCAGGAATCATTGCAGTAATACCTTTTATTCCATCCAGAGTAATGAATTTTGTACTCGTATCCCGATTTTTCATCATTGAAGCCAACCTCAAGACACTTTGCCTCATAAATCAACGGTCCATGAAAACATAATACTTTTTCGCCTGAAAAAAAGAAAAGATTCGACTTAATTGCGGATGAATAGCTAGAGAAATATTTGCTTTATAACTTGTCTTCATTTTTAAAACATGTACATAATACCTAAGCGAATATGGTTTACTATGTACCAGGGCTATGAATGCCAACTATGTTCTTGGTTGAAAAAATATTCAGCACAGACTTCTGTTGGATAGGAATGTTAGCTGAGTAAACCTTCTTCCTGACTTGAATACTAAAAAATTAGTGGCCTCATTTCAGAGGAGGTAAATGTATGGGATGGCAATTTTTAGGGAAAAATCATTCAATTAACTTTTTTTTTTTTTTTTTTTTTTTTTTTACAAAAAACCATCAATTTTATTTTACTATCAATATAAAAAATCTGTTCTCCAGACTTGAGTTTTCCATAACAAAGATGACTATTTCTGCGGATGAGTTTTAGAATAAATGCAACCAAAGAAATAGTAAAATTCTATCGAATAAAACAAATGATTAGCAAAATTGATTACATTTGTGCAGAAGAATGATGCTTCCTTGCAAACAAATGACAATATTTCTTTAACATTTTTGATGATTAGCTCTAAATGATTTGTAGTACTTGTGCACTGAGGTATGTGTCTTTTAATTGATATGAAACGCAAAGCTTGATGCTATTTCCGACTCATTGGTGGGATACATCAACTACGATTTCATTACCGGATGGAATAAGAAATAGATTGTATCCTTGGATTCACATTAAAAGGCACATGTGAACACTTAAACCTGATCTCCATGGAAATTGAAGTGAATTCGCCTTTACCAAACGACATTTCTTCATGGCCTTGACCAGTTCACATGAGCTGTCTTTCCTTGATGCATGTAGAATCCTTATTCCATCAGTACCTAGTTGTGCATTGAAAGTGCTCATATAAATGCAGATTGTTGCTTTCCTTTGAACTTCCTTTTTGGTGACAGCATGTTGCAACATAGCATAGTAATAGACACTTTGCGCAACTGACAAGTAAATTATCAAAGTTTTTTTTTTTTTTGTGTGTGTAGGAGTGATCGGCAATCCACTTGGTGAGTGTTCGGCACGATTCATCAAAGTTCCCGGCAAAATCAATGATTTCACAAGGTCCTAACATTCAGGGCTTCGTTATGAAGTAAAAGCTACTGTTACCCACATCTTCAGCTGTGCATTCTTACCACAAATTTACTTGCATGGACTCAACAGTCAGTCACTGGCAAATGTCTATTTCCCTTACAACTTTCAATCATAGGCCGAGAATTAATCACGAAGCATGGTAGTAGATTGTTTAGAAAGCCTGTACTTTGGGGCGACATTCGATCCGATCCTCTAGTTACTATAGCTTATGACACTATCTTGAATTTGGGATGGGTATCCAGGACTCTGATGAATGAAAGATCCAATTCAAACAAAAAATGTATGAGTCAGGAGGCATTTTAGTTTAGAGCTTCGATGATCAGCCCCTGGAGGTTGAGATAATTATAGGTATTCATTATTTAAGTATTATCATGGTGTCACGATTGAAATTAATGATGACTTCATTGAGATACTTACCTTCAGTGAAAAAATTTTTTTTACTTGACATTCTGGTAAACAAGTGAAAAATACATGCACAACTTTAACGAGTCGAGTACCCCAAGAAATGTAATAATGTACACAATAACCTAACACACCAACACTAACAAAATATACACACACACTCACACAACACAACCGTGACATGCCGTAACCTGAGAAAACATGGAAGGAAAGAGCTCAAAATTGGAAGCTGTCATTTTATGTACGTCACTAAATTGGAATGACAATGACCAATGAAAGCAGAGCATTGGGAGAAACTTTTTAGGAAGCTTCGAAGAGCGTGGGAAGGGGGGAAACTATGTATGTGAAAGTCGCTAGAGTAAAGGCTGAAAGGCGGTATGTATTGCGGTAAGGCGGGGTAATAAAACCTAATTTTACAATGATTAGACATTTTAACGCCTCGAGGCAACTGAGAGAGACCAAATTATGTACTCAATTAATTGATATTTGTTAGTCATATGTATTTATTCGCACCTAGTATGATATCATTGATGCACTTTCATACTGCGCGCCAACCGGCTGATCCTTATTTACGTCATCAAAAACACCGACGGTGCACTTTCCCTGATTTTGCCACCTTCCGTATCAGCCATAGTTCAGCAATTTCCTCAAGTAAAAATCTTCTCTTTTACGTTTACGCCTTTTTAGTTTCTAATAGATATTTCTCTTATCTAATTGATTTACTTCTAACTAATCAGTAACGTCTCTAACTCCTCCAATTTGATTTTTTGAGAATCTCTCATTTTTGATATCTGTTTTCCTTCTATTTGATCGATGTTTGTTTCACTTGTAGTGTGACTGCTAAGTAGGTTATTTTTACACAGTGCCCCAAATTTTTGTCATCTGTGTAAATATCTCTTTTTTCTCGGTGTTTCGGTTGTTTAATCAGAGCTTAACTTGCGTGTCTATATTCAGTTATCACTTCTCTCGAAATTACCGGGAATTTCGCCCAAGAAACACCATAAACTACATAATTTGTTAACCTTCAAATCTCTTCAATCGTCAGGCAAACATGCTCCTGTGATGGCTTTTAATTAACGTGCTTCACGTAGGTAAATTGTGGATGATGCATTCATAGCTCAAAACTTTCTATTTTGGATCCTACTTTAAGGTGCAAGCCAACTTACCTTTACACAAGTGGCTGTATGCAGTTATGTGTTCTTGCCGTCGTTGGAAGTTCGGTAGTCAGCACTAATAGTGTTTTCTTAGTCTAGCTCGTTTACTTATCAACTTTTATTTCGATCATAAATTACTCATCAGTGCAATCTTCATTTTTTTATTTAAATTCATCTCGTGGGTGCCAAAATGTGCCAGCAGTCTCATCATGTACTATCACCAAATTTCCAACTCGTTTCTCTATGGTGGTCCCGGATGCAGTTGAACAGTAGCTGAGTCTACAACAATGGCTTTATCAAACTATAAACCAGCAGCTTTTCATTCGTGTGAGTATAATCTAATTCATATTTTATTCAATCTGCTGTATGCTAGTCTCTTGAAATCAAATCACTGTTGAGTTCATGGTGACGGGGTGGGAGCTGTCTTAATATTTTTTACCGTTCCAGCAATGGGATGTACATTAAAATAAAAGGTGATGTATGTAGCTTTACCGCAGAACAAGAATACCTCTGAAATATCATGCCCAATGAGCTGGTAAAGTAGTCTACCCCACGAATTGTCAAGGTTCAATTTGTCAGCGGCTCCAATTTCAACCTCTACCCTAACCTGTAAAGTTCCTGCTTTACTTTCTTGAACAATATTGATCTTCTCTGAGAAATCATTGACTTCTGAAAAAAATTAAATTCAGTTAAAGTCAGTCCAAGAAAAGCTGACAAATAGAACTTGGAAAAGAAAAGATTAGACAAAAGTCACATCAGTCTGAATGCATCTATCATCAGTTGGCCCATTGGTTAGCATGTAAATATCTGTTGAATGGTGCAATTTTTGGATGTGACATTTGTCTATTCTTTTTTTTTCCCCAGTTCTAATATCGTCATCTGTAGAAATGATTCCTTGTTGTCATCTTAAGAAATAACGTTGCCTTCAAGAATGGAGAGGCCACAACTATTTTCCTGTGACGTCTCGCTATTAGATAAAACTCGTCAGCAGTTTAACATGTGGTCTTATGGGAGAACGCCTGGTGTGTGTTCCTTTCATGCAGATATCTTCTTGGGAGTTGGTCTGATGCAGAAATGTATTCAAACCTCTTTGAAAGAGGATCACATTTCACTTCAGAAAACTAATCAATCCGTGTATAACATTGTCTGATAATGAAGGAAATGAAAGCTTAATACCATAAATCATAACTCCTCTCAGATTCAAATGCGCTGCTCACGCAATTTCGGCCGATCGAGGGCCACTCTGATTGGTCCATGCAGAGTCTGCCTCACTCATAAATGCACTGATGACCTGGAGATGCTTGTTGTTTTTTGTATATATCTACTAGCTTGATGTCACATAACTGACTAGTGACGATCTCTCCATTCTCATAGGCAACGGAAAGACCTCAGCCTGGAAGTGACACTGCTTAACCAATGTTGAACACTTATGTTATCGTTCTCTCCAAAATACACCACTGAATGTCATCTGCAGTATTATTATCAATGATAAAATAAAAATAAGGAGAGGTGTTGCTGAACATTTTGCCTTCATTGGAGAACCTTACCCTCCGTAAGTATACCCATGCAGTGCAGAAGGTGAAAGCTGTCTAATGTGCCTATCCTCATGCCCTTGATGTTTTGTGGGTTGTCTTTCCCCATGAATTAATCATTCAAGAGAGTTCTTATAAACTGGATCGATTTATGATTCAGTTCAGTAATCTGTGAACGGAAAAGAGAAATTGTACAAAGTCCTTTTTTTACTTTGATGAAAATTTCAGTTTTTTTCCTCTAAGTATTCGCACAGGCGCTTATTTTGCTAATATCTTTTAAAAGTTATTACATCCACATCTATCAATGGGTGGAAATAATTTTAATCAATATTTGTGATTCCCCTAAGGCAAAGGAGACTGAAGTGAAAAATTAAAAATTGAGACAACATTTTTCCACTATGAGGTTCATTCTGAATCATTTGCCTCAAAAATTCACTTTTCCAGAGAATTTAAAAGCTTGAGGAAAAAAAAAGTTGGACCTTTATAATTTAATGTGTAAGATAGAAGTAAATTTTTTGTCGATGAATTGTTCTCAAGCAATACCCGCTCCTTCTTTTTTAAGATCATTTCAGTTGCTTCATTCGAGTGGTTCTGATTATTTTAAGAAAATAAGTGCGAAGTTCTTCACACTCATTTCTATTTTATTTGCTCATGGAATGCAAGCGAAATTATAAGATATTTTCGTCAGAACAAACTGATCGTACACTTGATCTTGGTTTACTTCCTACTTATTTGAAACTAATCTTATCTTTGGTTTGTTTCAGGCAATTATGGATGTTCATTATAACAACATTTTTGAAAGTACTCGTCAGTACTTTCAAGGTGTTCCTGTGAACGATGTTAGCAACAAGTCAGAATCAGAACAGGAGTCTGATATTGAGAAACAGAAAATCAGCAATTTGAAGCATGCCAAATATATGAGTGCTCCTTCGCCGTCAACCTCACGAGCTTATTGGATGCCACAAAATGAGGGCCCTGGACATAACAAAGTTCCATTTCGACAAAATGCACACGCTGCAGTTGCGGAAGACGAAACTCATCAGAAACATCACAATAATCTGTTGCCACCAATCGCAGCTTTATCGTCAACAGGAGTCTCAAATTTTCCTGCATTCAAAGCGGTTGATAAAATGAGTCATCTAGGCCAATATCATGGGAACTCTTCGTCCAGAACGACGGATTATGCTCCGTCGTCTGTTGCTGCCCCTGCCCCTTACTATTCTATTTCTAGTCAAGTAGCTGTAACGTCATCTCCAGCTTATTACTATCCTGCCAACGTTCAAGCATCAACATCGAAGAGTGCCCCTTATTTGCATCATGCCAATGACACCTCGATCGTGTCCCTCAAGAGAACTCCTCTGAGTGGCTCCAGGGAATCTTCGTCGTCTTCATCATCAATGGCATCAATATTTCCAACCAAGTCAAGCTCATATCGGATGAATCCAAAGAAAGACATCAAACCCCCATTTTCATCCTCTTCAGCATCTATGTTCCCGCCACACTCTGGCTTTCAACTGCCTGTTGCACCCTTTAAACAAGGACTGCCCTACTTATCAACGGCCGAGTCTTTACAATTCGGATCCAAGATAATGCACCCGCCCCGGAACGGCAATAATAGTTTGTCGAAGGGCAATTCAAACATGGGTGTATCTAGTTTCAGTAGCAATCAAATTATGTATGGCCTTAACTCTGCTTCAAGCAAATCTAATAGTGTGAGCCATCAGTCTGAAATGACTAAACGAGAAAGCCTTCATCAGGCATCGCACCCTATTTCAGGGGCACCAAAACTGAAAGCGAATACAGGGTCTATTGCCGCAAGCTCTCATGCTGCCTCTGTTCACACTCCTGTCTCTGTTTTTGGGTATTCAGTTCCTAAGATACAACCAACTGACTTTCACCAGTCAATGATACAAATCAATCCAAAGCTTCGACCCGATATTTCACGAGATAATGCATCTCCTCTCAATCGGACCCAATCAGGTTTGCCTCACGCTCAGCATGGAACAAGTAAAAAACTACCAAGCTTCCCTGAAACGTCCCTTTATCCAGTCGTTCAAGAGAAAAAGTCAGTGCCCACTGCGCTTCATTATCCGGGCATCTCACCTGTGTCTAATGAAAGAAGCAAGGTCATTCAGCATCCCCAAACTACCAGAGTAAGTTTTTTTTCCTTTGATTTTGAGAATAATCTGTGTGCAAGACCAGTAATTAACAACATAATTTTTCACTTGAATAAGTAAAAATTCGTCCTAGGTATAACTATCCCTCTTCTCCATGAGTACTAAAACATGTATCTCTGGACCCACTTGCATGCTCAGCATTTCTGCAATATATTCAGATGAAAAATTAAAACAAGATTTTAAGGGAAGGGCCCCCACTGTACCTACTCCATTAGTGTCACAGTGATGTCATTACTGCTTGTAAATTCTGATTTATGTACTCTGGCCATGGAATAAAACTAGGTTGTAAGAATATTGCGTGCTCCTTGCCAGAGAATTCACTTCTCCAATTTGCAGGTTTATGTAGAGGCATTTGCAGCCTTGATTCAGTGCCCCTACCAAATTAGTTACGAGCACGCCCCTATCTCTTGACACATGATGTGGGATTTAATCTTAAAATTACTGTTTTCAAGACTATCATTCTAATGTCATGTGTAAACGTTTGAAACACCAGTTAACTTTGATGATCATCCAACAATTTTTTTCCAATAATTAGCATTTTCTTAACAGTGATGTTCCATTGCAAGAAGCACTCATTTATGCATCAGGGGTGCAGTATTTTCCTCAGTAACGCAAGCTTGCTTCTGCAAATTTGTGACAGTTGCAGCTGAATGACTTTTTTTTAAAGAAATATTAATGTCCACTACATTAAGAGAAAACTTTAAGTTAGTACATATAGACTTTTTCAAAGATCCAAATACATATATCCTTAATTGTCGAGGTGAAGAAGCTGCCTGCTCTAAGTTTTAGCTGTTGAGAACTCTCTACACCTCTGGTGTTTATTCATTAAAAATCGTCTATTTTTTTAGAACTATTTGATGAATAATTTCTACCAAAGGAAAACAATACAGCATTTGGGTTTCTTTCTTTTAAGCTTATCCTTTATATTTTCCTTTTTGAATGTTCCAGGTTGTCAATCAAGATCTTGAAGCTTGGACTCCCAAGAACAGTGGGCGCCTAAAGCGTGAATCACCTTTAGACCTGTCAGTGAAGACCGTAAGGCAGTCAGCAGACTCAACTGCAAAAGATGAATATGAAAACAATAGTAGTTTCTCACTGCCTGGTTTCCAAACTCTTGATTTCCGAATCAGACCGCAAATGTCAGAACCATTTGCACCAGTCTCAGTGCCAGGCCTCGGATACCCACTTAATAACCCCCAGTCTTCAATTCCAGCCCTCTCTGCCTCTGCATCAGAATTGTCCAGAAGAAATGCCAATTCCATATTCAGTGTTCCGCACCATATTCAGCCTCAGCGTGAAAGAGCAGCAGCAGAAGAGGAAAATAATGACTGGAGATCAAATGAGTCTGACCAAGGGATGATGCAGCATAGAACCCATGCTCGTTCCAGCTCAGAACTACATAAAAGTGGTCAAAGATCTCAGCCTTATGAACCAATAGTCAATGCACCTCCTCGTTTGCAGTATTATGAGCAAAGGCATCTGTCAGCGCAGCTCTTGGAAAGGAGTGCTCAATCTAGGAATATCATTAATCAGCATTATTCCATTCCTCAGTCACATTTTGCTTTAGCCAATCCTGTCGATAATTCTGTTTATAATTCATCAAAAGCAAACATGTTTTCACATTCTAAGTCTGCTCAGTCCAATTCTAGTGAGTCGCATCATAGCAAAAAACGCCCATTACATGCCCAATCAGGTAGTGAACATAAAGCGAAGAGTCCTAAAGTTGATGCATGGTTGAAAACAATTGATCAGCAAATTGAAGAAAAATTTAGCTCTTATGTCACATCGAAGGCGAATGACCACAGAAGCTCAACCCCAATAACCTCTGCATCTGATCCTAATGTGCGACCTGCAGTTGACGGATCCAGTCAAAATTTCTCAAGAAACCATGCTCACATTAGGTACACACCATACACTGAAGAGAAGGTCTATCAAGAAATTAAAGCACCTGAAGAATCTAAAGCTTACTCTAAGCGAGATGAACGTTTCATTAATGTTACTGAATCTTCCCCTTCACTATTCACCCGAGAGCAAGTAAATCATTGCTCAGTAGTAAGGCACAGTGACTCCATCAATGCAAATATCATGACACCTGCTGATATCACTGCTGCCTCAAGAGGAACAACTTCGGAGATTGTTGCTGAGAAGTTTGATGGATCATCCACACCTCAGCCTCAATTAGTCAGTCCATTGGTGAGCTTTAAAGGAAAAGAAGATGAAGAAAAAATTATGCCCCGGCCTCGTACAAAAGCAGAGTTGAAACAGGTTTGTAATGTTCAATTATTCCGTTAAATGGTTGCTTAATTTTATCACATTTTGATCACAAAACATGAAATATTTGAGCAAAATCTTAACCTCATTTCACCTTTTCAAAGTTTTCACATACATCATAAGTTTTGAAAATAAGACAAAACACGAGTCGTTTTAAGAAAGGAAATTTATAACATCTCGAATTAAAGTCTATTTTAAATTGTTGGCTGTTGATCTGTTCAAGTAAACACAAACTTAGTTGGGAAAGATGCCGCAGAACTCTTGTCTTTGAAATTCTAATTGGCGTATTAACAACAATTGAACAATTAAAATGGCTGACAGTAGCCCGAAATGTGACCTTGTGACAAGGATAAAAAACATGTATGGTTGAAGATGAGGGTTGTAAGGGCCTAGAAACGTCCTGGCTTTTTAAAATAATGAAATTTTTGGCCTTGGTTACCCATTTTAAGCTGTTACATTATTGCCAGCCACTGATGTCTACTTTCATTAGTCTTTAGTTTTAACTAATACATTGTTCTTGTTCTCCTAAGCAAATTTTAAGCTACCTTTTTCCGGAAAAAATATGTGCACATATTCTTCTCAATCACAGATCATGGATTCCACAAATAATTTGTTTGAATATTTTTCAAATATTAAGATAATTTCTTTGTTACAGGTTGAATCTAGTCGTAACTTTCCAAAATCAGACTTTAATGTCGGCAATGACAATCTGTCTACCTCCAATTGTAAAATGACTTTTCTGCAAAATAGCACGCCATCATTTGCAGGTGGTAAGTACGATTTGTTCTAACCAAAATCTGTCACTAAAATTTAGTTTTGATCAATTAAATCATACCTAGTAGAATTGACGTAAAAAGAAATTTCAAGTTTCGAGAAAAGAGACAAATCATTTTTCAACAGCTATATCTTTGGAATCACTAATTGATTTTTAAAACCTACAGCTTTTTAGAAAGACTAAACTGTTGAGAATCACAGTTCTTATCAAGACGAGGGAAACGAAGGTATGCTATTTCCCCATTCAAGACCCTAAAATTGACAAAACGCTCCGTTCCCTTAGTTTCATTTCAGTGTTGGGGAAAAACAAATGGAATGGAGCATTTTGTCAATTTCGGGTGGTTGAATAGGGGAATAGCATACCTTTGTGTCACCCATCTTGAGCTTTTATGGCTGTAAGTAAGCAAATGCTCTCCTTGATCAATAAGCTTCAGAAAGTTTACCTTTAGTTAAGTCTATGCATAATCATTTTAGAAAGCAGGCTTTAATAGGTAGTCTACTCTTCTGTACCCCCAGATGCAAAATAATTCCAAGTTCTTCTTACTATAAATTTCTCCCCCTGACTGGTTTCATTGAAGTCAAGTTTATATTTATTATTTTAACCTCAATTGAAAGAAGTAAAGCATACGGATTCTAGCGTGACTTCTCACTGACTATTTGTATTTTCTTTCAGATGTTGAAAGTGGTGAAAGCAAAAGTGGGGACGGACTTCCCACTCCACCATCCGAATCAAGCGTCAGTCCACCAAAGTTAACAGAGGAAGAAATCAGCCGGTTGCCTCGAAAAAAGTAAGGACTTGACAGTTCAAAGTATTACTTTTGAAAGTAAAGAAAATCGCTTTTTTCAGGGCACTCTCGCCCATTTTCTATTAACAAAAATATTTCATGCATTGGTAATTCATGTACATAGCATGATTGCAGGAACTAGAAATGAATTTTGAATAAATGGTGAAGTCTTTTTCACTCAAAGTTTCTCGTTATCTTTACTGTCAAGTTTGAACCATCTAACAGTTCATGAAACATGACAGGAAGTGTAATTTGAAAATTTGTATATCACAATAATTTTCAGAGACAAGTAAATTTTATATTTTAGGTACATGAACCATATTTTTACATTGTTTAACCATTTGAAATTGAAAATCTTCATCAAATTTTAATCTTGTCCCTGTGTCATCTTGAACCCAATGTGGATTGTCCAATTTTAGGCGAAAAGTCGAATAGAAAGTTGGGCACAAAAAAATTTAATTCAATTACTGTTGCCATGTGATATAATGATAATATAAGAAATGCGCATTTGGATATTTCCATCAGCCTTTAGTTGCAAAGCGGTTAAAAGATTTTGTTCCATTTTTCCACCCAAATGGCATCACCTCTTGAATGGAAAGTTAAAGTTGACATCAGATTCAAGTGTCTGTCTAACTTTCCATTAGATTGTTGTGTTCTCGTGACAGTTTCACACAATTCAATTTTTCATCCACCATAAGTGGAAGAAAAGTTGAATGAAAAGTTTGATCGTCTAAATTGGACTTTTCTCTGATTGAGGAAATTGATGGGGAAAATAATGCAAGGATTTGATTCCTTGAGTCATATTTCATTTGAACTTATGACGTTTTTGATAGCCTCATACGTCTCTTTACTCATTGTCCTTATTTTTATTTCTCACTCATTTACTGTACAAAAAAATAGTCTCATATCTCGATTAATTTTTAGGTTGTCCAGTGAAATGGATGAGAGTGAAGATGGGCGATGCTCTCTAGATCCATGTGTTTTTGATTTTCGAGATAGTGATTCAGAGTGCGAAATGCCAGTTCTTGAACGTCAAACTCTTGATGAAATGCGCAGAGAAAGGGATCGCCGCATACACTCCAAAATTAGTACTTCAAACGAAAATTTGTCATCAGAAAAGGTTAGTTTCAATCTGTTAGATTTTGCGCCTTTGTCTTTTCTTTTTGATAAAAATGAACCTGAGGAAGAAATTCAGGTTCATTCACTGAGTCATAGAAAACTCTCAAAGAATAAGATATTCATATGTACCATTACAACAGTAGCTAAAGGTATGATTTTTTTGTCAAAAAGCAAAACTTACTATTTACTTAACTTAAAGCAATAAATTTAGTAGTTCAGCTTTTCCGTCTGTGAGGCGAGTATTCAGTTGTTTATGCAAAACTAGCACGCTCAAAAACCTCTTTCATTTGAAAATTGTTACATCACTAATTTTGGCCGATCCAAACTTGTTTCTTAATGAGCAAGTTCTACTGTGCTCAATAAACTTATCCAATATCGGGAAATATTGTTGAAATAACAATCAATAAAAATACTCACTGTCAGAAATGTGAAATAATAATTATTAGAACATATTTATTATTTTTTGTATTTACAACTTACAAATCCCAGAAAAAAGCACGATGAACCACAATTACAAGAAAAATGAAGGTCAGAGAAGTCCTGTAGAGCATTAGAGCCACATCATAGAAGACCAAAAAACTGCTGTACCCAAAGATTTGAGGATGGTCACGACTGTATGAGTGTTTTGAGGAATTCCAACTATTAGCTCACAAAATGATAACATTGATTCTCTGTTTTAAAACGAGTTATTTTGTCAACACATCCATATATTGGCGCCAGTGGCAGGTATATATGGATGTAGATTTAAAAAAAATGAAAGAAAATGATTGATGGTTTTTATTTTCTTCTATGTTTAAGGTTGCAACAAGCGAGACATCGGTCGTTGAAGAATCAAAAGATCCGTTTTGGATGGAAACTTGCGATTCATTCTTGGAACAGTTAACAACGGCTCCTGTGCAAAAGTTAAAGAAAATATCAAGGAAGCATCTTAAACATGATTCAAAGTCAAGTGACAGTGCTCTGGATAAAAAATCTTCAAATGATATCATGGAAAGTTCAAATGATATTGAACATTCCATCATTGATAAAATTAGAGAACAAATACTACTGCGTGATAGTCGTGTTAAACGCGGCGAGTTGTGGGACCCGAAAGTAGTTGTGAAAGATTTTAAGAAAGAGAAGCAACATTTTCCAAACTTAAAACTTGAAAAACTGAGTACAGTTGAATTGAAACAAGAAATTGCTGAACTTAAAAGCATGAAAAAAGAATTGCAAGAAAAAATATTGGAAAGTTCTTTCAACGATGAGAAAACAGAACCTCTTGATGAATTGAAACCGAACCGTTTGCACCTAAAAAAGCTAAAATCGAGACAGAAAAGTATTAAGCCTAAAGAAACAGGTAATCAAGAAAATATTAAAAGGTCAGTGAACATAAAAATTAAGAAGCACAAGCATTTGAGAAAGCTGACCAGCAGTGACGTGGAACAAAGCACTAGCTCCAAACAAGAATCTAAAGATTCATTATCTTCACCCTCTAGGTCATCAGATTCTAGCATTAGTAGAATTGAACCTAGCACCAGTAGAAAAAGGAAGCAAAATGAAATCATGCCGAATTCTTTGAGCAGTAGATTTGTATTAAGTGAAGCCAAATCTAATGGTCGTCCAAAACTCATCTTGAAAAGCACCAACCGCAAAGATTCTAGTGAAAGTGTCTCATCGAATGATTTGGAAGTTAATAGCCAAAGGAACAAGTCACTGCCACGTAGAAGCGGAAATGAATTGCCGCTGAAAAACTCTGCAATTAACGAACGCTCAAAACGTAAAATCCTCAAGAGGAGACGAGTTAGCTGCTCTATTGGTGGTCGTCCAGGGCTACGCAGTGCTACGGGTCTACGAAGTGCAAAGTCTATGCTGAATGTTAAACGTCAAAAACAGCTGAAAAATAAAATGAAAAATAAAAATACAAAGTCCGCAAAGCAGCCTGAAATTGCCAAGCCACAAGTTGATAAGGACGAAAAAGATGTAGGTAGTGATCATACTGAAGCTGTGCACCTGAACAAAAAGAAGTTCAAATTCAGAACTGTTCGAAGAAAATTCAGATCATCTGGCTTCGATTACCTCAGAAAGAAGAAGAAACAAATGAAGAAGCAGGCAGCTTGTGATGAAACCAAATTAAAGAAGGTAATATTTCACTGCCCTGTAAATTAAAAGCATTTACCTAGGTATCAGTTTTAACCAGTCCTCAAAATGTCTACTGTCAGAGGCAAAGACCAAAACAGACAGAGGCAATCACTTGTTAAAGAAATAGAATCCAATGGGCCTGTTGCAATCTTTTGCTAGTGCCAAAATAAGAGTTGTTTCTATCTCTCAAAAATCATGATGAGCGCAATGGCAAAGTTTGAAATGCACTCCTAACTTCATAATCTGCGCAATAAATTTGAATTTTTTTGAGCCTCCCGCCTCTAAAACGATACTACAGCACAGGTGAACATTTCGTTAGAGGTGTCGTTCTATCCAACCCCTGTGTACTAGGATACTTCACAATATTCAACATGGCTGACACCAATCCGCCAGAACGCATGTACCTAGACGAGATTCTAACCGTTTGTTAACAACTCAGCGTGTTTACATTCACGATGTCTTCACGTTGATAAAGATCCGCTTTGGTTTACCTCGTGTTCCCAATTGCGATTTGCGAGCGGAAGCGTTGGCTATGTTGGGTATTGCTATTGTGAAAGGGTTGAATGGAGTAACTCCTCTAATTAACCTATGGTGTAGTATTGTCCTTGAAGCGAGAAGCTCAAAAAAACGCAAATCTCTTATGTAGATTGTGAAGTTAGGAGTGCATTTCAAACTTTGCCAATGTGCTCATCGTGATTTTTGAGGCATTTACTGCTAGAAGCAACTCTTATTTTTACTCTAGCAAAAGTTTACAACAGGCCCATCGAGCAAAACGTAAGGGTTTTTTTTATTGGGGAATGGAATGTGAGAACTTGGATTGGAACGGAACAAAGCAGAATAGAACAAGTCTAAATGAAGCAGATAAGTCGAAACATGCAGAAGTTTCAAGGTCTCAATTTTCCGTGACAAGTAGTGGTTTTTTTGTGATTTTATGATCATACATTACTTTATTTGCGTATGGTAGATTGCTTAGTTCGTTCATTTAAAAGATATCTTAAATGCACGTATGTGAACATTCACTTAGGCCCCTCCTTACTTCTCCGATCTCCAAAAATTTTAATAGAAGCTTATGGCTCATCTTATGAATCCAAACACTTGATGATTCTTACTGCATTTTCATCAAGTATTAAGAAAATGTAAGTTGTATTCCTGTTGTCAAAGATTAGGGTAAGAGACCAATGTGTTGAATCACCGTTTTTTTTTCTTTCAGAGTTTTGAATAAACTGTTAGAATCTGACCAATACACATTGATTGCGATTGGTTGATGTTACAAAATGAGACAGCGGACCGATTATTGAAATTTAAACCAACCCGATAAGACATGGAATTGCGATATATTGCATGGTTGAGATAGGGCTATGTCTTGTCGTGTCGGGCTGACATAGTTTCAATAATCGGGCCGCAAGGCATGGATGTCTAAGGACTTTCGAGTGCTTCATGAATTTTAATTTTGCACTAAAATATTGTCTGTGCCTTGCTGAATGCATCTGATGACTTTTTCAATCAATCGCAATTCAGTGTGAACGAGAATCTATTTTACGTGCCCTCATTGAAAGACCCTGATGAATTTATTTTATGTAGCAAATGAGCAACTATGAATTCCTTTTTATACATGAATAATCTTCCTCATCTCATCATTTGGTGTTTTTTTTATTTTTTTTCCCCAACAGTTTTCTACAATACGAGCCACTCCGGAAAGTATTCATGATCTGCAAGCAGAAATTAAAAGTTGGGTGATCAACAAAGGACTTGGGGAATCTGTGCTGCACCGCGCTGCAAGACTTGGTTATCCAGTGAGTGCAACTTTCTTGTTAGTGTAATAGAAATTTTGTTTCAGTACACCCAATATGAAGACTTAATTTTTGCCATTCTCATACAAAATATGTCTTTACTTTCTATGGGTGCACTATTTTGGCTGGAATCTCATAATTTTGGCAGCCCTTAAGACCAACTTATTTTTCAAAATCTTTCTTCCTTTATGTCAGCCTTCATCAAATTTTGGGTTTTGAAATATTTTAGGATGTTTTTTACTTTACAAGCTTTTTGGTTTTTTTGACTCACATTTTTTACTAGAAAATTGTAACCTAAGAACTGTAATAATCTCTTCCATTTGTAAGAAAAATGCGTTAAAATCCTCAACTCCCTTTGTCTCTTTCACTTTGAAAATATTCTACAGAAACTTTGATGTGATTGCCTCTAATGTGCCTTTACATCAGTGGCTAGGCGTGAATGATCGATTATTGATACACCCTCATTTGAAGCCATGCACTGTGGGCCAGAGGTGCCGGTTGTGGGAGAATAATTGATATCTCGGCTAAATCCGAACGAAAATCACTAAGTTTTGGTTTACGGGGGTTTTTTGGGTCACTGAACTCGAATTTGATATCAGTTTTGTTCAAAAATCACAAGAAACGTATGTCGTGAGGATTTAAGCTAGTCCAGTGATGATTCCTTTTTTCGAGCAATTGCACTGGGATTAGAAACCATTTTAACGCTTGAGAAACTTTCAAAAACAAAATTGAGAACTTGAAAGTGACCAAGAGGAGTCTGGAAAATGATCTAATATTGTTAAAACTAGAAGAATAAAAGACGAGAATGTTCACAGAGGAACGCTTTATATGTTCATTATTTTTTATTTATTATTATTATTTTTTTTGTCACTGCCTCCACGTATTATTGGTTCTTGTGGGTCACCTTAATGGAAAGAATAATTTTGTAAAGTAATGCTCTGCATGGTTTAACGGTTCTATATATGTTTTGCTGTTGTAAGCTATCAAGTATCATGTCAGAGGATCAAAGAAGCATATTATGAATTTTCTTTAGAGGCGCTAGCCATGAGAATGGACAAAATTTACTTACAGCGTTTATTGGAAATGACGGTCAGCTGAACAGTAAATTTTTACCACTCTTGCATTCGGTGCAACATTCTTGCACATTAATGAAAACCACCCAGATGTTTACCAATTATCGGCTAAGCTCAAAATCCAGAAATTTAAATAATAATAATAAAAAAAAGAAGAAAAAGTTTCATATCAAATCAGATTTGAATTCAAATATCCACGGACTTGCCGTCGATTGAGCTAGTCAACAATAGCAGCTTCTAGTGCGATTGAAATCGTCAATACATTTGAGAAGCACGAAAACCGCAAGCGAGTTGCTGTGATCGTCTAGTATGTGAAAGGACACAATTACATTCAGGAATCCCAACGTCATAAGTGAAGCAGCAGGACAAAATTTGCCTTAAGGTGAATTGTACCATGGGTTAGAAGGGTTAGTTCTGCATTAGTTGGCACAAAGATATCACTGAAAAATTCCTTAATTTGGCCACTTTGCAGCATTTAAAAGTCCGAGGGAGAAAAACAAGTTTTCCAAGAAAATAGCAGTTAAAGTTTGTCTGCACTGTTGCGTATCTTGAAGAACGATCCACCTTAAACGCTTACATTATTAATAACGCAAATCATGGCTTGAAAAATTGACCCAATGTCCTTCAGAATATTACATGAGGAATTATCATTACTGAAAACTAAAGCAATGTGGGTTTTTTTTACCCTCAAACTGTTTTCTGATGTACTAAACAATTTCAGTTTTCATTTAAAGGCGCATTTTGTCCTGCTGCGTCACATATAATACCTGTATGGTAGTATTAATAATTTCACTTACGGAAAAGAAGAAAAATATGAAAGACAGAATGACGGACAGATTTATAATGTCGTCTCATCTGAGAACCTTTTTTGCACTTATTAAGTACAAAAAAATGTGGCAACCATGGAAAAAATGCGCACCCTCAGAAGCGTAGCAACTCATTTTAATGATATTATCACTGTTTACTCGGAAGAATTTATTTACTGTACGATATCTAAGGTCATATATGTGAAACATGAACTTAATCCTATTTTTGATGAGTCGACTTTTTTTTTAAAAAAATGAAAAAAATGGGTTTCCCGCAGTTTCCCGCAGCAAAGCTGTGGTGCAAATGAATGTTGAGGATTTAAAGAAAAAGTATCTGGCCTTAAAACTCTAAGGAAACTTAAGGAAAAAACTGCAGAAAGCTTTTTCGATGGAATTTTTAAGATTTATTAGGCACTTTTTCTAACAAGCTTTTTGGACAGTGAAAAGTTCGCAATGGAAAAAGTGTATACATCAAATGGAAGCTCTTTCTTAGGAGAAGAAATCCTAGTAAACAAATTTTCATCCTGCGCAACCGCTGAGCCGTGATAAGGCCTTACACGGTTGCAGTCCAGGGCGCGCTTCTACATATTATCCGTGCAGTGTCAGAGGTACCCAAGTTCCCCCCCTCCAATACATCGCTGCTGGGCGATTATTCCATGAAATTTTGATGAATCCTCATCCCTTAGAGAGGCTTTTTAACGAATTCCTCATCATCAATACAGTACTGGACACTCGTAAAAACGGTATTTTTCGCGTAAAACGGGCCCCCCTGGCCCACTGTGCCATGGTAAAGAATCAATAATTAAGGAGTTCGTTGTGAACACCCTGTTTATCGATCCTTTTCAATAGGTTTAAATGGTAGATCAATCGATTTATCGCAAAGCACGCCAAGCCACTGCTTTATATGGTAAATTAAATGACGTACAAAATGAAATTCATGTTTTGTAATTCATTTTTATTTTTGTTGAAGGAGAAACAGCAAGAAGATAATTAGACTTTATGTCCTAGATTGAAGTAATATTTTCTTGAGAAGTAGGAAAAAACACTGTATGCTCAAATGTGTAATGTCACTTAATGTTTAATTTTTTTAGGATGCAGTAGCTTATTGCTTAGAAGTGCTGGAAATTGGAGCTAGTGTTCGAGATAATGCAGGTTACACGCCTCTTCATGAGGCATCACACAGAGGGCATTTAGCAATAGCTCGCATGCTTTTGATGTATGGAGCAGATTCAAGTGCCAGTGCAATTGGAGGCATCAGGTAATATTTTTGATTTTCAATTAAACAGTAGACTCTATGCATTGACTCCCCTCCGGTCATTTGATGACATTTGTCAATCCATCTCTTTATACACTCTCAATTTTTCTCACAATACACTGTTGAAAATATTGGAGCGATATTTACACCTACACCAGGGTCTATGTATTGCCCATTCACCTCGCGTGAAAACAGCTGGGAGTGAAGTCGGTGGGAGTTGTGAGCTCTGCTTTGCAGTGTAAGACGCTCCAGGGCAAGAGTGACGGGGAAGTCCCGAAAAAATTAGTTGGCGTATCAGGATTAGATCCCACACCTTCACAGGCTCCGCAGGCAGACTCTTCATCTGCTCAGCCACCGCAGCTCAGTTGAAACTGCTTTGATAATAGCGGTATATGAAGAGCACACAAAGGTATCCACGAGAAGGCAAATCTTTCTCTGCCAGAGAGTGCCTCCATATGACATTTACTCCCACTTTGTGTAAGATTCACTCCCGCTGCGGAGCGTGCTACCTTCTCTGAGTTGGCATTCACTACATGACAAGAGTGTTCCACGTTCATGCGGAGTTTGATTTGTTCCAACTTCGCATCTGCAACACCAATTCAACGTACTTTGTACTCTCAGCCGTCATTAATGCTACTCCTCTCTCATTTCTCACTCAAGTTTTCATTCCGGTGTATTCTCTGTATTTCTAACAGTGGAATGGAAATAAAAAGAATTATAGCTCAAAAGATGGTGCCCGAGTTTAAAAGGTTTACATGCTATAAAATAACTTTAGGTCTGGTCTCAGCAGTGCAACTTTGCAGGAATTTTTGTGGAACTGTTACAAGAACGAGGTAATGAGCAAAAATGTTTCAACTGTAAGTGAAACTTTCAAAAGCAAAAGCCTCAAATATTGATCAGGTTATAAGAATCTTTGTCCAATGTTTTTGTGTCCAATTTTTTTTGGTCCATTTGACATTTATGTCCAGTAGTTAGTTTGGTCCAAAAGAAAATTTGTCCTACCTTCTTTAGTCCTCTTTATTACTTTGACTCATACTTATCTGTCCAATGATTATATTTTATTTTTGTCCAATTCATAACGTAGGTAAATGTTAGAAAAGGGAGTACCGTAAGGGAGTAACGTAAGAGCATGTTGGAAATGAAGGTGGACTTAATAGAATCTGCATACATTTTAAGCTGTTGGTACAGAACGTTGTAAGTGTCCTCGGTTTTATGGGAACACAGCTTGTGAACTAAAGGCAGGACAACGCCCATAAAAAAGTATGTACAAAGGACAGAAAAAAAACCGATTGGACCTAAAACGCAGGGGCATTTTATGGATTGGACCAAAAAATATCGGACCAAACTTACTGGACTAAGTGATACCGGGCAAAATTTATTGGACTAAAATTCTCTAGGACGAAAAAAATTGGACGAAAATTCCTGAAACCATTGATCAGTTTTTCGCCTTTTCTTTACTATGGCCTCTGGCCTGAAAAGCTTCACTCACTGTTGAAATACTTTTTCGTATGACCTCGTTTCTGCAGCAGTTGCACCAATTCCCTCACCAGTTGCACTGCCGAGATCAGGTCTTGAATATTTCATTAATATGAAAGTAATATGAAGGCTTCAAAAACTTACAGTTCGTAGAGAAAAGAACGACAACAATTTTGAATTTTGAACTTTTTTTGATGTCATACACTATTCTCTGGAGATGCGAAAAGTCTGAGCGTTCCCATTCTGATAATTCCTTTTTTTCATGAATGCTCCAAGTTTTAAAGTGATGCTCCCCTTTTTTGCTCTTTATGCTGCTTTTACATAGAAACGGCTGGCGCATGTTTGATCACTTGAAATTAATCAAATGCCAGGCGCTGTGCAGAATGCACCAGATAGCTCGCAGAGCAGTCTAGCAATGTAGGTGCTTATGGGGTAGCATGCAGCGACCGGCAACCACAAATTTTAGGCGGCATTTCTCACAGTTAATTGGGTTTTGATAGTTTCTCGAGTTTACATGGCAGTTACTCTGGTTTTGTTTCTGTCTTTGCAGAACGTTTGTTACAGGGTTCAAACTCTGCAATATTTGTACCTTATTGATCCTCTTCTCTCCTGGGCAATTTCCAGCCAAGACTGAAACGAAACCAATCCAACGGAGCGTTTTGTTGATTTAGGATGGTCTGTGTAGGAAGAGCATACCTTCGCTTCATTCACCTTGAGTCACCATTTCACAATCCTTGCTCTGCCATAGCTGCTACATTCATGCCTGTTTTCTTCTACCATGAAACTCCTTGCTGTTTAACTTTCAATTTACACACTCGTTTGATGTTTCAGACCTCTTCATGAAGCAGCGGAAAATGGTCATGTGGAATTAGTTCGACTATTGTTATCCTATGGTGCTGATCCATTACTAGCAACTTACTCAGGTCAAACTCCCATATCCCTGGCACATGATGTGGCAATGAGAAATCTACTCGAGCACCACCTTGCAGATGTTCAGGGTTCAACAGCTCCAAAATGGGACTTGAACACTTGGCCTTCTTTTTATGGTAATATTTTTTTTTGTTTGTTTGTTTGTTTGTTTGTTTGTTTGTTTCAAGGGATGAGATTTGAAAATTTCATCTTGGAGAGTATTCATACCTAGTGCTAGTATGTGTGGCTTCTACTAGAGCTGACCCTTTTATTAAAATTAAGCAAAAATTGTGGCATTTTTTTCTTCTCCTACTCTTGAGTACTTATGAAACCAGACCTCAGTGTTGGTTAAACAATGCAGGGTTGCCGGCGGTCTGGAAAACTTGGAAATCAAGGAAAGTTGGGGAATTTGCAGCGACCAGGAAAAGTCAGAGAATTTGTAAGAAAAGTTAGGGAATTGCTGACACTTCTACTAATCACTACCCTTTTCGGTAATTTTTAAGACTTTTCATCTTTTAACCAGCCACTGAATGCCTTCTTCCATAATTGATCTCTAAACAAGGAAATTTGTTGAAAGTTTTGCAAAAGTTAGCATATCTTTAAAAAAAACCGGCGCTCCGCTTCGCTCCGCGCCGGTTTTTTGGGGGGGCTTCGCCCCCCCAAGCCCCCCCAGGACGCGCGCTTCGCGTGCTCTTTTTAGTTTGAGTGTCCATTCCGGTTGTTCTGTCTTCTTAAGCGACCCGCGCGTCCACCGCGGGAAGAGTGTATTTTCCGAAGGGGGGGGGGGATCAATCTGTAAGGGAATGAATTAATTTCTTGAGCACAAGATAGTAGTTGCGTACGTTGCCAGCGAACGCGCTGCGAAAGGTTGTGACGGTTAAATGGTGAGATTTTGTTCAAGAACAGATCATTTAACCTGACCCACTGTGCGACGAACAATTTGTCCAGAATCTTCCTTCCCCTGACCCACTGTGCGACGAAAAGTTTGTCCAAAAACTTCTCTCCCCTGACCCACTGTGCGACGATCAGCTTGTCCAAAAACTTTCTCCCCCGACCCACTGTGCGGCCCTGCTCCGGCCGGCTCCCCTCATGCCGCGCACCCCTCGCCTAAAACTTTCAAAGCTCGCCATTTTTAAACGGCTCGGCCGATTTAGCTCAAATTCAATACCAAACCAGTCCTAGGGGAGAACTACCACCCGTAAAAATTTCAGCTCAAAATATTCATTTTCGCTCGAGTTATCGAGTGGACAAGATTTGACCTCCCCCCATTTTCGAGCCCCACCCCTCAAAATCTATTGCCTCAAATTTCAATTTTTTTTCGCAGAATAGTAGTCCTAATGAGTCTCTACAAAATGCAAAAAAATTGGTCAAAATATCTTTCAACGTAAGAAAGATATAACCACTCAAAAATCGAAAAATCTTCAAAAGGCGGAAATACATACATACATACATACATACATACATACATACATACATACATATATACATACATATATATATACACATGAATTTGAATAGCATATATTTTCGTGATCTACGACCCGTGATCGGTGCTCTTCACAATGTCTCAGGTCTGGGTCCGACATCATGGGAGAATGCAATAGTGTATTTCCTTCGGAAAATACACTAAAAAGTAAAAATAAATAGATGAACATTTTGCCTGAAGGTCAGAAAAAGTCAGGAAATTAGAAAACTTCGGAGTCAGGAAAAAGCAAAAAAGTGAAGGAAAAGTCAGTGGATTGGAAGATGAAGAAATTATGGCAACCCTGTAGTGGTTCAGTATGGTCGCTCGTCAGTCGAGGTCACTTTCTTATCTCTGTAAAGCTTGCAGTACACATGTGATTTTTAGAATTCTTTTTGATGTTTTACTTCTTTTTTTGTTTTTTTTTTATCTGAACAGACGATGCTATGTTCGGTTGTGCTGTTTTGTCGGATGCGCCAGACATTTCTCCTCGCCATGAACCGGATGTGGAGATAGAATACTCAGAAAACAATCTTCCTAGTACTTTCTGGTTGATTGGTGAACCAATGTCAGATGTTTGGGCAATGTGGCACGAGGTAAAGTATCTCATTTTATTACTAATTATTTAAAGCAGGGTTGTGCAATAAACTTTTCAAGTTGACTCGAACCGTTTCTGCTGACTACACTTGACTCTAAGATTACAAGTGCCAGAGTGCCCTTAAATGTACGAAGTGGCTTGTGGCAAATTTTTCTAAGCTGGAGATGTAAGACAAGTGAGGCTGGTTTGATTTTTGTTTCCTTAGTAAAGGAACTGTATGAATATTCTCAGTTTCAGCATCCATTGTTATTCAGTTCATTGTTCCCATTTTTGCAAGAGCAACTGATGTGATTTCTCATTTTCGAGATTGACAAAATTATTGCAGCCAGACCTTACCATTCAGCCTCAGTACCAAGAAATCTTTCTGGTTTTTGTTAATCATCAGCTACTCAGACTATATTTTGGAGTATGTTTTGAAAAATATTAATCGATCCAAACTTGAAAGATCAACCTACTTTCAGCCAATTTTTGAGGGAACTGAAATTTTTTATTATTTTGGGCTACAGAGAGAACTGGACTCGAGCACCAAAACACCAGCAAACTTCGGGAATAAGTTTTAGTCCTGATCCGACTTTTATTGGAGTTTCAAGAGCGTAAAATCTCTTTTGTCTGCTCAATTCTGACAATTGACAGATGATAGAAACAGATACAATAATTTTGGGACCAATATGAACAGTCATTTTGATTAAGTTCATTGTGTACATAGCCGCAACCATCACTCACCAGGAGACAATTGAATCTACTAAGTTTAACTCAATGATGGCATTGCCCAATTCAGCTATGAAATTCTGCGCTTAGTACACATCAGCCTTATCATTATTACAACCCTTCGATGGCTTATCTGATGGCTGCAGAACCTTCCAGAACTATGACCTGTATGATGGTATTAAGGTCAGTGGAGGAGCAAGTTTCAACTTGAGGGTGTAATACAGCAAAATCTGGCAGAGTCTGAGCTCCCATCGGCTCTATTACTAGTCAGCCTAACCACCACTACTACTACATCCATTCATCTACTTGAGTTCTCACCACATACATTGAACCGGTTGACTCATACCCGCTTTCTTTTTTTCCTTAGGTTGCATCTGTATTAAGAGTTAAGTCAACTGATGCCCTTTTGAAACTACTCGGAAAAACAAGCGCAGAAATTCTTCGTGAGCTCACTCCAGCTGAATTTACTTCAAAAGCCTCGAATCCGTCAATCTTTGGTGCTGCTAGCTATAAATCTCAAAGTAAGTGTCAAAAAATATTATTAGTTAAATATACTGAGCAATTAAGGTCTCATATGAATATAGAAAAATTGACTGTTTCATTGAGATGACCATAGTTTGAAATTCCTTTTCTATTCCAAATGGGAATGAGGTAAAAGCAGCGATTTGGTTTTTCCTCTATTTTTAACTCACTTACGTTTCTGGCTCATGACTTCTTTAAATCCTTCGCTGAGTCTTGACTCAAATCATTGTTACGTTGAAGGTTTAATACCCAACTGCATTTTAGTTCCTCTGGATGTCAGTTCGTATTAGATTTAAGGGTCTGAACAATATGGACACACCCTCTTGGATTGTTATCTTATGGTGTCAGTTTGTAGAGTTTCTATAAAATGGTAACAAATGAATCAATTATTTTTGTCTAAAATATTTCTTAAAATTTAATTTTTTATGCTGCATTTTTACCTCTGAAAATTGATAATTATTCTGTTGGAGGAGGGCCCAATCCTTATTAAAACTTTTGATCGAAAGGATTTTGTTGTAAAGGCTGGGTGTACCTCCTTCAACTTTTGAATGGTTGCAATTTTTTTTTGTACTTAGCTTAGGAAAAAGGTATAGCTTAGTCTTGGAATGAATGATTCAGTCAATGATGTCAAATAACTCTCTCTCCATCAAAATAATGCGTGGCTCTCCATGCGAAGGAACGTATCTTGGTTGTGCTGTTTCAGTATTCCTTAGTGACCTTTTGTTTTTTTACAGAAGAATCCTCCCATGAATGTGCCTGAAATTTTCAGTAATTTTTTTTTCTTTACACTTGCGAGATGATACATTAAAATTTTCAGAAACATTTCAGCAGTGGTTCTCCCTTGAAATAATAAAATCTTTGTAGGAACACTGAAACAGTGTAGCTAAAATACATTCCTTCGTGTGGGAGACGACGGATTGTCATTGCAAATAATAATATTCAGAAACATCTTGAACAGTGTGTTATGTACTTTGGCATTGAATTTCTACAGTCTCCTGTAAGCCTTAGTCTGGGGCAGCGTTAGATAATTTTAAGTTAGTTGAAACTGAATGATTACAAATAATCAACTTTTACTCAAAAAAATTACCCCTTAACTTTTTTAAACAATCTGTAGGCTCAAAGAAAAGTCAGTAAAGTTATTCAAATTAGGAAAAAAAAACCAACTTTTGAATCCTATGCTAGAACTGCTGGCAGCTAAATGAGCAGTTCTTAACTTTTAGTTCCTCCGATTCGTCGATCCTTTCTTGCCTTCTCAGCATGGCGCATCATTTTTTTGCTGTTGTCACCTTTCATCATGGAATCATTTATTATACCAATCTTTTGGATTTTTATTATTTTTATCAAATATGAGACAGCAAATGAATTGTGACGTTGAAAGTATATTGCACTCTCTATTCTCTGATTTGGTGATGTGATTAAAATTTGCAAATTCCCAAATTAAATCAAAAGGTAGGTATTGATGAACCATTTTGCCGTAAGACTGGTTTTTTTCATGAAAGGTAGTAACAACTCACAGTGGCAGACCGTGTTTTCAAACTAAAAAGAAACAACAAAGAAACGTCCCGTTTGTAGTTTAATTAGCAAATCAAATTCTGGATGTATCATCAAAGAAAGGAGAAATTTGAATCATGATCATATCTAAATTTTTCTGAAAAAAATTCCAGTGTCATAACTGTTTGAAATTACGCAGCCATGTTGAGAACAATGCAGCTCCATATCAGCTTCACTGGCTTATCAAAAAACTATTCAACCTAATGCTTCAATAGAATACACTGCAAAATTTTTCCCCGATCATTTTATTGTAGTATAACAATGTATACATGGGAAAAAATGTGGGCATTCTTTGGGAATGTAACTTTTATGGCTGTATGATGAACTAGTATTTACAAATGAACTAAATCTCAAATGATTCCCCATTAAATTTTGTGCAAATTAGGGACAAGATTTCATTGTGCTTACCATTTCATCAAAACTCCGTTTTAGCTCAGATAGAATAAATTTTATCAAATACCTGCTTTAGCTCTTGGTTCTTCTTAAACTCTGTAACACCATGGGCAGTTACATTTAGAGACAGAGCTAACCATTCTTTGACTACAAACTCTACTGTAACTCCATATGTTAAGTCAGAGCCATATAGTTTCCAATAAGCGTAGCATTACAGAAGCATGCCGTTTTCAAAATACCCTGTTCAACTGTTTGTGACCATCATTACTATATGATACATCATGCAGATCTATGGAGAGAAGTAAAAACATTTATCTTCACCAGCTTGAACTCTCTTAAAATCCATTTCATCTCACAATTACTTTGTCTGCTGGTAGTTGTGATCCTTCCCTCATTTTTTCAATACCTGATTCCTGTCATGTAAGCCTTTTTTTCATCAAGTTCACTGTTTACTTAGTGAAATGAAAATGTGATAATGTTAATAAGAAATATTGTTTCTGTGTGCAATAACTGTTGATGTTATATTTGTTTCCAATTTTAAATAATATTATTTGCTTCATTTCATATAAAAGTTTATTTTGTTTTGTTTCATCCCGTTCATTTTTGTTCTATGTTTCCTCTCCACTTTTTTACTTATTTTTTCAATTAATTATTTTTTGAACTTTTCTTGTTTGACTGATTTGTTTCTCCTGAAAGTACGTTATAAGAAAATAACTTAATGTAAGTAAATAAATTTTGTTACATTTAGTTTACGCAATATCTGGGTTTAAGTACGCCTATTTATGTAAACATGTATTATCATTTCTGTATATGTGAAATAAATTATATTCCGTAAATTCGCTGCTTTTTACTCTGTTTCCAATTTTGCCTCTAAGAACCTTTTTCGTTTCGTAGATTTTAAAACATAGCATGAAGCTGTGGAGTTTTAAAGATAACATATAATAAAGTAATAGATTATAGACAAGGCTACTAACAATAAGTGGCTTGTACATTTTTAATAAAACACAGAAGTCAAATTTTATCGAAACATTACTTTTATTTTATCTTTTTTATTCTTTCATTTTTAGTTGTTTTACATAATAATACACATTTTCTCTAAGTGTAATAGATACAAAACTTCTTAATCACAAAAAATTCTTGAAACAGAATTTAAAGAATCATAGACAGAAAAAGTCTCAAAGCTTTTTAAGGACAGCATCCTACCTGAATTGTCTACCGAACAACTCGTAAAGGAATTTAGTTTTTTTCTTTCTTCAAAGGTGCCTCTTGCTGATGTAAAGAAATCTAAATGTTAGGCCCACTTTCACAAGCATTTGCCTCATTCTTCATCTACACTGTAAGCAAGTCTTTTGAGAGAAAATTACGAAGCACTTTTTTTTACATAATAACAATACATTGATAAGTAAAAAAACCTGCTTGCAACCGTGTAACAAATTATCCTCTTTGTAAGGACGGAACTTGCCTCTATTTTCATTGGCACCTCATCACATTATTTGCTATCAGAAAAAGTAGGAAAAAAAATTCCATTACTGCAATTACTACACACTTTGGAACCTCTATGGGCACTGCTCAAGCAGTTACAAATTAGACATCACCCAATGTAGAGGGAGGACAGCTACCTAAGCGACATCGTTTGGATAGATATTAATCATACAATGTTACGATAGAATTTTACGAAAATGCAATGCGTTTCCGGTGATTTTTCTTCTTCACCTAAGAAATATTAACACAATTTTTTCCCATTTTTTTGGATAGTGCTCATGTCATAGTAACTGTTCCCACCACTAAAAGTATTTTAACTTCAAAAATTGGATCATAAAATTTATTGCTTGAAAAGTGTTAAGGGACACATTGTAATGGACCAGCTGTGTTATACTTGTGTCAGATATAATAAAATAAAAAATATCAGAGGAAGATAATCATGACTTTTGCAATGTTCCATACTATTCCTTCTTATCTAGCATCTGAGAAATGTATCTACTCCAACGTTTGAGGCTTCTCAAGATGTCTCAAAAGATGAGTAGAAGATTGACTTAGAAATACGGTATTGAATGCCATAGGATTCAATTAAGGGAAAGCAGAAGCTTGAGAAATGGTTCCAAATTAGCCAATTACGCTGTCATAGAAATACAAGTAATTGGTTTCCTTGATTACCACGTATCCATCATAAGAACTTAAAATATACACAGTCAGTACCCTTTGATGATAAAAACGGCCTCTGCAAGAAACTAAGATCCATTTTTGAGACTCAAATGATCAACTGATTCTTTTTGACTAGCTTTTCCTTATGAGTTCATTACATTCGAGTGAAAAACGAACAAAAGTGAGTTAAGTCAGACACTCCCTCTTTGGAAATAGATGCTGGGTACATAAATAAGTCAGCAAGCATGAGCTGAGCTTTGCAGCACCTTGGGATGAAAACAATTAAGTAGATACTCGTACCTATTGAAACATCAAAAACTGAATGTCAGTCTGATCAGGAAGAGTATCCGTCGCAATACAATCTAGATTGAAATAATTGTTCTGCATATTCACTGGGTCAATGTTTATGTTTATGTTTATGCTTCCTTGAAGAGCTAGGAGGAGGAGACGGTGAGTAGGTAGAACGGGAATATTTGTAGCGATAAGAGGATGAGGGAGAAAGAGGTGAGTATTCTCGCCTACTTCTACTGCGATGCGGGGAATCCGGGGAAGCTGCTTTGCGTTTGATACGAGGTGGAGAGGGCGTATGAATATGTGAAGACTTTTTGCTGGATCGCACAGACTGAGGAGATCTCCCACGGTGCACCTTGCGAGAGGGACTTCGACTACCACTATGAGATCTAAAACAGATAACAATAAATGCAGAACTTCAAAGAATAACTACACACATAAGGGTGTTCACACAGACCCTTGCAGGTAAGCTTTTCATCCACCATATTCCAAAATACATATACACTTCGATAAGGGCGTGGTTGCTGGCAATAACTGGCTCTATCAGAACTGCGTAAGCTCGGTAAAACTGATATACATGGTGCCGATTCATTTTCGCCATTTATGAAAACTCTAAGAGCAGTCAGTGTGGGTCATCTTACAGTTCATAATTGAATGGAACTGTTTCGAAAGCTTTTCATGAGAGATACTAATATGTACTTGAAGAGTACATGGAGTCGTAATGTAAGTGGGAGAGTTGGTGCCATAGTTTAATCATGGTGCCATGTTTTAAGCATTTTCCAGGTCCCGAATTCCAAGACTCCTGTGTGACGCCGGGTAAATTTTTCGATACATTATTGATTGTCTTTGATACACAGGGACCAATGAAGACCCGGCCATCCGATGTAAATAAAGAAGATAGGAATTACTATGTATTCCACACCGCCGTTTTGGATCGAACATGTATCGAAAAAGTGACCCGAGTTCGGCGCTCACCTAGCCCAGATTTCGTCGACAAGAACATGGCGCCAGCTCTCCCATTTACATTACGACTCTATGTACTCTATGTATATACTATGTTAATGAGGTAATTAACTTTGTTGTTTAAGTTGCAGATTGACCACGACCATAGAAGTGGAGCTAAGCTACATCAAGATGTAAGAAAGAAAAAAAAGGTCTGAAAATTTTGGTTCTTGTCTACCTAATTCTGTCTGTTCGGATGTTTACAAACATTTTTGTTTGGGAAGTTTCATTGGCCTAAAACGCCAGTCAAATAGTTCAACTTGAACCATTTTTAGTCACAAACTGTATTACAATTGGCTGCCACTGAAGAACTCTTTCTGATGAGGTAGAGGAAGACAGCCTAATTTTGAATAAAAAATTGTACTTCTACAGTATTATGGTTGAAACTTAGAAGACCTTTGGATAAACTTTATCAAGAACAGAGAATGAAAGTGAACAAATCTAACAAAGTAACAAGAAAAACTACAAACCTATGAGATTTCTTATGCCCGGGGGAAAGACTTCGAGATTTACTTCTGGAACGCTTATGTTTACGACTCCTGTGAAAAAAATGGAACCAATTAAAAGCATATCAAAGCAGAGAGAGTATACAAATTAAACTACTAAGAAAATGGTATCGAAGTCCATCATTAGGAGGGGATAGTTGGGTTTCATTGTGACAATCAATGACAAATTCAAAATGATCTACTTGGACTTTTTGTACCTTCGAGAACAAGGTGATTCTCTCTCTCCCCTCCCATGCATTTTTTTTAGAACAATTGCAAATATAATAATAGCAAAGGCTGCCTTTGAAATGATTCTCAGAAGTCCTGGATAATAGCTCTTAACAGTCAAAGGCTGCCATTTTAGCTTCATAGAGGCAAGAAAATTGGACTAGAGAGTGCAAAAGGGCCTTACTCTACTAAATCGGCCGCAATCTACATCAACCTGATCTTCAAAATATTTGCATTGGCGCCTACAAACCTATCAGGGATACTTCACGCATTGCGCAATGCGTGAAGTATCCCTGTTAGGTTTGTAGGCGCCAGTGCGCCGCTGCTCCGCTTTGTGTTAGGCTCTAATATTTAATCGCGTGGAGTCAGCGTTTTTCAACTCATGACTTTGAAATGTTTGCACACTCAGTATGGATTATTCTCATTTTAATTGATGAAAAAAAATATGTAGTAAAGGAAAATATAATGTGCGTTTTGCAAATATTACAGGGTTGATTGAAAAACACTTCTGAGTCCAGAACACTCACTATTTTTGAAAGTAAATAACTAAGGGGAAGGAGCAAAGTTGAAACTTTAGAACGTCATAGCTTTTTAACAGTTTGTTGTAAAAAGATGAGTCTTGGACTTAAGATTTAGAGAAGATGACTAAATTTTAATGCTTAGTATATATATTACGTAAGTGTAAACGCAGCATAATTTGTAAACTTAATTTACATAATACGCAAAAGTAAACGTAGCATAAGATATCCTCAGTTCCCGCAGGAGGATGGGGGGGGGGAGGCATTATTATGCTCACTTAATACAAAACTAATGGTTGACCGGTTAAAAACCTGATATTTTTACAAATTTGAGCTAAAAAACATAGAAATCCATTTTCATCAGAACCCACTTATATTGGAAGGTTCCGCCAATCTGGGAGCGTTCCGATACAAGCAAGATTTACTGTATCACCTAATTACTAAAAAATGAATTGGAACATACTTGATACTTTCATACACTGCACCTAGTTTTATAGATGAAATAATGCTGATAAAAAAGTTTTGATCACACTATTTTGACTATTTTCTTCAAAATGAGAAGATGAAAAAAATGAATACTTACTCAACCATATCCACATACTCGTCAGGTGATATGCTGCGACGTACAGATTTCTCACTTGATTTATCCTTTTTGCTATCTAGTTTTTCTCCTTTCTCAGCCTAAAATGACAGTGACTTTGATAAGAGAATGATCATTTTTTAATGGTAACAATCAATTTGCTGGTAGGTGACAATGGAAAGATTTTCTGACTTTCTCACAACATTAACTACTTTTTTATTGCACGCTTAAGAACTTGACTTTCTTTCCCAAACTCTACATAAAATACTTTTTCAACGATGGGCGATTATTTTCATGTTCACAGATCAAGTAATTCTCAGCCATGAAAAAGGTGGGAAAAAGAAAAAAATCAAAACAAATTACAGAGTACTTTGTTACTTGACAATCCAGTTTCTTTCTCCCTCTAGAAAACTTCAACAGAAAATTTGAGGATACTTTGGTTTTACAAATAGCTGGTTTCATAAGAGTCCTATTTTTGCATATTAAGTTTTAAATCTAAATGCTTGTTTGGGTTCTTTTAAAAGTTAATGATAAGGCTTACTGCAATTTGTACATGAAAAATTTGTAGGGTTCTCTCTACCCCAGCCTATTTTTCTCTTACTTTTTTCACTCTTGACATATTGGCACTTTTGAGCCTAATAACCCATGAACATAGATATCTTTAAGCGCTGAAACCTGTCACAGCCCCGAGTCATAAATCCTTTGACCACTTCAAACACAGATTTTTTGTTTAAGATTGACAGAGAGAATGGAACAATTTTATGAGAGCCACAGATGAAAAAAATTAAAATCTATTAACGAAAATTCATAAAAATCCACAAGCTTAAGGCAATATGGAGAGTGACATAGAGGGGGAAAAAAAAGAAAAAAACGGAATAATGATCACTAAACAAACAAACAAAACAGAATTCAAAAGAATAAAAAAAAAAAAAACCTTTCTGAGAAGTTTCCGCCTATAATGTGCAACTTGTTGTTGAATAGTCCATCCTGACTTGAGTGTTCGATCGCCGAACTCCAATTCATCTTGGTATTGCATAACTTTCACTTCTACTTCCCGAAGCTTTGCTCTTCGAAAATCGTCGTCACCAGCGATTCTGCAAACAATTTTACCTCGTTAATTTATTCAATTTTTGCAAAAGAAGAGGTATTTGCTTAACAAATTCAGAGGGTAGTGAGAAGAAGTCATTGGCTTCCCATCTCTTAGAATCTGTAATTTACTTGCCAGCATTAGATATTTCAGGTTGCACTCTTAACATTAAGTAACGAAAACTACTTAGGAATTTTAGTTTCAGAGTGCTAACTAAACAAACAATTAAGTAGAAACTAAAATATTAGGGAAGGACTAAGATTTTTGAAAATCAATTTCTTTAAAAAACCATTATGTACATTATTTTCTTCTTCTTTTTTACCAATTTTCAAACAGCCCACAGGGCTAATTCCACATTTAACACCTCAACCTCAGGTGACCATTGCCTGAAACCATCATGACATCTTGACTCATGTCACCTGGCCGAGAATCGAGCCCTGAAACTCTTGGTCATAGGGCCAGCACTGCATTCACTACACCACAGAAGGCATCTTGAAGAGGTATGACACGTTTTTCAAGACATACGATTTTTCTACTGGACTTGCAGGCTTAAAATTACACTTAAAATCTGTTTACATAAAAAACCTGATAAAACTGGATTTTAAAAATAATAATCACACAAAAAACGGGAACTTATAGGAAAAAGCGAGAATTGAGTGACTTTTGAGTTTTGAAAGATTGAGTGATAACACACTTACGCAGCATCATGACCTGGGGTAACATCTTCCAAATCTTGAGATTGAGAGTCTTGAGTAACGGAGTCCTGTGAAGTCTCATCTTTGGGCTGAGGTACGCTCTCCGGTTTCTCTGCAGCAGATTCTTGAAGCTTACCCATTTCCATAAGTTCCCATTTGCTAGTTGTCATTGCTTCTGCTTCAGCTTGCTCTGGATCCACTGTTTCCCATCTGGATGGCACGAATGTTGCCGACTTCGTGGGGGCGTCCTCGTTGTCCAGTGGAACTCCATCAATGTCTTCATCATCCTCCACTGAGACGAAACAAAACATGATAAAATAAAGATACCGACTGAGAAGCTCAAAAACTTAATGCGCTCTTACATGAACATGAGCTAGAAGATAAATTTATTCTTAATCAGTTATTTTCCATGATTCTTCATGATGCTGTTATGAAAAATTTTGATAAGGCTGAGCTCACTAAGTACTTTTGTTTATGAAGTATCTGAGTGTTTTTTAAAAGTTCAAACTTTCCATGTTACAAAATGGACCAAAAAACCTGAATTTGTAAAAGAGATATGACTTAGCAATTTTTTCAAAACTTTTGCTAATTTTTCCGTAAAGGTCAAAACAAAATTGACGAATTTTTTCAGTAAAAATTCCCAACAATTTTTCGGTAAAAATAGAATTTGTGAGGGGCATTGTTGCAACACTTAAATGCAGTTTTGTTCCTTCATCTGAGAAATGATGAATTACCGTTTTTTGCGCAAACTATGTGCTACAAAACTACTAGTCTCATTCAACTTGAGAACAAGAATAAGTATTGGAAAATTCAAATTTCTTCCTTGTAAAATATCTGTGGTGTGAACAAACTTACTCGGTAAACCGTCTATGTCTGTATCTAGTGGGCGGCTGGAGGACGGTGGCAGATGATTTTTCATGGCTGATTTCAAAAGAGCTGCTCCATCAAGCGGAATACCATCTAGATCTTCTTCTCCAGGTTCATCAACGTCAGATAATGGAGCTCCATCCACATCTTCCAAGTGTTTCATGTCATCATCCATTGGGATCCCTCCAATTCCATCATCCGGCTGAAACACATTATGAGTTATAAAAACTAGAAAGTGAAAAGCCAAACAATCAAGGTATCAAGTTGCTAACGTAAATGAGGTAAACAGAGCGCTGAAGTAAACTAAAATTAAGAATTGAGATTTTAAATTTTAAAAATTAATGACTAGAAAAGAAATGAATGAATTTAAAAACAAATTACAATGATTCAAATAATAGATAAAATTACAAAAAATAAAATAATTAAGAAGAAGGAATGTTCCTCCATTTTTCCATTTTATAAGGGAAAAGGTTTTACAGACGGCCTAATGCAAAACACACAAGTGTGGGTAAAAGCTTGGTAGGAATGAACAAGAGAGATTCTCTATCCTATAAAAACTTTTCGATTGGATATTATGCTGAAAGTATACATTAAGGAACTATAGATTTGAAAATAATTAATTTTGACTCACAGTTGATGATGAACCTGTGAAGGTATTTTGACATTTGATCAGAAAGTCCCTAGAATAAATAGCCCAATCATCCCACGCTCTAAGAACACGCATAACTCGAGCCCGAAATCCTTCAGCTTTCAGTCGACTTTCAATAGCTTCATGAGTTGCACGCAAAAACCCAAAAATTTGCAACAGTCTTGACTCCAACCTGGTGATTGAACAAGAATGATAATAAGACAACATGATGTTGCAATGCATAAATGAAATTTAACAACAAAAAAGACTCGGAGCTAGATTGGGATGACAGCGAATTTTCAGAGAAAGACTTTCTGCTACGAGAACACTCTACACATCACTGTATGAAAAAAAAGAAAAAAATCTTGATTTCTTATAGATAGCAAGATTTAATGAGACAGTGTGGATATTTTCGACTGCTTTCCCTTTTTAATTTTGGGATGCAACTCTTGGAAAGAGAAACATAGTTGGGAATATGAACACACAAAATTGGAAAAGTACTTATAGTCATTAAAATGTTACCCTCTTCGGTAGAATGATGCATTTTGTATTTTGACACTGCAATTGTGTAAGATGTCGGAAACTAAATAAAAACGAGCAATCTGGAAAAAAGAAGAGGAATAAAATGTTAGTTTCTTTCATTTACAGATTTGATTGTTCATAAATTTTCATTGGAATATGAAACAGAGCAAGACAAGTTTACTGTAGAGAGCATGGAAGATGGATGGAGACAGACATGTTACAATACACCTTGCTCTTTTTATCATTTTTTTCAAACTAATGTGTGATATATCCTATTGATTCAGTAATATATCTCAGCAGATTTTGACTTTTTAGCGAAAAAAAGAATGATAGCCCCTGCATTAGAGCCACAAGAATTGTTCTCAACTGATTTGGAAAACCCAGAGAAATGAAAGCAGGATTCTTCTGGGGAAAAACCGTTGCACTTGATACAGTAGTCAACATCTGTATCAAATGCGACAGTTTTCTCTTAGAATCCTGATTTCATTTTTCTAAATTCTGCGAAATTTTTGGTTTGGAATGGTTTTTTGGGCTTATGCCTGGGAGCTAAACTGTGAAAATCATCTGAGATTTTTTACTTCATCAATGCGATAAATTGTACAACGGTGGGACAACACCAAGAACCCAGAACGAGTTACCTTAAAGTATTCAAAATCAATTCAACTCTCATGGCATACTGATAGGAATATTCTTCAGCTTTGATAACTTTAATTAACCTGTTCAGTCCCACATCTGAGTATTCTTGCGTGGCATGGAACGTCTTCCACAATATAAACCTGAATTTTCTCTGATTCAAACCTCGACATGTTTTTTTTAATATTGCTGCAATAATTCAGTTGACACGGGTATGTGATGCAATGTAACTTGAGCTGATTTTCAACAGAGAGTAGGTTGCTCTGTTTATAAAAAGAGATAAATCAATTACTCCTTCTCAATGCTGCAACCGCATTATCAAAGATGGCCACTGGCACCAAAAAAAATCTTGATTGTATTGTTTATTTTGGAAAATAATATGGTTTTCGAAACCTTTGGGTCACTCTGAAGTGAATGGAAATTGAAAACGGCCCCACATTTTTTAAAAAAAGAAAAGAAAAAAAAGAAAGAGTTTAGAAAAATGAGATATTTATTTAAGATCAACGATCCCAAAAATAAGCTCAGGGTGTATTCTGTGGCTACTCTGACCTACTGCTGAACACAAAAAAAATTACAGTTGAGCCATTTTGCATACATCTGAGATCATTCCTTCACAAAAAATATCTTCATAATAAATTTGCCTCACCTTTTTATGAAGAGCTGTGCTAACGTTCGAAAGTGATTCTGCTATACAATCACAGATCTCCTCGGCTGCATCAGCATGCTCAATGCAAAATACCATGACTTCAGCTATTTTCAGTTTGTCTGGCACCATTCCCCTTAATAAATCTTCTAATCTATCACGCTGTGTTGCGCTTAAACTACCCTTTGTTCGAGAATCTACTTCCTCTTCGATTAGTTCCTCAGGCATACCTTGCGTGTAAGGATGAATTGGTGGGGGCCGCCATATTGAGCCACCTAAAATAAAAGTACAAATTAACATGATGATAACTGGACAGTTAAGGTTTATGGAGCTAAAACCCGAAGAAAGAAAACTTGCATGGCTAGCCATCAAGGTAAGTTGAAAAGAACCTCAGTGGCTTGTCTCATAGAAAAGGATGAAAAGAATTGAAAACAATTATTGTGTTGGCTCCTAGAGGCTAGATACCATCAAAATTTACTCACAATGGTGAAGACAGTGGAATCATTCTAAAAATAGAAAGCGTTCTATAGAATACTTGAATTTTGGAAATACTAAACAAAACAGGACTGAAAGTAAATGCATGAGAAAACAAGACAGAGAAAAATCTGATTAGAAGTTTAAAAAAATCCAGTTTGAACATTACGTACTTTATGAACATCCTTTAAAAACATTTCAAACTTTCTAGTAATTTTAGCGGTGGTTTTACCACTGCTGAAATACCATTAACCAAAAGAGGTTCCCTGAATGCATTGGTTTTATTCACTGAGGGTATAAGTCTATGAAGTTCAGAATTAGAGTTTCACCTTTAAACATCCTGAATTCTTCAGTCCTCCATTCTCTTTGCTGATCTCCTTGTAGAAGAGAGAATAATTTCCACCTATAGTAAACATGGGCAGGACTTTGATTCTCAAACAAAAACCTAGGACAGAAAGACATTATTCAATTAGTGAACAATTGTTGGAGACGATCAAATCATCAAAATGATCACCATAAGAGAGGAGACCCCCCAAAAAAACCGAGGAACCTGCTATGATACCTACAAGAATCGGCAACAGTTTCAAGTTTTTTTGTCAGCAGAGGTAATTAGCAGCTGTGTAGAAAGTAATAAAACATCCTGCAACATTAAAAATTGGCCTAGCACCTCTACATAGCTTGTAGTTGCATATCCATTATCCAGGCAACGAACCTCCTAATTATGAACATTGCTGGGTCACAGCAAAATTCCGGGGGTTTTTTGGCCCTCCTCCTTTCCTGTATTGTACACATACGACCAAATTTTTGGGGAAGAACTTGATTCATACACAGCGTTAAGATTTTAGTTAATCTACTATGCAATAGAGCTTGATTCAAATGGTTCCTGCGTTGCACAAATATCTTATTCTGATCCTGATCCTACCTTGCTTCAGTAACTTGTTTGATCTGACAGCCTTAGTTTCCTCTGATAAATTTCATTCTTCCTACACTTCGATTTGATGACCAATTCAATTTTAAGTTATATTTTAGTATAGCTTCCAGAGACTAAAGGGTGCCCCTCTATTCCCTGTCTAAGAACATTTGATTTAAAAGTTTATCAAAAAATTTCGAATGGCGCTACTATGTGACAATGAAAACTCTGAAAATCCATTTACCTAAACATCGGGTTGGAAATTTCTTTGTTCATGACCATTGCTTCAAACATGGGTCCTTCTCTAATGACAAACTCAATCATCCGGTGTATCAACATCAATAACGACCTGCAAGAATAAAAATGAAAGAAACAGGTGATTAAATGCTGACCTTTTTTATCGTTGGTCAATTAGACACTTCACTAAATGAATTGGATCTATTTAGAGCTGAATGATGCAGCACTTTCAGTTTTACCAAAAATTTCAACAAGATGTCAGGTTGATATCACTTCAGCAAGATGTGGAAGCAGCGAAACCTAGATGTGCTGTACTGGATTAATAGGAGCAAACCATTAGACTGAAACTGCCTCTCCTGTTTGTAGAATTAGATGCATTAAAACAAAAGCAGTCTACCTACATTAGAATTTTTAAGGAAAGACATAAGAGTGGTAGTTCAGAACTGGTGGCATATATTGGATACTGAAGTACACAAGATTATCACCAACAGACTGTAACAATGAGCACTCAGAAACCATTCAAAACTCCATTGAAAGTCAGAGTCAGTTAGGGGTTTCTTAACTCCTCTACACATCACTCTTGATGGGCTTAGATCAATCTGATAACAGAATAATCTTAAGAATTTTCCGATCTACTCCTGGAGCTGGTTTGCTCTGATTTATGGTTCCAATTGCCGCTCTGTTCCCATAATTTCTCCAAGTACCATGGCATCAATTGAATCAGATAATGGGAGCTGTAAAGTGGAGCGTGTAAATTGGCAGATTTTGACAACATAAATCAAAAATCCCGCTATTAACCGAGGATTTTTGCACTCAACTCCAATATCAGACTAACCTGAGACTACCGACCTTGTCTAAATATAGAATTCCGGTGTGTAATAGAGCTCTAGTTTGGAGCTGCATCATTTAAAATAAGCCTATCTCCAATGCAATTTTAGTTTGAATTCTATATCTATTCTTGACAGTCTCATCTTTTTACGTCTCAACATTATATCATAATATTACTTGGAAAAGTGCTTGAGCATATGATTCCATAAGTAGGTCCGACTAAAGCTGCTTGAAAAAATTATTTTCTTAAAGGAAAGAGTGTATCCCTTGATTAACAAAAAATATTGTTACATAAAAATAAATGTGAAAAGTCATTCAATCATACATCGGATCTGATCTTATGCTAATTTCAAAGGAAAAATACATTGAAAAAATTTGACCGTGTATTTTTGGAGGGTAAATTACTGCAACAAGGTAACCTTACCTCTAAGAAGAAAAAATATGAGAATATACGTTACCTTTCTGTAGGAATAACTACTTTTACAATGGCTTGCGACAAGATCTGTAATAGAATAATCAGAATTTTTGGGTAAGTTAAAACAGCATTCTAATGATTGAAATTGTTACTAAGGACATAAGTCAATCGACTGATCTGTAGCACCCAGGAGATATAGCTAACTATGTAGATTTTATGCTGGTTAAATTGCAAAAAGAATTACATTAAGCTATTGGGATACAGTGCATTTTCAAATTAGTACTCTTAATTGAATGAAATAAAGTCTAAAAGAGAAGGCAGAAGATTGGCTTACCTTATCCAGTTTACGAGTCTCTTCTGGAGAGAGGTTATCATGAGGCCTAATGTGGGGGAGCTAAAGAACAAAAGAGAAAATGAATCAAACATTTCAGAAATTTCATTGAACAAGTTTTGTTCTATTTTTCCCATATAAATGTTAGAAATACTGCCTCTCAGGGCATTTCTGATCTAAATTCTCTTTTCTGATTAACCTTCAAATGGTTTGGAATTACAAAAGCATTAGAAGGCATCAAGAAAAACAGTCTTTTTCGTCAAGCAGTTGGTTTAATTTAAACAAAACTATTACTTGTTGGAAAACTAAAACCTTAAAACTTCACCATTTTTGGCTTATGTCAAAATGTAATAATTCAGAATTAGAAACTTGAAAAACTTAGATTTGAGAGAATTTGAAAATATATTTACTTCATTCAAAAGGGCTATATTTAGCACTAATTCCTAGAGAACTTACATGGTGCTTATCTCTAGGATGTGGTTGAGCATTGAAAGGCAGACCAGATGGAGGTGGAGGAATGGTCAACTCCAGGAGCTTCGGTGGTATGTAAATTGGATGAGAAGGAATCGGAACACCTTTTCCCCAACCTAGCTTCATTTCATATGACATTACATCTTTCCCTGAGGGAAAAAAAAATCTTAAAGTTAGAGCAGTTAGGACTAATTTCACACTAGAGTGTCTACAAAAACTGGCTGGCTAAAAATCAGACAGTGCTTTTTCAGTATCTTTATAGGACGAAATTCGAAAAATTTCGAAAATTTGAAATTCACGTTAAAAATGCAACAAAAATGACATAGCCACAAAATTTTATTGGTGGCCCTAATATTAAATTACTGCACAAGATTGATCTTGCAGGCAAATACTGCTCAAAGAATCAATACACACCGGATTGTATATGTACTTTCCCAGCTGCCTTAAAAAACATGCATTGTAAGAGGCAGAATATTCCGCACTTTCTTGTGGAATTCCCGTACTTCTTCAGTGCTTTTGGACCGCCCTGAAAAAATCAGTGCTATATCTGGAAATCTCAGGGCAGTAGACACCGTGGACACCTCAGATATGGAGACTGCATGACACTAAAGACCTCGATTGACTTTTACACTCATACATACTTTCCATGAAAAAACTTATGATTTATCCCTAGGAAAATTAAAGAACTTCTGAAAAATGGTTGTTTAGCTCTTATGAGACATATCTATGCTGGCCGAAGCAAGCATCATAGCAGTCTCATTTTTTTTAACTCTGGAAGGGCAAAAACAAATCTCTTAATTACAATTTTCTCATTTTTATTCGATATTTTGGAACTTGGAAGATTCTATACAACAGAAAACAGGCTGGTTTCAATGTGAGATCCATGCATTTTTTCCAAAAAACTGACCCGCAGCAAAACTTTGAAATAAGTTACCAAAAAGTTGCGTTGATCAATTTTTACACTTAAGAGAAAAAACCAGATAGCATTGCTGAGCAGGCCATTGATAGTCTATTAATATTAACCCACCAGCTCATTCTGCAACAGCACTTACGGCAAGAAAGTGACTCTCTTGAATTAAATTCTCAAATTGAACACATGACCATTGGTCCTCATTATTGAGCTGAAAAAATGGATTATTGAATTTACCATTCAAATTTCGGAGAGCTCTTTCCCCATCTTTCCTATTCATAAACGCAACAAAACCACAATTTCTACCACGAGCCTTTTCTTCGTCAGATCTTGGCCACATGATTTTAATACTAGCAAGGGGTCCATATTTCCCAAACACTTCCATCAATTGCTGTTCTGTGATCTGCAAAATTTTCAAAACAATAATTGACTGTAATAGAGTTTCTTGAAAATGACATGAAAAAAACAAATGGATTGCACAAGCCTCAAAACTATAAAGAGTCAACTGAGAAGTTATAGATCATGGCATTGAAGTATTTTTTTTCTAACTCTGATGAGTTGTTAATTGACCCTTTGCTCTGTTAGATTAACAGTACCTTTTATTGGATCAACCTTGGAGAAAAAAAAGAAGAAAAATCGGGTTTGAAAGCTATGGCTAACTGTTAAAATTTAACAAGAGGACTGTATGTTTTGAACTGAATATTTTTTTGCTACCACAATTTCATTCCTTTTTTCTTCCATACAAAAAAACCACTAATCAAGGCAGACCAACCAAGATGATGAAGAAAGGACAATTAGGAAATAACAATACGACACTTCAAAGCAGTTAGTAAAAGGGTTTAAGGAGTCGTTCATAAAATACGTAATGCTGTAGGGGGGGGGGGGGGGTGAGGAGAGCTTTATGCCATTTTGTTTTTACGTTTTAAAGATAGGGACCTACAACACAACAGCATAACCAAGAAAGGCAAGGGAGGGGGTCGAAAAATTCCAAATTTAGCATTGTGTATTTTATGAACAACTCCTTAAATCCCTAGAACTATGGGCAAATTACATTAAAAATGCCTGACACACAAAGTGTTGAATAGCTTCACTTTAGTTCACGGACTGTTCACAACCCTGAAAAATTTGAACGATGAGGATAAAGGTGAAAAGTAATATCAATAGGTACCATTAATGAATACAAGGAACTTACTTTTGGATTTAAATTTCCCAGGTATAAATTAGTTGTAGTCGGATCTCCGGGATCAAATGAACCTGATTTCACATCATCGGCCAGGAAAGCTAGAATGATATACAATGATTGAATGGTAAAATGAAATGGTACACAGTTGGAAGAATTTTGATGAGAATGTACAGTTTTAATCAATTTGCTTGCATTAATAAAAGTGTTTGTTTACCTATATGGACTTGGTTTAGTAGCTTTGTCATTTTGACATACCGATTAGCAATGGTCACAATAAATTACATACTTAATAACGATGGTTGAAACCAAAACGAACAAAAATAACCTCATAGCCAAATTCTGTGAGTAAATTTTATTAGTTCATTTAAATATTGTCATTAATGAGTCTTTAATCAATTAATGACTCATAGAATAGGAAAAATTTTGATTTCGAGACACATCTGGACGCATTTTACCACCATGCCGCAAAAAATTATAAAATTATGTGTTCCTAAACATTTGAACCATCAAAACTGCGATATGAAATTATGATGTAACTGTTTTGTCCAAACGAAATACATGGTAAGTTTGAAAAATCCAATTAGGGATTTAGATTTATTAAAAAATTAAATTTTTTCCTCATCTCGATTTGGTAATTCCGCTTTGGGTAAAATTACCCGGGTATTTTCTGCCTATTTCACAATTTTTCTGCATTAAATTTTGACTTCTTTAGAATTCTGAGGGAGTTTCTCTGAATTTTGCGAGTTTATAAAAGGTCCAATTTTCAAAAATAAAAATGGAGAAATACAATGCTTACCCGGTAATAATTTTGAGGGGTCCTCCATTGTTGATTTGAGAGCCCCTTTGTATTTATGTCTTTCTTCCCTTTCTTCTTGAATCCTAAAAAACGCAAAAATTAAAGGATTATACCAAGTTCCTTGAAAAACTCAAAATGCTAGATTTCCTCCTGTTCAAGCTGTTCTGAGTGAAATTTTGGTTAGAAAACATTACATGTGTTGTGGTGCTTAATTTCTTGCCATCTTCAGTGGTCCACTGCAGCCACTATACTTTTGTTTGGCATCTTAAATCAAACATTGGCCAACCTCAAAATGAAATTCTTTGGGTTATAATACCTCCTTACCAAAGGTCAAACTCAGTCCATACATGGCCATAGAATAATTTACCTTCAAACTCAATTTCTCAGCAACTTAATTTTAGCAAAGGAAAAAATTAACGTCTTCAGTGAATTCCTTGGGTCAAAATACTATGCGATACCAAATTTTATGAGAATCAGCCAATAACCACACATACTACGGACTCTACAACATGCAAACTTTTCAGGGATTGAATTTCTTGTCCTCTCAACATCGAGTCTCCTTGGTCTACTGGTAAAGAGCTGGATCAGAATTCTAACTCCAGACAGGGAACATGGGTTTCAACTCAAGCTTAGGGAGAGTCAATTTTACAGTAAACAACAAAGGTTACTCCATCTTCCGTAAAAGATGGGCCCATTTCCTTATGGACACATTTAGCAGTGACGTCCTCAGAAACCATACTGTTGTTCCGATATCTCGAAAGTTGAAACACGTCATAACAAATGAACATAACTTCTAAAATGAACAATGGAGATGTTGCATGTGTGAGGAATTTGCGATTTGACTGTTGATTCTTATGTAAAAGTTAGCAAGAAACACGATGGTGCCACTGGTTTTCTCTGAAATCATCTTCCAAGCTTAAAAAAAGCTCTCAAGTTGAGGCCAAAATGGAGGGGATATCCCACCCTACCCTGAGAGTTCATGTCTACATCAAGACAAACTCTCCGTGCAAAGATAGGGGGCAAATACATTGACAGGGCTGCCACTTCATTTAGGGACTCTAAAACTGAAAACACGGCAACCCTGCTAATGTATTTGCTCCCTATCTTTGCATGGAGAGTTTGTCTTGATGGAGACGTGGACTCTCAGGGTAGGGTGGGATATCCTTTCCATTTTGGCCTCAACTTGAGAGCTTTTTTTGAGCTTGGGGGTTGATTTCAGAGAAAACTAGTGGCACCATCGTGTTTCTCGCAAACTTTTACATAGGAATTAACAGTCAAATCGCAAATTCCTCACACATGCAACATTTCCATTGAGGAAAGAGTGCTAAAACTAGGCTAAAACCGAAAATTAATCTATGGAACTGTAAAATTATGAAAGGTAATCATTATCCAAAACGTTTGATGCCTGTTGCCTGCGGATTCCAATGTAATTTCATTCAAATATTCTTTTCGGAGGTTATGTTCCTTTGTTGGGGCACATTTCGACTTTCTAGGTGATGAAACTATATTGAGATGTGACGTCACACTAAATGCGTCTATTTCAAATGCAAACTTTAAACAATGTTAGTATCATACAGAGTACATTGTTAAATATGATACTTCCAGAGGGTCATTCCTCTAGCTGCTTTGCAGCATTTTTAAAATAGAATCTGTTGTAACAGAAGACTAATTCCATTAATTATACCTTTTCAGTTTTAGGATTTAATATGTTAATAGTTAGATCATTCATTTTTGGTCAATAATACTTGGGGAATAAATTTTTCTGAAGAAGATTGTTTAATATTCCTTTTTAACAGGAAAACTGAACAAAAATATAGATCAATATGTTAAAAAAAAAGCATGGTGCAATAAATCAAGGTTTTACCACCACTGCAAGTATAAGCCACTTACATTTTCAACTCCTCTTTGAAAAGCTCTAGATTACTTTTTTTCTTTTCACCATCTTTCCCTTTTTTCTTCTGCCGGTCATTTCTTTTGTCGCCAAGAAATTTTGCATACTCCTGGGCCTGTTCCGCTGAGGACATTGGAGTTTTCTCGAGTCGTGACTGAGGTTTGTACAACTTGCCTCTATCCCGTGCATCTTCCTCTGTCAAAAAACATTAAAAAAAAAAAAAAAAAAATTGAATGAACCATCCATCAACTAGGCCATTTCTTGCACTTCTAATGAGAAAGTAGTCATGGTAAAAGCAACTGAATTAAAACACTAGTCAGTTTAGCCCAAGAGGGATTTGCCAGAATATGGAGAATCGATAGACAAGTAACTAAAACCTTTTCAAAAGTTCTCATGAAAAAGAGGTGCTTGTTTTTCTGAGAATGTGAGAAACCTACTTGAAGGAAACTGCTCATCGTGCCAGCATAAGTTGTAAATATGATAGCATCAGCCCAACCAGAATACTGGACCTACGTTTTTGTTTAAATAGTTGAAAACGGATTGTAGGTTAGAAAAGCAACATGATTTTAAGATTCAGTAAATTACATATAAATAGAGTCAGGCTGATTGTGGTCAATCTCATTCTATTATGATTAATCAAAGACACCTTTTTGAAATTCATGGAAAACTTATCATACTTTGCATGCATTGTAAACAGATGGAAAGTTTGTGGAAAAAATAATAGAAGCAATGTTTTAATTTTTATTTTGCTTTTTGCTCCGTAAGTAGGATAGAAGGGAATTAAGAGCTGCACCTTCTTATTTCAGCAAAAAGAAAAAACAAATACTTTGGCAACATAAAATATCTGTTGTGATGAACTTCATCAAATCAGAAGGTTTCAAAAAAATTGTGGCAAAATTTTCAAAATGACACGGCTATTCCTATTCTTGAGGCAAAAAGCCGCTTTTTGGAAAATAATAGATGAGAGTATATGTTTTCTGTAGCCTACCATATTCAGCTACAAAGCTTTTAATACTTTGCTTTAGTAAAGTGTATGAATGCGTTATTTGCATTGCTGTTATTTCAAGCGCATCACTGATCACAAGACTTTAGGTTGTTTTCAAAATTAGGCAAAAAGCCACAGTCAAGAAGCTGTGCACTTTATTTCAATGAGGAAATTAGAAATGGTATCTTTCTTGTGAGGTTAATAGAGGGAAATCTATCGATATTTTTCCCATGGATGGAATAAATAATTCCTACAATACAAGTGGCTTTTTTACCTACCTACCGTAAGCTCATATGTTTTTCATTTGAAGTCTTTTGCCCCGATACATGGGGCAAAACCTGGAAAAGCATTATTCTTTTTAAAAAAAATCCTACAAACACTGAAGTTATTTGTACAAAGTAACAATCATCAGAAACTATGCCCGAGGGTTTATTTGAAGTATCTGTGGTCCCTCTTTTCTGTTGAAAAAAAATATTCAGTCTGGGACAAATGACATTTCACAAAATAAGTAGCTCTTTACCCCCATCTACATTGTGTATGGTTTCAAGATTTCTCTTTTATAAGCAATTCATAGGAAACTTACGTCTTTTGCCTGCATCATAGGTTCCAGCTTTGACCCAAACTTTACTTGTTTTAGACGGTTCCTCTTGAAAAGTTTCAACGAATTCTTGGAATGCCTGAAATTTTGATAAAGTCATAAACATTATAATAATAATTTTTAGTATTTGGATAAGATCATTGTATGAAGATGTGAAATATGCCAAAATTCGGAGTAACTGATGAAATCGAAAATAACTTCGATACCAAAAAATATGACATTCATTAACATCCTGAGAAAGGCTTTTTTTGACTGCTGCAGATTATTTATGTGGAATAAGCTACCACAGTCCCAGAGTTTTGGTAAAAATACTTACATACCTGTGATGAGGAATCATCCAGGCACATAGAGGGGTGTGGAAAGCCTTCCCTCATTTTCACTCAATATCATAATTGATACCTTTGAGGACAAAAAAAGGAAGGAAAAAAGTTCTTCCCAAAAACTCTGAATTTTCTTACCTTGAAAATTTTTTGAAAATGACAAACATAATGAACATCTGACAATCTTCCCCTTTTTTCCCCTCTCTCGCAGAGTTTCCCGATCCTAAACAACCTTTTTTTTTTTTAATTCATCAAATTATGTTACAACCACTTGTTTACAAGTGTAAATTAACTTTGTTTTACGATTATAATAACAACCAAATTAACTATTTTTAATTTTAATTTTTAACTTTTAACCTAAACAACTAGTCTGGTTTTTGTTGGGAAGTTTCTGTATATCTGGGCACATGCTCAATCAGTGCAGTGTTCGTAACTTAGGACCATTGATTTAATCATGACATTTAATCCTATTAATTAATTCAACGTTTAATCCGATATTGTCATAATGGACCACTAGACAAGGTCTCTGTTCCATGTTTCTAAATCAGAATTTCATGTAGAATATGATTCTCTCAACCAAAATTACTGAAATTAATTCCTAACTAAGATATTAACGTTTTTATTGTGCATTGGTTACAGGAAATTTATATTTCCCGGTCACAAGAAACATATTACTCTACGTGAGTCAAAACACGCCTTACAAGGGGTTCGGCAGACTTCTCAATCAAGCATTGTTCCTTTCCCACCCTTTATGGTTCAAAGTGAAAACAATATACTACAGCAGAGACAAAGCATCATGATTGAAGCTACAATATTTTCGTCTCGCAGAGACTGCCACAGTAACATTTAGTGTGCAATTTGACTCCTGGGGACCCTTGAGTTTCCATGAGCGGGAGGTTTGCATTCACGCATCAAGAAACATGGAATATCTTGGTTCGACGTTAGTTCCAGTAATTTTCGTTCCTTGAATCATGTTCTCTCACGTAATTGTGGTTGAGAGACATGTATCAGAATGCTTAATTTTATACCTTGTCTAGTAGTCCATATATGACAGGTCACTTTTATATGAGATATATGTATGCATGGATTCCAGACAAAGCAATTGGCTCCAGTTCACAACGTTCTACACACGAATATATCAATAGTACAATCAAAGTACATACGAAGTCTGCAGGTTTTAATAATTTTAAAGTACCTGCGCTGCAGCCTCCTCTTGCTCTTTTTTCCGTTGTTCTTCAATTTCACGTTTGCTTAGAGCCCGTTTTCCCATGGTTCCAATTGAAAATGCCTGCAACTTTTGCTCTGGTATTTTCTGCAAATAAAAGGAAAAGGAAAACTTGATTTAAGTCACCAACAATAAACATATTTGTGATGATTGTGAGAGATCAAAACTGAAGTTTCTTTTCGTGTTGCTGCTAATGACTCATAGACAGAATAAGTAGAAACCTGCGTATTTTTATGGCTATATATGGCTCATGGCATATAGTTTTTTTACTGCTGAACAGTTAACACAATTTAAATCCTTAATGGTTCAATACTGAGCAAAATGCACAGAAGTTCCATGCTAGCATTGGTTGAGGACAGCTTTTCAACTTCGTTGTATGATCTTCTTTTTCGTACCATGCTCATTAAATCACTAAACAATGCCATTAGTTCAAGTCTCAGACTACATCTATTATAATAAATAACACATTTATGTTTCCTCAAAGGAACAAAAAAAAAAAAACTTCTTTCCGACTTGAAAAAAATAATTAAAAAAATTTTGGGCTAAACAAGAAAAAATAGAGAGAAAAGCAGACCTTGCTAACATCTGGCCTCCAGTCATCTTGATTTCTATCTTTTGCACTGCGCTGAAAAAGAGAATCAAATTAAGGATTCGTTAGACTTCAGAATATCTCACAGAGATAAAAAACAGACAAGAACGATGCCACATTTTTTAATCAACACTGTGTTATCCCAAACACAATCAACTAACCTACATCTTGTAAATACTAAGTGGCTGATTGGACGTGTAATAAAAATACGATCAGCTTTTAAGCTTCCCTCCATTAACATTGAATTAACTGGTATACAATGAGAAGATGATCCACTTCCTACAAAGAACCTGTGGTAATTCAATTAATTCTAAGTAAATACATTGCACTATCTGGACTAATTTATTGGAGTTCTTGCATGTGTCTGGATTCGCAATTTAAATTCATGTGTATTCTACGGCTTTGTCTCCTGGGGACATTTCATGGGATTTGTACCAAGTTTGAATCGCAGGAATGAAACTTCTGGGCTTTTTGCCAATTAAAGAAAACAACAAAATTTCTTCTTCTACTCTATGAGTCCTTTTGAGACTCTTCAAGAACTCAACTTGGTAGTGCGATTGGTGTTGACTAGTGTGGACTAATCGTATGTTGAGACAAATGTCAATCTCTGATTACCTCCGAATCAGTACCACTCAACAGGTTAATGCATGCAGTCAAATGGCACCACTGATAATTGGTGACCTAAACAATACTTGACTTTCCTCTCCACATCCTATGAGTTCGCTCTAACTCAATATCTTTCCCTGGGACAAGTCCAACAAAACGTCCCGTGGGGGAAGGCCTAGCGTTAATTTTGTAGAGAAGATGATGGTATTCTCTGAAACCAACTCCAAAGCTAAAAAAGCCCTCGGAAGTCCGTGATCCAGAGGATCCCCCATGCTGCGTTGAGAGTCCACCAACTCTACACCCAGACGAACACTCCATGTATTCCAAAATTAGGTAAGTTATGATAGTAGAACTAAATTACACATGGGTAAGATTGATAGGGTACAATAACATGAAATCTCTTATCAATCTGTTTCAAACAGTTGGTGTTTCCAAGTGAGAATAACACACTGTCCGTCTCGGTCGGCGCACAAACCCTTAAATGACATTCATGGAGAGTAAATGTTGCACGTATGACTCTGGGGTGAGTGACAGGCTTCAAATAGGATCCGGTCCTTTCCATAAGGATTGCAAATAAGCGTTAAATACTGAAAGTAAGGCCAAAAATTGATTCTTGACTAACCTTCATTGTCGGGTGTACCGACCAAACTTTGAAAGAACAGGTCAAATTGTAGTGCTACCGGACTCAAAGAACTAAGAAATTTAAATAAGAGTGTTCAAAGTAATGATTAACGAATAAAATCAGTACAAGTAATAAATAAATAAGGATTTTTCAATTTAATTCTGAGACCGCAATTGAACTCCCTCATCTCGAAACACACCGCACTACATAAATAACGTAGTTGTTTACAGCAGGTAAAATGTGAATATGGAAGCCATATTATGACGAAAGGCAGTTTCAAATATCAAAAATGACTGGAACTTTGACCTGGGTGACGTCAGAGATGTAAACAAAAAAGAGTTTTCTCGCCTTCACTGCTTTCGGCATCGTTGTTGAATGTTGACCTAACCTCGGCCACTTTAGTTTTTACCGATCCCGAAATTTTGGTGATAATAGAGTATTAGAGCTTTTAAGATAAGAACTTCGCTGTTGTGCTAAGATATCGTAACTTTAAAGTATCCCACTCTCCTATACACAACAATTATGATACTTGAATGAAGTGGCATGACTTGCCAATCGACCATTCATTAGAATAAGCATCAGAGGTTTTGGAAGAGGTAAGTGATCAATTATGTAAAAGGTAAACCCCATGTGCTATCTTTTTGAATGCATTATTCATACCACTTAAGTAGACCTTTAGTTCGTAATTGGACCAACTATTTTGAACGAGGATTTAAATATTTTGGGAATGGATGCTTGTTAGCTTGAGACAACGTTTACCTGATACAAAATTTATCGCCTCATCCGAACAGCATCTAAAGTAGGTTGTTTTTTATGAACTCATCATCGTTCTCACCTTGTCGTTCAATGACTTTTCAATTTTTCTCATCCTTAATAACATACATGTATATTGCTCTGAAGGAAACATGTCACCCCTCACTTTACTTATTATCGGAGTTTGTACCTGACTTTGTAGCTTGACTCGCCAAAATATTTAATTTTTCTCTACTCACATGTCATGCGAGAGATGGAGATCCCCTACTGAGAGGGCTTAGTGTTGGTCAAAGAATGGGTTAAACGCCCCCCCCCAAAACTCTCGGCATTTTTCCTCACTGTATTATTATATATTTGATATATAATTGACACGTTTAATGGTTTCCTTCATAGAAATAATTATGTCAGATGGTTATTTTCCCACAAGAACCAATGCCTACATAGTTCTCAATATACCTTCCCAAAACCAAGCTCGCTTGACCGTGTCTTTCTCAGAAGGTAGCATACTTTTTTTGCCAAGCAACTTTGAAAAGCAAAACTTCCCAGAAAAGTTTTTGTTTTTAACTGCCGCTTTCCCCCGCCAAAAATAAGAAAAAAATCAACTGCTTCCTCACAAATAAAAGTTCATGATTCAATATTTTCTTGAGCTCTTGGGTAGAGTTCCTTCAGTTCCACGCCACGTATATACTGGGTGATCCAGACCACCCGTCCACTATCTATCCGGAGAACCACTGTAAATTGAGTTTTAAGGGCCAAGCCCGCCACAAAGGGTGGGGATATTGGGTCCATGGTATCGGGGCCGGGGCTTTGGACCCAGTATCTCCTTGTTTGTGGCGAGTCTGGCCCTCAAAACTCGATTTGGCCCCAGCTTGTTTTCGGCGTGAGGCAATCTTGTAGCTGATGAAGGAATATTGCAATAGATTTTTTTCCCTCAGCAAAAAATGAGAAATGAAGAGTAGGAAAATTTTGAGGCAGGCGGCGATTGCAACTGATAACTGCTCCAAAGAATCGTCTGGAGAAATACTGAACAAATTCTGCAAAGAAATAAGAAGACCATCTCATTCATAGTAAAAATATTTTGAGGAAACACAATTAGCTTGCTCTTTTATTTAGATTTTTCTCGCTCGGATTCTTTAAAATATTTTCAGCTATGGACCCATTTTGTTAAAAGACCCTCAACCTTGCTTGCTAAAAATATTTTTCATGAATCCAATAAATGCAACTTTTCAACATCGGTCCATTTTCCATTATTGTTCACCTACTAATTTTTTGCCTGTGATGGAATTTGCAGATTTTCTCCAAGATGATGAAATTTTGTCCCCCTAACGTTACTTTCTCGGAAATCTGGGTCAACCATGGAGTATCACAGTGTTTTATGGAAACAGTCTATGCCGGATTACTTGTTGGCTTTCTTTTCATTTTTGGAACTATTCAGCTGTTTTACTACAGGAAATACAGTACACCAGTTATGGTGTCATTTCCAGCCTCCAAACTTTTCCGCGTGCAGATTGCTATCACAGTACTACTTGCTGTAGTAACAATATCAAGATTTGTAGTCGAAGCAATTATCATAAACCATGGAATCATCTATGGGTACATGGTAAGCAACTCTCTTTGAATTAATGTCATTTCACCCACCTTTGTTATTTCTCTCTTTTTTCTTCATAGATATTAGAAACGCATCTCCTTTTTAGAATTTTTCAATGGTATACATACGCAAAATTGCACCCATTATTTTAGCCCTCTCTTGTTTTAAGTGGACAGTTTCACTCAGTCAAAGAGGCTGTCAAGATTACTTGACTTATTCCTACCTATGTAGTATGTAATTTGTTTGAAATATAATACAGAACCACATATCAGACTATGACATACTCTGACCACTTTAAGAATTTTTTTAATCAGTAAGTAAACTGAGCTGAATCAGCTCAAAGTATTAAAGTATTTTGTAAAGTTCCAAAGCAATCGGAAAAGGAAGGATTTTGTATGATTTATTTTTTCTCTCCCAATTCAATGCTGGTTTTCCCCTTTTAAACGAAACTGTTCAATGTTTCAGATATTCTCCACTGTTGGGCTGGTCTCTACAATTATCTTCTCTTTGATTTTAATTTTCAAAGAGCGACATTATCTACTCCCGTCAATTCCATCCTGTGGTCATGGCCTTGTGCTTTTAATATTTTGGTCGATCCTCTTCATAGGAGAAAACTTAACCTTTATAAACTTGGGACGTAGCGATTGGTGGTTCCAAATTAAAACGTGAGTCTTGTTTTTTCTTCCTTCTAAGCCTATTAAGTTCCAGATTTCATGAAAAATCCTAGGTTCTAAAAGAGAAATCTTACTCACCCCAACACTTCTCAACTTCTCAACAATTTTTCTACGTTTACTCTCTCCCCAAGTACCCGTGTTATATCTCTTGATTCCGAAACCTCTAACTTATAAAGATCCGAACTTAAGTTTAAAATACGAAAGTACAGCGTAAAAAGCACGGGTAGATCAGGATGAATTTGTAAACTGAGCCAAAATGTAAATGTGATTGTCCTTTGTAAATAGGACCTTTTTCTGTAAAAACTTAAGATTGAGTTATTCATATGAGAGTTTCGAGTAGAATGAAACGGACATTTTGGAACAATAACATCCTAAAATATCAAACCAAACTATTGCCACAGGGGTTTGAAGTTCACAGTTAAGAGAATGTACTTTTGAGAAAAAGCTGTTTGAAATCATAATCTCCCACATTTAATTTATAAAATTGCCGCCTGACCTGACTTGCTCTTAATTTGTATAAAAGTTAACCAAGATGCTGTCAGTTTATTCTTAAGGATAAAAGAAAGAGTTTTCTGTCGATGATTTGAAATCCAGTTTTTCAATCTAACTGGACAAAAACTCTTTTACTTTGTGTAAGTGGATCAAGGTCCCTATGGCCAGTCACAAATAGAGCTTCATTCAAACAAAAAAAGTTTTTAAAATTACAATGACTTTGCATAATTTTAGACAACTCAAATACCAGTTTCATCGTACTTTTGGACAAATTGATATTTTGGGTTTACTGCCTTCCTCCTTTACCAAATTCCTGCATGTGATCAATCTTTAAATCTTGACATTGTTGTTCTTAGTTTTTATACTACAGCTAGACTGTATACTCCGTTGATTCTGGATTCAAATTTTGTCAATCAGTGTTTTCATTAGATTCACTGTGATTTGTAATGAAGGCAGAGAGATACCAGGAGGGCAATAATTGTTAAATGAGTTGAACCTGGGAGAAATTAATGATCAAAGGTGCCGTAAAATCAGCATTCAAATATAATTTGGCAACTCTACTGAGCTAAACCAAAGAGCAATAAATCCATATTTTGCTGTAAGTCCACTATTTGCATAATATAATTCTACTTAATTTGAAAAGTAAGATACACTGTACGACGGAACCAAAATTGAATCATTTACGCTGATGATTGTGGAAAAGGTTGCAACCTTCCCTTAAGACTCCACCTATTAAACATACTGCATTTGCTGTACATTTACTGTAAGTTGGAAATCCTGCTTTTATTATGGACTGACAGTACAGCAGAACTGTAGCCAACATTTCAATTCACCCCAGCGCAGGTGTATCATACTAATTTTGTTGTGTATTTTGCAGAAAGGAGGATAAAATTGAAATGGCCCTCTTCGTTACACGCTACTTGCTCTGTTCTGTAATTTTTATCCTGGGGCTACGAGCACCTGGAATCATCACCTCACGAGAATATTTCAATTTAACCAATTCTGCAGCAGAAAACATGGAGGTGAGCAGGAGAATTTTATCCTTTCTTTTTTAAATTCTTATGAGCTTCCTCTAAAGGGTTCTCACCTATCCTCATTAAAAATTTCCTGTCTGGAAACTTAATGGTACCGGAATGTTTTGAGATAGATGGATGAAAATGTTTAGTCATGTATTTTTGTTGCTTTTAACTTCAGATGTAAAATTGGTTGTAGCAAACAGATGATAGTGAATTCCTCGCAGCTGATCCTATCCTGTCTTTCTTATGATCTTATTCTGCCATACTGAGGAAGAGTGCTGTATAAACATTCGAGAGGTGTCGAATTTTCATCGATAAAATGCTTATATTTGAAGAAAGCTATGAATATTTTTCCTTGAAATTTTCATGAACTTTAGGTGAAATTGCGAACAAAATCTAAAAAAATTGGAAGAAAAACATTTGTGATTAATATCAGGAAACTTGGCAACACCTGAGGGTTTACATGGCGTTTTTTCTCAGCATATGGCAGTATTATTAATCGGCAGTATTGATGATGTCCATCTAGTGTGAAAGAGAGGTGGGTGACAATATCATCTATTTGACACCCATTCACACCATTTCATATTTTTGCTAAAGCAGCCTTACCAGACCTTCAGTAGCATTTTTGTTCAATTTGTCAATTTACATAGTAAAGTAAAACATTCCAATTCTTGAAGACTATATTTATTTAAAAAATAAGAACTTTTAAAATTCATGGCACAAACAATCAAATTAATGAAAAAAGTAAAAATTTCAATGACATATTTTTAGAAAAATACTTAAGTCAAGTGAAACCACTAACCCATCTCATTTTGTTTCTTTTTTTTTTTTTGTCACCTCCTAGTCCGGTCCTAATGTTGAATCAAATCAGTCAACATGGCATAGTGGATGGAAAAAAATTAAAACACTGATGCCATTTCTGTGGCCGAGAAAAAGTATTTTTCTCCAACTGCGAGTACTTATATGTTTCACTCTCCTTGTAGGAGGGCGGCTAACAAATTTCTATGTTCCGAAAATGGGCCAAGAAATTGGTAAGTGATCTGCTTTCTTTAATCAATGAATATACGTCAATAAATTATAATACAACTAATAAATATCTTTTCGTCTTTTCAGTTATTTTTTTTTTTTAATCAATTTTGAGGCAAGCTCCTGAGTCCATCTAAGCCTGTAGCAGGATTTCTACATGTTTGTAAAACGGAGAATTGTGAGGAAATTTCATCAGGTTATAGAAATCAGGGAATGGTAAAGGAATATATGAAGAGGACTAGACTTTTGAAAATCTTGAAACTTGAAAAATTATTCGCACTGTTGACAAGCAAACAGTGAGCCAGTACGGTTTACTGTATCGTACCCCCAGGTTTCTGTCATTGGCTAAACGTTCATTTTCAGTCCCATGCATGCAAATTTTTGATGTGAAAAGTCAAAAATTTTTGATTTTTTTGTTCAGAGCAAATCTTGAAAAGTTGGAGTTTTTTTTTCTGCCAAATCTGTAGACACCCTGCAGCAGTCACAATTTTTAGGATCTGTAAATATTTTTTAGATGGCTATTTTAGAGTTTGCACTTTTTGCAAATTGTAAGGACACGAAAAAAAATCGAGGGGATATATCTTTTGCCTGTTTTTTTGAGGTGTCAAAGCCTAATTTTCCAGCTACAGATTGTGATGGTAGAGTTGAAGCTCTCTTTTTTGGCGATAGTTACAGGAGTAACTGTTGCTCAAAAGTATCATCTGCGTGAAGTTTATATGTATTGCCAGAATCAGCATCTCAGAGTAATTGCCACCTTCCAGTCAAAGTATCACAAGCGCCATTTGTACTCGAGCTTTTTGTTGCCAAACTTCCTAAACTCATCACACCTTTCAAAATAAAAATTAATGAACGGAATAACTTGAAAAGTTTACTAAATGTGTCTTTTGTCATCAAGATTAATCTTTGAAATTTTCATGAAAGTACCGTGGCCTTTCTGATACAAGGGCTTATCTCAATTTCCATGTGAGCCCTGTTTTACGTATAAAGCTATGCTTACTAGAGCTCATGCAGAAATCGATGTATGCCCTTACGTCTGAGGAACAATGGTATGTGTAAAAATTTTAAAGAAAAAATTTAAACATTATAGAGGTATCTGGCAAGGTAGCGTCTAATAATAAGCGTAAATGGTGCTTGTGATACTTTCGCTGGAAGTTGACAGAATATGGTAAAGCTTTTGTGAACGGAGAATTTTCTATTTTATTTCAGTGGATAGTATGACTGGAACCACAATGGTTTTTCCCTGGGAGCTTGTTGTTATTTACGCTGGCCTAAAACTGTTGCAAGGAGGAGGCACAGGTGGAACTGGGCTCCTCAACAATGTTCGATCTGTCTTGTGGGTCAGCGTTCAGCAATATAATACTCGAGAGCTCGAGGTAATCTTTTCTGCACTCTGTTTTTGAAATTTTAATTTTTCCCTTGAAATGGACCACTAGACAAGGTGCTAATTTAAGACTAATGATATACGTTTTGTCATCAGAATTTCATGTAGAACACAATTTGTACAACAAAAATTATCGAAAGTAACTCCTAAGCAAAGTATTCGCGTTGATTCTTCATGAATCCACATTCATGAATTCAAACTTCACGCTCAAAAAAAACTATGATCTACTTAAATTAAATTGCCACCAAATCTTTCCTAAACAGTTTTTGCAGTGTAAAAATATTGCAACCGCAATTTGTGTCAATCTTGACTCTTCGGCTCAGCTGTTGTACATTTTATAGACTTTGAACAACACAGAGCAGAAGAGAAACACTGCTTGATCAAGGAACCTGCCAAAATAGTTTTAGAGTGCGCTTTGTTTCATTTGGCGTAACAGTGGGCCAGTGGTCTGCATGTTGTCAACAGATCAGGAACCCTCCTTGCGCCTAATGGACGTCACACTTAAAATAAAAATAAGATCAAATATACGACCCAATATAGCTCAGTTATTTTGAATTGTTTTCTGCCAGTTCTTTTTTTTTACACCATGAACTTTGTTGTTTCAGGTGAGCTTATTCTCTCATTTACATGGTCTTTCACTCGGATGGCACTTGAGTCGTAAAACAGGCGAAGTTCTCAGGATAATGGACAGAGGAGCCAACAGTATAAACAACATTTTATCGTACATCCTGTTCAATCTTGTTCCGACTCTTGTTGACATTGTGGTCGCAATTGTCTACTTCATTGTGGCTTTTAATGTTTGGTATGGCCTCATTGTATTTACAACGATGTTCTTGTATCTAGGTAAGTTTCACAAGGAAGGAAATATCAATATGTTTTGTGATATCCTGAACCACAAGTATGGTACCATTGATAGTAGTTGAAGTTAAGTGAAAGAATAGTAAACAAGCACTATCAATGAATTTAGCTTCCGGCAGAGTCTCTGGTGACTACTTAGCAACGGCGTGATGCATTGCCTGATAATAATCTTATGAAAACGATCTTGTTCCTCTGTGAATGCGCTTAGTAACTAACACAGCCTCACGTGAAACACTAATTAACAATTTCGCTCATTTACCGTCAGAATTCATGTTTCTGGCTCTCTGGAATGTAAACAAAGATTCATAATGACGAATCGTGCTTGGATTCTTATTATCATTGTCTCTCACTCTTGTGGCCAGAGCAAGGAACATAAGACCTCATTCAAAATTGATTATTTTCAACCTCGGCCTGATCATCGAAATATTTTCTGAGTCTATAGAGGATCACTTTTCGAGTCTGAAACACTGACTATTTTTGAAATCAGACAATTGGGGGGGAGGGGTCAAAGTTAAAACTTTAAGCTTTCATATCTAGTGGAAAGTTTGTCATAGAAAGATGATTTTGGCCTCAAAATTTAGAGAATATCATAAGTAATTGGTTCATCTTGAAAATTTCATCCATTGTTGCCTGGTTGTCGTAGTTCTAATTTTCAGTTTTTCACATTTTTAGTTGTGGCATTGAGGGGATTGCACGAAAAAAAAAAAAAAATTGTAATGAAAGTAGACTGCTTAAGCTTTAAAAAGTTCAAAAAAACAAGTTTATCTTGGGAAAACTATTTAAAATTGACGCGGCATGCTGGGACCTAGTATGTTCCGAGTACCAAGATCACCCATGCCCCCAAACCGACCAAGGATTGCGAAATTTTGCATTTTTATACCTCTTTAAGTAATTTCTAAACAAATTCATTCGACCTTAACAACAAGATCAGGATAAATGAATGATAGGCAATGGATACAGGGTGTTCAAAGTTTTATTCAAGTTTCATCTCGTGCTAAATAATTATCAATTTAAGTATCACAATGCCTGTGACCATTACTGCTCTATTTAATTTTTTATCTTGAACATGTTTCTCACTTTATTTCAGTTGCAACTATTGGTATTACTGAATGGCGCACCAAATTTCAGAGAAGTATGAATTTAAAAGACAATGCAGTTAAAGCTCGAACTGCAGACTCCCTTCTAAATTTTGAAACTGTCAAGTATTATTGTGCCGAGGATTTTGAAGTCCAGGAGTATCGTCATTCAATTTTTGATTATCAGGTATATTTGTATTATTGTGCTTGTATTTTCAGAAAAGACATAATAGCAATAATCAATAAGAAGTAGGTACAGTGTATGTACAACTGTACTGTGGAGAAATGGGAATCAAGAGAAATGACAGGATCATGGTCCGATTGGTCAGCAATTGGTGATGTTTTGATTTCCTCTATTTCATCTTGAATTTTACCTGACGAAAAATGGATTTTTGCATTTTCTTTAAAAATAGGCTGGAAAGCTTATGTAAGGCTCAGCCCTACCCCTTCTCCCCTCTCCCCTCGTAAGGTTGTTAGAGACCCCTCTTCCCTTCTACATGCTTAACATAATTTATGGATGGCCCTAAAGAATACAATGGCGACTAGAATTCCCACTACTTGCAACTACTCCATGACTGCACCTTGCAAGTACAGACTTCAGTTCTAGATTCTGGAAAAACTCATATTTATCTTGTCTGCCGTTTTCAGAAGGAAGAGTGGAAGACACAGATGTCATTAGCTCTTCTGAATTTGTTTCAAAATACAGTAATCTGCATTGGGCTACTCATCGGAACACTTCTGTGTGTTCATCAAGTGACTATTGAGCGGACTTTAACCATCGGGGACTACTTTTTATTTACTACTTACATCTTTCAGTTGTATGTTCCCCTCAACTGGTTCGGCACTTTTTACAGGTAATATTACTTTATTTCTTAACATAAGTCAATTCAAAATTATATCACTCAAAAATTTGAAATTTTAAACACCTATTTCACCCTCATAATTCTGGCCAGCACCCACTTCCTCGGTTAAGCTCTAAGGGGAGGTGATTTTTGAGGAAAATTTATACTGCAAAAAAGTCTTTTTTTAATCCAATAAATTGCAGCATAACGTCTGTCAACCCTGACACACCCTGTATAACAGACAGACAGATAAAGTAAAAAATAACCAAAATATGATAACCATGCGAGGGGTCTTTCCAAAACACAATCGAAAAAACAATAGAACTAAAAAAGAATAGAATAAGGCCGCATTTCACATATTTTTATTGTAATTGTGATAATAGGCTACTGCCTGTAAAAAATTTAATACATAAATAGAAGAAGAAGAAAAATAAAACTGGAAAGAAAAGAAATATATGTAGAGAGGAAGAGTGGTAACACTGAAAAGTTGAAGTTTCTTTCTTAGTCCTTGTATGTTCTTCATGTTAACGTCGGTTTTTAAAAAGTCTTCACCGTCTATCTTGAGCCAGTGACTGATTATTTTGTCCACAATGGGCCTCTTAACAAAGTATGATTTGAAGCACTACGCAACATGTTTCCTTTTTAAAATTCCTTGAGAAAAACGAATCGCACAACAGGAAGTGCGGAAATTAACTCTTGAACGAGGCATGAGTGTTTACAATTAAAATTCCTTACATGACATAAATAATAATGAAGTCGTTTATATATTTAACTTCCATTTTATCCGCGTTGAAAAAGAGTTGTCAGCTTGTGCAATAAAATGAGGATTTTTTTACATGGGTTAAGTGGGAAAAAGTGCTGATCAGCACTATCTGGTAACAAGGGTTAATAATAATACCTGTTAACATCTCGTTTAGAAGTTGATTTTTGCACTTTGCGTTGTGTGAATCGTTTTCCATGTAAAATTTTGAAGAGAAAACAAATTACGCTCGCGTCCAGTTTAGACCGCCTCTAGTGGCATATTGTTTTCTTACTGATTCATCCGTATTTATGTAAGCAGCCATAATCTTAACTCATCAAAGAATGTGTGTATTGGCAATTTTTGTGAAATATATGTGCATACAAGAAGGAAAAATGTTTGATGAGCGCGCTGTTCTTTGATCGCAATATTTGATTCCTACTCTTGTAATTTTTAGGGCTATTCAGGGGAGCTTTATTGATATGGAGAATATGTTCGAGTTGATGGATGAAGCTCCAGATGTACTTGATGCTCCAGATGCTCCCCCTCTTGTCATTTCTAAAGGTCAGATCGACTTTCGGAATGTCTCTTTTTCATATCAACCAGAAAAAATGATTCTGAAGAACATTAATTTCACTGTACCCGGAGGGAAAACGGTAGCTCTGGTAAGTATTGCTCAACCAAGAATACTTGGTCAAGCAATCAGTCAGCTTAATTTTACATCTAATTTAGTAGACTAATCACTGAAACTGATAGACAAAGAGAAAATGGAACGATCCTTTAGGTGGAATCGGGTGGCTAAAAATATTAATGGAGGGAAGTAATAGACTGACTAATAACAACCCTTGAGAGGCCCCGTAGTTCCTCCATCATTTTTCCCCTTAGTCTATAACAATCACCTGTTTCAACTATTGTTCCATTTTCTCCATGTCTCCTTTGTCTATCACTTAGTCTCTCAATATTACTATTTGAAAGGAAATAAGGGGAATGAATTATTGCTTAAAATGTTTGTGAAACGTTCCCCCTATGAGAAGAAAAAAGCTTTAAATTTTTTTAAACTGTGCGCGGCAGCGGACCAGACAACACATGGCAACAATGCGAGTTTGGTCGAAAAGTGTGATTCGCAGAACTGAGTGGGAGGGGACTTTATCCGCCCGATCAATGCAGCGCGCGCAGTTTAAAATAGCCAATTTCCCCAACCTTCGCTCCTTTCTGCTCCTATAACTCTTGACCAAAACATTTCCCCAGTATGCGGTATAAAGCTAGAGGGGCTACAGAGAGTTAGGAACAACATATCAGTATTTCATCCAAATAAAAAAATGATTTTTTTTTAAATCGGCCCGGACGTGAAAAAAAGTAGGGTCTTCTTTTAGTGTTCCGCCGCTTTGGAGGCGATAACTCGAGCTGATGTCAACCAAACCCTATGATAATATACATTTTCTGAAAGCTCTCGTCACGCTGGAAACGCTCGTTTAAACTGCGTTTTTCAAAACTTCTCGGTTTTCGAGTGACAAATTCGCAAAAATGTTGCTGATTTTTAACTTTGACCTCCCGCTGCGTCTTCCCAAAATTTTTGGGGGGCTTGAAACTTTGGGAAAAGATGGGGTATTGTTTGATGAATGAATAGGGCAAGTCTCAAAGGTATCTGCCCCGAGCCTTAAATGGTCCGTTTTGCACGCACCCCTTTTCTTATGACATGAGATCGTTACAAAAGCGGTTCTTGCTCTGTATCATTTTATGTTTTACACCGAAGCAGTTTTTCACTGTTACGTTTCTGAGTAGGCAATTTTACTCCAAGCTCCTATCTCAGCAAATGGGATGCGAACATAGCATAAAAGTTCCTGCAGAGTGTGACATTTCACTTGAAAAGGGTTGGTTGCTACAATTGCGTTTTCCTAAATTTAATAATTTTACTTTCAGGTCGGACCAAGTGGAAGTGGGAAGAGTACTATAGTGCGTTTATTATTCCGATTTTATGATGCAAATTCAGGCGCAGTTTTAGTGGATGGTCAGAACATTAAAACAGTGTTACAGAAGTCGTTGCGAGAGGTGATTGGTGTTGTACCCCAAGACACTGTGCTGTTCAACAACTCCATAAAGTTTAATATCGCCTATGGCCGTATCTCAGCTACAGATTCAGAGATTGTAGCAGCAGCGCAAAATGCAGATATTCATGAAAAAATCTTAACTTTCCCCAAAGGTTTGTGACCCGATTTTCTGATTAAAATATTCTTACATTTAGTTAGATTTAAGCCCAGTAAGGGCCATTCAAAGCTCTGATTAATGCACAATGCTCCTCACGTTTGTAGGTATCAAAACCTGTTGGTCCCTGCAGACTTGAGGAGTCATTTTATGTATTTCTCCTGCGCCATTGTACACAAAAAAACTCTATTGCAGATTTGAATATAACTCATTTTCAATTCATCCATGAACTGTAATGAATATCTGAAATGAACACAAATTAAAGCATATCAGGAGAACTGCCATAGCTTTCAAATCACTTGCATTACGATAAAGTCAGCTTTACTCAAAAAATGATGTTTCACAAAGAAAGGTTGAAATTTTGAAATGCAAATTTTAAAAATCCCCCTCTCCCTTTTTACCTTTGCCCTGCAAGAGGACTAAAATGACTCCTTAAAGTGTGAGCCTCTTCAAGCAAGTTAGAATGTAAAAACAGGAGTTTAATATCTGCTTTTAAAAAGCGACAACTGAAAAAATGGATGTAAGGCGTAATACCATTTGCATGCCTATCTTGGTATCATTATTAATTCACAAAATTTGTTCCTGTGTTTTATTTTCAGGTTATGATACAGTAGTGGGAGAGCGAGGACTTAAATTAAGTGGAGGTGAAAAACAGAGAATTGCTATCGCAAGAACAATTCTTAAAGCCCCCTCAATTATCCTTCTGGACGAGGCCACAAGTTCACTTGACACACAGACTGAAAGGAATATACAGGTAAATTCTTCTCAACCTTATACGGCTTTGTGTTACTTATTCGTATCAATGCATTTTTTGGTTGTTATAAAAATTGAATTATTTATCTGTGGCATGATGTCTCAAATTTTTATCAGTGTTTTCTTTTTTGAAAAAATTAATGCGTCGAGTGCAGAAAGAATATCTCTTGGTTGCGGTGCTTTAGAATCTCCATTGCTAATTTATATTTTAGAGAGGAAATTATTGGGTGTATTTTCTTTAATTTTTAGTTTTCAATATTGTAAAACCATGAAGAAAATTCAGCAATGTTTTAACAAATTCCATGCATTTGCTGTAATTATAGTGGAGGAAACGTTAATGGAGATCCTTGGATACCACAATCAAAAAATTCCCTCTCTGCACCCAGCGCACCAATTATTATCAAAATTTTAAAATTTTGAGAAGAAAATTTCAGACCACCAGACTCAGACAGGACAGTTACTGCATAGGTTCTTGTCCCCCGGCATCCTAGACCCAAAATTAACTCATGCCCTAAAGGTTTAAGTATGTTTCTCAGAAAATGGATATGAACTAGGAAAAAAACCTCTCAAGTAGGGAAGGAACATTAGAATGTAGCTTATTTGTATGTCTTATGAATGAACGTTAGAACATTGCAACTTCCTGGTTTCTACTGTGGATGGAAAATCCAAGCCAAGCCAGATGATACTTAGAGGTTGTCTAAGCCATTTTTTTAAAAAAAAATTACAAAACTTTAATATCTACCATGAGGACTGCTTTATAACACTCTGCACCCTAATTGATTTGTCTTGTTTTGTCTATTTAGACAAATAATCATTTTTTCAATTATTATTTTAATTTTTTATTTTGTTTCACAGACTGCTTTGGCAAGAGTTTCTGCTAATAAAACAACTCTGATTGTTGCACATCGTTTATCAACAGTAATCAATGCTGATGAAATACTTGTTCTGAAAGAAGGAGAAATTGTTGAAAGAGGAAGGTTTGTGTGATTCTGTTTTTTTTTTTTTTTTTTTTTTTTTTTTTTTTTTTCACTGTGGTAAATACAGACCATGTAATGGACCAAGAAGTCTCTGTGGTGTTAACACTTTTGCTAAGATAACCATTTATAGGCAAATAGGTGGATTCTTCTCATTAGAATCAGTATTTGAAGTGGCTACCCTAGCATCTTACAGTATCCTAATTCTTTCTTTTAATGTAATGCAAGTACTTCTAATTTTTAAGGTTGGTCAGTAACTATCATTGCATCTATTTAAGAAGTCAGCTGTAGCGCCAGCAAATAATCCACACTCTGAGTTTTGTTTGCCGAGAAAAGAACTCGAGTGCATGGCAAAAAAATTCCTGCTAATTCTATGACTTTTCAGCAGTGTGAAATAGGAAAATCAGCGTGGGTCACCCATAAATATTTTGGTTCAATAGCCACCAGTACGCGTCCACTTCTGAAGTGAAAATTTCAATTTTAATGTAAAAAAAATATAGTAAACAGCAGTAGTAAGTTTTTTTTTTCTTTTAACACATGCATGGTCTAATTTTTTCAGACATGAAGAGTTGCTCAACCTGAATGGCCTGTATGCTTCAATGTGGAATGAACAACAAAAAAGTCAGAAGCAGTCAGATGCAGAAAACTCGGGCACATCCTTAGACTTTTCAGGAGACCTGGAAAAAAAATAACTCCAGCAGTATTAGTCAGGTGACATGAACTAGTCAATTTCCATAGGGGAGAGAATCCTTCTTTAATGGATGATCAAAGAAAAGGTTAATTTTTCGAAGAAGTTGTAGAAATTGTGGAAAGAAATCCTAACAGTCAACATAAAGAGGCCTGTCTCAATTGAAATAAAAGTGCTCAAATGAGAATAGGGAGGTTTACTGAGGACCTTAAATGTTGGCAAGCAATACATTTTGTTGCTCTGGGAGGAGTTGAGGATCAGTTTCAATAAAGCAATCATTCATTATATTATTACTGAGGAATACTTAGCAATAATTGTGCAAGCCTTTGCAGAAATGTCTTAAAGAAGACGCAAACAAGTGCTATCTATCTCTTTTGATACAAGTAATAAATTTTATTTAAGACTTAACTAATCTCTAACTGAGGGAATCGAGCAATAGTTAAACAGTACCAAAAAAATTTGTGCAAAGCTGGCTGCATGTCTTTCCACTGACCATCAAAACGATCAGTGCTTACTGATGATGGTCTTAGGTCTTGGACAACTCAACTCAACAGAAAGACATTCAGGCTTTAAGTTCAGTAAGAGTGGGGAAGAATACGGGTATATTGATAATTGATAGAGGGTTTTTGTAGAAAGTTAATGAAGAGTGTATCATTGATGAGTCGGTTGGTAAAAACAGTGATTCTGAAATTATAGTCTTCAAGGAGATGAGAGAGAAAACCAGTAGTTCAGACAACATTGGAACAAAAATGCAGAGAATAAGAGGGAAACCCATTAATTTTGAAAACATAGAAACAAAAATGCGGAGATCTCGTTTTTTTCATTTTCTAATCGTATCAAAAACACTCTCGTCGTGTTTTAGGCACCTCAGTATCTTAAAAGCAGTTCTTTCGAATTATCTCTAGAATTGCAGTGAGGACAGCTTATTCTCATTCAGTTTTCGTAAATTTTCTTCCATAGCATAAGTTAGACTTTCCTGCTTACAACAGACTTTTGCTCAATAATTCAAAAGAATTAATCAGTTCAAACAAGTTCCAGTTATAAGTTTTGTAAGTTGTTTTAAAATCATTACTGCCAAAATCTCTCTGTACAGCGTGGTCCAGACCTGTGGCACCATACCTTTTTTCCCAGGTTATTTTAGGGTGGACCAAGTCCAGGACTACAGGAGTGATCAGGGAATCTACCCCAAGGAATCCGAATTTCACAATCCTGGAGCTCTCCTGGTTCCCCTTGGGAGGTTTAGGGAGGGGTCAGTACTTCAAAAGTCTGGGTTCCCTTCAAAATTTTGAAATTATTTCATCGGAATCGGGAAAATTTTTTTTCATGGGTAATCAACCCCAAGGAATCCGAATTTGAGAGGGTTCTCTGGTGAGGCATATGGTAGGGTGCACCTTATTTTTGAGTTTTGCAAAATTCAAGTTGGTCCACCCCTAAAAAGTTCTTAAGTAGTCTCTAAATGAACCTCTTAAAGAGAAAAAATTGTAACCTGTGCCTCAAAAGGCCTACCTTTGAGGCACGGGTTGAAAGTGTTGTAAAATTTTTTTCTTTTAAGAGGTTCATGTAGAGACTACATAGAAACTTTTTTGGGGTAGAACAACTTGAATATAAAAATAAGGTACACCCTAGCATAGGTGGATACTGTACAACACACAGCCAGGGCAAAAGTCGTTCGGTTTGCTCTGGGTCCCCCTGGTATCTCTATCAGTTTTGTGATCAAAGTAAGTAAAGAGAATAAACAGAGAGGTGAAAATTGTTATTTTAGACAACTGTACAACCTTGAAATACATTGACTGTTGTCTTTAAGCATTTATGTTCTATTGCAGGTGACTTCAAATGTTGAATTAATTGTATTGGGTATTTCTGAAAAGCTGTGAAGTATTAGATACCGATCATTCAGAGTTAAACTATCTGCCTGTTTCGGAAAAAATATGTGATTTTTCAAGAAATGAGAACTTACGATATTACACTCACTTTACTAAGACAGAGATTAATGGGCTTACCTCACATTTGCCTCTGCAATCTGAAATTAACAACTATGATCAGGGAATTTTCTTAAAAATTGACACTTTTAATAATTCTTAAAGAAGAATCAACCCATGACAATTTTTAAATTTTGCAGAAATTTTTCCTAAATTTTCACTACTTTATACTTTCTAATTCAATTATCATAAAGAACAATATTAGATAATAATATGTACCAGATAATTTTTACCACCTCTGTAGAAATGTCAGCAAGCTTTAGCCATACTGCTATGCTAAAGGAAAAACGCTGTATGAGCATTCTAGATTTCCTCTTGGAAAATATTTTTGAAAAAAAAGTTATGAATATTTTTTCTTGAAATTTTTAGACACTTTAGATCAAATGACAAAGAAAATTCTCTGAAAAATTGGAAGACAAATATTAACAAATTTTTGTCAAAGGAAGTTTTGTAACGTCTGAATGGCTCATATGTTCTTCTTCCACAGCAAGGAGGCATAATATTAAGCAATTTTTACAGAGCAGACTTGAGCCAATTTATTGCGCTGAATTTTTTTGTCGAACAGGGTTTGTTTATTAAGCCCTCTTTGTTTTTTAACTATCTTTTTTGTTGAAATAGTTGTGTATTTTTTAAGTTAAAAATTAGAATAAAAGCTTTTTTAAGAGAAAACAAGGTGTTTATATGATCTTGTCCTTCATTGAAATCTTAGAAAAAGAGGGATGTGATTGTTAACGGATAAAGGGATATTCCATAACAAAAACTTAAAATTGAGTAATGGATACCAGAGCATTGGGGAACGTTCATAGAAAATTTTGAGACCAAAAGCATCATACTATGCTGAAGTTTGGGCACTAGGAAGTAGAAGAAAAAACAGCTCTCATTGGAATTTTTTTGTTACAAACAAACGGACAAGTTTTAAATTATCTATAAATGCATATTTAGAAAGTGATACTTTTGGATATTCAAATGGATGAATATATAAGTTAATCAGGTAAAAGGGAGGAAAAAAAAACAAAAGTAAACAGCAAGATATTTAATGAATCAAGCACAGTTGATAAAAACGACTGACTAGAGAGAAATTGAAAAGAAGAAGCTGCTTACTAGGCAAATCGTTCTTTACAAAAAAAATTTACAGAGAAAAAACAACAGAAAGGGATGACTAGATAATATTCAATTGTCATTTTGTGCATCATTTTATGGCATCACTAGGAATGACTGAATAAAATTTCAATCTTCAGAAATACACTTTTAAATTTAAAATTTTCCTTTGGAAAATACACTAAAAACCGACGGATATGTTAGTCCATAATGGCAGAGGGGTTTACCAATCAACAGGAAACCACTTCAAAAAATTGTGACTATGAGGATTTTGAAGACTTTAGAGTTACTATTTCATAGTTTTGTTACTGCATTACTTATGTTAAGTCAGAGGTTGCAAATCCTGCCTCCCGAATTCTTTCTATAAAAAAGCGTAGTTTTCAATGTAGAGACTTGAAAACAGTCTGCCCTCAAACGAAAAAAAATTGGGAAGATGAGAAGAAGCAAACTAATAGACGCTACAACTCGATGGCCGTGGCAAGTTGGTCTGCAAGCCAGCCAAATTTCATTACTTTTGCCTTATCTCCTCTTAGATTTCATGTTTTTCGCAGAAAACCAATGAATATTCAGCTTGAAAATGACTTTGAGTACATTTTTCATACTTTGGGGGAAATTTTCTGAAATCTATAAAATCAATAGAAAAACTTTTTTCTTATTTAGGGCAATTTTATTAAAAACACTGCTTTTTTCAGCAATTGCTGGGGATAATCCTATACGAAGGGGCTAGTTCAAAAGTTTTTTCAGAAAGCATTATTAGTGAAAAGAGTTAACTTTTCACACCAACAGAAATGAAACATTTTGGTGATTTCTTCTGGGGTCATGGGTTACATAGTAAGAAGCTCATCTACCTTCAAGCGTAGAGTCAATTCATTATTAACTGTGGATAATGAAGTGGAACTGTAGCTCCTCTTTAAAAAAATATCATTACAGCTGCATTTTAAACTGACTCTTGTATTGAGAAATAATTACATAGAAACTAAGTTGGTAGGAGACATTTAACAAAAAATTTCAAAAATGTATTTACACAAAGATTACGGACTTACAAATAAAATTTACTCTAGAAGTCTCCATAAAAGGAGAGAGATCAAGAATCCATTTGCCATTGAGAGACTGGACGAGTGTATCATGCCTTCCATGCAAGAACAACTTTTTTGAAAGGTACAAATACGCCACAATGTTCCTCACTGAAACAGAGAATTAATACAGAATATAAAAAATGAACTTTGTCGCAGTAAAAGTAGGGGATAGGTCAAATTATTTTCAGTATGGAAAGTACTTGTCTCGTGCATTGCATTCTGGTATGTGCTTTCTCCATGAATTTTAATCAGGTCTACAGGAGAAAAATTTTCTTTTACACATCAATAATAAATGATTTATAGCTGCTTCATCTATAGTTCAACAAACAATGAAAATTGCATAGCAGAATTATTTTTGAAACATTTAATTTCTTGTTCAAAAACCTATCGGTAGCATTCTTTCAAGATTTGTAGGGAAGGATGGTACTAACCATTCAAAATAGCGGTTATCTTGAATCGCTCCATTTGTTCCACTAGTGATTGGAAAGTCTAATTGGACACCAACCCATGTATCAGTCTTGCCTTTTATCGGACCAACATACTTCACTTTTCCATTGACTATTCTTCCTTCCTGGGTAATGACTTTTACTAGTTGATTTAATTTTAATTCGTATGGTGATTTAACGATAAAAGGTCGATGGTTTGTTCTCTTTGGACTGGCAACTGTGCAAAAAACAAAAAAACATACAGAGTCAAAATGGATACACACCAATCCAGTAAGAAAAATTAAGCATATTTAGAAGAATGACATCATCCACCAACAAAACACCATCTACAAGAAAGTCATTCATTTTTTCCTGCAATTAATTCAAAGTCTGGGAAAAATATAAGATATTTTTAAATTAGAATAAAAACTACCATGATATGTGAAGTCTTGCTGAAGAACGAAGTTTCAAACTTCTTTTCAATAATTTCAACTTGATATGAACTGACGTAGAGCTACACTTATCTGTATAAGTTATCATGTAACTAGTTCAAGAATTGAAAGGGGAAAGAGTCAAATGTGGGTACATACATCTGAAACGAGGTTCTGAGCAGCGGCGAAGAAAGGGGCATGGAGTCAGAGGGTCTGATCCTGTTGTAATTGCATCGATGGACTTCCTTAATGATTGTTCAGAATCATCAATCAATGATTCTGTTGATTCTCCGCCACTATCTGGCTCGCGCAGGTCTGGCATAGAAGTTCCAAACTTGCGCTCTGTAATGCAGACGAAAATTTTGAAAATCAGAGCAAACGTTTCCAAGTAATTTGTACTTGCAAGTAAAAACCTGCTTTAGAGAGAAAGCTGATTGTGATCTGGGATCAATATTTTTTTTGTCTTGATGCTTTGGTGAAAAATAAAGCTCTCTATATGCACCATATTTGGATCACATTTTGCAACGAGGAACTACAATATCTGGCTTGTTTTAGAAACAACATATGTGCCATTACTTTTCCTATGCAGATAGATATTTTTATGTATGAGCCAGAAATTTTAGTTCCTTATGGGAAAATGACGTCCATTGAATGCGGAGGCATACTAAAAAGGAGAGCATACTCAGATAATATAAATTATAGTGGTGAGTGTAATTAAAGACTCTGGTAAACAAAGGAATTGCTACCCCATACAGCATAGGAAAAACTTCTTGACCAAGCTCGTGAGGGAGCAATTGCCTCCAAAACTTCAGCCAAAAGAGCTGCTACATGACACAATTTGGGAGCCCTATTGGATACTTCTTAAGTAATCTCACAAAATCTTTGGGGACCTTTTTTGAATTTTTTCTCTCTGCTATAGCAAGAGGCTCCCCCCCCTCCATCTTCTTTTTCACAGGGCTTAGCCCCAGAAAAATTTGGAGCCAGTGCACCCCTGAGCTGCATCAAAGAGTAAGAGCATTACGTAAATTTAAGATTCCTTGTGATCATTAATTGGATTACATTTTGCAATAAGGAACCACTATTTCTGGCTCATTTTAGAAACAACATAAGTGCCATTGCTTTCCCTATGCAGATATGTGCTTTTACAGGAGAGCCAGAGAGAGCGGTTCTTTACTGCAAAATGTAATCAAAGTCTATCATACATCAATCAAAGGTGCTGATTCCGAGATAATTTTGAATGAGAGCGTACCCATGAAAGCTACTCTGTTCCTAGCTCTGGAGAAAGGTTTAGGCTTCCTTGTGTTATGATTGAGTGCTGATGCTGACCGCAAACATCGAGAAACAGGCTGACATGATGCCGAGAGCGACACGCTGCGGCAATGGACAGGTGATGACGGAACAGAACTCCATATCTGACGATTGTTCCATCCGGAGTCCAGTGACAAAGCTGTGGGCTGAAATGAATGTCGTCTATTGCGATTCCCTGCCAAGTCTAATGGTGAAGATGGGGACATGGACATTAATGAGCATTCACACTGTTCCCAACTTGAATGCTGGCTAGGCGACCAAGGGATTTGACTACCATACCCTGGCGACATGATGTAGTCTGTATTCTTCATGAATGAAAAAGCACGAGGATAATTCTTGCATAATGATGTTATCCCAAAGTCTTCTTGGATTTGGCACAGGTGATCGAAACTTTGTGAAAGTTCTGGAACCATGCTGGTAAAGTTAATATCTGAAAGGAGAATACGGCGCGCTTCTTGAGTTTTTTCACACAATTTAAGGGACTGCTTTCGAGGGGGAATGTTTTCTGGGGAGAGCGAAAACTTAGATGGGAGAGTGGTGAAATTGTGAGAAACTTTGTGATGAGCTAGGTAACTTTCAGACTTCCAATGCTGTGGGAGAGCACTTATTTCAGTTTGTGCTTCAGATTCGTTAGTTGGGTTGTTATTCTCGACAAGAATAGGACGAACATTCATAGCTGTGTCAACAAATTTTACAACTGAGCTTTGCGTGGGAAGCTTGTTGCCGTATGAATTTTTTCTTTGAGAGAGAGGACGATACAAAGAAAAAGAATGGGCTACAGTGTTCCTGCGAGCCGATTGATTTGGATGCTCACCATCATTGAGAACACCACATTTGGAAATATCCGTGTCTGCAAAAACAGATTGAGAGTGCTTGGATTGCCAGGCATCCGCCTCATTGATAGAGACCATATCTTCTTGTAATGTGCATAACTCTTTTGTATCATCAGTTGTAAAGATGAGCTCGATATCATCTACCTCTTCTGTTTCCTCAAGCCCTTGCATCACTTTTTCAGCCTCATTTTTGGAGACAAGTGCTTGAGACTCTTTCTCTTCTTCCATTGGATCTGTAACATTTACAATGTTCTGCACAGGTTTTTCTTCCATGACATTTTCTTTTTTCTCTTCACTAACTTGTTCCTGCGCTGATTCTCTGTTATCGCTGTTGGAGGATTCTGACTTTTGCGCTTCCATTAAACTTTTCGAGTTCCCTTCTTTAAAGTAAGGTGGAGGTTCAATTGGTTTCAAAATTACCGGTTTCTCCTGAAGAGCACTACTGCTTAAAGATGATAGTTTTTTACGGAGTGCTTGATTTTCGGCAGAGAGCTTTTCAATTGTCCCCAAGAAGTCGACTGAGGTGACATTTGCTTTGTTCGAAGAGGACTTTAGAGAATCTAATTCTATTTGATATCCTTCAAGGGCTTGCCGTAGTGAGACAACAGTTTGGTGCAGGACTTGAACAGTGTCTAGGGCTCGCATTTCAGCGAGACAAGTGCCCATATTAGAAGATAGCGCATGGCCGATGGATTTTAAGCAGCCGTAGATAGACCTGAAAAAAATTAGAACTATGTTGGTCACAATGACAAGGATAATAATGACATAACTTTATACACTAGGTAAAACAAATCACAAGCCTGAATGAATAATTGAAGTTTAGAGACTCTAGCCATACTATACCAATGAACACGTATGCTTCTGAAAAAAGTATGGACACATTTTTTAATTTCTGAACAGTTCTTGCTCCTCTTCGATTTGCCTTGATTTTATTTTGCTCTTTCTTACCCTCAGATTCATCTGCAAGAATTATGAGAAGGGCAAGTCAATAAAGACAATGGTCACAACAAAGCTATATGAATGCACCACCTACTCCCACACCTAAACCTACGACTACTCCTTGCAAAAAGGATGATCAAGGAATCATACAGCATCTTGTTGCATGTTGACAATTTGCAGTATCATAATAGTGTAGTAGTAGTGTATCATAGTAGTATCACAGTATGTACCTTTATTATCATCAGTAACACTATTTCTTGTCGGAGCTCTGCACAGCTATATTCGGTTATTTGGGTACATGCATTTATTACAATTATGGCCTTGGCAGTCAAGTTTATCAGTGATGTCTTACGGAACTGAATTGGAGGAGATGCACCTACAAGATAATTCATTACTTGTCATTACCGATTATCTCCTTGCTTGTGTTGGACTTGCCATTGATGAAATGGGCTGACATGGAGAGCGACTTGAAGAGACCGAACAGAAAATTTTGAGGTAAATTTACTTGCCTATTAATTTCTCGAGTTTCCTCAAGTTATACAACATGCAGGATGACACACGGATTAGAAAAAACAAACGGAGTTTTTCAAATAATTCTAAAAACATTCAGTGAAGAAGGTAGTGCCATCACTGATAACGTACATGATAACACAATCAATAATCAACAAACACCCACCCACGAGACAGATTATTGTGAAGTGAAGACGACGCAAGGCGCAACATTGGTAGCCAATCAGAGCTAACTATTTTATCAAAGGTCAAAATTCTTTCTCTGCTCCCGACTGACGTCAAGCTCACATTTCCTTGGTTCCTTCACGTCCCTTATAGTTCCCAGCTGACGTCTCTTTATGGCAGTCGAAATCAAAACTTGCACCTGCATTTTTTTTTCTCTCTGTGACGTTTACAAAGAGGTTGGAACAGGAAGGATTATTGCATTTTCAGCAGCTGAGCGTAATCATTATTCTACAATGTTCCATTAAAATCGTAATTTCTCGCCTAGTTTACCTCAATCTTTTCCAAATTATATCTCTGAAGGCTGTAAAGTGTTGGATAGTTGTGCATATCAAGTGGAAAGTGAAATGGATACGTGTTCTTCCCCAGAAAATCCAGATTCTCGTAAAAGGCCGCGCGACCCTGAAAGTGAGAATGGAGTTTCCAAACGATCCAACTACGGTGGAGGTCAGTCAGATTTTATTTTTGGCACTCGCTTTCTCATTATTGAGAAACTAGACGTTCATTGTCAAAACCGACATGATCTTCTATTCACAAGCCTCATAATTCAGCGATGTGAAAGTATTGGAAATTGGTCTACATTGATAAGAAGCTGTGATTTGATAACGCTCATTAAGTTCCCTGTAAAACAGCAATGAACTCAGGAAATGAAATTCATTGAAGTAGTCAATTTCATGAACTCAGGCATTCTGTCATGAAATCCTGTATGTAATCATCTTTAAAGTTCTTGTATTTGTTACCTCTGCGAGGAAGGACCAGCAAGAATTTTATTCATCCTGACTCCTCAGGTTCGCTACTTCAGGTGCTTCATCGCGGCTTATTAACGTCCATTTTCCAATTTCTTCACCTAACAAAAGTTTCAACTAATCTAAGAAGATTAAATTTCATTTCGTACTGAACTAACTTGTTTAAAGATAAGTTACCGATTTCTGAACTCAGTTGTGCCGGAAGACATCAATTCTTTTCAATGCATTCTCCCATCTTGCTATTCTTTTAGAGCAAGTCAGAGAATATTGCAAGATTTACCTAGGGATGAGAGGGATTTGTTGGTTCTTTTGCACTGTAGGGATAAATTTAGAAAAAAACACAGTAGCATGATAATGTTAAAGAAGTAAATGATTGAGTGCAGTAGCAAAGTGAGGTCTGAAAAAAGAAAAAAAAAACCCTTCAGTAGGGCTTTCTTTATCCCTGGAACGTGATGGATCTTTGCGGTTTGGGCCGGTTGAATCGGCCATACTGCGGCCTCAACCCACCTCGGAAGAGTGGTCCAAGCGTTCAACTGGAACGCATGGAACGTGCCAGTGGAACGGGATACAAAAGTGATGCGTTCCGTAGGGATCCTGTGTGGTTGGGATGAAAAAAAAGCCCTATTGTTGCCTACACATGTGCAATCATTGACAGGAATTGAATCACATCGTAAATTGTGCCAGGTAATTAGCTTGGACGAATGTTAGGAAACATCACACAGACTGGTGAAAGTAGAAAAATTGGTACAGTATCTCTATATCTGCCATTGAAAATATCTTACTAATTTCTACCACAATACCTAAAGAGGAACCACTTGATTTTTTTAGCCAAATTCTGTATGAGTTTTCTTGGACCTCAAAAATTTTTATGTTAAAATATTGAAAAGTATAGGCTGGTTTTTTATTGAGCAAATGAAAGAAGAGTGGATATTTTTTAACACTCCAAGGAAGATATTTCTTTTTCTAGTTTCACAATCAGTGCTCGAAACTCACTTTTGAGTTTCAGGAGCCATGTGGCGCATCAAGCTCGATTTTTAGGGGCCAAAGTGACTTTTTGCCTATATACCACAGCGCATTTAGTGAAAAGTTAGACGCAAGATGTTTTAGTTACAGAACTAGTAACTGTAACTTGGGGAAAATTTCGAAAAATCACCAAACAGAAAAATTAGCTTTTTTTTTGAAGGGGAGGGGCAATTTTTAGGGGCCACGTTGGAGCAGAGCCTTCTTTTTTTAGGCGCATTTGGCTTGTTGGCGCATGTGAGTTTCGAACACTGTTCACAATTGATGCAGGTCTCTGAAATGCACTACCACCCACATTTTTGTCAGCTTATAAAGCCCGCTCAAGGGAGCGTTAGATTTTCTTTTTAATATTTTGCTACTGCTATGCTTTCTTGGATATAATTCAGGAAACAAGACTGGACTAAAGTAAGGTGTGAAATTGTGTAGCAAATTTCGAGTAAAATGTATACTTATACTTATATTATTCTTTTATATCTTTAGGCAAAGAGTCACAATACCACTTAAAAATGTTAATACCCAGCCTAGCAGCCGGAGCGATAATTGGAAAAGAGGGGAAAACTATCGCTCAACTTCAGAAAGAAACTGGTGCTCGAGTGAAGATGTCAAAAGCGAATGATTATTACCCTGGTAAGTTTCGGATTATCCTACTAAATACCTCACTGTAGAGTCAAGTGTGAGTTTGGAAAACAACTCTTGATATTTAAGATTTTTTCAACACTTTTTTATGTAAATTTTACTTAAAAAATAGCGGAAAAGGGTTTCCTAATGCACACATTTTAACAGTTTTTAAAAGTCGTCTTTTTGAAATTTAAGATTTTTTACAAAGCTTTTTCAAGAGTCCTTGCTACTAGGCTAACTATAATAATCCAAAGCACACCAAGACACCATCAGCGGGCCGATTATTGAAACTGATAGACAAAGCGATAAACAAAGAAGACATAGGGAGTATAGAGCGATCCTATTGGTTGGCATGATTGGCTTTTTTAAACCAAGGAAGAAAATGATGGACTAATTGTCAGGTTTCTCGTGGGTTGCCGTTTATTAGTCCATTACCCACCTGCTATGTCCATCGCCACCACCCGCTTCCACCAATAGGATCCCTCCAAATCCCTTTTGTCGTCTTTATCTATAGCTTTGTCTATCAGTTTCAATAATCGCCCCGTGGGGCTGCAAAGATTTCTTAGCATCTCTGTTTTTCAAATAGACCTACCACTCCTAAAACCCCCTTTTTTCCCGAAACATCAAAGTGATGACCTTTTTCTCACTCTTTATTTGTAGCAATCGCTGGATCCCAATTTTGTGGAAAAGATACAATTTATTACCACTTCATGCCAGCCCTCCTATTTTTAAAATCTTTTTGGGATCTTCCCACTTTCCCACGCAAACAATTGCAATTTCGTAGTCGGTTATGTGTTCGAGAAGTTTCTGTACCCTTCGACACTTTATCAATAATTAATGTCATTGAAAGTGGCGAGTATGTGGCTGGGTCAATTGATGAATGATTAATCGGCTTACAATTAGTTGAACCGGGGATGTTCAAATGAGTCAACGTTCCTCCATCTCAACGCCTCAAATAATACCCCAAGCCAGTCACTGACACTGCCTTTATTCTTAACAAGGACTACAGTATTCATCATGCTCCTTACTATATGTATATTGGTAATTTTGCTAGTGTTTTACCTTCAATACATATGATAAGAATTTAAGACACTGTTATTGGTATTAATGATTTTTTAAATAATTGAATAACTGGACAAGAATTTTTCTAAGCACTATATGATGGTGTTTTAAATTTTTTAGTTGTTTGTCAACATGTAGAGACTTCATCAAGGTATTTTGTTGAAATAAATGTTAGCATTTATTTTAAGATTGCCTAAGTGGATAATACTAAATTTATTTCATTTCAGGGACATCTGAGAGAGTCTGCATTATCAGTGGAACAGCTGATGCAATTATGACTACTGTTATCTTCATCATGGAGACAATTCGAGAGAAACCTGAATTGGGTGGTGGCAAATTCGGCCTAGAATCAGAGCGCGAAAAACAGGTGAGAGCTGATATCTGAATTTTAGTCCGAAAGTTTGAAGTGGTTTAGACTTGGCAGTGTGTGGTTTTGGTCCATCCTGGAAATAAAACCGAATTGTGTTGTGATGCACAGTTGAAAGAGTGGCAATCGAGCAAAATCTCAAAGCCCAGGGTGATTTGTAATTAAATTGTTTTCTCTGAAACTAGCTTCTGAAATCAAAATCAACTTGAACATTACTTTTTCATCACTTCTATAACTTCTGAAATCTCAGGGAATCAAAGGATCTACCATCTGTTAGATCTTCTGCTCCTCCTCACTCTATTTTGCCTTTGTTCAAAGCTGGTTCATACAAAGTTTGAGCAATGCAGAACTCGATGTTTTTAAACATTTATCGGTGGAAATCCCCAAAATACTAAACAAAATATTTGAGCGCTCAGCAAAAGTCCATTCAGTAAGTGTGGTAAGGAGAAAACATATCAAAGTTTCATCAAATTCCTCCAGAAAAAAATGTTCATGAAGAGATTCTGTATGTACGCCAAGCATCGCCTTTATATCATCAATTGTTTCTCTTTTCAGCTGAAAGTTCTCGTACCAAACAGTACTGCTGGTATGATAATCGGGAAAGGTGGTGCCTACATTAAGCTTATCAAAGAAGAAACAGGTGCATATGTGCAGCTCTCTCAAAAGGCTAAAGAAGGAACTTTGCAAGAGAGGTGCATCACAATCAGTGGTGAGGCCCCATGTCTCTCAGTTTTATACTTTTAGATATCCCCCCCCCCCTAAGCAGCTGCATTCAGAATGTATAGGTTATTTAAAGAGCTGTATTCCAAGCAAGCAAATGATTTATCTCAATTTTTTTCTGCTCCATCAAACAGCTCAAGCCTCATTAAAATACAGGGTACCTACAGGTGCAGAATACCGTGTAAAAGTGCATCTTTAAAGCATGTTTAAATACAAAAAAGTAGCTAGAAGAATGGGTCAGTGGCCCCCAATTTTTTTTCCATTCATTTTCTGTACATAAATACTGAGTCAAATTAGCCTCTAAGAATTTTTCCAGGTGTTTTTTAGCAGTAAATGACTAATACACCCTGTTTTGCAAACGCCTTAAATGGTACCTATTTGAAAAGATATTTTTGGCGGGCGCTGATGATGTAGTCNGGGGGGGGGGGGGGGGGGGGATGGCGTTTGCTGATGACCTCGGCTGTGAAAAAGCTCTCAATATTTCTATGAACTTGACTTGCTTAATCGAGTGTGGCATCAGGATTCTTCAAACAAAACCTTGTTCATACCTTGTGAGGATAAAATGGAAGAACTTTGACGTGGTCAGCTTTATTTAAACTGTTTGAGCTGTGAGACTAGAGATGCAAAATTTCATGGACTTTCATGTCCACCTGACAAGCACCATCATTGGCGATAAGGCAGTTCTCGCCAGTATTGATGATTTTCTGGTACCTTTCTCCACAGTTTTTTTTTTTTTTTTCTGTCAGGCTTTACCTTCTCCTGTGTATTGCTTCGGAGCGTGCCTCTTCCAGGTCTGTAGTCTTTCAAGGCCTTCATTTATTTAAAAGTAATTCCAAGACATTACTCTCCGTTCAAAGTTAATTTTTTGAATGATTTTGTCCACAGGCGAAATAGATGCAAACAAGCGAGCCTTAGAATTAGTTCTAGCTAAAATAATGGAAGATCCTCAAAGCAGTTCGTGTTTGAATCTGAGTTATGCAGAAGTAAATGGACCTGTGGCCAACTTTAACCCAACTGGATCGCCGTATGCAAATCTCTCACCTACATCACCCAACTGTACATTATCATTGTTCATAATCATTATTCACTTTCACTATCTTTCTTATCTTTTGTGTACTTCGAAATCTTCATCTTTCCGTATTGTCTGAACAGTTAGATTATTTGCCTGTATACTCTAAGACGAATAAGGAAAAAGTTGCCATGGCTGTGATATCTTACTTCTTAAGGTGCCATCAGTGCGTTAAATCAGTTGCTGAAAAAAGGGGGCTGCCTGGAAAAGGAGGCAAGGGAACAAAAAAACAAAGCGGAGAATAAAGAGAAAATGAGATAAACAAGTGAAAAAAGAAAAGTATACAATTTGCATCCTACTAGAAATGAATTTGAGAGAGAACAAGATGAAAACTAACTTATCCACTCTGCTGTCATTAAGTGTTTTATTTTGGTAAAATCGCAAATGAGTTGCCAGACTTTAGTCTGACTGATCAATAAGCAATGCTTTAATTAAAATAATCCAACTGATGAACTCAGCATTTTTCTGAAGGTAACATCTACAGAAGTTGGATGCCAATGTCCACTGGTGCGGGTTAGGCTGTGTCTTATCCTATTCTTCATTTTTATGTTGGCAGCCATTCCTCTGGTACTTTTTCTGATTTTGTAAGGTTATGAAAGCAAAGTAGGATTCTGGGAAACTACTTTCATCATTCATTATGATTTCATATGCGTCTCCCATCTCTCCCCTAAATTCTGCCTTGGCCATCTGTGTCCTTTTATAACATATCAAACTTGCTGTGAAATCATTTTATGGACAAGACCGGAAAGATCTGTTCACCACTCACACAAGTACAAACATATATGCGTTTCCATAAGCTCAGAAATTCAAAATAATATGCTGACACCTAGGTTTTATGACGGGTATCAAATAATTATTCTACTGTCATTGTTAGTTCAATTATCGCACGGAAATGACTAATGGACCAGTAGACATGGCACGAATTTCAGCATTTTGATACATGTTTCATTACTAAAATTTCACGTAGAACACGATGCGCACAACGAAAATTACCGGAATCAACTCCTTACAAAGATATTTAATGATTCTTGATGCGTGAATTCAAACCACCCGCTCATGAAAACTCAATGCTCAACGTGACTCACATCGTGCTCAAAACGTTATCATGACAGTCTCTGCGGTATAAAAATCTGGCAACCTCAATCTTGATGCTTTGGCTCAGCGATAGCAAGTTGTTTATAGTTTGAACAACACATGGTGGGAAGTGAACATTGCTAGATCGAGAAGCTTGCTGAAATCATTGTAGTGCACGATTTGACTCACGTAGAGCTTTGAGTTTCTTATGAGTGGGCAGTTCAAATTCCTCGTAACCAATGTGAAATAAAAACGTTAATATCTTTGTTAGGAGTTGATTTTGGTAATTTTCGTTGCGCGAATCGTGTTTTATGTGAAATTCTGATCAAGAAACATGTATCAGAATGCTTAAATTCGTACCTTGTCTAGTGGTCCATTCGCAATTTTTTCTCTTGCTTCAAGTCCTTCAATCCTAATTCGAACATGCTTAAATAGCCTAGAAAGAGTACTGTCATCTTTGAGGAACTTTGCCTTTTTTCTGATCGAACTGCAAATTTAAGGCAGAAGCTCTTTTTTATTGAGCTCTTAGGGCCCAATGCAAACAAACAAGTTGGTGAGTTCCAAACGGGATTAGCATTTCCTAATATCCAACTTCTGAAATAAGTTTCAATTAAACTTGGATGGATATTTTTGACAAGAATTAGACGTCTCCTACGAGTATCATTCATTTTTCCCCCAACAATTCAAATTCTCACCTTGCCATCTGTTTACTTTGGGCCCTAAGAGTCCCAAGGGAAGTCCAAAACTGATGAACTAATTAAAAAGCGGCACCAACGCGGCTATCCTTTCGTCACATCGATCCTCAAAGCCTGCTGGCAAAGATGATAGTTTTTTTTCAAAAGAGGGGATGGGAAAAAAAGTTCGCAAAGAAGATCACAAATCGCGCACCCATAGTGCGACATTATTGATGTCACTCATTTAATGAGGAGCTTACTAAAGAGGTGGCATAAGGCAATACTCAGTTGGACGTATTTCTATCAAACGAAACTATGTGTGTTAGACATGAGCCCTGAGACCCATAAGAATATATGCATAACAGGGCTCTTGTCACAATGCACATAGTTCCGTTTGACAGAAACATGTCCAGTTGTTATGCTGCATATACCGGGTGTATGCGCAGTTCAGCATGTGCATATCCTCCACTTGCTCGTGGCTGCAAACGAAAGAACCTACGTGCTTTGCTAACACACATACTTCTTTGCTGCGAGTATGCTCCTTTATTAATGCCAGACAGGCCTCAGAGCTATTGGCAAATCGGCTATGCTATTGATGTACTACCTACCGTACTACTGCTACTGCCTGCATACAGATTTTTATCTGATTTTTTTAATCTTTTCCTTATCTTGATCCCTCATTCTGCCTCTGCTCTACTCACAAAATCTTCTTTTAATCTGAAAGTTAAAACTTTTTAAATTACGCACTGATTAATTATTACATTTATTACCCACTCCATCTAATAATCATGATAAGAAAGGCAGTCAAGGATGTCACATCACTGTTCTTCAGGGGGTTCAGAAAAAGCATCTTAATCTTTAAAGTCAAGACTTCTATTAAAATTTGAAATGGCAGGGGTGCAGAAAGTTCCTGAGTGCTGAATGCTTGCCGCAATCAGACGATTTCTGCCTCACAACAAACTTTTTGATTTGTCTCACTTCTTGAAAAGTGATGAACAAAGAGTCTTTTTAAAATTGTCGTACGACCATGCACTTCCCATGTTATTCGCAATCCAATCGATATTTGCCTCCAGGTAGCTGCAGTCCAACCTAAAATTCGCCTCAATTATTCCCAATGTTTTTTTCTTGCGTAATGCCCTAACAATCCTGTCTTCAATTTCCGTTTCGGCAAATATCGTGGCCTTTGAATTTGTAACATTTCGAGGTTGACGTCCCATTGTTCCTGTTACATAATTGATTACATAAATCTAGAAACATCGAGTTGAATGATGAATAATGACGGTTAAAAAAACAGTCTTCATAAATCAATTTCACCCCTACACAAAACTCACCAAGGGATTTAGTTTTCACCTTAATGATACGAAGGTTAGGGTTTTTTTCTTTTTTTTTAAGTTTTTTTTGTAGGCTATATATCCAAGGGATACTGCGATCCTAGAAGGGAGCTGAAAAAATGGAAAGTAATTTTAGTTATAACTGGAATGAGAGGGTAGAAGTGTAATAGTAGGTGTAGGAAGAAGGTTAGGTTAATAGGTGTTCATGGGTGTAACTGAGGCCATACTTTTGGAGGCTTACTGGCGCTTGAGGCTGACCCATTTTAAATAGCGGAAGGCTCATTTTAAATCTGTGGACAAAATTTGAAAATTGAAGATGAAATTGTGAAAATCTTCGCTGCATCTACAAGGTTGTCTGGATTAATTATTTTCACTTTTGTATTGACCGTGAGACTGGCCAGCCTGTGCAAGGGGCTAGGGCTGAGGTTGGCTTGTCACCGTGCAAGGCCTATGCTGAATCTGTAGACATAGACAACTTTAAGAATGAAGACTATCAGGGTTGCCGGCGATCTGGAAAACTGGGAAAGTCAGATAATCTGCGGCGACTGGGAAAAGTCAGAGAATTTTGCGAGGTGCGTTTAGCAGGAGTGAGTGTAATTTAAAGGGAAAATTCAACGTGAATGTCAGGGAATCCGAAAATTTTGGAGTTAGGGAAAAGCAAAAGGAGTTGGGGAAAGTCAGGGAATTTGATTATGGAGAAATTATGGCAACCCTAGAATATGTTTAAGGGGCTCTCCAACACAAGTTGGCCGTGCTAATTTTGTTAATTTTTATGTTACTTTTGTTTCAACATGCTGTACTGGTAATATGTATTATACATATAATCTGCAGCATTTATGAGCTTTATAGTTTATTGCTACATAGTCAGCTTTTTGGAACTTTCTGTACTCATCGTTCAAATTTTCTGGCTCATCTGATTCTCCTGATCAGCTGTGGTGTACCTACTCTCTGCCAAATTTTAAGGAAGACTATATTCTCATTCCTTTGGCAAAGTACATTATCAGCCCAAAAGTAAATTATGCAAACAAATTATGATGTGTTTAAAATTTGTCTTGTTTGTTCCTTTTATTATAGCAGGTATTTTCAATTGCTTTATTTGTTTCACAGCTACTGCTGTAATTGGCGGGGCATCAGGACTTAATCTAACATTGAATCTCAGTGGACCTGCAACTACAGGGCATGGCTTGAACGCAGCTGTTAGTGTTCAGTTGATTGAACAGATTAAAAATATGTTACGGGCGACCGGATATTCAGAACAAGCTACCTCGCAAATTTCTAGTGCCATGTCTACACTTGCAAGGTAATATTGTTTTCATTAAACTGTGTACCTGTTGTTGTTGATTCAGTTTGCCATGTCAAATGAGTTTACAGTATTTTAGGATCTCGCCAAAAGAGGGGCTATTAAAACCTTGGTTGTCCTAGCACTTCCAAGCAACTGAAGTAGGTATCACTTTAATTGAAAAAAGCGGCATTTGGACTATTGCTAAGTTCTAGCTATAAATGCAGAACTCCAGGCACAAACGAGCTTAAGTCTCTTGATGAGAAGGTGCCTTTCTTGCACCAACAACTAAACTCTAACAGTAGGAATGCATTTACAAAAAACTCATGACATAGTTCCCTAATTTTTAATTTTTTTTGTTGCAGGTATGGAATCTTGGGTTTAGGATTAGGATTAGGAAGTGCCCCAGTGGCACCCACTGGAAGTTTTTTTGATGTAGCACCGATGGATGCAACGCCTGCGCACACAGTAGGAGGTGTGTTTGGGGCAATCGGGACCGCCCCATCAAACCGAGGCTCCATAGACTTGGGCAAATGTCTTGATACATTCCGTGCAGCTTCAATCTCCCCCTCTATCTCAATCAACAACAATTCTTTCGGTTTAGGTCAAATTGAAGCTGCAAAAGACGTAAGGAAGGAGGAAATCACAGTTCCAGAACTAATTGTCGGTGCAATTTTGGGGCCTGGTGGCCGCTCGTTGGTTGAGATTCAACAACAAAGCGGTGCCACTATTCAAATCTCCAAGAAAGGTACTTATGCACCAGGCACACAAGACCGAGTAGTCAAAATTCAAGGCTCGCCGAGTGCCATTGCATCTGCCAGGTTTTTCATTAATTGTCGAATCAACGAAGAAGAAGCCAAACGCAACCGATATACTGTCATTCAGTAGTTAATTCTTCGTTCCACTCGTTTCAAAATGTGGTTACGTGTTACCATTTTCCATTTTTCCCTCCGTTTTTACTGGGATTTGAATAATTTATGTATTCGTTGGTTGTATTGTTAGATTTTTCTGTAATTAGCTCGTCCAACGCAGCACCGAAGGCACTCTTTGCATGACCGTACTATCTAAGGCAAATTACTTGCACTTTTACTTAGTTTTTCATCAAAGATGAAGAATTTTCCTCTCTCCTTGAAAAAGGAAAAAGGATTAGTAGTAAATATGACCAGCTGTCACAAATTTGACTGAATCTTAGTTTTAAATGTACCATTGACTTTTGCATTTCTCTGATGCCACTCAAATGTTCATGTATTGACCCTAAATTCAAAAACTTGGCAACAAACTTATGAGGATAGGTCCAGCACTATTTTCAATCTTGCATTGTGAAGTAGGAATCCCTGTAAGGTATTCTGCCTCTTTTCTTTTCCCCTGATGTATTCAAAGTGGAAAAAATTGCAAAGTTTGGAAGTTGAAAACTTAAGGGATTATTAGGTCTGGGCTCAAGAGCTTCTAAAGGCCTTGTCTACACGAGCACGGTTTGTGGAACTTCAGGGGAGCTTGTTCCATGAACTTATTGTAACTCAACTGTAACTTGGAACTAATTTGTCCAAACTGCACTCGTGTGGACAAGACCTAAATTTGTCATCACTCAATTGGACTCAAAGCAAGTGCCCTCAAATATGAAGTAGGTCATGTTTTTGTTTTTGGGGTTCAATAACTCATCAAGTATTCAGTAGACAGTGCGTGTTCTTGCTCTACACGGTGAACTTCCCCAAACTGATGAGAAATGTCCTCTCTTCTATGTGAAAAAAATAATCCTTGTCATTTTCACCCATTCATTAATGCCACTTCTGAGTAGGCAGAGAGTGCACTACGGCTGCATTGTGTTGTTATAACAGCGAGCTGTTGTCTAATGTGATAAAAACCAAAGCACTGATTCATTGGTGGTTTCACTCGAAGTGTTTTGGGATGAATGCATGTGATTTAAGATTTGTTTTATTTCAAGTTATTTACGAAAGTTGTTCGTAAAAGTTATAATGTTTACTGTTACTTTTAATTCATTTGTTGACACTCTATTTGATTAATGATTGTTTTTATTGTTATTTAATAGTCTCTAGCCTAATTGTACGATACTTCTAATTGATCTAGGAATATTAAGTTTAACAAGTCCTAACGTTCCTGTAGCCAGTTTTACTTCTTGGTTGTTTTTTGCTCATCAGGATCAGACTTAGAGTCTCTGTTAGATATATAGGGGTTTTATTAGGCTCTTGGTTTCTATGATACCTAAACTTCCCTCAGATTTTCAAAAAAATGAATGGACACGAGTTCCCATAATTTTTCCCAAGACTAGAGGAACCCTCAAGAAATTTGGTTCCACACCAATCAGTTTGCATCAGGTGAAACGTTTGAATTATTTTTCAAATCAATGCGTGAATTCTTCTTCGAAGCATCATGTCTCAGACATGACATTAGACCTCACCCAAAAATGCAAGGTAAGGGAAACAAAGGTATGCTCCTCCTATACAGACCACTCAAAATCGACAAAACGCTTGGTCAGGTTGGTTTAGTTTTAGTCTTGGCAGGAAATTTTCCCAGGGTCTTGGAAAAGAGGAGCAATAAAAATCAAATATTATAGAACTGGAATTCGCCCCAGAAGAAAAGAGGACCAATAAAACTTGAATATTGCAGAATTGGAACCCCGTTTTGAACTTCTTGCCAACACTGGAACAAAACGAACGCGACAGACAATGAGCGTCATACCGATTTCTTGTGCTTAATTATGAGAAGAGCAAACTTTCATCTCACTTACCTTGCCAAAAATGCATATCAAAGGTATAAAAGAAATTGGGATTCTTCCCATAATACAGATGAATTTCGAAGTGTGAAAGTAATCAATGAAAAATTGCACTGAAATACTATAAAATGTGTCAGTGTGAGAGGATGGACAAATTTAAAATTCATATTTCCTGTTAACAATTCAAACACTCTCTTTTCTGGCTGATCTCTTTATGAAGTTAGGTGGCACCTTTTTTGGCACAATTTTGTCTTGAGGTATCTCACCTGAAACTAACACGAGTGTTTTAAATGCCATTCAGATACGGCCAATTCACACAGATTAGTGTGACACGAGCTGACCTTCATGTCCTGGAGTAGTGAAGGTCCTGTTCTCAGAATCAAACCGGACTATTTTATTTGCTGTTTGTAAAGTTGGAACATTCTTTCACCGTCTTTCAGGTTTTGAGTTCTGGTATTTAATGTCCGCTCGGTTGTTTGGGATATCATAGAACTAGCTCCTGCTCTCAAAGCTGTGAAGGAGCTTACACTGCTGTTTCCATTTTTAATGTGATAGTTTATTTGTCAGACAGAAAAATGATTTCAGTTCTCATTTTGTGCCGATTGTGGCTTTAAGTGAAATCCCTTTTGTTCCATGGCGTTTTTTTATTTGTTTATTCATTATTTTATTTTTTTTTATGGCTCATATATGATATGCACGTTATTTAATTGCTTATTCTAATTGACTAAACTTGTCATCAGTCCAAACTCAAAGAGAACTTGTGCTCATTGGCAAATCACATGGAAATTTAAAATTTTCATAAGTTTAAAACTTTCAAAAAGTTCTTCACTCTGGTGATATTGGTGTTAAATTTCTCAAAGTGCCTACTGTATCTTTTGGGCTTCTTAAAACTTTAATTTTTAGGAGGATATTTCAAGGGTGAAAGAATGAAAAGGGAAAATAAAGTTATCATTGAATAGTATAAAACCAAGTCTGGACAAGTAGACTCCCAGATTAGATACCAGAGGCCGTGGCCAGTTAAGGTTTTGTACCAACTGATGTCACTGAAGTAAATGAAACAAGGAACTAAGATTTGAGATTACCAGTTAAACCCTTATACCTGCTAACTTCTATAATGAAATGCACTCTCACAGTTCTGGACGGCATTTATGATGAAACTACTAAACTATATATCTCGATTTGAGGCATTGCAAATCTCCCCTCACATTTAACCTATTTGAAAAAAAAAGCTTATTTCACATCAGTTTTTGCAGACAGAAAATTGTTTTAACAAAGACAACTCATAAGTTTGCTTGTTGTTATGAAGAATATTCTCCGAAAATTTTGCACAAAATTGTCGAGCAGTATTTGTTGGAAAAGTTAAATATAAGCAGAAATTTTTAACTCTGCACATGATTGAAATCTATGGTTTTGTAGTTTCGTCATTGATATGTTGTTCTTTCTCGCCCAATTTTTGATCCCATTTGCTGTATCCTTCTTAAATCCTTTAAAATTGGAAATTTCTTAGATTTTCACAAGATGATATCTTTAAATACAACCCACGTTAGCTGCTGAATCCAAACTGCGCGTAACCCCTAGTTCATCTCTATGGGGTAGACTAATTTTATACCGTCAAGTGAAGGATAGCTTTTATAATGTTTCGAAAAAAGTCAATAATGGATGGGGTAACTCTTGTCAAAATCGTATCTCTTGTAGATATGACCTTTCATAAGCTGGTCAATCATTGAAATTTCATGTTTGTCCATTGAGCTAGACTGAAGTGGAACAAAGCAATGGGATTGGTCGATGTTAGGAATCAAGATGGAGTTTCGAGAACTTATATGGAGAGATAGTTGAAAGATAGTCTCAGAGAAGTCGCCTTTCCCTCGCCAATTAGTCATGTTTTGCCCGACAACAAACAAGGAATTTCAACAACCAACCTATTGAACTTTTGAGCAGACAGAGATACATCATTCTCCGCAACCTATGTTTAAGGAGAAGTCTAAGAGTGATAATTTAAAAAAATTGTCTTTTCTATTATTATTAAACAAATTAGTTTACTCTTTGTGGCTGAAGATGAAGTTTATTTTACTTCTGCTAACAGTGTAATGAAAATTCTGAAAAACCTTGAAGATTGTAGTATCCCCCCTTTGATGTCATAGGTGAAATTCAAAGCTCGTTAGTGCTTTTAAATTGAAATTGAAGCTGTCCATTCAAGAGAAAGGAGTCATTGATTTTTATTTTTATGTTTAAAATTGTTATTAGACTAATGAACTCACTATGTTAATTTTTTTATTTCTCCTCCTAGTCTTTTCTCTAGAAGAATTGCTGGGAAGCCACTTTTTCTTTAAGTTTTTTATTTGTTGACTAATCTGATCCGCGTTTACATATTTTTTTTTCCTTGTCAGCTGCATATTTTGTTACTTATTCAATTACAAATTTGATTTTGTACAGTTCCATCTATCATCAAGTCTTTAAATGTAATTCATTGGCTGTTTTGTGACTCAATTTTTCTTTGCACTGTCGAAAGTTTGTATTTCTTGATTTAATTCAGGATTCAGCTAATTCGTGCTTCCTTCTTCATGGCATGAAGGACTAATTTCGTGAGTTCGAATCAGAGAGGTTATATTCACTGGTAAAAGAACATAATTTTTGTGAATTAGTGGAGTCGACCGATTTCTGTAGGCTTTGTCTGTAAGAGCTCTCATGCTATGAACTTACCCTCATTGAAATAGTTTGGCAAACTATTTTTATCTTAGTTGAAATTGGATCAATAAAAGAATAAGGTCGGTTATCCTTGTACTTACCTTTGTTGAAGTTCAGGAGCAGTCAAAAGATAATTCCTGCAAAGATAGGAGTTCCCCCACGGAGGCAAAACATTATTTAAGAGGTACCTACTCAAGTATAGAAGATGTAAACGACTCATGTGAAAGGTAGATCATACCTTGAAGTGATTCTTAACATTCGTTCTAGCAAAACTGGCCTTGTCACTCTGCTAAATTCTAGGTCTGCAATCAGCAATTATTTTTATAGTGCGATGAATATTGTCCGTCCCCTTCCAGGAGGAATATCACAAGCTAACGTGCTATATTAGAGAATTAATCCCTAAATGGCATTTATGATAGAAAATTATGATTTTTATGAAAAGGGTCATAGCGATACTTCCGTAACTCCGGAATAAAGAGAGTCTCGAAAATCAGAGGGAGATTTGCCCTCTGTTCTCATCAGTTAAATGATTACCCCGTCACCATGATTTACAAAATATTTAAACTAACCACCCCCTGTCTTCTTTGAATATCGTTTACTCGTTTTCTTTTAATCTCACAGCCATTGACAGGTAGATTTAACAGGAGAGGTGAGTGAAGGATCTGTCATTGTAGCCATTAGAAAATTAGGATGATGAAGCATGTGTTGTCAAACTCAAAATAAATGCATTTATCATCCTGTGAACTGCTATACTTTCTTCTTGTCTTATCGCAGAATGATTATTTGATACTCTCCAAGTAGAAATAGAAATAGTACCTAACCTCACCACTATCATAACAAGGGTTTGTTTTGTGATTATTTTTCTACGACACATCCTGCATGCAAAGTAATGCCAAAAAGTATCTCTCTGACAATTGGACCACGTTTTTTAGCAGAAAGGAACCAAGCCACATCAGCTGTTGCCAAATTTAGGTGGGTTTAAATTCTTAAAGTAGACGTTTGTGCGGATTCCATTGAAAATTTAAAGGAATTTGCCTCGTACCTTGCAGAAAATTCACTGAAATTTGCTCTGAAATCCGCCCAACCCTTTTCATGCCAAAAAATTAAATTTGGCAATAGCTGGTGTGGCTTGGTTCCTTTCTGCAGCCCTAATTTGAGTTCTAACAATTTCAAGGTTGTTTTTATGTATAACCCTTGTAGTATCCTTGTGTGTATCCTCCTGTGTAATATCCTTATAATGGCCCTATTTTGACATTTTTTTGACAAGTGTCCTTTTCTTTTTAGAAACATTTTATGAAGACATCTGAAATAGAACGAACAGGAATCGAAGATTTACCAATTTTCTGTAATAATTATTAATCGATAGGGATATTTTAAGAGCAGTTGTATCACGATTGAGTTTGTATGTGCAATGATAAGTGCCTCTAAGCTTATTGGGAGATGTTTTGGGGCAGACTCAAATTTTATGAATTATTAATTGTTGAAAAATCAAAACAAGAACAATTGTAAAGGATGTTTTTAGTATGGAATCCTTCTGAGTGCATACATCCTTAACATTGCTGCAGTGCCACTGAGAATTGAATGGAAGGTTCTCAGACTTGCAAAAAATTGGCACTCTCATCAGTTTCTCTCTCGATCCGCCATTGTTTTTATTGATTCAAAAGACTGCAAGGTCCTTGAAGTTTGTTAAATATAAAATAACGGCAATATTGCATTGGGAAGGTGGCAATGAGAAATGTAAGCTTGGTTTGCAAGAAAATTTTTTTTGATGAGGTTTCAAATTCGAGAAAAAAAATGGGGGAAAAAACAGTCTCCTATACCAGGCAAAATATGAGGGTACCAAAAAAAAAAATATTTCTTTTTTCTACCTTAAGAACTTCAGCATGAGGTACTCATGACAGATTCAAATGAGGTCTAGTTTTTACTGTCACGTCTAAGAGTACCGGGCCACCTTTAAGGGAGGAATTCTGAGTCGGCAAGAATCCTTTGAAAACTAAAATCAATTTTATCGAGTTTCAGAGGGCGAAATTTGAAATGATTAAGTTTTCTGTGCCTAGGATATGTTTCAAATTCACAGGATGAGAATAACGTCTTAGTACTTTAAAAACCTCTATTCCTCTCTCGGAAACTGGATACAGAAGCGTAAGGGAAGAAAAAACTGACACGTTGACTTGGTCAATTTTAAAACCTAGTAGAGGTGTCGTCAGCTAAGTTGATGGTTGTTTACTTTCGGTTTGCAGGCGTTTTGGCGTCACTACTTTCCACATGAAAACATCTGGCTCTCTCAGAAGCAAGAACATAAGCTTAGATAAGTTTTTTAATACTTTCAAACCTTGTAACACTTCAATTTTTAGCCACACAGAAATCACAACCACAAAAAAGTCGCAAATCATAACTGACGAGTAGTTTTTTTACAATACAATCATGAGACTGATGTTTTCAATGTGGATAGTAGCGAACGCCGCTTTGTTCAGATGCCCAAATTCGTCGTTGGCGCTTGCAAACCAAAAGTAAACAACCGTCAACTTAGCTGACGACACCTCTGGAAAAACAAAAAAGAACCAAAAATGCACTTTGTCACTGAAATAATCTACATATATTTACAAAATGGGTTCCATGGACCATGTCACTACTGCTATACATGACATACAAGAGACTGGAAGTGAAATAACTAAATAAGCTTAAATTATGCAGCAGACACCAATTAAATGCAGGTATCCTAGCGATGAAGTGAGCAAATCAATGGACTGAACAGCCGTAGTGTAGAATCTGACTCTAATAATCAAGCATTCTGCAAAGATCTGAATGATCCATACAATGTTGGACTGTAGATTTTTACTTGAACTAAATACTTATAACATGAAATATTCTTCCTAACATTTCTAGCAACCATACATTTATGACAAATCATCGTAAAATAATACTCCGTTTCATGCTGGATACAATGATTTGATGAATTACTTACAAAAATTCCAAGTTTACTCGCATTTGTATAAATTGTAGGATTGAAAAATGTAAAAAAAAAACTTACAATGGAATCTAAAAAGAAAAATAAAGCAATGATTGAAACATTAATATCTGACGAGGAAATGTAAAACATCCGGCAAATGTATTTGGTCTCAAATTACAGAACCTTCCCAGCACAACAGGGAGTTAGTAAATTTTCTTAACCTTAGCTTGGGTACCATTTATCAAGTGTCCTTTACACCTAAACACTCATGTCAATCACAGAGCGAAAGCCCCGAATTTCTGGCATCTGGGGTAGGTAGAAGATTTGGTCCCTTGCCTGATGGTGTGAAATTCCTAATACTGCTCACTTATAACTTGGTTCACATTACTAATTAAAACAAAAACCATTATAACCCTTCAACTGCTCCCATGGTAAAGGACGAAATAAATGAAAAAATATTACAGAAGGCTCAATACTATGGGTGTAAGATTTGACGAACAGTCACAGAGGGCAGGTAAAGTGGAAAACAAAGGGATTAGAAGTTAGGTGTATCCACGTTCAGATGAAATGGACTTATGAATGAGATTTATACTATTCTTTCAGGTATTTCAGCTCAGCAGGTAGAGCTCAGAACACATATGAGGCTGTAATCAAGAGGACCACTCCCAAGAAAAGTTACTTTTGCAGCACATGAATTCCGTTCTTCAATACTCTCAAAAAAGTGTAAAGCACCAAGATGGCTTCACTTCTACCCCAAGCTCTTGGACACAAATGCTCCTTTTACAATTACATCTGCTTGTATAAATATTCGAATCTCTGGTGGAAAAATAGCAACATGACACATACACCAACAAAATTAGTCGTTAAGCATGACCGACTTTGAAATGGTCTTCCATTGAGAACATGGTTAATTGCTGTGGTACAGAAATACGTCGGCCGTTGTGCCGTCACTTCCCTCTTTACCATTATACTGGCCGGGCATCTAACTTAGCAGGTTTTCAGAAACTTGGGGAAACATCCTATTTAGAGATCCCTGGTGGAGACTGAGGTAGTTCTTAAAGGATTAAGTAGCAGCTTATCTAAGTACTTTTCTCACCTTGAGGCCAATTTTACTGGCCTGAACCTGACAACCCGGTGATGTAGCTCACACAGCTTCCATTTCAATGACAATGTTTTGTCTTTTTTACATTAGTTCGATTTCGATGAGACCAAGTTTAAGAAGTCAATGTCTCTGCAATCTTGTTGATCTACGTTGCTCTATCCCCTAACTAATTTCTGCTTTGTGTGATACAAAAGGAAAGTTCAAATTTTTCCTTTGAAGTCAAAGTAGTCTTGTTAAAATGTCAGATGGACGGAATTGGTGGTTAAGTGCTCCTGAATGCTGATTTTCTGGTGATGAGTCAAGATGAAGTAAGCAATGGGGCAGGGTGTCTACAGTTCTAAAAAAGCATGAAAAACCGGGCATTTTCGGGGAATTTCATGTGAAGTACTGGAAATTTTTTCTTCACATGGTTAAAGTTTATTTTATTAAGAAATTTTATAACCTTTTACATTTGCTCCTGTTTTTCTTTTTATTTTAGGCAAAAATTGAACTTGGTTTTTATTGATTTACTCCTTATTCTCTAAGCTCTAATTAAAATGTTACAACTCAAAGAAAACGCTTTAAGTATACTTGGGTCAAGTTCGACTTGAAGATGTGTAAACATGCCTCTAATTGGTTGGCGGAGCACTTGAAGTTCAGTTGTAAGCTACCTAACTATAACACACAGTTTTTTGTGTGTGATCATCAGCACTGCCGAAACTATCGAACTGAGCCTCAGTGATCTGAATTACACTCAGAATAGTGAGCACAAGCATAAGTTTCAATAAGGAGTTGCAATCTTTGTTTAACGAATCACTAATTACTGAAAGAAAGGTTCACATCTTCCTGTCATTTGCGGTGAAATAAATGCCAAAAATTTTTCATTTTCAGTTCTATGCTTACAAATCTTCTATGTAAAAAGGCTGAAAATTTTGAACATTTTAGTGGGGGAAGAATTGAACAATCCACAGAATCCCCCCCCCCTCCCGAATCTGTAGACATCCTGCATGGATTAGCAGTCAGAAATTGAAAAATGGAAGAAGAATTCTAATTTGACGACATTCAGCTTTCATATTTTCTTATTTTCTCACAATACTCTGTCAGCATTACTTGAACGTATTTAAATCAAAGGAGACTATCTCCATAGTCACATGGACCTAAACATTCATGTAATTTTAAGGGGCCGAGGGCTAAAGTCACCATGGAGCTGGTTCCTTTTAATTTAAGTACATCCATTTATAGCCCCCACATTTGATTTTCTGAGGACATAACTTTGTGTCTTCCCAGACTATGCACATCAAGCATTCATGAGTATCTGAGACTGAAGAAAAGATGTAGTATTTGTTCTCCTGTGTACTTCGCCCTCCAATAAAAATAAGATTGGTCCATAAAAATGTATCCGTAGCAAATGTGGAATGTTTATCAAGTAGACCAAATCTACAATCAGACGGACTCTTGACTCCTCTTCGTAAATACTTTTTAAAAACTTTAGCCACTATTGTTTTGTAGAGGGAAAATTAGAAGATGGCACCATTGAGTTAAGGTTGCAGTTTGTACATTCTAAATTTAGTTTTCAAAATTTCCCATCAGTGGATTGAAATCCAAGGCACAAAAAGCTGAAAAATCTCATGACAGCAGGTGAAGTTCAATCACATATACTGGTCCAGCCAGTTGTAAATTATTATTTTTTAAAACGAATTAGATCAGGCTTCTTTTTGAGAAATACCGACTGACACAAAACCAACACAAATAGTAATGTATATTAGTACACATACCAGGAGTTACTTTGCGGCATGGGACTAAGTTCTCTCACTGTTTTCTGAGAATTTTGTAGGATTTTGAAAGACTCCATCAAGTCTTGCAAATATTTGGTAAAATCTCATTAAGTTTGAAGGGACCAGCCAATCATTTTCGGACATTGATGTATGGAAAGTTGTTATTGATGTTGGATTGCTCTCATAGATCTCACTTCATCGAGAAATTTCAAGCTGCAAACACAAATTTCTACAAAACTATGAATCAGGTTCAACTTCTTCTATTAAATGCGATCATGTCATATTAATTATCTTTTCTCCTGTTTGACATAAAATTAGTTCAATTGAGGATGAAAATTTGTCTTCAAGGTTTCAGCAATTGATTAAGAGTATCCTTCTGTTATTTTCTTCATCACAGAATCTGATATTCCAATCAATTTTTTCTACAGAAAAAAAAGAGCCCAAATATTCCCACTCAGGAGATCGTATTTGAATGAACAGAGGAAATGTCTTAATTACAGTAAAACTGAATTGTTCCGCAAAATCATTTTATTTTGCAAAAGCTGAAGTTTTCTATTCATGCCTGTATGGTCCATAATACACAAAAAGTAGATAAAGATTCACTTGGAGAAGAGTAAGATGTAATTAGGAGGGTAAAAAAACCCGACAACTGGAAATTAACCCATCACTTTCTTGGCTAACAATTAAATTTTAAAATTCAATAAATTACATAATTTAAAATACAGAAAATTAAGTTCCTGCTTCATCAGCATTAAAATGAAGCATAACCTTCAAAACCTAATCTAAATATCAAAAGTTCGTTCCGCCCTCATGAAAAAAAGCTTCAAATTCAACAAGAAACTTCTATTCCTTCCTCTCTACAGCCACATGGTGGTCCAGGTGGGATACAGCAACAATAAAAATTAAGAGAAAACTCTAAAGATAAAAACAGAGAGGGGATTTAAAATTCCAATGCTGTACTTTATTAGTAGTTGAGGTAAACTTTGAACTATTTTAATGACACTGAGGGTGTAGGGTCAATTAAACTTGCAAAGTGACACACTGTTTAGTTGCAGTTTGCGGTCATGAAAAAGTACTGTTGGAAAGCCTTATTTTTCAGAAAAAGGTGCAGTACAATTAAGTTTTAAAATTATTCAAATACATCTTTTGGAAAATTTCCTAATCTTGTATTATAAAATTACCTAGTCATGTTTCCAAATTTTCGGACAGTGACCATTGGTTTACCCTTTGTAAGTCAATTCAGAGCCCTTCATCAGAGATTATGATTGTCCTTACACGTACATAGTGATTTTAGAGATGTTGAGCTGAGGCTGTAACTTCCTTAGAACTCGCGTCAGGTAGGTTGGCAGTTGTTTACTTCTGACTGTCACACATATTAGACAAATTAAGCAATATCCCCTCAGAGGAAGGTATTGGTATTCAGTATCGGCGCAAAATGGCAGCACAGAATCAACATCGCACTCAGTCGATGCTCAATCGCAATTTCTCTTGGGGTAGCAAAGTTGCGCAAACAGAAATTAAACAACTGCCAACTTCTCTGATGCGAGTTCTAACCATATTCTTGGTTGATCAGCTTGACGGGCAAACCACTTAAAAAATACGGCCGTATTCTGTTTCTCCCAGTCAACTGCCTGCAGTTGTACATAATCAAGTAAAATTATTTGGAGTACATATCAAAGTAAATTACAGGGACAGTGCGTTGGTTTAATGTTTGCATTGGTTTAGGAATGTTTCTGCACTACAACTTGGCAAATTTTTGAGCTATTAATAATAAGTTTTGCCCAAACTTTATCAAGTTTACTTCTTCTTATTCTTATTTGTGGCACCCCGCGGAGGTGTGACAGGTCGACCTATCAGACCATAGTTCATTTTTCTTTTATCAGCCGGCTGAAACAAAAATTCAACATGAAATACTTAAAATTCATTCTTATAGTACGTATTCTACATGCAAGCTACTATTGTGATTATAAGAAAGAGGCATGCTATTGGAATCTTCAAGGATTAAATTCAAGCCCAGAGGCAAAGCTATGCTGGGTGTTTTAAATAGATAATTGACTTTCTTTTGAGAATCGATGCAACGGAAAGGCTAAAAAAATGCATTTTCTGTACATTTTCTGGAGAAATTCTCTCAGTCTGCCACAGCAGAGAAAATCTCACAGAACAACACTTCACTACGAAAAAGTCATCTGATGCTTTGACATTTCCATGGATTAGTGGTTCAATACAGCACAAGAGAATGAAGTGGCCACTTCAAAATTTCTCAACCTTTTGCGATTACTATTTGAACACTTAAGGCTTGTTATGAGCTTAAAAGCGATTGATTTTTCAACATAGAAGAGGAACTTCTCAAAATTGTACATGGACTATAATTTGACAATGAATTCCATCAACAATCAACAGGATGAGGTTGTTGCAATTTTTAAGTAAGAATAATTTTAAGCCCTGGATAATTTGCGTATGGGGTTTGGTGACACCAGGGTTTGTCAATGGGCCTGTTGCAAACTTTTGCTAGAGCAGAATGAAGAGTTGTTTCCTATAGATAATGCCTCAAAAATCACGATGAGCGCATCGGCAAAGTCTGAAATGCACTCATAACTTCACAATCTGCGTAAGAAATTTGCGTTATTTTGAGCTTCCCGCTTCAAAAACGATACTACTGCACAGGTGAACATTTTGTTAGAGGAGTCGCTCCATCGTCGGCAATATTCATCATGGCCGACGCTTGCGCAGTTCCTCGCGTAATTCGAGGAGAGTTCAAGGTCAATTAAGGCGGGCGAGGAAAATATGAACGTAAACACGCCGATTGTTATATGGTTTAATCCTGTTCAAGTGTTATCTCGTCCCATCACACGTGTTTTGGCGGACTGGCGTCGGCCATGATGAGTATTGTCGCCGATGGAACGACTCCTCTAACAAAATGTTCACCTGTACCGTAGTATCGTTTTCGAAGCGGGAAGCTCAAAAAACCGCAAATTTCTTACGCAGATTGTGAAGTTATGAGTGCATTTCAGACTTTGCCGATGCGCTCATCGTGATTTTTGAGGCATTATCTGTAGGAAACAACTCTTAGTTTTGCTCTAGCAAAAGTTTGCAACAGGCCCATTTAAGGCACTCGTGATAAATCTATGAGACGAGAGATTCCTTGTCAAGGAGCACCACAGAGAGCCTTCCTTCTGTCACAAGAAGGGCATTCTGGTAGATACGAAAATATTTTGAGTGTTCAGGAGGGAGTCACACATGACCCGACAGAAAATTATGTCATCATCTCAAAGAAAGAAAGAAAGAAAGAAAGGGGAAAAAAAGTTTCAATGTGATTCAGACTAGCAATGCAAATGATGTCATATCTTTAGTCTGATTTCACTTCAGATTGAGAGAAACAACTCTGCTCAGTCCTAGCGAAATTTAGCAAAAGTTTGCAAAAGTCCCATGGAGGGCTAACAGGAGTATTCAAAAAACTATTTAGCTTACTTACCTTCAGAATTTGAAAGGAGCACATTAGAGTTTCATCGACTGACATCATTGCGCCAGCATTATCAAACTCACCACAGTAGTTGGGAGCAGAAAATAGTGTTACTAATTGCCTCTTCGCAAAGAATTCGTATCCATCCTCAACAACCTGAAAAAATGTTTTAGTTATTTTGAGCTTTGTTGCGTTTTTTCTCTCCGTCCCCTGAGTACTTTCTACATTTAGCGTTAACTATTGATTTTTTGTAGAGTGATTCAGTGTCTACATCTTTCGATATAATATCAAACTCAGTGGTTCAAACAAAAACAAATACATAACCTCAAGTTCTACTTCCATGTGAGTTAAATGTGTTAAATTTTTACAACTTAGTCACTGACGTGTCATAAATCAATTAAGGACTCATAAAAACGAGAAATTCCCATTGCAAGAAACACTTAAGACATATTTTGCCACCATGGCGCAAAGGGCGTGAATTAGAGACAAGGTCAAGGATTTGTTTACATTTGAACCATGATGTAGCCACAAAATCAGTCTATTGGTGAAGTATGTATACTCCTGATATATCATGTCAAAGAACGCTTTCAAGAAAAAATTCTGGGACCATCCATATTTAATCAGTTAGACAGGATGTTTGATAAGGAGTCCAAATAGATGTCTGCACTGCAATGACCAATTTCGGAATCGAGTTTCCGTACATCTGATGTATGTCATTACATACACTAGATGTGAAAATTCTTGTAAATTTTTGATCTTTGTAAAAAGAGCCTGAGAATATTCTCCTTTGAGACAAGTGAGTGAAAATAATTACTGCTCTGCTGATCGATTTTTTAACTATTGATAGGTTCTGCACAGACCAGATAGTCAGCTCAAAACTAACAGATTCTTCTGTATCTGCTCCGATAAATTAAATGTGCTATCTTTCAGAAATTTAGCAGAATGATAGCACTACAGCCTGCTTGTGAAAGGCATCACTGTAACTCCTGTTATTTCTGTTGATAGAAAAAAACTCAGATTCCGGTGCTTGATTCTTTTATGAGGCTTGAAAGAAAATATCCATTAATGTGTTGTGTTTGATTGGCAACTCACAGGAGTGCAAGAACTTCTTGTTAGCAGGTTGTGATTGGTCTTGTCAAAAAATGGAAAGGCTCTGAGAGTAGGTTCTTAAATGAGAGGGCAGGCAAATGCGCATATTTTTTTGCAGAACCATAGTTAAGATGATACGTTTTCCAAAAATTGCGGCAATTAACAAGTCCATAAAAGGTCGTCAATTTAAAACTTTTGAGGAAAAAGGCGCTTTAAAATGGGAGGGTAAAGAACTTTTTGCATGTCTGGTGAGTCGTGTTCAGAATTCATGGGCTCGATATACTTACCCAAGATGATTTTTTTCACAAATGGCTTGATCATATCTGAATACTTAGTCATGCAAAAAGATCAGAGGTCTAAAAACTCTTGAGCCCTGGCTTCCATTGATAATACTGTCTGGCATAAAGCATGGCTCATGGAAATCTGGACTTTTACCCATGAACTTCAAAGTAAAATCTGGTGGATAACTTACCTGATGCGCACGACAGATGAGATCAAAATCATGTTTGCTGAGGAACTTCATGACAACTTCTACACCAAATGTGAATGACACTCCTCTATCATTCTCACCCCAACCTAGTGTGTCCTGAAATCAAGGGCTTCTTTAGAATCAGGTCTAAAGGGACTGAGAGTTTACTCAAGTGTAAAATATTCACAAGAAAAGAGAATAAGTCCACATAAAAATGATTAAATGTGACGTAGTAGGGCAAAATGTGTTCTAAGAGGGAGACTTGAATGGTTCAACGCAGCTAAAAAACCAGTCTACTCGAATCAAATTGAGCACTACTTAAAATGGTTTTGGAGGGTTTCTCAATAAGCTACACCCTCTTCACCCTGGGTTGTTCAAAGTATAAACAATATGCAATAGCTGAGCCAAAACACCGAGATTGAGTTGTCATTTTCTCATACTGCAAACACTGGTACAATAACGTTTAAGTAGTGTGCGATATATCAAGTAGATTATGATTTTATATATGAGCAGGAAGTTTGAATTCCTGCATCAGAAAATGTTGATATCTTGGTCAGGAGCTCTTTCCACGAATTATCGCTGTACAATTCATGTGAGATGTGATATTTTGATGAGAAAACATACATCATGATGCTGAAATATCCACCTTTTTTAGTGGTAAATTGTTGGCGAAAAAATTGAAGGGGGTGGAGTGAAATCACCTTGGAGATCTTTCCAAAAAAAATACAAAATAACTTTTGCTTCCATTTCGATGGAACAGTAATCAAAGTTAAAATCTTGCGTTCATACCTTGTCAGGATCTGACCAGAGCAGGTCACAGAGCAATCCTTGATCAGGAACATCTGTAGGTCTGATAATCCTCCTAACTTGCTCCATAGAGTGCATGTCAGGACTAAGACCACCGTGGCAACAGAAGATTTTTTCATCCACAATAGCTGCCACTGGCAGACAATTAAAGCAGTCTGTGAAGGTTTTCCACAACTTAATATTATACCTTCGTTTACCTGTCAACAGATAATGAGCAATTATTTTCACTTTACAGAATAGCTACTTCTTAAAATGGAATAATTTTCCTTGCAAAAAAGAGGCAGATGAAGTTTTGTAGAACTTGGTCCTCATGTTGTAGGAACACCATGTAAAAATTAAAGGAGCTTGGTTCCTTCTTGTAAAACTATGTATTTTTTCTTCTTCTTCTTCAGATAGCCATTGGCTAATCCCGTTCTGTTCCTATTTGTCTGCGTTCCTGTTATCTCTCCCATTTCCTTACTAAATATAAGTTATTATAAATTTCGTTAACTGCACTTTATTTGTCAATAATTTTTTTGTCAGAGAAAGAAAAGGAGACAATAGTCAAGAACTGCGTAAAATGCCAATTTTTGCTATTTTCTTAAAGTTTTGTGCCCTCCAGTGCATTTAATTTTGCCTAGAGCGAGAAAATATGTAAGAGCAAATTTATAGGAAGTTTAATGCAAGTTTTAATTTTAAAATAACCCATTAAGTCTTCAGATTAATGTTTTACGAGTTAAGGTCATAATTTGCAAAAAAAAAAAAAAAAAAAAAAAAAAAATTGGGCCATTTTGACCAAATTTGGCAACTTACCGGTCCAAATTTTTTAGCACACAGTAAAAATTTGGATTCAGCGTCAGAAATTACAAGGGAATCAAGGAAAACATAGCTACCCCGGATTTTTGCAGGCTCTTATTCCTCCTTGCTTGGATCAACCCTCTTAACAGATAACTTGTGTCTCAGAAATTAATTTGATACTCACATTCATCATAAAATCCATATATTCGGTTGATGCTGGCACACTCGTGATTTCCACGAAGAAGGAAAAAATTTTCCGGATACTTAATTTTGTAAGCGAGGAGTAGACAGATGGTTTCCAGTGACTGTTTGCCTCTATCAACATAGTCTCCTAAGAAAAGATAATTTGACTCTGGGGGAAAGCCACCATATTCAAACAAACGTAACAGGTCATAGTACTGACCATGAATATCACCTGAAAAAGAGAACAATACAAATTATTATGATTGCAAAATTAAAAATAATATTTGAGCAAAAGAGGCTACCTGAGTAAGATTCCATTGCAATTTAAATGATCTGCATAGATAAATATTCGATAACTTTAATACAGTATTATACCTGATTTTCTAATATTTTTGAAATATGCAAGAACAAAAATTGCTTTTCCATGATTTGTGATAATATTACACTGGTTCACATACAAAGTTCAAATCAGTTTAATTCAGTTCAACTTTTAAAACTGATTTTACATTATGTATCGTACTATCTAAAGTATTGATATCTCTAGACTAAATGCAACAATTGGACTACATTTTGCAATTTGGAGCTATAAATTCTAGCCCGGTTTAAAAACAACATACGTGCCATTAGTTTCCCTATGCACACAAGTGTTTTTTCAGATACGCCAGAATTTATAGCTCCAAATTGCAAAATGCAGTCCAATTACAATCAGGGATTATCCATCACACTCTAAAAGTTGGCTTGCATTCTCGAAGTGGACGCCTTGATACTCGTAGAACACCTATTTAATACACTGATACATACCGCATATTTTCAAAGGAGCCTCTAATTCTAGAAGAGTGGGCTGCGAGAGAAAGATTTCTCTTGATTTCAAGCACAGGCCTCTTATTTCCCCCTCCGAAAGCTGCACATTTTTGCCAGGCCGAGCACCTCGAACTAGAAACAAAATAATGAAACTGTGATTCAGGACAGCGTGCAGTGTTCGAAACTCACAGGCGCCAGCGCTCCAAATGTGTCTAAAAAAGCGGTCATGGCTCCTAAAAAATGAAGGCTTGGCACCGCAACGTGGCCCCTAAACAGTGCCCCCTCAAAAAAAATCCTAATTTTTCTATTCGATGATTTTTCGAAATATACAAGTTACAGCTACTAGTTCTGTAACTACAACATCTTGCATTTGACTTTCCGCAAAGTGCGGTATAATGATAAGTAGGCAAAAAGTCAATTTGGCCAATAAAAATTGAGCTTAATGGGCCACATGGCTCGCGAAACTTTAAGGTGAGTTTCAAACACTGACAGAGTGAGACAAAAAATTTTGTTGGCGCGACCAGCGGACAATGTCCAAGGCTACACTCGAGACCCTGTCGTTCGACTTCAATTCCTTCCACTTGTTCCTCTAGACTAAGATATCGTTGTGTTCTATTTCCACCCAATTTTTCTTCTTTTTCCATGATTTCTCATATTATTTCTCTCTCTTTAATTTGGGGGGGATCTCAGGAGTGGTATGGATGGATAAAGTTTAGTATTTCGACCGTTGGACGAACTACATGACCCGTTTGACAAACTACAGCTAATTAGTCCCCAAAATTACTTAACCTAACTGGAGAACAGTCCGTATACTAGACTATAGCTATCTGGCCTCCCTGGTCCCCCCTGTAAATACGCCACTGGCTTGGTACAGAAGTAGGACCATAAAGTTTGAGTTCAGAATGCTCCCTTAAAGTGAAGGAAGAGCTGCTAAGGAGCTAGGCTGGTAGATCATGAATAATACTGCAACTAAATACTATGGCTTGAGGTTTTGGATCAGTTGCCGCCCGAATGACTTTCCCATAGTTCTGAACTTACGATACACTCTGACTACAGCCGATGCTCGTAGTGCAGAAATTAAGTCATGAGGACAAGGTTCCTGGTGGGAATAACCGCTTACAGCAGAAAAAGATAGAAGAGCTGGAAAAGGAAAGTACTTTGAGGCAAAAATTGAAGGAGGCATCTAGATTTGGTCATCAGTGAAACATATAACCTCCATTCTCCATAGTTTACATGGGATAGGTTTCCAGGGATTCTTGGATGGAGTCGACTGTCTCCCTGCTCGAGCAATAGCCGATGAATTTTGAAACGAGCATGATGAAGAAAAACCGCAGATAATATTGAGCAATTCCCATAAATGAAGATAAAATTCAGTTCTCAACGAAAAAGGACTTGGAAGGTGGAATGTGATGTGGGGGAAACGTACCTTCGAGTAAACGTGCTATAATATTGTCTATATTTAATTTGTCGGTGTCTGCCATTTGAAAACGGACTAAATTGACATAAAGGATAAAATTCTGGTAAGAATTAACTTGCAAACTTCAATAAAAACACTCAAATAAATGAGAAAAGGACCGAACCATGAAAGGACAGTGAAACTTTCACAGGCGCAAACACTGAAAGGGAGGCGCATAGGTGGGAAATGGGGGAGGGGTGGAAGAAGATGAAAAGGAAAGGAAGGAAGAAAGGTGCGCGCGCGGCAACAGGACCCGCGAAAAATCTCCCTTTCAAATTTCGCAAAGTACCTAGTACCTACTGTTTTTTATTGTGATCAAGGTCTAACACTTAGATTTTTTCAAATTATTTTGATGAGAAAATTCTCTCTCATTAATAAATCTTCACAGATCATGTATTAAACATGTAACATGTACGCATGTTCGAAACCCCCTGGAAAACCAAGTATACACTTACGACTTAATCCTAGTGAAAATCGTGTAACTCTGGGTTGTCTCTGGTTGTATTTTTGATTTGTATCTTTCGAAAGGGAACAATTTTTTTGTATATAATTCGGAGATTTTAGAAAAACCATTATGCTCTGAGGATACTCTGAGGTAAGGAAAATGTAGACCCCTTTACCCCCTTGCCCCCTCGCACCCGTGTCCATGTCCATGAACATGAACAGGAACACGTCTGGATCAAGTTGGATCCGAGATTGCTTTTCTTACTCCAACTCTTGAGTTTTACCGTGTATTATTAGTTTACGAGAGGTATTGTATGTGAAACACTAATGACTAAAAAACGTGATTAGCACCGAATCAAAAATTCTCCATCCGCTCCGCTCTCTGAGTTCCGAAGATTATGGTTACACCCTGTATATAAAGCTGACATGCTGACGTAAATTGGTAACTCTATCAACCAATCAGAGCCAGGGACGAGTTCTATAGGACGCCGTTCTGTTGTGAGCGGGTGATTGCAGCGCATTCTCGCGTAGGATCCTAGTCAACTCAGAGGATCCTTCCCCCCGAACCTCGACTCATCCATCGCCCGCTCCAAAAGTGAGGTTAAGCCGGAGATTGAAAAATAACACATAAGGCGGCTGAATTCTTGAAAAATAAGTATATTTTTGGCGTTTTTCGACCCCTTTCGACAAGAAAGGGCCCGCCGCATGTAGTAAAACGGTGAAAAATTCGATTTTTTGCAGTTATACGCGATCCTACGGATTTTAATGAAGTCCAACAACTGATAACAGCAGTGAGTTGCGAGGATCCTACGCGAGAATGCAGCACTAGTACCTGCTCACGAATTTTTACATTGACTCTTACGGGAGTCCAGGGTCCTATAGAACTGGTCCCTGTCAGAGCGCATGAAACCTTTGGGTAATGTTTATATTTTATAGGTTATGGTTGTAGTTTACAGATACAGAAGACCGGCCGTGAGATGCCGTGAGTACGAATCGGGAACTATTCTTGAACATTATTGTATTACAAATTTAAAATCTGACAGTGAAGTTGCCACAGTGACTTCGATATTTCTGCGAGAAGTTTTTTATCATTAGTTCCTCGTTTCTTTATCCTTCACCACAGAATTGAAACAGGCAGCCAGAATATAAGAACACAAACCAATGCTTCTTGCTTTATCACCGCATTTTGTCCTCACACTTCACCATGTCCACTGGTAAAGAAAATAAAGATGGTGAGGCGATCCACTTTTTTACTAAGGCTTAGAATAAAACACAATTGCTGAAACGAGCGACTAGTTCGCCAGATTCTTCACTATCGCAGTTGTCTTTTTCATGTCACTGTGGTCTTAGTTAGCAAGCTTGTTGGTTTTAAAATTTTACAACTAGTTAAGTCTATCGGCATGTCTTTGAAGAGATGAATGGCTGCCTGGACGACACAACCCATATCTCATCTCAGTTTTCCACTTGTCGGCCCATCCCTACTGACTTGTCCAATTCTTCAATTCAAATCTCATTTCTTTTCCAAGATTGAAGCGATCAATTTCTCTTCAATTCAAATCTCATTTCTTTTCCAAGATTGAAGCGATCAATTTCTTTGAAGTTCATAAAACACTTGACCTATTATGAATCAATCAGTGATTGATTGATAGCAGCCTTCAGGAATCTCTTTTTTCCTACTATATCTGTTACTTTCTAATTTAGCACTGTCTCCTACCTACCCTTGCCATCCTGAATCTAGGTATTCCTTCTGTTGTTCGTTGGTGAACCACTGCCAGCAACATCTGCTGTAGAACTAATTTTGCTGAATTTCTCCCCAATCATTTTTGTATGCCAATGATCATATTTGTGAGGCGCCTTGTCCAACATCAATTAAATATATAATCCGTTGATTCTTATTAATTAACCCATGAAAAGATAAATGAAATAATAATGTATTGCCAGGAGTACCTGTCAATGCTCGATTCAAGCCAAGAGAGCCATGCCTTGCAATTGGCTCCTGGAGACATCGGTACTTTCATTCCGTTATTTAAGTACTAATAAATCCAATTTTCAGAAGACATTGTATGGGTTATATCGTTGAGTTGCAGTGCACAAGAAATTCCAAACCACAGAACAATGCACCCTACACTGTGGGCGAAAGAGGGTGCTGCAGGTCACCGTGGGATTTTTTGTTTAATTCATCAGTGCTCTCAATTTTTTGTCCAAAGATATGAGTTTTGAAGTTCAACACAGCAACCTATTATAACGGAGCAATCTATGGGGGGGAAGGAATTAATTTACAGAAAAAAGGATAAAATTAACTTCACCTTATTCGTGTTTTTTTTTTTTTTTTAACCTTGTTCTAATGACATCCAGGAACACGAATCCGCGTGGATCTGTAAGTAGTCTCTTTTGAAAGAGAAACTCAATTTCTATTTTATAGAGATTTTAATTCACCCACGTCTTCAAACTAACATTGATTTTCTCGTTGTGCAGAGAACAGTAAATCTTTCACACCATCAAGAATTTTCAAATCTAGACGAGATTCTCATGATGATCTACCTATCGAAGGATGGCCGATGGGCACCGCAACTCTCCTTACTGAAATCGATAGTAAGTTGCTTTGTTTTCCACTCCTTATTATTTACAAGCATGTTGATCGAGAGTAGACACTTGCAGTTAAAAAACAATGCTGTCACTAATGTTTTTCTGGTCATTACCTGCTTAGTTCAAGTGCTGAAGAAAATAGATGTAGCCACGAGGAACAAGCGCCAGAAAAGATGGAAATTATCATCGAAAAATCGATGGCTAAAGTGTGAAACCAGGTATCTCCATCTCAATGTTTCAAAATTTCCACTCCTATTTTATTTTTGTGGAAGAGAAACAAGCCAATTTTATTGCTTGAAATGTATGCAGAATATTCTTCTAACAGAAAGGAAAAATGAAGGAAGTTTTCAAAAAATTGTGGCGACTAGTTTTTTGAAGGAAAATAAAATATCGCAGGAAGTCTGTTACGTTGCAAATGGAGATGAGAATGTGGATGCGCATTTTGGCCTACAAAATATTTTTCCTTGATTTCCCATTTTCTTTGTGGTTTTGTAGGAAGCAGCCTAGTAATTTGTACTTTGAGCAGTGCAATCTATTTTGACAGGAATATATCTATACTCAATGATAGTGTGTATTTTAGACGATTCGGAAAAATTACATCTTTGCGCAGTAGATATTTTCAAGCCATGAGGGATCATGGAACAGTCTTCAAGTACTATAAGTACATGTACTTCCTGAAGTAAATATTTTTCACTACTCAGAAGATGTACCTAAATTTTGACAATCTGGGCAAATTACTGACTTATCTTGTGTCCTTAAGTCCTGAAACCGAAGTTCCACATCACCCAAATGGAGAATTAGTATGCAAATGTTTTATTGCTTCATTTGAGAGTGCTTAAAGAGCTGATTTTGTAGTTCATATTTTTATACTTTCTCCTGGTATGGGAAATAGTACAGAAATATATTTAAAAGTGAAAAAATGTTTTGCCTGGTGACATTATCTGGGGGCAGTGCTCATTTCAACACACGTATTCTAGCAGATTAGATCATCCATAAAATTTTCAATTAATGAACCAAGAGAATCCTCAAGTTCAGTTCACTCAGTAGTTTCCACTTAAACACAAAATTCATCAGATTTTAAACACTTGCAAATTCTCCTTTATTGTCTTTTAAAATGACTATTATTGTGTTGCTAAAGGGAACGAACACAATGAGGTGTGGACTTTAAATCTGATATACACTTACATGAGGGCCATTCTTTCAATCTTGAAAACTTTACCAAATCTTAATGTCCCCACCTGCAGACTCTGTAGTGTTTTTACACAAGTGTAGTCTCAAGAATATACTGTTTCAAATCAGGATAATAATTTCCATCTGTGCATCACACTTAATTTTATTTTTCCTTCCTGCCAAAGAATTTCTTTTAAAATCTAAAAATGAAATTTTTGTTTTAGAAAAAATGATGGTTGTTCTTAGAGATAATAGAACGTTAATTGGATATCTACGAAGTATAGACCAATTTGGGAACTTGGCTCTGCATCAGACAATCGAGAGGATATATGTCGGAAGCAAATACGGCGACATTCCACGAGGTATCTTCATAGTAAGGGGAGAGAATGCAGTGCTTCTAGGAGAACTGGTAAGCCAAGAGCAAAATTACAAGGGTGGATTTTAAAGTAAGTTTGCCTATTTTATTTCTTGAGCAATATCAACGCTCGGGAAAAAACCAAGCCAGCGTTCGAACGTATACAACCTTAGCTTTTTGACAAGCTATCGGTTTTTTTAAATATGATTAATGCTTTGCACAGAAATTTTGAATTTTCTACTCCTTCCTCTCCTCTCAACTAACCCACTTTTCAATGTGCTGTGGAGCTGCACAGAAAAGGTAAGTCAAGGTCCTTGGAAAATTAAATTAAAGTTATTCTTTTAAATTAGTCTAAGTCTTAGTGTAAAGTTATAAAGGCAGGTATGGAAAATCCATGATTTCTCTGCACAGCATAGCTAAAATTTACGTACTATAGCTTGTAAGAAGGCTGAGAGAATGTACCTTTCGACACAGGTTTGGTTTTTCCCTAGCATTGCTATTTCTTGAGAAAAAAAAAAAAATATCTTGCTTTAAAATACACCATTGTAATTATTTTTTTCACTTTCCTGGAAATAGAAGACTGGTTTTTTTTTTTTTTTTTACTAAAACCCTCTTAAAGGAAAAGCCAACTAGTCAACATTGAAAACAACTCAGATGAGTTTAATCACTGTTGAATCATAATAATAAAAATGGGCTGTCATCCACTGGTGCAAAATACCAATGGTGCGCTGAAAGGGGGGGATGGGGGTGGCTCCTAAGGGAAGGGAGGAAAATTTTCAAAGGTCAAAAGTTTTAGAGAAAATGTGGAAAACTATGGGCAGGTGCGTGAAAATATGAAAGGGTGGAACTTTCCTCATCTCTGTCAATGACTGTATTGTTATGCAATAACACATTTCTTATCACTTAACATTAGGCTAAAACAATCTTAGACCCTTGTGTCCTTCTCAGGCCCTGTCTCCATGGGACGTTTTCATAAGATATGTCGCGGGGTAGTACATTGGGAAAAAAACTTTGACGATTCTCGCAGGTACCGTCCCCATGGGGTGGAGCTCTCATGTTCCTGCGATAAATTTGCGCTGAGATAAATTAGTAAAAAAACCGGCGCTCCGCTTCGCTCCGCGCCGGTTTTTTGGGGGGGCTTCGCCCCGCCAAGCCCCCCCAGGACGCGCGCTTCGCGCGCGTATTGTAGACGCGCGCTTCGCGCGCGCTTTTTAGTTTGAGTGTCCATTCCAGTTGTTCTGTCTTCTTAAGCGACCCGCGCGTCCACCGCGGGAAGAGTGTATTTTCCGAAGGGGGGGGAGGGATCAATCTGTAAGGGAATGAATTAATTTCTTGAGGCATAAGAGCAGCACAGTACGTTGCCAGCGAACGCGCTGCGAAAGGTTGTGACGGTTAAATGGTGAGATTTTGTTCAAGAACAGATCATTTAACCTGACCCACTGTGCGACGAACAATTTGTCCAGAATCTTCCTTCCCCTGACCCACTGTGCGATGAAAAGTTTGTCCAAAAACTTCTCTCCCCTGACCCACTGTGCGACGATCAGCTTGTCCAAAAACTTTCTCCCCTGACCCACTGTGCGGCCCTGCTCCGGTCGGCTCCCCTCATGCCGCGCACCCCTCGCCTAAAACTTTCAAAGCTCGCCATTCTTAAACGGCTCGGCCGATTTAGCTCAAATTCAATACCAAACCAGTCCTAGGGGAGAACTACCACCTATAAAAATTTCAGCTCAAAATATTCATTTTCGCTCGAGTTATCGAGTGGACAAGATTTCACCTCCCCCCACTTTCGAGCCCCACCCCTCAAAATCTATTGCCTCAAATTTCAATTTTTTTTCGCAGAATAGTAGTCCTAATGAGTCTCTACAAAATGCAAAAAAATTGGTCAAAATATCTTTCAACGTAAGAAAGATATAACCACTCAAAAATCGAAAAATCTTCAAAAGGCGGAAATACATACATACATACATACATACATACATGCATATATACATACATATATATATACACATGAATTTGAATGGCATATATTTTCGTGATCTACGACCCGTGATCGATGCTCTTCACAAGGTCTCGGGTCTGGGTCCGACATCATGGGAGAATGCAATAGTGTATTTCCTTCGGAAAATACACTAAAATGGAGTATTTAAACGGAATTAAAATAATGCTTGAAAACAGTCAAGAATTGAACAAATGACTTAAATTAAGCAAAAATACACATCCCTCAGTTGGTCTTAGAGCTTTACAAGGAGAATAAATTGGTATTGCATTAAATTTTGAGTTAGTTACTACTCATCGCAACTTCATGAATGTAACTATTCACTGCAACAAATCGTAGGAAAACGCCTCGTGGAGACGAGGCCTCATCTGTCAAAATTTCCTGGGAGACTAATGAAGAGTCTCTAATCTATTTTGTTTTTTGGCTAGACTTTTGCTTTGTGGACCTTGACAACTTCATTAAAAGATCAGATTTAGTGTAACGAGATGAAACCAGAGTGACAGCCCTTCATGGATATTATAAGCCTCATTTTGGGCATCTCTGATAGAGTAACAGAATGTAGTTTGAAGGTAGGATTTTTCCCCTGTTTTAAATGCATCTCTGGCCCTCTGTTTAGCCCTAATATTATTATTTAATTGATATACCCTCCGGAAGAAGTATAGAAGGATTAAATGTTCCAAGGTTTGGAAGAACATCATTCTCAGAAAAGAGTTTTCACAATATTCTTTTACCTGAAGAAAAATTCTAAAACCTCAAGAATCCAGGATGACGATTGATTCCAATGAATAAATAAACCCTTCTGCAGCCTGACGGAAGACTTTCACAACTATTGATATTGATGGAATGGAACTCCGTTCCGTAGGGAAACACCCAATGGAATGGAACAGTCAAAGTCTGTGGTCAGGCAGCTGATCAGCAGTAGACTGACTTTCATTGAAATTTTACGAAATTATACGATTTCGTGATTGGTGAATATTGGATTTTCAGCAGTTCAATATTAGTATTAGCCAACCGTGTGGAAAAGTTTATTTTCATTGCTGTGGCATTTTCAACAATTCTGTTTCTCTAAGATTTATTATTTTTTAGGATCAAACACGAGATGTTGGATTGATTGAACAAGTTTCTGTTGAGGAAATTCTTAATGCCCAGCGCCGAGAACAGGAAGCAAAACAGGAAAAGAACAAGGTTCTTGCCAAAGCACTTCGTGAACGTGGACTGAGTTTTGTCAATGATCTGGTTCAGGAAGACCAGTTTTAAGCTTGCAGTTCTTTAGCACACATCAGGGACAGGACAAGTCATATGTTCACGGGCGTTTATGTTGATATCTGTTAATTTTAAGTCTGGCTAAAGCAGAATTTCCCTGTTACACTTTCAGATTTTATGCAATGAGCATTAATAATAACATGTAGAAGAAAGAAAAAGCTTCATACTTTAGTATGTGAAGTAGCTTAGCTGAATGGGCAAAAATAATGGTGCTCCTTTTAACTCTGGCTCAATGTCAATAAAATGCTCACACTATGAACTAGCATTTCAGAGTTCCTTTTGCATGTGCATCGTCAGACATGAACTGTCAGGTTCATTAATATTGTTGAAATTATTGTTTTAAGGTGTTTTCAGCCTCAAAGAGCTCAATAAAGATTGAGTCCCTTCGATGTGATTGATTTATTTTTAATTGCTCCATTTCATTCATGGCAGTCTACATACAGGGTGTTCAAAATCCATTGCTCTCTGTTCCTTGGAAGACTGCTCATTGACCCTTAATTGAGTTGTACAGAAAAATAGTTTTGTGAATTGTGAGCTGCTTTTTTAGAGGCAATGGACCACTAGACAAGATGCAAATTTAAGCGTTATGCTGTTTAACGGTAGAACACGATTTGTGCAATTAACTTCATTGAAAGTAACTCTTAACCAAGATTTTGACGTCTTTTAATGCATAAATTTTAACTTCCTGCTCATAAAAATACCATAACCTTCTTATGCAAATTTTCAACTGTTGACAAAATCTCTAAACAGTTTCCAAAGTACGTCATCAAAACAAATTTTCTCTCTCCGTTTGTGATTAATGGGTCAGTTGTGCTGGTCGGGACAGCAGAGCCAAATGCTGAAATTGAAGTTGCCATATTTTCATACTGCAAAGACTGTTGCGGCAATGTTTGATGTGCGATTTTACTCAAGTAGATTTTAGTTTTTCTCCTTCAGGAGAGAGAGGTTTGAATTTACACATTAAAAAAACCTTAATATCTTGGTTGGGAGTAACTCTCGGTAATTTTTGTTACACAAACTGTGTTTAACAGGAAATTTTGAGAAAACAAACATCATAATGTTTAATTAAATTCGCAGCATATGTAGTGGTCCATCGCCAGCATCAGAGAATGGAATTATTACATTAGTGCTTAGAGATGACTTCTCAAAGAAAAACACAATTTTATCTTTTAATTAATCATACTTCATTAAATAATTTTATAACAGATTCTCTGAAATTAGTTCCGAGATTGATAAAGATACAAGAACATTTTTCAAAAATTGCAATGTTTGTACAGGAACAAAAAGAAGTAAATAAATACAGGAGATTTTCAAAGGCATTAATTAGATGTTATTCCAGAGAATATCCTTTCAAAATCAAAGGAAAATAAGAGCAAATTAAAATCAACATTTTAAAATCAATTAGAAAGCTTAAACTCTTGCAACTACTTTTCACCCAGTATCTTGGACTCTAAGATAATTCACTTTTAACTGCAAATCAACTGACATAAATTTACTTAGAAAATATCTTATCTTCTTTTGCTTAAAAGTTTCCTGGTAAACTATACTAGCATTTTAATCAGCACATAAAATCATTTAAAAATATTAAAATCAAGTATCCTGACTTTATTTGACATCACACTGTTAAGTGACATTGTATGGAATATTAAAATTATTCTTCGGAGTCTTTTTTTCATTAATTATTAATGGATGGGAAGGGGTCCTGAAAATGAAGGATTCAGGGCAGGGTGGGTGCTCAAGAACAGTATTCTATCTCTATACATGTTAAGGAAGGGAGTGGGAAAATCAAAAGATAGTACTTATTTTACAAAGTTTGGAGAAAGGTACCCCTCCCCATCACATGCCTATGTGCTACTTGGAACAAAATGATGTACAGAGTGTCTCAGAAGAAAGTATCCACCTTGAGCATTTTTTAGACATATTCGAATATCAAAAAATGCTGGAACACAAGTTAACGATTTTTGAGGGGGCCATCTTTACTACACATTTGTATTAAAGAGCCCCCCATGGGGTGTTCTTTGATAATCGAATCCGTTCGAAAAATATATTAAAGGCGAAAGATTTCTTTTGAAACACCCTGTATTAAAAGAAGCCCAAAAACAATGGGACTGTTGCAGATGTTCTCATTCAAATTCAGTTTTGGAAAATGTTAACAAAATATGGAAATAAATGTTTCTCTAATCTTATTTTTTATGTAAGTAAAGTTTCCCTGGGAAAGTGACTTTTAAGCAGGATTTCAACTCAGTAACACATTTCTTGCTATGACTACCCGGGAAGTATGTACCTATTTTCAAGGTCATTTGCAACAGCCCCATTGTTAAAACGAAAGCCACACAACCACGAAGGGCCACAATACATAATTTAGTACTGGATGCTCCCAGAATAACTTCTTCAAACCATTAAAACATGAGTGGAAAATTAAACTAAGAATAGAACTTCATCAGCTCAATGATATGGACATCGTGTTAACTTTGTTAGCAAGCTTAAATCTCAGACCGGCTCCATTGATTGGGGTGTCTAGCAAATCAAGCAGAAAAAAATTCTAGTTCTAAAATATTCATAAATGAATAATTATGAATAATAATACTTCTAAAATATTTCTGACCAGGTAATGATACATATTTCACTACGAAATTTCAGAGAAATAGTAAGATTTTGAAACCACTGTTCTTTTCACTCACATAAAAGTAAGCTTTCGAATTAAAGTTGTGCATGGGCTTAGTACAATAAAATTTTCAAACGCTGCGAGATCAAAACTTCGTAAATGTGGGACATTGAAAAAAACTGATACAAATTTTTTTACCTTGAATGAGTTTACATACTACAAAGTGAATGTTGGGTCATTAGTGAGATACTTCTCTCTGAAGGAATTGCATATTTTGCACAATTACTTGGACTGTGACATAAGATTGCAACACTACCCTTTATAGTTATCTAGGAGCTTGTCTGATAAATGTATTCTTGCAGCTGCAGTTGGAATTCTATGATCTTGGAACTGATACTGTTGTCAACTATAAAGCAACATTTTAGCAACGCAATGTGGTGGGGGCTTCGTATTTCCCTAAATTCAGTGAAAAATCTGATATGGCACAATCACACGGCGTTTGAACTCTTCTAAGCAAACTTTTCTCACCCCTGCACACTTATATGTCACAGTATAAAAGCCAGTTCTTGCGGTAAAAATGAGAACACATAATGGTAGATAATCTACGTCATGCTTCAAACAGCCTAAGATATTCTTAGAACTTGAGGCTACCTTATGTGGAATTGAAATACAAAGTTGGAAAGTAGTCGCTTTCTTTCATTAATCGCTGCGGCCATTGATGATGATCTGCAAGTTCAAGGCTGGAGACAAATTCTGACTTAATTTTTGAACAATCCCCAGTTTTGAATTCCAAACTGAGTAATCAAATGCTAACTCTCCACAGCAGTTTGGATGGACCATAAAATTTGTTGGAGACTATAAAATAACACAATTTATATCCAGGATTCATATCAAAATAAAAGACACAACTCCCATAAATATTAGAGATCGTACCAGCGATCAACAAGAAATTTGAGAGCATTCATGAAGTTGTAAAATGATGCAGCTCTGACAGTACTCGCGGCAGAAACGCCTAATAAGGAAGGTGTTTGTAAAATTTCTCATCCTCCACGAGTTTTTCAATAAACAAAATTCAATTGCAACAATTCCATCAAAAAAATATCAATTAAAATATTTGCAGAAATCCATTCCTAGGTTTTCTCTCTAAAAAAAATTCACAAATGCCAAGTTCTTTTTGTTGCTAGACACCCTGATAATGTCATGATAGTACGTACTTGCTTGAAAGTTAAAGTTTAAGTGTATACTTTTTCACTAGAGAGACCTATTCCAAGATGTTCATCATGGTTAGACAATGCTCACTTGAGCATCTTAAACTTAAAATAATCTGAAGATTACCCGGCAACTTCTTCCGGTGGGCGGACACAAGACCATTTCTCTTTCCCTCCTGGAGCAAGTCCAAATCAACAGTGGCAACCAAAAAGCAATTAAAAATTAATGCATTGAGGTGCTTGAATCCAACTTCTGCGTAAAAAACCGGAGGGCATGGAGACTGGCACTCCGGTACAATTTAGGAAGTAGTGGCTAGAGGACTGACCTGGTAATCTTCAGACCCTGGTATTACACTTTCTTTCAATGCCTACCAAGATTCAATTAAAGATAAGTTTTACGTATCCAGGATGGCCTTCGAGTAGCGTAGCGCAGAAAGGACAGAAAGCTTCAAAACCGTTGGTGCCGTGCGGTATGCTGACGGATGCCCAAAATCTAAAAGAATCAAAAAATAAAGACCAACTTCATTAACATGCGGTGAGTTTGATCATCCATGGGAAAAGAGGAATTTGAACAATTCTTTTCTACTTAAGTTTTGGAGCCCCCTCAACCAATTTACATCAGACTTTTTAGTAATGAAAGCTCTGCATCTGCAAAACTCGGAAAATGAAAGGCTCATGCCATATTTATGGATCGGAGGGTTTCATAAAAAAAAAGTCTGCGCCAACTCAATTAGGTAAGTTTCTGGACCGAAAGAAGAAAAAATGTCAAGTTGCAAACTGAAAAAATATGAATTTAAATTGGGGAAAATTTCACACAGTCTGCAAAAATTAGATAACTAAAGGCTGGAAGCACATCTATGGATCACCACCTGACATTAAAAGAAGAAAAAAAATTCATTGTAAATAGGTCGGCTAGTTTAGGATATAGAGAGCTATCAAAACTTTAGTGCATCTGTATTTTTATAATTACATAAATAGAAGATAAATGGTTGCAGATCAAATTTTCCCCCCAAAACTATATAAATTACTGCCTTTAAAAGTTTGGTCGTTATGAGGAACAGCTGACGATGTCTTAATTAAATGTGCTCTTGGCAGTGTCTTGCTGAAAAAAAGGAGAGCTTCCATTTACAAGTGACTAGATAAGGAAAGTTTCCTTCAGGGGTATTCCTTTCATTTAGTGTCTTTTGAAACTCATGCATTATATGTGATGAATTATGCTAAAACAATGGATGTTACAGTCCATTTTTCATACTTCGAATTTCTGACTTTGCTGACATCTTGCTGCCATATTGTAACCTGGGTCTCGGAGTGTACAAATCGGAGAAAGCCCTCACTTTTTTTCTTGCAATGAAGATAAAGCCTAGAAAAAGCAACATCGAGTAATTATGACTTACTTGACAGTTTTTTCTGTTGCCATGTGTCCACAAGGGTTGAAGGCAAAAAACGACGGAGGTCCTGAGTCCACATAAAATGCTGCCTCAATTCCCATTTTTAATTTAACTACTTTGCCGGTCTAGAAGTAATAAGAGAAAACCCAAAAAATTATGCAATGTTAGAGAGAATATGATTATGCAAATTGGTGAACTAGAGCATCATCACAGAGCACTTACTTTAAAATAAGTGCTAAATATGTAAACTCTTCTTATGAAATGTTCACCTGTGCATTAGTGAAGCAGGAAGCTTCAAAAGATGTATATTTTTTACACAGGTTATGGAGTTACGAATGTATTTCAGGCTTTCCTGATGTGCTTATCATGATGTTTGAGCCATTTTATAAGAGAAATAACTCTTCTCTTTTCTCTGACTGAAGTTTGAAACAGGCCTGTTGTTGACAAGGGATTGTTGAATCAGTGTTTGAAACTCTGCATGGAGTCTTAGCAGCCATCTAGCCTGCAACTTTTTTTCTTGGGGGCCATCTCAGATTTCTTAGGGGCCAAAATGAAAAATTGCTCTTTCCAAATGCTTCAAGTCAGAAATACGCCGAAAAATCCCAGAAGTTTTTGGGATTTTTCGGCAATGTTGGGATTCATTGCCAACATAGATTTCCTTGGCGACCAAGGTGGCCGCTAGTTAAATTTTTTGGGGGCTAAAGGCGATTTCTCACCGGCAAATTACGTGGGTTTCAAACACTGCTCTGAAAGTGAAAGTTTCCACCTGTCGCCAAGAGCTAGGGGGGAGGGGGGGTTCTCTCTTTGTCTTTGATATGAACTGACAGCTAAGCCATTGAACAGTGCTTTAACTTATTAAAAAAGTCTGTATTGTGTCTGTGTTGGGCCTGTATTTAGATCTACATTTGTATTAGTTCTTTACACTGGTGCAGATTCCAAAAAGTAGTTTTTTCATACAAATCTTAGCGATGGCGAGCTAAAGCTTTAAAGAAAATTAAGGAGGAGGGGGAGATTTGGCTTATCTACAGATACAATAGGTCATTCAGTCAATTTTTGACCAAAGAGCTTATTTTATTCCGATATTGAGAGAGACAGGATGACTTTAAAAATGCAATCAGGGTTAAATTGTAGGGCTGTGCGAGCCTGGTTTTTTGGATTCGAGCCGAGTTCGAGTATTTTTTCACTAAGTCGAGCCGAGTTCGAGCTTTTTCGAGCTTTGAAAATGACCCTCAAGCCGAGTCGAGCTAGAGTCGAGTTCGAGTAATTTCGAGTTTTAAAACGTGATTTAATCTATTTTCTACAACAAATAATTCCAAACAAAACTCATAATATGATATTAATAATTATTGACGATGACACACTAGGAAGGATTTACACTAAAATTACAAAATGTTCGGCAGTAACGCGTTAAAATAACTTCCCGCGGTTTACTTTGAAAAGAGGACCAAACTTGGGAAGAAGCGGCGTACATCAAAGGAACTTCGGGTGGCACAAGTGAAGGCTTCAGAGCCCATTTATGCTCGCAATTCGTGTCGCCGTGTCGCCGCGACATTTTTTTGGAATCGCGCGATCCATATTTTTGTAGCCGCAGCACCTTTTTTCTGCCGCCGCGACACCGTTTTTCTGGAGCGCAATAGGTCCAAAACACGTGCTCTTTTTCAGTTTTCCAAGCGGCGGTCGTCGCCGCAGGTTGAAATTTGTCGCGCGTATAAATGCGCTCATATGACTCCGTGTAGTTACAAACCGCGCGCGGGCGGCAGGAAATCGCCGGGCGGTAGCGTGTTGGCGCTGCGGATGGTAGAAATTTGCCGACGAGACTCTGATGTTATTCAATCGTAAAATGATGGCAAAACTAATAATAGTTTAAGTATGATTGAAATATTTGACGGCGTTTCCGGCTCAAAAAAACTCGAAATACTCGAAAAAACTCGTGTTGTTGACACTCGAGCCGAATTCGAGTACTCGCTCGAACCTAACCTAACTTTCGAGCCGAGTCGAGTCCTCGAAACTCGGCTCGACTCGACTCGAAATTCGAGTACTCGCACAGCCCTATTAAATTGCTAATTTCATTTGCTTGGAGGTTAAAACACCTGCCCCACAACTTGCAAGACAGCCTTTGTAAAGGAACTAGAGACATACAAAAATATGAAAGTGTCACGTACCTTAAGACACATGGGGCATGTTCGGCCATTTGAATCCTTTTCTTGGCCCCAATCATGGTGACCTTGGACATGACCACAAGTAAGATAGACATATGGCTGTTGTTTATCATTATCTAGGCCACTTCTTCGAGGAATTACTAAAGTGTTTAATCCAACTGGACACACCGGTCTTCCAGCATTAACTTTATCTACTAACTCTTCTAAATATTCTTTGGTCTAGAACAGGAAATAATTAAAGCTGTTAAATTTACAGCGAACACATTTTAACAAAACTTAATCTTACATTGAATAAAAGTAACCTGAACTTTAAACTTTTGAAAAGCACTTTGCTGTTTAAAAGCATGGTGGCTATCATTTTTTAATTTTCCCATTCGTGATATTTACTTGATTGGCAGAACTTTCCTAATGAAAACTTACAGCCTGATTTTGGAACGTATCTATGATGTAGCAATCCAATTTGTGAATCACCAATGAATTTTGACAGTTGTTTAACTTTCCGTAATTTTAAAGGCTACTGAGGGAGTTCCTGAAAGGATTACTGTCAAATCTTACAAGTTCTAAGTTACACCTAAAAAATGTGTGCTACTTGTAGGTTCACTTCACTATAAATAAATCACAGATTAAGATGCTTCAGTTCCTTACTACTAGGTCCCAGGTTCTTTACAGGAAAACTAAATTCTGCTTCAGGTCTCAGAGAAAACAATTCCTTTTTTCATATCTTAGTTGCTTCTTTATTGTTGAGCTAATGTAGATCAACAAATTTAAGGGTTCTGGTGCCAAAAGAAGAAAAAAAACCCCACTTTTTTAACACCAATACCTTGATTGAGTAAGAGATTTTAATTTTCTGATGAATCCTGGTATTTTTCGATTTTCTGAGGTCCTGTTTTATCAAGATTAAAATGATTGAACTGACAGATTTTCGGTATGCTAGATTTGGAGTGAGGTAAAGATAGGTCTTGATCCAAATGACTTTCATCAAAGTCACATGTCAAGCTGTTGTGGCACATATTCATCACAGTTTTTGTAAAAATTTGGCACCAGGAACGAAATATCAAGGGCTAAGGTACAATAAGGCCTATCTGAAAATTTTGGCAAAAATTACTTATCAACTTTACCGCATTCTATTATATAAAATGCACACTGTAAGATAAAAAGAAAAATTGCAAATCAAACCTAAAAATTACAATAATGGTGAATTTCTTCCTCAGTCCTGCGAAATCGCCTGTTAGTGGATAGCCAGGATTGTTCCTTAGCCATCAATGTGGTGTTTCTGTATGGAATCATTTTAACTTTCGTGAGAATGGATCATATTCCATACTGGTTTGATGTATCATTTCGTTCAAAACGATGGAACATAACCTCAAAATTTTAGAATGTAAGTTAGAAAAGCTGAAGAAGAGGAAATTTCGAACTATTTCACTTTTTATTGCCATGTGGTACTCAAGAGAATAAAAAATCACACATGAAAACTCAAGGCTCGCATAATTAACTTTTGAGGCTGTGTTTACATGTTGAATCAATCGATATTGATACAATCTCAGTGGCTGATAGGACGCCTGTTTGATGTATTGAATACAATCCATTGAATAAAAATTACTGAAAAATAAAATATGTACTCACCGGCGAATTTTTGAGACCTTCTGCAGAGCGCCATAAAAGTGTAGCTCCACACAGATCAATCAAAGTCCCATCTTGAAGTACATTTGTGACCCCATCCACCTGAAAAAAAAGGAATTAATGAAGCCATGGATACTGATACAAACATTACATCAAGTTGTAATTCAGGGAGGGCACAGAATTTAAAAAATTAAATTCCCTGACTTTTCCCTAAACACCCTGACACATCTGGGTACAATTACCTTATACTTGAGGAAATGCCAGATGGTTAATGACATAATTTGAAATTATTTTTATGCTGTCTTGATGTTTGGAATGTCAAACTCATTCTGGAACGCAAATTAAGGAAGTAGAACGATTTGCCCCTGAAAATTTTGTCATTTTCCCAGACTCTTTTAAATTTTCTGACATTTCCCAGTATTCCCTAACTGTGGCAACCCTGGAAATTGTACTTGTTTAAGGACCAAGGCATTTGAATGATAATGTGTGATAATCTTTTGCGAAAATGACTGAAGGAATGCAAATCAATAAAGCAACTAGAAGAGGCTGTATCGTGAAACAAACTTGCTTACTTACAATCAAATTTTCAGTAGATGTCTTAGGACCAAGAAAAATTACTTGAATTAAAGAATTTTACAAATTGAAAACAATTAATTTCCCTGTCTCTCAATGATGTGCGGCAGAAAGTTTATGATGTTGTAAACCAAGTAGGGCTGTGCAGATATTCGCAATTCCGACTATTCATGCAGCGAATATTTGCTTCGTCTACCTCACGCACTATTCGGAAAATTGCAAATTATTGCACTGTCGTGAATAGTGAATTTTTGAACTGACATTTTCAAACATTTGCGCTGTCACGAGGAACGAATTTTCAAATGTTCGCGCCATCAAAATTAACGAATTTCCGAGTGGCAATCGTGAAACATTGCGAGGACCTGCGCAAGGCTTCCCCTTACATCTGAGACATTGCGAACGGCGGATTTCCTTTGATCTTAACTGACTTTGCCGAGTTTACAAACAGCAAGCGCGGTTGACATTGGCCCGCGTATCTTGGTTGCTCAAAGAGTACCATACATTGAAAGTTAAATAACTAAGACGGAAAGAGGGTGTGAAAAACCTACGAGAAATTAATTATTGATATTCAATTATTCAATTGATTATCTAGCATTTCATTGTTTTCTGTGCAGGTGTGCAGAAAATGGAAAATTCTTAAAAAAATCAATCACACTATTTTTGTCGACTTTGGTAATATTTGCGAATTTTCACACTTAAAAAAGTCATTTTAAATTATTCCTTTTACTATTGGTAGCTGTGAATAATTGACTTAAATTATTTGCTATTCGCTTCGCTACTTGCCTCGTTCGGAAAATTCACTATTCGCACAACCCTAAAACCAAGAGGTAGGTTTTTCTAGTGTCATCGTTAAAATACTGATGCCCGTTCAGGACAGGTGGCATTGTGCACAAATAGCGCCATTGTCTTTTTCCAATACTTTTCCGCTGTTGACGCTTTGTGGGCTCGAGGAATTTCATTGAAAACAATAGATGTGTCAAATGCTTACAGAATTTCCTTTCTGTTGCGCTGATCTTGAATCTCGCAATGTGAAAATGCCACCACCTACAGAGACCTCTTTCCAGTCGCCAGGTCTGCTATCGTCACCACAGAAATGACTTGCTGGATGCATGATAAGAACACCATTTGTTGTTAAACCATCTATTTCATGCCCGTCTTGCCACTTAGTTGCTTTTTCCTGCAAAAAAAAAAAAAACATAAAAGATTTGAGGCCATTGCCTGCTACAATGATCTACTAAAAGTACAAGAGAAAAGCTCCTCAATTAGTGAGGATTCCCAAAGGCTGCCAGTGAAATTTTAGGACAAAATGATTCTGCCTTCTCAGATATTTAATCAACAGAATTTTGAATTCAATAATATAAATGCTCCTGTCGCACAAAGATGATACGAGGGTTTTCAACACTGAGATCAGCTTTTTTTATGTACTTCCTTAAAAATTTAAGACTGAACAATCAAAACACTTTTTTTAACAATTTTTTAACCACCAGGTTGGCTTGAAATTTGAAAAAAGAAGGTTCAAGTTTTACTTTTTTGGTTCAAACAAGCTCTTGGATATGTTACTTTCTAAAGATCAGTCACTAAATGATTAACAAATTTCATAAATAATAATTCAAGGAGGTGGCGGGTAGAGACTTTTAGTTTTAAAGATTCCTTTTCATTCAGACCCTTTCAACAATGAAAAGATACTGGCAGGAAAAATTCAATACAGGTCCTCCTTTGGGGGAGGACTATACATAGAACCGTTCATCTTTAGGTCAGAAATTTAAGATTTTCTTGCAAATTTTTCTTTCCTTGATTAGTGAGGGAGCACTTGTCTATCCGGCAGAATTGAAAAATAATATCCAAAACTGATACATTCTTAAGTTGTACCTAGTGTACAAACTGGACATTGACTGAAGCACTAGATAAGGAGGTTTCAAGTATTAATTTTAAATAGATAAAATAAATCTTTGGAACTGCATTAGACAAAATCATATGTTTGTAACATAAAACCGTTGTTGAATTTTCACTGATTCCATTTTTACAAAATGAACAGAAAAGTTACTCACCCCAAGAAAAATATTTCTGGAAGAGTCAAAGCCTGCAGCATAAATGCGAGCGATGCTAGGGTTCTCCCGTTCACACAAAATTCGACAGGCAAACCGAGATATTGTGCTGGCTAGAGGTTTTCCTTCACCACTCTTCTCACCTGCCATTGTATCCATTATCACGAAGTCGATGGGGGATTCTGAGGACCTGCCGATCTGAAAGCGATAGAAAATGTGAATAATTTGTTGAGAAATCAGGGGTAGAGAGTATGGATCATATCAAGCAACAGTGAGATTGAAATGATGTAACGATCCTAAAAGACTCAAAAGTTATTGAGATCTGAGGAGATAAGAGTAGAAGCAAAACTAAGAAAAGAGGAAATGGTGAACTCAAGACAACTAAACAGTTGTTGCAACTGACTCGAACACAAGACAAAGCTGGCATAAAAATGAGCAACCAGTGACCTCTTCCCATGAAAATTGAACAGAGCATCTCTGAAAGTTTAGGAATGTCTACAGCTTACACAGCTCCAGACTACGAAGACTACAGCTTATCATTTTTTCTGCTGACCAGAGCAACATTTTTCTTGAGCACGGGTTGATACTCAAAACGCTAACAGTAGAGTGATTTTGTCGATTCGTAGTCAACACCTGAGTGCAAAGGGTTTAACTGAATAGACGGAATAGTAGTTGAGGAATTTTGAAGCAAAGGGAGCAAAGTCCTGTTTTGCTGGTGAGCTCTTGATTACATAAGAATACTAGTGTTGAGGAGCTCATCAGCAAAATAAAGCTTGGTCCCTTTGCTTCCAGATGCCTCAGTCATAACTTCAGAAGGTCAGTCATAGATAATTTAGGATGGTAATTCTTGGAGACAAAGAAAAATAGGGACATCATTAGTGCAGCAGACTGATTATTGAGATTGATGGACAAAGCGATAGACAAAGAAGACATGGGGAGTATGGGGCGATCCTATTGGTTGAAACGAGGGGTTATTATAGACTGAAAGGGTAAATGATGTACAGCAAACAAAGGAAAGTACAGCACAGTGATGGGAAAGTACATCACTTGAATATTATTAACTATATTCTTTTCTGAATAAATATTATTCTACCTCTTCTTCTCTATTGCTAATGATTAATATATATATTATTCTACCTCTTCTTCTCTATTGCTAATGATTAATATATATATTATTCTACCTCTTCTTCTCTATTATGCAATAACTTGCTCGTTCTTCCTACAATAACTGTAGGGACTCTTGTGGGTTGCTGTTAGTCTGTTATTTACCTCCTTCGTCCATTGCAACCACCCAATTCCACCAATAGGATTGCTTCATTCACCCTATGTCTTCTCTGTTCATAGCGTTGTCTATCAATTTCAATAATCAGCCTGCAGAAGCTATTGTTTGTAATCAAGCAGAAGAAAACTGATCTATCCTTTCATGAAATCCATGATATCAATCCTACCTTTGAAAGGTATAAATGGGCTCTAGGAATAACATAAAAAACGCTTTCCAGCCACAGTGGAAACGAGAGGTAGATTTCAACTAATCGTTTCTATGAAAACAGTTGCGCTTAATGAGCCTGACAGGTCGGAAAATCGTCCCCCTTGAAGTTGAGATTTTCTGGATAAGAGGTAGTTTTAGAGGGTATGTGAATATAGGTTGTTTTGAAGGCCATGACGAGACAAGTTTTTTGAGGTATCACCGACTATGATCGGACGGGTTCTAAAAATCATCCCCCTTTGGACTTGAAATTTTCTAGATAAGGGGTGGTTTTAGAGGGTAGGTGAATATAGGTTGTTTTGATGGCCTAGACGAGACAAGTTTCTTGAGGTATCACCGACTAAGATCGGTCGGGTTCTAAAAATCATCCCCCTTTGGACTTGAGATTTTCTGGATAAGGGGTGGTTTTAGAGGGTAGGTGAATATAGGTTGTTTTGAAGGCCACGATGAGACGAGTTTTTTGAGGTAACACCGACTAAGATCGGACGAGTTCGAAAAATCACCCCCCAGTGACCTTGACGTTACTGAACTAAGGGATGGACCAATTTTCACCAAAAATGAAACTTGATGTGGACCTCATAGCGGTGAAGAGCCACGCTTAGTTTCGTTTTGATCGTATCGATAGTTCTGGAAAAAAACGGTCGCAAAGGTTCGTTAGATCCCAGTTATAAATATATACATGTATCGTACTTTTTTTATGACCTACATTTTACAACTCAGGGGTTCAGGATCAATGCTCTTTGAGCAAAAATTCCCGAAAATTACGAGGTCGTACCGTCTGCATTTTTTCGAAATCTAAGTACCTCAAAATCATCACTTACTTGGAACATATCAGTGTCTTCATCAGGCATGTACTCTACAATAACCGCTTGGTTTCTTGACAGGGTATAGGATATTGAATGTTGCTCAGCATCCAAGATTGCCTGTGAACAGAGAGGATGCCAAAGAGATATGATAAGTGTATAAAACAATTTTGCAAATTTTGGAAATACTGTGTAAGGACTTAAATTAAATATAAATTCTTTTATAAATAAAAACAAAAAGAAAAATAACCATAGAATCGACAATTCCAATAAAAAAAAAATTCAATAAAATTACTGGGAGGTAACTCACTCAGTGTTTCAGGAAAATGAATTAAAAAAAAAAAAAATTAGCGCCACTGACCCATTAAATGGTAATGGATATCTCTCTGTAATTACAAAGCTAAGAAGATGATGTGATTTTATAAGTTCATCATTTTCATAAACATAAATATGATTATAATAATTATTACACGTATATTCTCAATGATAATCAAATTTTTCATAATGTGAATTTTAGAAACATAGTAAGTAAATACTATTATTATAATGGGTATAATCATTGCATTTGTTTCTACTATCATAATTTTAATAGTTTATTTAAAAGATTGAGTGTGTATTTACCTGTGTAGAATGTGGGGTTTTGACAACATAGTGTTTAGACCTTTTGACACCATTTGCAACAGGTCGTTTGTACAAAACAAACTTACTTCGTCGTCGGCCTTTATCCACTGGCGGCATAAATCCATTGTAACTGAAAAACGAAAAAAGAACAAAACGTTCATTCATAATTTTCGATAACTGAATAGGATGGCCCTGGTGGGCTATTTGAAGTTTAAAAAAATTGATATTTCGAATGCTGATTCCAGGCCTTTAGGTTATGATGTACTTCAATTATTCAAGATTTGCAGGAATTTGAAAAACATTGCACTGATTTGGCAATGCACAATTCATCTCCTTTTGGTGGGGCAGATCTGTACCTAAAATTACACTGAACTATATTTCAAATTTGATTCATTGAAGGATTTATCTATGGCAAGAATTATTCAAACAAAGGGCAAATCAGATACTGTGTTTTTTCTACTGTAAAATACTAAATTAAAATTATTCTCCATGATGGCACTTTCATTAATATAATTATACATTTTGTATGGATTGAACAACTAAAATTTTTATAGTTATTGCTGTTAGTTACAATTTCATTTCTCTGAAACAGCACATCTCTCCCATTGTTAGTTGATGAGACTAAAATAGTCATTTGTTATTGGAGCAGGCTTCAGTGAACCACAAATCTGCACTGAAAATAGAGATCTCTGCAGCTACCAACTGCAAGATAAATTACACTATAGTAGACGAGTTGTAGTGAACTGGCTCTTTTAAAACGGAAACTATTTCAAATGATGCAGTGCACAACTTTGGTGCAACATGGGAAGCAAGTCTGGATTTAAACTGAAGTTTTCAAGCATTCTGTAGATATGGGGTTTTACAGAAAGTAACAGAGAGTGAAGAGATTGTAAGACTTAGGCATTGCAGATTATTTACTGATTCGTCAGTTAAGACATCAATCAACGCTTACACGCAGGACAAATTTTCAATATTTGAGCAACATTTTCGTCTCCCTCTGTTATTAGATCACAGGGAAATATTTGAATGTTGAGGAGAAGGATTATAAAATCTAACTACTTGATAGTTTTTGCTTATGATCAGAGAGATGCTTTATTTTCAATTAGGACTGACATCGTTTTTCTCACCTTTCAATGATACCTACTAACCTTGAGACAGTAACCAGATGTCTGTGCCACTGAATATAAATTAAAAGATGTAAGATATTTACAATTTGTTTCTATTCAGATGCACCAGTATCTATTAAGTCCTAAATAATGATCAAGGGATAACATTTCTGATACCAGACAACTAAAAAGTGGTGGATTGATTCATTCATTCAGGCTAATCATTGAATGCTTCATCTAATCTACTCACTTGAATGATTAAATACCTGCTAATTTGAAGTGCAACTTACCCTAGTATAACGAGCTCTCCATATTTGACAGGTTTACTATCTTCAATTCTATCTGGTACGGTTGATTTGGAATCTGCAGATCTGCAAAATGTCAATGAAAATCAAGAATAAGGTTAAAAATTTATAATTAAAAATTAGCTGCACGATTCTTGATTAAAACAACAGCAATGGTTTCAGTCACCTTAGGCTGACAGGGCTTTAGTAGTTACATTGGCGTTAGGTGCTGCTGACAAATGAATATAAAAATACTAAACAATTGCTCTGATAATGGTAAAATTATTGATTGCTTCACATACAGACACTCTCAGGCATCATCTGTTGCTGAGAGGTTGAAACAGAAAAGTAAAACACTATACGAAAAAGACTGTGCCTTGAAAGCTTGGCTTGATAAGTTTATCAGAGAGCCGCTGAGTTTCAAAAAAATATGGTATAAATAAATGTATCCTTGCTTAAGATTAGGACAGCAAAATTTCAGAGTGCACTTCAGCAATCTTGCCAGCTGTTCTAGAAGCTGTCTCCCCTAGGAACCCAATCACAACTAAAGTTATGATCTCCTAACTCCAGAAAATGTCTCAGGATCATGTTTGCTCGCTCAGTTTCAAACAATCGTAGCATTCGTTATTTCAGTTTAAAGATGGGTTTGAAATTGATAAACTTGGATGTGCCAGTTGCTTGAGGACTCATCTGTTGCATAGTTAATGTTGCCAGAAGGCGCCTGTTGCCAATAAGATAGGGCATAATATTACAAAAATGTTGCAAAAATTGATGTCACGCCGAAGTGTTGATAAAGAAATGATATAGTTGCCATCTGCACTGCTATGGTTATGTTAAGTCATAACTTCCTAATGAGGCTTTGAGATGACAAAAGTTGAACAGTACTGCCAGTCAAGAAAAAATGCATTACATTTTAGTGTCATCCATGGTAGCAGGATAAGCGAAGATTCCTGTCAACCTACTACACAGTGCAATCTTAGGAAAATTGTTTAAAAATATAACTCAGGATAGTGACAAAAGTGCAGATGGACAACCTGCAGACTTTTGCAAGACTAAGGAGGTGAAAGCGTTACCGCTTGACAAAGCTGGATTGAACTTGCCTGTTCTGCACATTTTTAATTTTCTGTAAGTACAAATATGGTTGCCCATCTTCATAAGGGCCCGTTCCTTAACCAGAGGTGGAATGGACCTTTTGCCATTAGCGATTCAAATACTTAATTGTATGTAAAAGTTGACGAGAAAAACGATAGTGGGTACCATTGGTTTTCTTTGGGCCAAACTTTTAAACTCAAAAAACGCTCTCGAAGTTGAGGCTGCAGAAGTCCCCACACCTTGTTAGGGGATTGTCGAGTTTGACTTGATTTGGAGGTCAACTTACAGCATAGGATTGACGATGGTATCCTCAATATTGAGAGCTTTCATGAGCGTGGGAGTTCATTTCTGCAATTACCAGTGGCATTACAGTGTTTTTCGTAAAATTGTATTGAAGAGAATATTTTTGAATCGTAAATTCCTGAGGCATGCAAGATTTCTATACAACATCTTGTCACAGCCAAACCTCACTTGCTTATTGAGGAAACCTAATGCTGTTTGATTTTTTCCTGAGTAAAGGTGACATTCTTCACTCTGGTGGATAGTTATAATTCAAAAAAAATGTTGACCGCTGGTCAAAATTAGACGGGCACTTCTATACCAGGTACCTGCCTTGGGTAAGAGAATAAGAAGAAACGATAAAACCAGACCAAAACATAATGATGCCAGGTTAAAAGAGGGTTGGCAACTTACTAAGAATTCATCCGATTCCTAGTCGTGATAGTAAAAACTACTTGATTTAAGTGCAAGGGGTAAAAGAAAAACCATATAAATGCATAGCACTGGACCAAGAATATGTTCTGAAGTTCTATGTGATTGGTTGACTGATTCTTAGATGGACACAATGATTGGGAAATAATTTATTTTTTTGGAGTCCAAGGAAAATGGGACTCTTGTTCAGTACATGAAAACTCCTGATTGATTCATGGTTCAACAGCTTGATTGCAATAAAAAAATGCTTTAGACAGGAAAAATTGAATAATATGGCAGTGAGTATTGTAGAGTTAAAATTTGCAGACAATAATGAAACTGGCGGAATACTGCTCTTTGCAGCTGCTCTGTTTGATTGCACATTGAGGTCTCATGCTTCGAGAGAAAATAAATCTTAACTACTGGAATCCGTACTTTGTTGGCTAAATAACATGAGTGCACTTAGAGCAACCGCAATCTGACACTCGCTAAGTTTACATATGATAACAAACTTGGGGAATAGCCCTCAGAGTAAGTTAATTTGACATTAGATAAGGGAGTGCAGGTTTCCTAGAGCATTAATAGACAAACATTTCATTCATAATGCAAGGAAATAAGCATCCATTCGCATTATTTCTTCATAATTGAGAAAGAAAGAAAGGAGGCGATTGATTAAAAGATTAAAAGTGTGAACTACTGCGAATGGATAGTGCTGAATTTTATCATAATAAAACAATGCCAACAACTGGGTAATGGAGGCAGTGAGTGTGATTATTGACGTGATATGGACACAATAGTAACAAAAAACACAGTAATTTAGTACCTTATCACCATCGTGCGATTAAATCATCTCTGAAGTCACAAACATAGACCGTGGAAACTCATGAACTTGGAAACGTTCAGCTAAATCCACCTTCAGCAAAATTTGATGGAAACCAAAAAATGGGGGACTCCGAACCATAACAAAACACGAGAAAACTCGTTCGACGACATTGGACTTTCAAAGGAAAAAGATAAGGATGTTGTCTCCGACTTAACGCAGTGACGTCATCCAGGCAGTATAGCGATTTACGGTTGTTCTCATTGGCTAATTGGCTTTTATCCTGTGTGACATCACATTTGATTTGAGTCACGTAGTCATTTAACAATAGCGGGAAATTTGAAACAGTAAATAGGAGTCCAGAAAAAATGGTTTTCATAAATATTTTTTAGCGTGTTTTTTTAACAACGATCAAAGATGAATTACATCAAATAACTATAATGTAGATAGATAAAAAAAATAAGAAAACTTAAACTACATCCTAACGATCCTAACTACTAGTTAATTCATTCATTCCGGTTGGTTCTGTTCTAGTTCTACCCCTCCCTTCGAGCTGTACGATCGTCTTCTTGTGAGCACCCTGTATATTAAGCATGTCCTTGGACAAGCATTGGATATTGGATCCATTGTTTTTGTTGTCGTGATGTTGGCGTATCCTTATCACTCCTGTGCATGATGACTCTTGTTTGTTAAATTTTAAGTGTAATAATGTGGTTATTAAGTCAATTACTATGTAGTTTATAGCAGTAAGCAACTTTGCATTGCAGAGTCTTTAATTTATGTGGCTATTCAAGGAAGATAAAGGCAATAATGAATTCAACAATGTATACCCTGCCCTATCACTAACACAAGGTGAGTTAAGAATTGGTACTTTTCTCTCATTAAAAAGCCTTGATAAACTGATTATCACTACAGTTAACACAATTTGATTCCAGTTCAAAGGACTACGCATCTCTGAGCCTTATAGTGTCTGATTCCAATTTGTACTGTAAAGTCGCGCAACTTCATGTACATTGCTACAACCAAAAAAAGCACGCTGTTTTTAATGAGAAGAATTGCATTGAACCTCTGTTCCCTGGAGGTCCCTATAGCTTATCCAAGTTTTGTTTCTCGTTTTAACTTTAACTTAATGTTACCTAAAATTATGGAAGTTCCTTATCATTCATAATGTAACCTCACTTTTCCTGGCTATTATAATTTGAAGATTAAACCCCTGCGATTGGTAGTACACTCCCGATCGCCCCCACGCTATCACAACGCTACAACGGTCGCCGATTGGCCAAAAGCCAGATTGCACCATACTCAAACCAACAACACTCTGACTAGAGCTCTCTTTCAAGGATGAATTTTTAATGTCAGCCAAAGGATCGTACTTCTTCAAACCTGATGTATTATCCTCTCTGAAAGATCAATATTGAGTTTGATTCATTGAATACACAAGAAACGCTTAAAATGTAGTTTCTATGAAATCACTTTTTAAGGCTGTTTTGTCAGGTACCTCTGAGACTAGTTCGCGGCAAATTGCAATGCCATGTTCGCAAGATCTCAGCCCCTGGTACTAATGTATTAAATTTATTCCATTTTAGCAGTGAGTTCCGCACATTCTTGAATTCTTTTGACTTTGGTCAACACAACTTATCAAAATTTGCAAGAATGATTATTGATTAAAATTAATAAATCCTCAAAAATACCCGCAGTCTGCGATCCTTTTATAAGAAACTATCAGAAAATGCTGCGTGGCTCATACTTGCTTCCCACTTTTGGCGAACAGGGAGCAAGGAATGCATTGATAAAGGATTGACTTCTGCTGCATTCTAGCGCATAGCAACTCTATTGTATTGTGTATGTAATGCATGTGTTGTGTAATATAATGTTTAATTTTTATAATTGAAGGATGAATTCTCAAATCCAAAGCATTTTTGATGGATATTACCTGGTGCCGAGTTCAATTCAAATCTTAAAATCCAACGCTTGAGTCTAACTATCACCGAAAATGGAACCTGACGGAGAAAGATCTATTTCTTCAGGAATATCTCTACCCCAATGGATGAAAGTCAAAATCACTGAAAGGTGAGTTAGCTGTCTATTTTAAATTCATCTGCAGCACATGAGAAGATGTTTTGGATAATGTCAAAGCTGTAAGTAGGTTTTTCTGCTGACAACTGCTAGTATTACGTCATAACATTTTTTTAAACGTTTACTAGGTATCATGGATTTATTGATGAGATCGCAGAAAACTTGTTTAACTCTTTTGGCTGCATATTTACTTCACCCCTTTAAGAGTGTTGGGCCTTTTGCCCTAGTATGAGGACACAGGTAACCATGTAAGAAAAAATTTAGAAAACTCGCAACTCAAAAAACTGTGAAAATGCATGTTTTAAGTAACCTTTTTTTAGTATTTTTTTAAAATAAATTTTGTCAGAGGTAACATTTAATTTAAAGAAAGTGTTAAATATTTCTCCAAAGATATAGGTATCTAAATACTGCCGTGATTTTCCTTCATTGTAAGAAGAAAATTCTGTGAAAACTTCAAGGAATGATGTTTATTTGTTCTCCCTCCAAAAAATAAAGTAGGAGCAAAAATTTCAAAACACTGCAAATAAGTCATGTGGTTTGGAAGTTTCACTGTCAAAATGTCTCCCATTTACTATTGGTAGCATATCGACAACGTAAGTCCGTAATCACATATCTTGTTCATGGTGTCTGAAAATCTCTGCCTCTTTGTTATTTTTTTAAAGGAGAACAAATTGACATCATTTCGTGGAGTTTATGCTAAATTTTTTTCGCACAGAGAAGAAAAATCATAACAGTTTTAAAGAATTGCTGCTGAGTAGTTTTCCGTTTCAAAAATAAAGGATGACAGGAATTCTACGACGTCGCAAACCGAGGTTATGTGACTGCCGACTTACACCGTAGACATCTTGCTTACAGTCAAAGGAGTCACCATTTTTTCCGAAGATATTTTGTTCCCAAAAGTTAGCCCTATCTATTACCTCGTTTTCAACTAAAATCAAATATTGCAGAGTACGATTTGTTTACATTTTGGAGAATGATCATTCTCTTGAGTAAGACAGCAGGTGTATTTTACTCTAAAAACCCACCCTTTGAGTTTGTCTATTTAAGTAGGTGCCTCTAGTGTCTAAAATTCACTGTTATCTTTTTGCAGGTACGATCTTGAACAAACAGCTTTCTCTCCTCCTACCGAAGATGATGGTTTTTTCTTTATGCGTTATCCATCTAAAGCAGAAAATCGATTCCCAAACTCATCTGGAAAAAGCAGCAACAGTATCAATGAAGTGCGACGTAAAATATCCTCTTCTAAAGGGCCAGTCACCGAACCGGATTTGGATTTGAATCAACACACCACCCCATGTAGACAGTTCATCCTTCAGAATAATGTTGGTAAGTTGTAAATATTCTAACAATTAGAACAAGAAGAATCTGGTCAATTGATGAATCAATCATGAACTAACTGTCTCAAGGTTATAATCCCTAAGTCAAGCAAAATGTCTTTTTCTTCTTCGGCCCTGTTAGCATTGAGAGAGCAGTTCCTCTCGCTAACAGTACAGAATGCCAGCAGGTGCACCCCATTTTCTAGATTTTTTTGCAGTTGCAAATCAATTTGCATTTGTTTTTATCAAATTAACTTTTGATCTGATAAATATTTCAATTTGTCTACTTAATTATTTCTTGTAGAACCACCAATCCAAGTCATCCAATCAGGCCTAAATAGTCATTTCAAGTCTGCTGGTGTAAACGATGGATTTAAAACCCCATTTAGCACCCTATTTTCGAGATGTTTATGCAGTTGCAGATCAATTTGCATCGTTTTAATCAAATTAACTTTTGATCTGATAAATCTTACAATTTGTCCACTTAATTTTTCTTGTAGAACCACCAATCCAAGTTATCCAATCAGGCCTAAATAGTCGTTTCAAGTCTGCTGGTGTTGACGATGGATTTAAAACTGCAGCTTGTGGAAAATCTGTGGTGGAAGTGGCCAACCAGATGATCAACTTAAAATTGTACAATGGACGCAATTCAGAAGAGCTACCCTCACCAGACAAAACCAGTTATCTGAAGCAGCGACGAAACAGTAAATCGTTACCAGCAAGCCCTGCTAGCTCCCCTAAAATTGGTAGGAGAAATCCATTCTTCTCTGAAGCTGCTTTTGAGTCTGTGCTAGACACTCATGATAATAATGCCGCCAAGTCGAGTGGATGGATCTCCTTTTCATCATTATTGAACCCAAGGGACTCCATAGAGGAATCGGCAGCAGTCTCAAGAGAAGCTAGTGAGAGAGGATCTACCTTGTCTATTGCTGAAAATCCTGAATCCCTATCTGCTGCAATTCAAAAGGAAGGAACATCCCCAAAAATTTTACGTGCACGACCATCCGAACTAAGAGAGATGAACTTTTGGTCTCCTACTTCAATGTAAAGCTTTAAGTCTGAGATCCAATCCTTCCGGTTTTTTGTCTCTCTCCTCTCTTATTTGATTCAGCAAAATTGAACAGAATGTTGCTTTTGTTAACAGGGTCATTTTATCATGGTAGTCGGATCCGAGTTATTTTGAAAGATTGGATTTTCCCGCTTAAGTGGTACTATCTCTATATTCTAATCATTATTATTTGCTTATCAGGATTAAATGGCAGACAACTTTTATAAGATCTCTTGAAAGGGAAAAAGAAAGAAAAAACTGCTTGTTGGAGAGATTAAAGATACCTTATTTATTTGTACAACAAGATCAAAAACGTCTGAATGACCTTGTACTTCATGGTTCGAATGATCTATTATAGTATCTCCTATAAGTCTTGCCATTGCATGTTAAACGTTGCAAATTAAGCATAAATGCTCTGACTAGTTACGGAAGCAATGAGGCCAAAAATGCCACAATAATCCCTTCGTCCTGTTGCCTTTTCTGACTCCCGAATGTGAGGATGTGAGGCTCAGATTCCTGAAGAGAGTCTAAGCTGCAACAAGTAAGATCCACTCAAGAGTGAAAATGGACTTTTCGTTCAAAAGTTGGGGGTGAATCTAAGGGTGTATTATAGAGGGTGGAAGCTATGTAACCAAAGGAAATGTCCAGAACGATTCACAAATGGCCTCCTTGAAATCTGCCAAACATTGATTTAAATCTGTCCAAGAGGGTATTTAATTTGATACAAAGAGATTGAGGCTTACAAACACTTAACTCTGTCCTTTTAATTTGTCTTTTTCATCATAAATCAACATTTTCTTTACCATCACTAATCGCTAATAAAAAATTTGATAATATTAAAGTTTAATGCAGATAATTGGCAGAGTAATTGAAGCAATGAGTGAATTCTCAAAAATCAGTCTGCAATAATATTAATTTTCAATGACTTTCTATCATCTTTCAGTGTTTTAAGAATCATGACTTTAGTTGAAAATTCCCCACTATAGTTTGTTAAGTGCTTAAAGGTCCAAGCTTTTAACGTTTTTGAGAAAGTGTCAAATTTTTGTAAATACTAACTTGGTCACATACATGTCGATTGATTTTCTGTGTTTTAGTTTCTATCCTCATTTAAGCAATTTTGTTAAAGATAACGTTTGTGTTCCAGAAGTCAGCAAAAGCTATTTTTGCTCACGATTTAAGTTTTTAAATTTGTTATTTTTTAGTTCTATAAGTTGATACCAGTCATCATCCTTTCATATTATCATCTTTTTTCCTTAAAGGTTTCTATCTCTGTATTTTCTAACAACCACGTACATCCAATGGTGTAAATCAAGTTTGAACATAATTTTAAATCATGCTTTCAATAATTAAAGATGTTGCAATTCCAGTCTTTGTTTTCTTTTACCTATTTTCTATCGCTTCTAAATTTAAAAAATTTACGTATTGGACTACTTTTTGCAATTCGGGACTACAATTCCTAACTCATTGGTAAAAAGACTTCGGTATTTGCACAGGGTAACCAATGGTGCATATGTTGTTTTGAAAGTGAGACAGATTTTGTAGTTCACAATTGCAAAAGTAGTCCAATCCATCTTACGGCAGGACAAGCAATAAAGCATCAAGACACATGTTTTCCTAATAAAATAAAGTGAGCATATAACAAATTTCCGCCTTTAACTTTTAAATTAAAAATTAGCATTTTCTGTGTTCCTTAAATCAACCTCCCTGCTCACCAAAAAATGAAAGTTCGCCTCAATCTAATCAGCAAGTATACTAATTTCAGTGTTCTTTACTGTAGAACAATTTCCTTGGTGTTCTGAATTTTTCTTGACAAGTTTACAAATACTGTGCATCACAGTGAAAAGGAGATTGTGTAGAATCAAATGAACTTGTACACTGGCGCATCACAGTGAAAATGAGATTGTGTGGAATCAAATCAACTTGTACACTGATGTGGGTTCTTTCGCGAGGGGGAAATTTTAATTCATTGATTCTAATGCAAACAATAACTCTGTTTGAAATTCTGATGGAAATATATCTTGTGCTACATATTTCAATTTTTACCCTGTCCATTTGTCCGTTGATAACTTCATACTTGATGATTAAATAGTTGCACCTCAAAAAAACGAGGGAAAAGGGAGGAACAAAACAGTAACACATAGCCTAATATGTGATTAAAAATTTGAGGCAAAATCTTTTTCGACAGAAAAGTGTATTTAAAATATCCATACATGCTTGCAGACAGTACAAAATTTACATTTTCATAAAGGAAAGAAGATCACGCGCCAGTACCATACATGAAAATTGAACCTGAAGATAACTAGATTAAAGCAGTGCAATATAACTCCATGTGGGTAGAAAACTGTTTCTTCAAGGCTTATTTAAGAGAGAGTACAGTATCGAAAGTTACCAGCCTTCATTATGATTCATAGTAGGGAATTTCCGTCACTTTCCTCTTGGTTGATAGAAAAAACGATAGAAATTCCCCATTTCAATTTCCATATTGTGTAAGTTCTAAAAATTCATGAGCCTTAGCAGAGACATGATAATTTAATTCTATAATTTGAATTTTTGGCACTTACGCAGATCTGTCAGTTAATACATTAAACATGATAAAAAAAATTTCATTGAAAATTGTGATTTGGCCATATGGGATGGCCAGTCAATTGGCCGAAGTGAAGTCGGAGGAATAAAAAATTCAAAGGTTAACTGAAGTCGGAGCAAAAAGTTATTAAGATCAAGTAGCCCGGAGGAAAGAGGACATTAAACAGGCATAATATGCATGATTCAAAATGAAACCCTCCAACTTTATCAATTCCTGATTTTATGTTTTTGAAAAACGGTCTGAATTTTGACTTAAATGCAGAGGGAGGAGGGGGAGATTCCAAATTGTATTACCCTTCAAAAGGATTATTTAGATTTTTGTGGATAACTTTGCATTCCTGGGCCTCCACTCAACTGAATAATTTTCTCGATATTCAAACAAAGTAAGGACTTGAACTCCCCTCCCCCTGAACTTAACGGAATTTCTACTTAAAAAATGTCTGGAGTGGTTTTCATGGCAAGTAATGTATAGTTAAAAATACAATTTTCGAAATGATGTTCATTGCCAGGATTTGATTCGTCATTCTTTCATTTACTTAATCATTTACAGGAGCTTAAAACACATGAAAAAGTTAAAATGAAGCTGAGGGGGGTTTGATGTGTCCTATGCTCGAATAGAATTTTCTTCTTCCCTAATTACATACCATTAATCATGGTACCATTCAAATCAGGGAGCCATGACTCCTGATTGTATCGTTAAATTGCACTTATATATTCAGGTTCGGAGATCCAGACTCATGAAGGTACGACAGCCCGATTTAAACTCCAGAATAAATGCTTAAACTAAAAAATTAACAAAAAGTACTTGAAAACAGATCAAAAGCTTGGTGCTAGAACTCAGTAGTTGAAACCAGGTCCACCACCACCCCCTCCGCCGCCACCTGTATTAGCCCAACCTTGGTTCGGATAAGCGCCGTATCCTGGTTGCGAGTAACCCCAGTTTTGGTAGTTGGAGAAATTAGGGTCTCCCTGGTTGTAGGGCGGGTTGAAGGAGCCTTGCCCGTAAGGTCCTGGAGCCGGGGGATGAGCAGGATACTGACCGCCAGCATATGGTCCCATTGGAGGAGCGCCATACGGAGGTGCGTGGTTCGAGTGGCCGTACGGGCCAGGAGCGGGGGGCATAGCTTGCGGCAAAGGAGGAGCAGAATTTGGTGCTGATTTGCTTGTCGAGTGTTTACTACTTGAGCTGCTGCTGCTGCTGCTGAAGGAGGATGTAGGTGGAGGCTCCAAACTTTTGGCCTCAGTTTTCCTGCAATAATAAAAAAATAAATTGAGGACCCTGCAGGAACGAAGAAAAGTAACTGGCCATAGAGAAACGGGCCCTTAACTTCCTGGAGATCAAAACAGAGATAACGCAGCAACTGAAGTAAAGCACATAGAATGTGTAAGTAAAATTTGACAGTTCTGGATCACTTAAAAGTTTTGAAATTAAAAAACACCAGTTTGATGGCCAAACTCTGAAGTGACATGTATCGAAAGTAATTTTATAAAATTTTCGTTCATAAGTACATTCAATTATCAGGAGGAAAACAAATCAGACTTTATCAAGAAAATGTGGACAATCAGCAAGTAGTGTGAATGGAATCACTTGAAGACACACCCGTGACAAGCCAAATCCTAAATATTCATTATTTGGTTTGCTGTTTGGCAAACGCCACATACTGAGAAGCCGCCTTCATCATCTACCAGTAAATAAAGTTAGACATAGTCAATGGATACTGTAGGTTCAGTACGGAAGTTGTAACAATCACATAAAATTTAAGTGTTAATAAAAAAAAAAAAAAAAAAGCATCTACCACACCACACAAGTGGAGTAAGGATGAATGAACTCGGGGATTTTTGTTTTTTCAGTCAGCCTGTAATCGCACTGATTCATCGAGCTGCTGCCAGCATTTAGGGCACAAATAGCGCAAGGCCACTAACTCATACTACGCAACAGGCGACATCTTACCGAGAGACAGCGAAACTTGCTTAAAAGAATGATTGGATTCCTTTATCAAACAACCTCCGAAATACCTCATGTATTACAGTATTTTACGCCTTGGTTTCAAGAAGAAATTGACATTCGTGATCGGCAAATGCTTCATTGAAAGCGAACATCTTGCCATGACACTTCATTAAATCTAGGTTTTTTCCCATCGGATTCTTAAGGGAGTCGGCAGGGATTCAAAATTACTCTTTAACAAGAGGAATTTTGTTCAAAGCAATTTCGTCAGAGACAGTTTTTTTTTTCTTTTTTTTTGGTCAGCATTATGACAACAAGTGTCATCATTTGTTCAAGCTTCATTGTTTTGTGGAGAGGATAAATAATAAAGAGAAGATAAGTTCACTCACAATTTTGCTTCCTCGGCTTTTTTCCTGTTATCTTTGACGATTTTAACGTACTGAAGATACTCGTTATGAGCTTTTTGGACTCTGAAAAAACACAAAAAGAACGCATGATGAGTATGCACACTGGAACCCACACACTGATTCTGTTTTAAAAGTCCATATTTTTATTAGAGAGGGTTTCTTGTCTGTTGCGATTGTTATCATCTTCAAGTGTGCAAATAATCTAATGCTAAAAATGATCTTGAGCTTCCTGTCATAAAATTTGCAATCTAATAAAATCTCTTGCTCCGTTCTATTCTCATCATTATTTTAAGTCTTAAGATCTCCAATAGGGTAGATGAAAAGTTTCTCAATGGGAAAGATAGCTCCTAAAACTCTAAGGTGAATTTGGAACACTGATAATACAGCGAAAAAACCAAAAAACAAACAACCACAACAACACAGTATGATGATCCTTCAAAATCAGATTGGATTAGTTGTACCTAAACTGAAACAATTTGAAGGAACTAGCTTTGCCTCAGAGAGGTCACACGCAATTAATAATGCTTTTTTTCTCCGGTTTTGAGAGAAACTCCTTGTATGCTTCTTAAATTCCCTGAGTTTTCCGTTTTTCCATGTTCTTCCAAAGCACCTCAATTCACCGAGCATTCCCATGTTCTGGATTTATCAAAGAGTGGCAACCCTATTCTGAGTATATGGTAACAGTTGAAAATTGCACATATAGTAAAACAGTAAAATAATAATGATAGAACTGTAATCGATCAAAAACTGCCAAGATGTCAATTCCTGAACGTACATTAGCTCGAACTTGTGAGTCATACCGAGATGGGCAAGAGGAAAGTTTGATATGCCATGATTTTTTCAATTTATGAGATGACACATTCCGTTTTGGATTGTTGTTCTAAACATCAAGGGGGAAAACTTGGGAGGGGGGGTAGATTACGATCCCACAGCCCCCCAGGAGGGGTCACAAAACAGGGCACCCTCCCAAAATATCAAAATTTTCAAAGGGGGACTCCCTGCTTGTGACACATGTGCCAAGCGATTATTTTCCCCATCCCAGTACAATTAAACAGATAGATTTATGCAGAAAAAGTCTACCCATAATGAGAGATTAAAGTAAAAATCTATCTGTTTGAGAGATTGGGTGGGTTTTAGGATTGGAATTTGGAGGCTGCTTTGGAAGGAATTCTATGATCAGATACTGTTATAAAAGGGAGACTAAGCAGTACAAGGTTACAGTACTTACGCAGAGGCATCGGAGGCAAAGTCTTCCAGGAACTCAACCTTGTGTTGGGCAATCATCACCTTCTGCTCTGCTTCAGCATTGTCCTTGCTTAAAAACTTATCCAAGTAAGATACAACTTCGTTCACATTTAAAGGAGTTCTTTGCATGCATAGATCTATGATTTGAAAATAGAGCCGTGGGCAATCCTGCAATCAATAAATAGAACAACCAATAAAGTTCTGTGAACGGTTAAATTAAATTTTAAAAGGAAAAAAGCACTTAATTTTTAGTTGATTTCAAGTCGCTTATGATTAGATTATTCCCGTTTGAGACCCCTTTCGATGCTTTCACAATATGGCATCGATCCACTGCAAACTTGCTAATTTAAACTTTGGCTAAAAAGATAATACTTGAAACAGTCTTTTATTGAAGTTTAGTATGCATGGACTGCATTTAGCGAAAAGGAACCAGCGTGATTACAGTGCTTTCAAAATCGTGCAACTTCTCCTTTTCTTTTAAAAATACTTCATATACGTACAGAATTAAAATTTACACGATTATTTTCCTTAAAAATTAACAATTTTTTGGTGGGAAGCTAAAACAATTTGCTATTCTGGGAGATTTTTTAGATAATTATGTAGAGGCAATATTTTTACAACACTGTAACACATCGCGCTGGTTCCTTTTTGCTAACAGCGAACCACATATCAAGATGCAAATAAATACAACACAGGTGAAATCAAAACTTACCTTGTCTTTTTCCATTGCTTTTTCCAGTACTTTGATTCCTTTGTCTATGTCTAGTAAAACCTTGGAGAGAAGAATAAAAAGAAGCAGTTATACAAGATTATTTTTACTTCAATTATGGAGGATTCCACTAAAAGGGTGCTTTTTCACAAAATATATCACTGCACTATTGTGTACAAGGCCAGAAGTTGAGAGATTACTGAGGTCCCATCAGTGAGGACATTAAATTATTTGCAAGAAAATGACCGCTGGATAGAATTTGATCATTTCATTTGACTAATCATGATTTCAGATTAAACTTTTTCTTTCATGGTCAATGTTGTTTTATCTTATTTGTAATCCCACTAAAAAAGGAAAACTTGAAATGCAATCAATGAGTGCGTAAGAGAGCTACAATTAAATTTTTTTAAGTGTCCTCTTTACACTGGACTTGGTTCTGTTTACTGGAATAAATGATCTGCTGCATTGTATCTTAAACCTACATACAGAAAAGAAACGTATGAATGTAACTGCGAAATAAATTGAGGCTGAAGGATTTTTCGGTAATTATGAGTTGAACACTTCCTTCCCGAAGGTACTCTTCACTAACTTCAAAACTTCACTAGCAATACTATCTGTTTCCTTTGCTACAACAGTTTGTCATACTTACTTTCGCACAGAAACGTGCATACTTCACAACCATGTTGTTCGCCATCTTTGAATATGCTGAACTGCTGATATAATGTTCATACAATTCACACACTTTTGGGTAGGCTTTCCGTCTTCGTTCCAAATTGATACGTCTAAATGCAACTTGAGCAAGGGAGGGAAAATTTCTTTCGAGGTTGCTTAAAATTTCAGCTGCTTTTTCAAAGTTGCCTGCAAAAAGAAGAAAAAAGGAATAACTTAGATACTATACATATATGCTGGATGGAGACTTGGAAGTATTTTTAACAGATCAAATGGACGTATTTCTACCAAACAGACCTATGTGCATTGAGACATGAGCCCTGAGACCCATAAGCATATGTGCATAACAGGGCTCACGTCATAATGCACATAGTTCCGTTTGATAGAAATACGTCCAAATGGTAGTTAGACTATACAAATGATGTCATACGTATTTTTGCCACTTAACCCATGTTGATTGGACTTCGTTAAGCAGTAAGGAACCAAGCCACATCAGCTACTGCCAAATTTAATCGGGCGATTTAATTTTTTACATTAAAACGTTTATGCGGATTTTTGTGCAAATTTTAGAGAATTGTCTGCAGCAAATTCCTTAAAATTTTCAAAGGAATTCGCACAAAGGTTCGTTGTAAAAAAATTAATTGCCCAATTAAATTTGGCAATAGCTGATGTGGCTTGGTCCCTTTCTGCCAAACGCAGTCCAATTGTAAACTTTCTGTTTGATTCGGCGTGACTCTAGATAACTAGGAGTTGATTTCCAGATTTCCTGTTGTTCTGTTTGTTTTCCGTGTAAAATTTTAAGGAAAAAACAGGCTGCTCAATGCTCCGTACAATTGCTATGTCTAGTTTGCTTGTCCCGCGATCTATTTACAATGTTGTTTACCTTGTATGTCCCTGCACACTACTCTCCTCTAGCAGCTGCTCACAGCATAAATATATTGAGGTCTATAGGCACTCTCCTTCGTTCACTCTATGAAATATATACATAAAAACTTTGATACAACGGAAGTCAATTCAACGAATTCTTCAAATTAACGAATTTTTTTCGCGGTCCATAAAAATCCTTATCTGTTTAATGTAAAATAAATTCTGTATAAAGAATTTCGGTACAACGAATATTCGCTTTTACGAAGGAAATCTTCGGTTTGAGTACAAACTTTACCATGCAAATCGAACTCAATTTAACGAATGCACGGGAATTTCCGCGCGCCCGGCAACACCGCTGGGGAGAAAGCATGCTTGTCTTCACCTACGTATTGTACGTCGGTGTCGGTGCAAAGATCATTTTCCGATATGGCGGGATTGGGGATTTCCAAGGCGCACATGTTTCCTCGAGTAAACAGGGTGATTAAGGAGCTACAAGAACAGTGTCATCAGTACTATTCCAACCCCTGCCGGGTGCTCATCCCTACTGCTGCGCAGTTTTACTGATCAAGTGCTAACCGGGTGTTTCCCGCCAATTTTTCGTAAAATATTGTCATAGTTTAAGGGGGGGGGGCAGGGATTTGTACACCTAACTGGAAAAAACCGAACATTTCAAAAAAATTTGTGGCCTAAAATCGGGTTTTCCACGGTTTTCGATTTAACGAATATTTTCACCAGTCCCCGGAAATTCGTTATATCACAGTTTTACTGTAGCTACTTTGTGTTTGGCACATCACACATTCCTTCTTGCCCTGCTTCCTTTTGCACCTACTATCACAATTCATACTTTACCTTGTGTTTCCTCAAATATGGCCCAGTGCAAGTGAAGATTGGGTTTTTTCACATGATGAATTGTACAGGCTCTTTTAAATGTGTTTTCCAAATTACTCCGATATTCGTCACCTTGTTTTTCCAAGAATAGAATAAACTGTTTCAAAAATAAAATATTATGGATTAATGTAAAAGAGCATAACATCAAGAGTTATCAAGAAGTACATGAACAAAAAAAAGAGTGAGGTAAGTCAGTTAAGTAAAAATAAATACAGTTAGCGAATTGATGTACCATTCAGTTTTTTTTAAATATTACTAATTTTGGTTTGGCATCAATCTGTCAGTTTAATCATTTTTCCATCCGCCATAACATTATCGGGGGGATTAGTGGGTACAGTAAATGAAACTATATCTGCGACCAGTATGAAATAAAAAAGGATGACAGTCAGAGATGCTTGATATGGGATATATGCAGAGATGGTCGAGAAGAATTTGCGCCCCTGATGCAATGCTTTTAAGTTTCACCTGACAACTTCTTTCTTCATTCAATAACGGGCACATACATCAAACATTTAAGGAATTTTTCATTAAACGTTCTGTTGCTCTTGGTTTCATAGTGTAATGTTTCATGTTATGGTCCTGGAGGGACATCAGCCATTTCATCAAGGACAGCATTAGCAAAAATAAATAAAAAAAAAAAAAAAATTGGTCATATTACACACTAACAGAAATGAAGGCAATTCGGTTTTGTAAAGGTGAGTTTTTCTGAATTAGTATTTACCTTTAACCAGAACTCCTCGTAAAGTGCACATGCGATTAAACAGCGCTCAAAAAGAATAATGATTCTCTCCATGTCTCCTTGTGCTATTTCAAATTCTAGATATGAACGCCAATTTTCCAACTGACATCGCTCCAGAGGTTTCACATGAAAATATGGTCTTTTAATCTGCAAAAGGAAAACATCCAAGTATAACATTACATACACTGCCAAGAAGAAATGCAACACACATAATTAGAAAGAAATCTTGGGTTTATTCAGACAGGTAAAATCTATGACAAACACATTTTTCAATTGGCGCCTAAAAGTTTTTTTTTGGCCACTTTATTTGAGTTAATAAAAATTATTGAAAGTAACTTCTAACCAAGATATTAAAATTTTTTGATGCATAAGTTTAACCTTCCTGCTCATAGGAGAACCACATTCTACTAAGTTATGCGCACACTGGAATTACTGTATCAGTCCCTGCGGTATGATATAATTGTAATCTTAATCTTGGCACTTTCCCTCAGCTGTTGCACGTTTTTTAGACTTTAAACAACACAGGGCAGGGAAAGGACACTGCTCGATTAAGAAACTTTCCAAAATTGGCTTAGTGCACAATTTCATTCTTGTAGACTTTGGATTTTGCTTGTAAGCGGAAAATTCAAATTTTTCGTAACTAGTGCTAAAGAAAAACGTTAATATCTTAGTCAGGAGTTAATGTCAGTAATTTTCATCGTGGGAATCATGTTCTGCATGAAATTTTGAAGAAGAAATAGTTATCAGGATACTTAAAACTGTACATTCTCTAGCAGGCCATTGGCTTTGTCTGTATCGTACATTTCCTGATCTTCCATGTCAGCTGCCTCTTTTTCTTTATCACTGGTGATTAAGTGTGTTTTAAGAAAGCTGTTGAAGAACCTTACTTAAAAGGAAAAAAGAGACAGCAGATATGGAAGATTAGAAAATGCAGGTTACAGATCATGCAAATGGGCCACAAAAGAAGGCACAAATTTAGGCATTCCAATAGAGCTTACTCTTCAAAATTTCATGTAGAAGACGATTCCTACAATACAAATTACTAACATTAATACCTGACTAAGATATTAGCATTTTTATTGAGCACCTGTTAAAGACAATTTGAATTTTCGACAAATTGATTTTTAAATTTCCTAAGGTACTTTAGGTAATTTTTATGCAATTTTACCATAATATATCTACTTGAGTGACTCTACCTCTCATGTGCAATAGATCTATTTAATCATTCAATTCCCATTTTTAGTTTGCAGGGTGTATCAACGATACACTCTTTACGATGCTATCCGTCCATGTTCTAGATCTAACTGAAGTTTGACTTTTGAAAGTATTTACTTACCCCATCTTCATACTTCAACCTTTGAGTGACTGCCTCAGCAGTAGCTTTGTGTACCTTCCTCCGCATTGCTATAATTTTATCTCTCAGTGCAGCTGTCTCCTCATTTGTCTAAAAATAAATGAACAATCATTGTACATGCTGTATGATGCAAATCATGTAACAATAAGCTAAAGAGAGAAAAAATCCGTTAAAATTAATTTTTAATGCTGAAGATATTGAGAACAATCGAAAATATTCAATGAGTCGTACATTATAAGAAGAAAACTTTTGATTCATCCTACTAAATTTTGTTGAAAGACAGAGACAATGACTCACATGTTTGATTTCTTTTTCATCACTTGGTTCTTCCTCACCAGGCGGTGCGTCATCTCCTCCAGGAACTCCAATTAACGGTGAATCATACTGCTTCAAAATCTGCAATACTTCTCGGCGCAAATTTAAGAAATCATCGACGGATAATATTTTCCTCGGACTGTGTTTCATGACATGATCTTGAAATCTGAACAGTAATGAGAGTATGAATAACAGAATAAATTTAAAAAATAAATGAACAATAATAAATGAGCAAATAGGACATAACACAAGATGATTGATATTTCAATTCAAAGAGACAAGATAATTTTATTCTTATCAATTTTTAAATTCAAATTTCTACTTAGAAAGACAATGATATGAGGGACTTCACCCATGCAGATCATTGAAATGAACCATAAGTACCTTTGACATAGGAAAATGTGGTTTGTAAACACAAAATTTAGAATTCTTGTATTCAACTATAGCCTCTTCAGTTTACAACTCTGACAAATCCTGAATACTTTCTGGAGTTTTGGAACTGAAGAAACTATCCTCATAATTCATCCCAAGAATCAGGGAAAAATGATGCAGCATAATTTTTCTGACAGACTGAGGATACTGCATGAAGTCCTAATATATGTTCCTAATTTGTTTTTAAATTTCGTAATACACTTAGATTTTCCCCCTTAATTTCATATTAAGCATTTTGAAGCACCCAGAGGCTCATCAAAAATTGCTGCCAAGTTTTTGAAGACCGTTTTTGAAATTATCGCCTGCTTATAGTTCTTGCATTAATAATACAGAATTACGTCAGACATAATGTTGCGAAGATTAAGATGCTAGAAAGACGTAAAAATATCCACGAAGATGATACTAGAAAAAAAAAAATTCCTCTTAAATCTGATGAAATATTTAGAATGACAGAAATAAAAATGTACTATAAATTGCCTAAAAATCTGGAAAAAGTTGCAAATGAAAAAAATTTTGACAAAAATCTCAACATTTTTTTTATTTAACAGTGGGTGCCCTTATTCAGTTAAAAAATTCACACATGAAGGCTGAACCACTTCATGTTATATGTATATTTATTATGTATTTTTGACGCTTTTGTAAAGCCATTGTGCATTAAAATCAAATAAAGCATAATCTTATCTTATATAAATGCTTGTTTTCCACGTCACATCTATTTTCAGAGAGGAGGCAAAAATGTCTCCACAAGATTTCTTATTTTTCTGACCTGATTAAAATTGCCAAGAACAGTTTAAGCTGAAACACCAAACCTACTTACTTTTCAAAATGCGTTAAGTAATTTTGTGTTGGAGTTGCTAGAAGCTTGTCAAAGATAGCCGTTACATTTACCAATTTCTTCTTGTCTGTTTCCCACTTAATGTAGCTTTCCCACAAGCGATCGGAGCTATGAAGAAAAGAGATAATACATTTAAGACAATGACTGTTGATTCCTACCTATTTTCCAGTTTGCTGATAATTTTTTCTTCTTGTGTCAGAATTGACTTTCGTGATAAAGATTGCATCTAAATATGAGGGTTAAAAGGAAACCAATAACAGTCCCAAAGAAAGGAGATGGACATTGTGGCCTAAAAATGTTATGTAATGCTTTAGAGATCATACCAAACAAAACTCATGTCTACATTTGCCATGTCATCATCTCAGCTGTGGTTTAGGATACCAGAGTTCCGGAAAACAACAAATTTAAGAGAAAGGCAAGGAGGAAATGGAAAAAATTGTTGTTAAAAAAAAGGAGTTTAAAAATAATATTGAGAATGGTTCTTCAATTTATTGAAAAAGTCTCAAAAGTACAAATCAAATTCACCCGCACCCTAAAATTCTTTCCATTAGGGTCCTAAAACCATGTAGCTCTTGGCTATCCTCGTCTTGAAGCGCAACTGTCTTTCCTTGAAATGTTTACAAAGTTTGATTTCTGTTTTTTTCACTAACTGGTGAATGGGCAAAGACACAGGTCGCACTCTCCTGAAAATGGCTTTGAACAGCATAAAAAGAACATTGTAATTTGGGCATTGTCTGCGGAACACCGCCTCGGAGAGAGACTTGCTTTACTCAATGCGATCTATCAGCAGGTGGCAAAACGGCAAATCTTGACACACAAGTATAACTTTGAACCCCGTTTTCACTTTTATGGGCCACATTCCTGCGCCTAACCAACATATTTCACCTACAAACAACCCACAACGATGGAGAGAATTTCAGATATAGAGTAGAGATTAGATTAGATGTGGCAGCGAGACAATTGTCGTTAGGAAAAGCTCATTTCTGTAAAACGAAAAAAAGAAGTAAAGTGGATTTCGCACTTTCAAATTTTAAAATCATACTCTTGGGACTATTTCTGTCAGTATTACCTATGAAGATCACAATTTGTTACTAGTGTATTGCCCGGATATTTAGGCATGAATTTCCTTTTTTACTTAGGGATGACCGAACAGATAACTTTCATGACTGATGGGAGGAAACAACTGACTCGGATTTTGATTGAATCAGAAGCAGAGTTAGAGGTAGCAAAAAGTTTGGTACTTCAGATTCTAAGATTATTCTTCCATTACTTCATCACTTTTTAAAATCGCAAAATCGAACGTTCAATACCTTTGATGAATTCACCTTAAATTTAAATTAATTTTCTTGCTGACAAGATACAATTTTAGTTTCGTGTGTGGAATTCCCTCTTCTCTAACATTGAGAATTTATTTCAGACCCATCTTTAATTTTACACTCTTTCCTGTAATGCCCTTGTTACCTCAGATTTTAAAGTTAAAAATGAGCCTTTCGTTAAAATAGAAGAGAACCTTGCAGAGTGAAAGACAGCTGATGGTTGCTGGAGTGATACATGGAATTTTTGCTTTAGTATTTCGAAGAAGCGGCTCTCTACATATTTACACAATTCATTTTTCGTTCCTGACGACATACATGAAGTGCAACATGAGGAATCTAAAGATTAGAAACCTTTTGAACACTTCTGATGGGTGCCAAAACTTTTGACTTAAACTCCATCAAAAAAAGTAAATTCCTCAATACAGTGTGAGTCTTTTTAAACTTGTATTTTGGAAATATTCACAGAGGGGATTTTTTCATGGTTATACGATTGGGAGCAAAACTTCACGAATCCTGATTCCAATATTGATACCTGTAACAATAAGCCTAAGGATGGCTGGAGATGCCAAAGATTAGGAGAGGAAGGAAGCAGAGGAGAAAATGAGCTTATTAGAGCAAAAATAGATAAGGTGACAAGTTTAGCATAGCTACGATTCATGGGTTGAGGTGATGTTGGTTGCATTCTTCTGGTCTATGAAACTTTGGTTGATCCTTAAAATTAACTTAGCAGTAAATAAGAGAGATAAAGAAAACACACTTGGACAGGTGAAACAGAGCTGAGAAAAACTTTTTAAAACAGCACTAACCGAAATTCTAAACCACAAGCTTGAATAGCTTTATCGTACAAAGAGCGGATCCCAACTTCGTCTTCTGGATAAGTTGTTCTAAAATAATTTAGGTAATGGAGCCACAAATCAACACTTAATGGAATTGCGCTTAACCCGCTTACGAAAACCTGTTAACAGTTATAAATGTAAACTCATTCATTACAACAAAAGAAATCAATCGACAAAATTAGAAATTCATGAGAATAAAAGATCTTACATTAACACTCAACAAGTTTTTACAATGGACAATTAAAAGAAACGAAGTTACAATAAACATGAAAAATTATCAAGATAGGGCAAAAATTCATACATAGATTTTTCAAGTTTTGAGACCACATTAACTAAAACTATACCAACAAAATCTGAAGACATACTTAATATAATAGAAAAATTAGAAAAAAAAGAAGGAAAAAAAAACAAACTTATTCTAGCTTTGAAATGATCGGCAACTTAAAAACGCAGATAGTTAAAAAATTACAAAATAGAGAACTGGAATTGTATAAAATGGCTTCAATTTGAAAGCTTACAAAAGATATGATTAAAAAATTTGAAATTTCTTACAGAAAAGTTAATTTTTTTGGAAATTTTTTCAAAAGTCTTACTGAGGTAAGCAGAAACAAACTTGATGTAAATATTACAAATATTATTGTCAATTTGACAGATACTTTTTGTTCGATATATGTAAATGTTTACAAAACGAGATTAGGCAAGCTGGACAAAAAAAGAGGAAACAATGAGGTTTTGGCATGGTGTTACAATAATGATACAAAGATGAACTCCACAGGACTGGTGCTTCGTTTTTATCTCCTTGTACAGGAAAAAGAGGGAGAAAAAAATTAAGTTGATGAGTGAAAAAGTAGATTGAATTTAGAAATTCATGTCTCTTAACAACTACTTTAAATATTCATTAGACAGTAAAACAGCTTTTATTGAACTTAGCCTAGGTAGCTTCATACATTCACTGCCAAAAGCATTACAAATTACTTATAAAAAACTGAACAAAAGAATACAAATTTGATTAGAAGAGCACAACATAGAAATAGTAAATTGATGAATGCAACAAGACAAAAATTTTATAAAAAGTTTGATGTTGACAATTATACGATAATTTAAGGATTCCACCTTAAATTGAATAACTGTAAGGATACATAACGGAAAAAAAGCAAGGAAAATTTTCTAGGGAATCTGAAGGTTTAAACAATTATTTTCAGGATGACATTAAAAAAAACTTTGAAAATTTAACCACAATAATCAGGCAGAATTCATCATTTCTGTAAAACGTTTAAATACGATTGAGCACAGAAAATTTGGAGGTTTTACTAGGGAAAATTGAGACGATAAATAATTTTCAGATATTTGAATTGAAAAACATAAATAATTGAGACGTGAGAGGAGAAATTTAAAGAAGAGAATTGATAGTCCAAGGAAAGAAAAAAAGAGGAGAACATTGAAAATTAAAACTTCAATAATTTTAGCAACCGAATCTTGTCTTTAAAATTTTAATTGAAAATAATCGGAGGTAATGACATTTTGTCATTTCTTCAGGACATCAACTCAACATAACAAATGATATGCTAGGAGCAAGGTGGAAGTTCCGATTCATTTGGATGGCGTAAATCATGCCTTAAAATGATGAGGAAAAATTTCCTTCAAACATGAATTTGCTATGTTTTTCATGCACATGACAATATTTTGTCACTTAAGAACGATTTTACCGCCATGAGAAGTATGAAATAATCATGCAAGGGTAATACGAAATTCTGTTCAATTTGCCTATAAACTAAAAAGGCACAATTACTGTTTAAAATGCTCTTTACTAAGTTTTGATGGCTAAAAACTGTAGATGTGGCTACAGATTTTCATCTGACTTTGGTGTTACCACACAAGAAAGACTCGAAAAACAATTTTGGCATCACTGGGATAATCAAATAAATGCATACCTCAACAATTGGTTTCAGAACTATGATTAATTCCATTGAGCTGTGCCAGAATTAATTTTCTTCAAAATCCAAAATTTTCAATAATATCATACATCTTCAAGACTGCTAATGGGGGGATCGAGAATTGAAATAATCCGTTCAACTTGTTACTGACTAAAAACTTGTTTTGCACCCGATAAAAACAGTTTACAAACATTCATACCTAACAACTTGCCAAAGAAAAAAAATATTCCTCAAAAGGTAATATTTTACCAATACACTTAGGGTTGCCACAGATTATAAAAAATGAAATTCCTGGCAATTCCTAAACACATCTTGAGAAAATTCCCCTACATTTTAGGAAATGCTAGATTGTTAAAAAGACAAAATTTGCAATGGTTTTTGTGCCAAATTTGTTGTTCGAAACGTCAAACCCATTCTGGAATGCAAATGAAGGTGATTTAACAGTTTTTCCCTAATACTTGAGTCATTTTCCCCGACATTTCTAGGTTTTCTCTGACTTTTTCCAACTTTCCGGGTATTTTCTGTCTGTGGCAACCCTATGCATGTATAGGAAAAGTTGCTATGACTGGCTTGGAAATTACACCTCCACAGAAAGTATAGATGGATAGAGCCCCAACAGTATGGGGAAAAAGTGAATTACAACTTTGATGCAAGAGCAATAAATTGGATACATGGCTGAAAATTATGCATTTGCAAATTGTTTATAGTAGGCAACATCTACCGCTTAACAATCAAGTAATGATAGACCAAACTATGGATGCTTGTGCCTTCTCTTGGCTGTGTGCTGAACTTCTTCCTCACATATCTAACCTCTATTTCAATTTTCTACCATTATTCGGGTTCTAACCTTTTATGCCATTTGTAACTGTATGATACTCGGGGTCTCTACGCAAGATGGCAACTCAACTGTCATCAAACTTTGCGCAGAGAATATTGCGGAGCATAGAGTTAGACTCTCTGATAATCGTGTCTTGTGCCATCATCACAATCCCCACATTGCAAGCTTTTTATGAACGTGGAATTTCCTTTCAGACCACGCGAATGGCTTTATCGATTTTTATGTGAACTCCTACATAGCATTGGCTGAGTAGATTGCCAGAACTCTACTGATAGTAAGGAAATATTGTAGTTATAGAGAGAAAAAGAGGATTTTGAAGACAGAGAATACTGAGTCCAAAAAACAACAATAAAACCTCAAATCGATACCTACATAAATAACAAATAACATAATTTCTGAGGAAGAAGCTTAAAGATGTATTTGTTCTGCCAAAATTAAAACCAAAATGAGACTTACAACATAGCTTTGATATGAAGTCAGACGAATGTTATCCTGATGGTTGTGAGAATGAGTCTGAATTAGTCAAGGCATGATAGAAGATTTAAAAGAAAAATTAAGGATTGACCCATTTCCATTTTATAGATGTCCAGTTGGGTCTCTAGGTGTCTCAGAAAAAAGTCCCTAGGACTTGAGGGTTCACTCACCAACTAAAGGGAAAAGGGGCCCGAATTGGTTCTAAAAATTGGTTGTCTTAGAGATATCTTGAATACATGAAAAAAAAAATTGAAAAACTACTTGACTTCTACTGTGTTCATATAAAATTTCTCAGAGGAGACTTATTAACTTGTAGTTTAGGACCCTATAAATAACCTAGGCCTGGCACAAATTGAAGATGGATTATAAAGCCACCACGGGTTGTAGGGACTTCAGAGACTCATTATTGGAACCTAAACACAATGACCATTGTAGCACACATCTAAGACTCTGGAAGATGAAAATCACTGAGAGCTTCGGTCTAGTTTTTTTGTTTCACTTCAAGCAATTGAGATATGAAAGGAAATTAAGAACTTTTCGATTAGGAAGAAAAAACTACGAGCAGGTAATAAAAAAGTCAAAATTTAGTAGTGTCTGCAAATACAACATTTAATTTAGAAATCAACGATTTGGTGAAGACACTTGATTCAAAATGGAGACCAAATGAATTGTTCAGATTTTGATCAAGTCTTCAACCTTGTTCAACATAAGTATTTTCTCTTCAAGTACTTATGTAGATACAATTTTTGTATTGACCCAAGCACATGAAAAGAATGCTTACATGGAACTTGATTTAGAAGCAACGTTTCTTGTTTAAGGTCTCTGAGCAAAATGAAAATAATGAAAAAGGAAGATAGTCATCAAATTTGGGCTCCCCAAAAGGCTTTCCATTAAATTTGAGTCTAAAGCTACATCCTATCAAACTATCCCTTGAAGGAATCAATTTTTGTTTCAGTTTTAGAGCTTATGATGTCACTAGATCTACAGACGCACACGTGTGCAGTGAAAATCTCTTTTAAATTGATAAAGCAAGTTCATCAATAAATACTTCAATATGGAATGTTGCAAACTTTCTATTGGATATTAATAATTACTTTTTCAACAATCAAGCATGTTTTGATGCTGTTTAAACCATTGCTACCTTGGCAATTTGTTTCTCTGTTTCTCGTTTCTGATTTAGCCCTGTGCAAAGTTATTTTGGTAATTCCTTTCGCTAATTTAGCTAAACTTGAAAATCTACAGTAGCCTTCCAGTTAAGCTATCCCTTGGTATAGAGAAACTTGTTTAGCAAATGAAGCTGTAAAATAACATCGAAATAGCAAACTAAACAGATAAATTAGCCATGCACAGGATTAAGTCAGGGAAAGAAAAAGCTGTGTTAGCATGAAGTTTAACTTAATCAGCATTCAATGGAAAATGCTGAATTAGCTATTTGTAAAATATTTATTAAGCATTGATTTTTTTCTTGGTATTTAAATTATTTTAAATACATGTAAAAGGATAAAGTTTAGAGTTACCAATTTTTCAAATATTATCACTGGGAGACTGGGCTGAAAGGGTATCCAATTTGTTTGAAAAATGAATTCCTGAAATGTTTGTATTTAATAGTGGTCCTATGATATGTAGCTTTGTTGTAATATTTTACAGAAGAATAATAAAAAAGAATGCAAGAGATGAAAAATGTTCACAACATTGACGGCCACAATATGAATCTACAATCTGCTCCGGATTCTCGGGTCTAACCTGAGGACCTGATGATGATATTTCAACATTTTGACAAGCCCATGATGCAGAAAATTCTTGCACTTTTTGCTTGAGTGAAAGCAGAACTAAAATCTTGTACTGCATTGGCAGAATGCATCACTGAGTTAGCAACTGGCAATCACAGTGGGTCAGTTGCGCTGATCATAGACTCAAGTTTTGATGCTTGATATTCATAGATTAGCTAAAAAAAAATAAGATCTGTCCTAACAGCTACTATCCAAGTTCAATATTAACCGAGATATCACGCTTTGTAAAACTCGGTTTAAACATCATCCACCACGGTAGTAACACTCTCGATTTCTTCCCCCTTGGTTTTTTCCGTGCTGTAAGCTGAGCAACCAGTACATATGTGTGTGTTACTGATTGATGAATCCAAGGTGGAAAAAACTAGAGGTGTCATTGCCATGGTGGATGACATCAAAAACCGAGTTTTTCAAAGCACTATATCTCGATTAATATTAAACATAAGAAGTTGCTAAAACATGATTCGGTGACTATTGCAACGGACCCGCTTAGCAAAAAATGTTGATTTTTAAATTTTTGTTATACCGCAGAAATAAAATACTTTGCTCTCATTCTGGTGTGACAGTCAACATGTTGGTCATAGTTTGAAGGTGCCATGTTGCCCTTGCAAAAAGTTGGAGTAGATTATAAACTCTAACACCAAAAAACTGGTAATTACTTTTAAAACCTTGCAACTCTGAGTTAAAATCATTATGCAGATGGAGGACAACTTCAAAAGTTTGGTTGATTGCATGCAAAGAAATGATAAAACTTACCTGTTCACAATGTTCCCTGCTGCCTTTACGCTTTTCAAAATCAGCATATTTCCTCCAATATCCGTAGCAATAGGGATAGCGAGCTAGAAATGCATCATATGCTTCCCTCGCATGTTCCACATTCGACTGTAAGAAGATAGGAGGAGCTATTAGTTCTTGTAGTTGAAATTAATTTTTTTCAAGTAGTTAACAGATTACAGAAATGTAATTTTTATGTGCTGTTTCAACTTTTGTTTTAATTTTTCTCCTACGTAATTCAGATTCTGCTCGATACGAACGTTCAGTAGTAGATTCTTTGAGGCCCAGGGGATGGAAACCTCCTTTTTCCGAATGGAGGCCTGTTGCAGCAAGTCTGGAATAACTGGTGCTAGTACAGTCAACACTCAATCCCCCTTTTGTAGAGTGCTGCATGATATTTTCGGCCAAGTTGTATTTTTGCTTGGTTCTGGGAAAGTCCCATAAGGTTAATGTTAATAATTCAGGCCTAATTTACATTGCTGGCAAAATAGCATCCGCTTAACGTGGACAAATTTCTTCCTTCTAGGTTTTTTTTTTCTTACTTGTCCTTGACTATTTCAACAGCTTAGGGAAGGTTGCTTACAAATATTATCTTATCTACTGTAAATCTCGGACAATCTAGGATGGATAAGATTCATTGTCAAAGGTTCCAAGCACCTAGCATAAGTCCAAGCGCATTTGTGTGATAAAAGAATGAGTCAGTTAAGCTAGGGAGGGATTTGCCTGCAAATAGTCGAGTCTTACAGTTTTCGGTATGAGAAGAATGATGCGCACGTTAAAATTTCAGGAAAAATTGTCTCCACGGAGATTTAACGCTTCCTTTTTAGGAGCACTCGAAAACATGTTTGAACCGACCGCCGTGAACCTTCAAATCTACGCGTCATATAGACGGGTAGATGGCGGCGACGAAGCCAACCTGTTTACTACCGCCATGCTGCCGTTGATGACATCACGATTTCTCGTTTGAGGTTAAGTAAGTTCTGCGTGAATGTTTCATATCCTATATAAATCTGTGTCACATTCTGATTGAAAAGCTTAAAGAATTAAGAACAATGGGTATAAATCTAAAAGAAAGTAACCCACATAACATCCAATTAACCAACAAAAACATGCTGCCGTGTATTCTTCCACTGCGCATTCCGCCGCCATATTGGTCGTGATGTGTACATGCGAAACCTACGAGTGCGCGGTTCAAACGCCGTTTTAGGCCACCCTAATTTTTGGCACTTTCAAATAAACTTTTCTCCCGTTTGCAGTCATCAAAAAAAATTGGGAAAAAAACTGTAAGCTTCAGTTACTTACTGCTTTAGAATGACACAATAAAAACAAATGACTCAACTGACTCATTGTATTTTAACTGAACCTTTGCTGCAGCGGCAGTCAATTGTTTGTCCCTTACTGAAAGTCAAGCACTGCTACTAGAAAAAAGTACTAGATGACATTGCGTCTGAACAAATATAAATTTCTTAGCTTCAATTGGTTTGGATTTGGTGTGCAGTTAATATGCTGATCATTTTTGTCTTTCTTGATTAAAGAGCACTGCAAATGGTGAGAGAAAAGAATTCAAATTGAGGTGATTTCTAGGAGGTATACAACTTACTTCCATGTCAACATACTGAAGCAGGTAAGTCCAGCCTGTAAAATCTGTGGGATCTTCCCTGACTGCCTTCCAGTACTTTTCAAGCTCTGGCACATACTTCTTAAAACTTGACTGAAAAGGAAACACAACATCAATGAATTCTACAAAAGAAAATACAATTAATAGATGGAATAGGGCTGTTAAACAATGTTTTATTTTTATTTTTTTATTCATTATCTGAAAATATGTAAAATAAAAAAAGAGAAAGCCTACATTTTCCTGTTTTCCATTAAGTCAAGTTTTAGCTGAGGGATAAATACTTTCAAAGTCACCAAAAATACAACCCTGTTTCAAATGGCAAAATGTTGCACCAAGCGATTTGGTGATATCACAAAAAAAATTGGCTGACATGTATCCTTCCACCTTTGTTTGTTTAGTTACTTTCAGATTGCAATTGCAACGAAAGGTTACGTATTTTTACTTAATTTGCAACCTGATTACTGGTGATCAAGAAAAGCTGTCTGCTGACGCAGAAAATTTAAAAGCATGTTGGAAACTTCACAAATTGAAGGATAAAGAGTGGAGATCAGACTTTCTTGATGTGCTCATCTTGATTTGTGTGTGATTTTTCCTACAAAAGACTTTTCACTTGGCTGTGCCTCTTGCGTCCAACCGCTCCATTAGAGACTTCAGGAACAGTTTAACTGTACAAATTTACTGAAAATGAAGTTACCGATTTGCTGGTATCCACTGCTGACTTTGACTTTTTAGAAGCCGATTCATCAAGCTTTGTCCCCTTACTACTTGAATCACTTGAATCTGTTTTTTTCCGCTTTCTGTCACTCGTACTTGATACACTACTACTACTTTTTTTATCAATTTGATTATCTGATGTTGTTTCTTTCGGGCTAGTTTTCTTGATATCTGGAACCACATGATGATAATCAATAAAAAATAAATATGACATATAAAAATAAAGGCCCTGTGATTGAATCAGGACGAGATACTTAGCAAATATTCAGTCCACCATGTAATGAGGCCTGAGTACTGGACCATTGGTTTCATTAATTGAATAATTACGTGCAATAAAAGAATTTTAGAATCAGGTATTGGGATTCTTTCTACTTTGTTTTTATTATCCTCTCATCACCCCGCGAAACTGCCAGTAAATGAACATTTGTGTCATGCATCGATATTGAGAATATTGGTCTCCTAGTGTGGTAATGGGCCTGTTGCAAACTTCAGCTAGGGCAAAAGGAAAAGTTATTACATACAGAAAATGGCTCAAAATCACCATGAGCGCATCGAGAAAGTTGAAATACGCTCCTAACTTCATAATCTGCGTGAGAAATATGCAAAGTTCAAACGTTCCTCTTCAAAAAACGATACTACAGCACAGGTGAACATTATGTAAGAGGAGTCATTCCATCTAGCCCTTACGCACTAGGATGCTACAAAATATTCAACATGGCTGACACCAATCTGCCAAAACACAGGTGAAAAGGGATTTGATTAGCTGGTGCTTTTATATTTGATTTTCTTTACATTGATAAAGACCTTGATGCTTCCTCAGGATTTGAGCGCAGAAGCGAGCACGCAGGAGCTAGATGGAGTGACTCCTATTACATAATGTTCACCTGTGCTAGGGTGTCATTTTTGAAGCAGGAAGCTCAAAAAATCGCATACTTCCTACACAGATTATGAAGTTGGGAGTGTATTTCAAACTTTCCCGATGCACTCATTGAGCTATTTTTTATAAGCAACAACTCTTCATTTTGCTGTAACTGAAATTTGCAACATGACCATTAGGCTGAGATCAACATTGTTTTTTTTTTTTAATTGCTCTAGTAGGCAAGCTGACAGGAAAAGAATGGCATTATAGTTGTTGACTGATATAACTTCTATACTATTCCTAGGTTCACTCATAAAGTTTTTTCTGCAATGAGCACCAAATATGAGCAAAAAAATTTCCAAGAATGAGGCTGTAAATTTGGCATTACTGCCGTGAGAAAATTGACTTTTCAATCTGAGGGATTATTAGTGGTTCCTTAATGCAATAAGTTGAGATTATACAGTAATTAGTGGGAAAATGAACCTCCAGGTTCATTTGATATGCAAGACAAAATTTGACTTGACTCAGTTTTGTGAACAAATTCTGAACAAGCTATTGTGAAAAAAACAGTGTTCTCAACACACTGATTCACTTGAAAAACAACAATAAAACAATTTACACAGCGGGTAACACGGCTATTTTTCACAAATATAACCACAACGTTTCAGCTGAGAACTCAGCCTTCCTCAGTTGGATAAATCAGTAAAAAAAATTTTAAAAATCTAAAAGCATAGTACTTGGCTGAACCTTTAAAAGCAAGAACTATGTTGTTATCTTGAAAAAGGTGGTCGACATTAATGACTAGGGAATCAATAACTCAGATCATCAATGGTCGTTGTTAAGTAAAATCCTAAGTCGTACTTTGTTCATTGCCATCGGTATCTTCAAGACCATCAGAAACATGAACAAAGATGTCAAACTGATAACCGCACCTCTTGAGAAATTTGAAAAATTGACCAATAGCGAGTTACTGCTTAAGTTTCCTTATGATGCTCAGTGGGAGCGCTTCAATTGGCATGGGCCGACCACAGAGCTAATGGTCCTCACTTGGCCACAGAAATGGCGACTGAAAGGTGCCGCACAAAAGATGATCTGCCTTTGTCTTTATCTTTTATCCAACAAAATGTGCCAACTGATGACTAATGGCAGCTAAAATATTAAAATACTAAATAATACTATACAGCACATCCGTTTTGTGATAGGAAAAATTAGGTAAATTGAGATGGACAGCACCATCTCCGCAAAAAAAAACATATTGGGAGAATTTCACTACCTGGAGTTGGACTGTCACTGATCACCTTCTTTTTCTTGTCAACTGTGAGTTCATCCTCGGACAGATCTTCTGTTTCTGGAAGTGGCTGAGCTGTCGCTGGCAATTCATCGTCGGACACATTCTCCATACTTTTGTCCTCAGACAATTCATCTTCCGAAACCATCTCAGTGTCAGGCTACAAACCACAAAATGAAACTTAGTAAGAACAGGTATGTAGATAAAAGTTATGGCTGAGAAACTTAAAATCCAAGAGATGCAGTGAGAAGAATTTTACGGAAGGGAGGTTTAATAGCATGAGGAAGAAAGAAACTGACCATGAACAATGCGATAATAAGGATTTGTTTTTTTAGATTAGATTAGATTTATTCATTACGAAAAAACAAAAATAATTACAGAAAGGTTCTATCTCCACCCTGAGCCTAGCTCGTGCGTAGCAGAGGAGGTGAGTCATGCAATACAAAAATGACAGTTGTTAAAAAATATGGTTTATGAATTTGTGGTTACAGAGAGTCGCAGATGGAAGGAGACTTAGTCCACTTGACTGATACTCCTCACAGGATACCTAATATTCCAACTGAGTTTAGGCTCATCAACAACCCAAGATCTTTGAAAGCTGGTGAAGTAGAGGTGAGACTAACAGTAAAGCGAGACAGAAAATCAGGTTTACTGGGAAAATATTTATCCTCCCCCCCCTGTTTTCCCCCGTTCTAACCGATGTTCCCTCGTTTTTCCTCACTCTCACCGAGGTTCCCCTAATTCATGCGAACAAGCCGTTCCCATGGTTGGGAAGTTTCTGTATACTTGAGAGATAAAATACTTAGACAAAATATTTAAGACTCAGAATCAATGAAAAACCAACCTCTTCTTCTGCTTTAACTGCATCTGCGCTGGGTTTACACTCATCAATGACAATCATATTTTCTAATGTTGTCTTGTCCTCTTCTTCTTCATCTGTGGCAGCAGATTTTACTGAGTCTTCCACCTGGACAAAGGATTTGAAATGTGAGATGTTTACAAATTGATTTTATTTGCAACAAGAATTTTACATCCTCCTTTGGACTTGGCAAAGCATTTCAAGGAACAAAGACTTTGTAGGCTTGAAGAAAAATATGCCCTCTTTCTAACTTGTTGCTTTTTGGTTAAATTTAAGTTACAGAGTAGGGAATTAATATTATTAAAAATTGTATTGAGTTTTGAAGCTTATAAAAAGAAAAAGAAAACCAACGCATAAAACAAAATAAAAATTTTTTAAGAAGATTATTTCATAAAAGTATTGAAAAACACAAAACTCAAAAAAGAAAGAGGCCATGATAAATGTTGGGATTTTGTGAGTTTGGATCTGAAAATTCTCTGACCAATCCTGACCTGTCAAAGCAAAAAATAGTTAATCATAAACATCATTGGAAAACCTCCGACTAGTCTACACAATGAAAATTTTCGAATCTTCTGATTCAATCAGTGTTCCAACTTCACCTCCAAGTTTTAGGAGCCGTTTGGCCCATCAAGTTCAATTTTTAGGGGCCATTGAGGATTTTTTAGGGGCCAAATTGAATTTTTGCCTATATATCACGGCGCATTTAGTGAAAAGTTATACGCAAGATATACAGTTACAGGACTTGCAAGTTGCAGCTCGCAGCCATTACTTGGGAAAGGGAAAGGCCAAAGGCATGATATTCCGATTTAAAACAAGGAGCTTTTAGTTTACTTAAAGTTTGTTCAATTAAATAATACTTTTTCTGACTTCCTATTATGAAAAGTAGTAGAACGATTCTATAGTATGTACGATAAGTAGTACGATTCTCGATCTGCTGAGCCACTGCCGCGACAAAGTTCCGCGCGCAACTGCTTGCTATGCGTGTTCAGTCCAGGCTGACTGACAAAAATCTTGAAATCATCAAACCGTAATTTAGGATTGCAACAATTTTTTAGGAGCCACGTTTGGCACAGGGTCTTCATTTTTTAGGGGCCATGGCCGATTTTTTAGGAGCATTTGGCGACATGGCGCTCGTGGGATTGGAACACTGGATTCAATGTCTGCATAGTTGCAGATAATTTTAAGAAAATGAAGACAGAAAAACAGGAAGAAGCCATCACTTCAAAATTTAAAAATGTCTCTATTTGTGTTGACAAATGTCAAAGGGGCAGTCAAGTTTTTGATCTTCCTTCCCATGAAACTAGTTTATTGAATGATAGTGTTGTGTGCAAACCTTTTCAGATTTCATTTCTGGTGTAGTTTGTTCTTCCTCTTTATTTTCCGGTTCCGCTGCATCGGAAAATTGATCATCAACTTCATGAGGATCATACGGCTCTTCACCAGCATTTGATTCTTTCTGACTTTCACCGTTGTCTATCGATTTCTGCTCATCATTTTTGAGGACTTCATTGTCAGCGGCTGCAGGGATTTTCTTCCCTCGACCTCTTCCACGTCCTTTTTTCTTTTGGTTAGTTGGAGATTCTACAGTGCAGTTTCTCTTCGGGCGGGTAGAAGCTCTTGTTTTAGTAACAGGTTCACTTTCATTTGTTTCACTAACATCTAGAATAAGGAAGAATATTACTTTAAAATCATGAAAAATAAACAATGAGAAGTAATTTGTCTAGGTAGGCATTATTCAAAATGAACAACCAAGTAAGCTGTAAGCTTTGCCTTTAAAACTTTCAAAATAGAAAGCGTTTATTCAAACCACAATAAAACAAAAGAAAGAGGTAAAGGTGCAATTTTATCTAGAGAATTCATTGAATGGTTAACAACGACATTTAGGACAGAGGTGCAAAAAATGATTCTCTTCTAAATGAAAGTCGCTTACAATGAAAACTGACCATTCAATTTTTTTTTTTTTTTTTTTTTTTTTTTTTAAGTTCTAAGAAAATGAGGGATCCACAGCTCTCCACACACAAAGTACTAGCAGTGGTGGCTGCGTCACATTTTTAGCGCTTAAAGAATTAAGTAAGAGAAAAGTAATAATATTCACCATCCGTTGGTTCCTGAGGGTCAGCTACACCGTTATTTTCGACATGGTCTGTTTCTTCACTCTCCATTATCACAGGTACTTTTCCCTGAAAGAATCCCCAACAGAATTGATATCATCCAATCTCTGATCAATCAATTGATTAAAGCTCTAATGAGATATGCTGACACAGTTAGGTGTCTGGAACTATTTGAAAATAGCATTACCTGTCACTAGATAGTCTTGACCATTGCTTACAAGAATGGAGCGAACGCAACTACTCAGTTTTGTGATGCCAAACTAGTGGGTATTTACAGAAAACAACAATCATCTTTGAACCAGCAGAGCATCAAAGACTGAGGCAGTCGCCGCGTGGACCAATTAGAGGGGCCCTTGATCAGCCAAAGTTACATGTGCAGTGCATTGGAATCTTAGTGGAATGATGATTTTTGGTAATTGGCTTTCGTCTCCCCCATTGTCAGACAATGCCTGTTATGGATTCATCAGTTTTCTTAAGTCAAATTTCATCCTCTTTTAATAAAGTTCTTTTGAATTTTTACATTAGATCAAACCCTGAGGAGGTAACAGCATGAGAAGATGTGTTTAAAAGCGGCCGAGTTACATCCACTGGCGTGACGTCACAGAAATGTAGTTAGAGCTTGCGCAACGTACGTTGGGACAAATGTCAATTTCTGATTAGCTATGAAATTAGCACCACTCAACGAGTTAACACATGCGGTCAAATGGCACCACTGGTGAATGGTGATATAAACAATATGTACTTGGACATCAGTCTCTACATACAATGCACAAACTCTACCACCTCTACATTCTCATTGGCATTCTCTTGACATTTGGTTTCCTTTGTGTAGCCTTTACGCTAACCACTTGGTTCAAAGGCAGCAAAGAGCTAAGTAGGGAGCACCAAGTGGTTTTGTTTACATAGGTGACTTGTGCCTCCCGTTATGAAAGTACATGGTTGCTCAATAATCGTCTGCAATTCTACATACTATAAACCATCGGTGGCGGATCAGGGTGATGGTCTTCAGTCTCTCCTTATGATCATATGTATGAAGAGAGACACTGGGTGAGGAGCAAGTTGCCCTCTTCTACACTAAGTATGTGATCAAATAAACATGGAGTGCAAAGGAAGATCGGCGGACCCCAACACTACAACCCTGAAAGTTGCGGAGACCAGACTTCTGAAACTTCAGAATGAAAGTGATATCAAGGGAAATGTACTTCCTCTTGAAAATTTGGGATTCACGAACAAAATTGTCACTGTCTTAAACTCTCGAAGATGGGCCATGGGCAGAGTATCCATCGCGGCACACTTGCGGCAACTTAGCCGTAATGCTGGAACTTTGGAAGTAAAGCTAGCATACTATAAGTCAAAGTACCTTCGTGCTCAATGTCTTCCCAAGTCGTCAAATGTATTCTCCGCACACTCGATCCGGAGGAGAGATATATTATAATCACTGGAACAATTGTAAGAAATAATAAGAAAACATTGCAGGAGTCTTTCCGCACTCTTCACAGACAGACTACACAACATACACATCATATATATAAATACACGCACAGTCGCGTTTATGATGCTTCCATAAGCGCCTGGGAGGACAGCAACCTGCTGAGCAACTTCAGGCGCTCTCTGGAAGACAACTTGTGAAGCTGCGATTCTTCTCTATATTCTGTTTGCTGTGTGCTGCCGTGATACGCAAAGAGAGCAGTAAGTGCCAAGTGCTTTTCTGTATGAGCCATGGTTAGCACATGCCTTTACATGTCTCGGGGCTCACCCCAGCATGCACTTACTGCTCTCTTCAGTATCACGGCAGTGTGTGCGTTGTGTGGGTTTGCGTTGTGTGAGTGCATCATTCATATCATATTCATCCATGGTTGTGTTGGTGTTGTGTGTGTATTGTGTCAGTTGTGTGTTGTGTGTGCGAATTTCTCTGGAAGTGCATATGCACTGATGCCAGTGTTTACTTTCCTCGCTTGCTGCCCCCTTTTACCTATTTCAAAAGCTTTCAAATCCGGATGAAATTAGCATTTTTGTTACATTCCATGGGTTAGCGTAACGCGTGAGTCATAAACTCTTCAAAAAATTTCAGTTTTTTCTACTAATTATCACATTGTAGTCTACAGTAAGTAACAACTACATGTCGAGTGTTTCAGTCACGGCAGCTTTCGCAATTAGATCGTCAATGTCGCGAATAATTCCCACCACCAGCAGTTCTCTTTATTGTTTTGCTCGACATCCACTCTATTTCGTAAGTATGCCCTCAACTTTTCATCTTTTGCCTATGGCCTCAAAAACTTGGAGGCTCTTGTCTGGCACTTGTTCCCCTCTTCAGTCAAGTATGAAGGCAAAGTAAGAGAATTACTTTTTATTCGCAACTTTGACGAGCTGTCATGGGCTTGCCAAAAGAAGTCCTTGCATCCAGGCAAGGGGCTTCTGCTCCTTGAACTTCTGAAAGTCTTCCACTTTGCATTTGATTTGCGATTTGCTCTCTAACCTGCCCTGTCGTGAAGCTTTGGTGATGAACCATAGACTGAAAACACAATCTAGATTGCGTCTTACGGTATTTCGGTAAGATGATGAGCTACCTGGATTGCTACTGGTACTCAGCAGCATCCAGCGGTCTCGCTATGCTGCCAGCAGGCCTGAGTGCCATTGCAATTCTGTGAATGCAAACCACCCTCTGGCAAAGCAGACGCGCCCGACAAGGCCACAGTTTAGAAAATCGCCCAAGGCCTTTTTTTTGTTTAGGAGTGATCGGCAATCCACTTAGTGAGTGTTCGGCACGATTTACGATGAGAGTTTAAAAGCGTGGAGGGGGTCTTGATCCATTGATCATTTCCCCGCGAAGACGTTGATTCAAACGGTACTGCGACTCGCGAAAGTTTACAGCTTTACTGAAAAGCTTACTTATTCCATAAAAGATCCTACTTTCATTTCTCTGAACTTAATTGATTTGATATACTACATGCCTGAAACTGTGACAAATTACCTGAATTAGTTGAAAACTTTAAAAATGAAATTCAAGAAAAAATCAGGCAGTTCTCAGTCAAAGACATTGAGATAAGAAGGCAAGAGAAAAGTAGAGGACACATCAGTTTGATTGTTGAGATTTTGAAAGATGCTGAAACCATAGTTTTAGAGAGAGTGCAGGCTTTCTTTCCAAAAGTAGCCACTGGAGGGGCAACTTTCAAGAAATATTTCATTTCAATTGCTCACAATGAGCGCATTTGCAAAGGTATCTGCGGAGTGAGTGGGTTTGTGTTCTCTAAATTTTTTTCTCATGCTGGAAAGTTACCAACTAAGCAAAATAACTCTCTTTAGACCAATTACAGTTTGTACAAACGCAATTACCCCAATGAATCTTTATGAATTTCAGGCATGCATTCTTGTGTGATATGATGCGTTTCTAGGATGGCGCAAGGAAACATTTTATTTCGAGAGATTCACAAAAATGCCTGGTTGAAGCGACTTCCACCCCCTGACAAGAAACTTGTATCTCATCTAAAGGTAAAGATTAACTTCATCGAACTACAATTCATTCTCATAATTACTTAAGTTGTGATGTTCTAGCTGAGGCGAAAGATCTGGCCTTAACCACTATTGGTCAAGGTGTCAGATACGCTTATCAAAGAAACTTATTTATCAATATAGTATACTCCATTTATCAATATAGTATACTCCATTTATCAAAGAAACTTATTTCAAGGTACCAGATAAAGTAGAAGCTTTTCTATTACGATTTTGGGCAGCTACTCTAAACTGAAGGTGCCTTCCATTCTCAGAGGATCTTGCTTCAAATCGATGGTAGATCACAGGGATGCTATGAAAACAATCCACCCTACTAGGGGCTTAACCAAATAAGTTCATGCATTTCTAGAGTCAGGCAGAGGATCCACCATCATGATTTTTAGACTTATTTTCACTCCTAAACCGAAGACAGTAGTCTCCTGCCGCGCTCTTTAAGTACGTAAACCTATTTTGCAAGGATTCTATTTAGTATAGTGACTTCCTGCCACAGTCATATCTCAAGCTTTTCTTGGGGACTTAGAATTTCCTGTGGTTCCAGTTGTATCTCTTTGGCCCAAGAGGGGAACAGAACTAAAACCCTGAAGAAGGACTGTTACCTCACACCATTTTCCTTGTGTTAGGTAGTGTGCTTTCTAGTATGCCAAAAAAATGAAAAAGTGAACCGATATACATTGATTCAATCAACAATACATTAAAAATCCTTTTTAAGGTTTTAGAATATCATTGTCAAATTTTTGACAAGCTCTTTTGTCTTCAGGTAGAGACGGATGCAGATTTTTCTTACTGGACACAAGCTTATTCAATGTATTCATCTCATAAGGTACTATGTTTCCTTTTATGAAAGGTTGCATTAAATAAATAAATGAGAACTTGCTGTATTATTTGATCTTCCTTTCAGAAAGGGGAGCGTGTTTGGACTGTTTTTTGTGTACACAATGACAAAGAACCCTTACTTGAATTATATAATGATCAGAAGGAGGCAGGAGCTCACAAACCAGAAGCTGTTATTCAGCTCAGCCCAGTATTACACATTTCACCAACATTGTGTGCAACTGAGGATGAATTTGAATTCGTCATCACTCTTCCATCGGAAGTAATTCGCTTCACTGCTCCAACATGGTTAGCACTTTTTCACCTTTTCAAATTTTAGTGTTATTTCCGAAAGGAAAACTTTATTTTTAATCATGCACATTAGTGTAACCCGTAAAAAAATGGGCATTTGTGTGACCAAAAATAGACTATCGCTTGCAGTGTTCGAAACTCACCTTTGAGTTTTAGGAGCCATGTGGCGCATCAAGCCCGATTTTTAGGGGCCATTGAAGATTTTTTAGGGGCCCAATTGACTTTTTGCCTATATATTACGGCGCATTTAGTGAAAACGTAGTCGCTAGATGTTTTTGTAACAGAACTAGTAAGTAGTTGTAACTTGGGGAAGACAAAAGCACAAATGTTGAAATCGTGAAGAATAGAAAATGCTTTCACTTGTGGTGCTGAAAATTTCGAATAATCGCCTAATATAAAAATTCAGATTTTTAGGGGTCACGTTGGTGCAAAGTCTTCATTTTTTAGGGGCCATGGCCGATTTTTTTGGCGCGTTGGCGCCTGTGAGTTTCGAACACTGATCGCTTGTCCCATATCATTCAAAATACCATGGATTGTGAAAGGCAATACTGCAATTCCTAGTCTAATTTTCCATCATTTTGGTCTATTTTTTGTATTTTATCAGTATCATATTTTACTTCGCTGTCTGTTTGTTTCCTACACTTAAATTTTACGGAAGTTGTCTTAAGGTATAATGACTGTTTTTGGAGAGATTCACTTCGGCAGAAGAGAAAAGAAACTGATACCCTTTTTTAAAAATGTGTTTTTACGCACGTCAGACTGGACCGTGAGGCTTACTTACATGGCCCTAATGCAGTAACCCTAGAATCTTCTACTTTATAATCCAATTTTTGATTTGTCAATAGTTAGGTTTATGCAAGGAGAGAAAACACATCCAATCCACAGTTAAGAGGTTCCAAGTCGGGAATTTTTTTTTTTTCATTACCTGCTTGTACTCTATCATAATTACCCTCTAATTTAAGAGGGATGGTCAAAAAGTTTCTGCTCCTCTTAGAACTGAATGTCAGTGCAATATCTTCCTACCTGTAAAACAGTTAAAGATTTAATAGATACTTAATTGTCTTGAGCCAGAATCTTACCAGTATAATTGTATAGAGAACTTCCTATCAGCCAATAATATTACAGTAATGTTTTCCACTCAACCAATGTTTCTCACATAATTCTGTGCTGTTTTGAAAGCCAGACTGATCCTTCATCCATTTTTAAAAGATAATCGAATATTCACAATAATTGAAAAGAAAGCAGTATGAGAAAATTTTCTAGTGCAGATTGTAGCCATTCTGATAAGCAGCGAAAGAATGTGAGGTATTTATTGTCCTTTGGGGTCGATTGTTACAGGGACCAAATGATGGAATGGGTTGATAGCATGTGTTCCAAGCTGCGAGAAATGCGGATACTGTCACCCAAAGAAAATCTTTACAGCAAGATGCCTGAGCAGCGGCCACTATTGCTTCCAACAAGGGATCCAAACTCACCTCTACCTTTACCTCCTGCTGGGCCATCAAGTGTTGTGCTGGGTGTTGAGCCTGTACCCGTTACTTTACCTGACCAAAGTGGTAATCATTTATGTTGAAGTATCCATGATAAGAAAGTTTTCAGGGTCTGATAAGTGACATGACCATCACTAATTTAATGTAGCTTAAATTACCATGAACCACAGATTTAAAGAAATGACTGTACGTATGTTATATGATCGCTGACTGGACAAGAGACATTAGTCTACCAAAAATAAAAATTGAAACACTGATTCCCAAGGTTAGAGGAGTACTAGGGGGCTACGCCCCCTGGCCGCTAAGCGGCCCAACCCCCTGAAGGCGCTCCGCGCCATCAATGGGCCGCTTCGCGGCCCTATTTTTACCCTCCTATCAGTGTTAGTTTTATTTTTCTCCTAAAAAATTACGATATGAGGTATACTTTAATTTTAAACTTTACTTAAAATTACTTTAAAATTAGAAGGACGCGTTTTGGAATGACTGATTGATGAAATATTGCAGTAAAACAATGAACAATGATAGTCAGGTAATAATTAAGATTTCATGAGTCGGGGATCGATCCCACAATGAGTTCATTGTGGACGCACTCGACGTCTTAGACGACTCGGCCACCGCACTACATGAGGACCACGGCGCGAATCTTGTGGAGATAAGTGTAGAGCTGATGCGCAGGCTACACAGCTACTGCGCATCCTCCCGCGCATAGCGGTAGCAGCACCAGAGCATTCTGTAAACTCACTCACTTTTATAACGTGATTTTAAAAAAACCTGGGTCCTTTTTCCAAAATCTGATTAGAGCGGGCTCATTTAGGGCCTATTACCTGTCGATTTACGCAAAAATCATGGAAATCGGCCCGGTAGAACGCTCAAACGAACTATGACAAAAAGTATAAATTTACATCGTTTAAATAGGAGAATTCGCAACTTTACCACGTAATATAAAAAAACCTGGGCCATATTTTGAAAATCTGAAAAGAGTTGGCTTATTTAGACACAATTGCCCGTCGATAGCCGCAAAAATCATGAAAATTGGCCCGGCAGAACGCTGAAACTAAGCGTTACCAGTTTCGCAAAATTAGGAGGTCTTGGAGCTTATAGTATAGATTTTACAAACATTTTGGCATTATATGCTTGAAAAATCTTGATGTGCTGACTTATCTTGCTTTTCATGCACAAAATGCCTAGACGTTGCAAAAAGTATGCGGTATTTGTTGCCTTTTTGCAGGGAATATGCAATTTCATGTATGTACGCTGACTTCCCATTTTCCAAACCTATTTTTGGGGCTGTCTTATTTTTTTTTTTGTTCAGTTCATTTGGACAATGCAACGCGCTGGTTGCAAAAAGTATTTACACCCCTGTCAGTCTTCTAGGGGTAGGGTTGTGCTGCATTGATTTTATGTAGAATACTAACTCATAAAGGGTAAAAATGCCAAAACTTAAACCCCAAAACTAGACGAAATTCAAATAGTAACAACTGATTTCTGGGCTGATTTAAGCTTTATTGTCAAATAGTAGGAAGTAGGTACATATTTTATGCGTACCCTTACACTGCTGTTTTACAACCACACTGTTATGATTCCAGTAACTTTTGCAACAAAACACTACTTAAAAACCAAGTATAAGCCATCAGTATTCCTATGGAGATAAGTGGTTATATTTATGAGGTTGCGAAGTATGATTCTTTTGAGAGTTGTTCTGTTTTGTCTTTTCATCCCTTTTATAATGTAAAGGGGTACCCACTTTAATTAAAATATATGCAGTTCAAAAGGATCGAACCAAATGAAATTCATATCTTTCAACTTATGAATCATTTATTGCTTCTTTTTTTCAGCAGACTCAGCCATCATAACTGATTCGAGCTCAAGCGGGGATAGGACAAATCCTTCAAACCTTCCTAATGGAGTTTCAGAATTAGTCATGAATCATTCCAGCCCTATTTTTGATACTGCCTCTAGTTCAAGGTAATTTCATTATCTCAATTTCATGTATACACTTAGTGGATCGCATTTAGCAAAAAGGAACCAGCGCAATTACATTGTCGTTTGAATTTTGATTCTTCATAATTATCTAAAAGAAATCTCCTAAAGTAGCAAATTTTCTTTGCATCCCACCAAAAAATTGTTAATATTAAAGGGAAATAATTTTATAAATTTTAATACCGTACATGTATTCAGTTGTTGTAAAAGAAAAAAAGAAGTTGCACGATTTTGAAAACACTGTAATCTTGCTAGTTCCTTTCTGTTAAATGCGATCCAAGTAACCTAAAGAGCTCTCCATGTAAGAAAGGGCATATCTGCAAGGTCTTGGAATTAAACTCAAACCTTGTGTTTCTCATCAAAATTTGCTATGAATGTGGTGCCAATGTTTAGAATAGCTCAAAGAAACTTCTTTCCTTTAGTAGAAAAGACCTCAAGTTGAAGTCATGGATATAACGTATCTCATCAGTTCCAAATCTCACTATCAGTTGCTCAACCACTGCTCATAGTGGGGGAAGAAAAATTAAACATTGAAGCATAACCATCCAGATCGGACAATAAACATCAAATCACCTTTTAAACAACACCATTGCTGAAATTGTTTAGCATATAAGTCAGGAATAGTAATGTATCCTTGAATTTAAAATGAACATCTGCATCTTCTCACTGGGAGCTATGTTCTGTTAGACACGGTGAGAACATAGCAACACACAGTTTGTCCATCCTCCATGCCCTCTGGTCTCTCTTTCTTGATTCTGCCAGGAGAGATCTTAAAATGCTAGGCAAAGCCCAAATTTTCACAGGTTTTTCTCCATACTTCATCAGGTTTTAAGCGGAAAGTAGGTCTGTTTTACACAAGAGACACAGCTGAGTGAATAAATTTTCCAAACGTAAAACTGCACCCAAATCACGATGGACACATGGAAAAAGTCACTATACCCACTCCTTATTATTGTAAACTTTTAAATGTGAACTCTTCACTGCGCCTTGTCTCTACGGGACGTTTCACGTGATTTTTCCCAAGTTCAAATCGCAGGAATGAAACTTCTGGGCTTTTTTCCCATTCAACAACACAAAAAAATTTCTTCTTCTTCTCCTTAAGTCGTTCCTGGGACTCCAGAATGACTCATAGTTGGCACTGTGACTAGTAACTAACTCATTATTTTTCCCAACTTTGCAAGTGTGATTTTTCTCTGGGACAAATCCCATGAAACGTCTTGTGGAGACAAGGCCTTAATATATTGTAATTAAGTGTCATTTTACATGGTTTCAGGGCTTTACAGAGGCTTTGCAGTCCATCTCGCACCACTGCAGCATCACCGTTCACTGTAAAACTTGGTTCCCCCCAACCGACAGTATCAAATCCTTCCTCCTCATCTATTCCCCCTCACACTAACCCCAGCAGCAGTAACTCGGATCATATCAGTAGTATTAGTAATGTTAGCAACTGCAGCGATAGCAATCGGCATCGCAGTAATAACGTAAATAATGTGACTGTGATTGAAGTCAGCTCCTCAGATGCAAGTAGTCAGCTTCTAAGTTCAGGTGTATTTGATTTTAGTTTTGTGAATGAGTCTTTACCTGCTAATGCGGAAAATGAGGAATTTTTTACTCCCCCCGGTACACCTGTTTTGCCTCGATCAGTGGCCAGGTTCATTTCTAACTCTCTCTCAGGGATTAAACAAAGTCAGCCCTCTAACTCTCAACAGGTGGGCTCTGTTGTGGCGGTTGACTACCCATCAGCATCTAGTGGTCATAGTGAGTACAAAACCAATAGTGAAGTTAACCAACCTCTCAGCATTGATGGTTGTGAGACGATGGTAAATGCTGTGACTGCAACAGTTAGCCCTGTAACATCCTCTTCAACTTCTGCCGTTTCTGTTCTTGTTCCCTCCCAAGCTTTATCTCCTCCTCCATGTTCGTCTCCATCAATTGCCTCGGTTCCATTCTCATCTGAAAACAACTCCAGCGACAGCAATGTTTACGAGCATTTATTCCTGTCAACCAATCAGACGCCTCAGTCGCCGTCTCAGCTAGACCCTATGCCTCAATCTCCAACAATCAATGAAGATATAGTGACACCAATAGTAGCCACCCCTCTGATATCGGTAATTTCTTTCTTTTCTCTTCTAACATCTTTTATCTTGCTCCTTTGAGTGGATAATGATTCTACTTGTTCAAGATAGGAACTTTTACTTGAACCTCCATCATTCACTCGCCATTTGATCGTAAATTTTAACGCAAGTTACTCTGTTTCTTCTTGCGCACTTGAATTTCTGGAAAAATTTTAGGAAGCTGTGATAACTCAAAAGCTTTTTGATCCATGATTAATTACTAACAGCAATATGCCAAAGTTTGAGAAAATTCCTGTAGTCCGTTTGAAGTGAAGTGTAGAGATTCCCATTGATGTAGTTCTCAACGGCCAGAGAAAGGGAAAAATTCATATCAAAGGATTAATGAATAACAGAGGAAGACTCAGAACAGGCCATGTCCGATTTTGTGAGGGCTTATGGTGAGAAATTGTTCAAGCACAGCTGATTGATGGGTGCTTTTGCAAAAGGCCCCCAAAACTATCAAAACACTTGTCTGGGAACAGCTCTCATGATCATTATGACATTGATCATCAGTGCTACAAGCATCGAATTTGCGCTCCTTCAGAAGCAGTAGCACAGTAGTTCTGTGCCCACTTTGCACTAGGAGGTTTAAGAGCTCAGACACTAATCAGTCTATATTTTTGGTTTTAATTTTTTACTAAGTATTATTAAGGCATTAAAAAGGCAAGAAACCAAAAGAGGAATTTGAAGAGTTTCTCTCATACCTACAGAGAAAGAAACACGAGCAAGTTTTTCAATGTAACCATATTTGTGTGGGAGAGAAAATATTAAAAAAAAGGTGTAACAACATGGGTCAAATAAAATTCCGAAGATGTAATCTTAGTATGCTAGAAATTTTTGATCAAATTATGGATAAAGAGTGTTGTAATCTGAGCAGCACCAGGAAGAAAAGCAAGCAATTTTCCTCTATTTTCATTCAGTATTTCTGACTTGTTAAATACAACTTAGTGGAGTATTATCTATCTTGCCAACAGATTGAACACTGACACTACTTGTGTAAAGGCTCTAACTGGATCTTGATGTTGATCTCTTGACATTATCAAAAGAGATGACAAGAAACTATCCAGTAAGTGGTAGAAGAATGTAATTTATTTTGACTTGCCTTGCAGGGCTGCGTGAATTTTACAAACTTTAAAACACAACACCGACGCAGGAAGGAGTGGAAAATAACTCGCAGGTGTTTCAAAAATCCAAGCCAAATTCATGTATTGTCATGTGCTGACCTTTTCACAGATACTCATAGTATCTCAAAAAATTGCAGAGGTTTCTTTGAAATTCAAAGAGCGCTAAAACTGTTTTTACCACCATGGCGGTTCAAGTGATATACTGAACACTTTTATCCGCAATACTGATCTGTGTTACTTGAAAATTATTTTCAGAATATTCATGGTCCAGTGAGCAGAGGGCGTGGGAATATGCGTTCACGGAGAAGAGGGTCTCATCCTGAAGTATCATCACCTATTGCTGCTGATAGGATCCGTATAGTTCCTTCACACCGATTACAACCAGCTCCACGACCAGTGCGGCAGCCGATGAGTGTGGAGCCATCAGGTCCGTCGAGACTCACACTACGTGAACAGCAAGTCATGCAGTTGCGGCGAGAAATGCTTCATCCAGGAGGTGTCCGTTTACAGGTACGTCGCAAAGACTGCCTTGGTCCTATTGCTTTTGTAGATGCCTTCAATGCCGTTTGGGTTGCCGGCTGGAAGCAAAAAGAGCATCCAATGCTCTACAATGTCCTTCATATCGGTGATCAAATTATGAGTGTGGCTGGAGTTCAGCTGCATTCTGCAGCAGACACACTTAAAGTAATCAAAGGTGTTCAAAGTCTTTATATTGAATTTGTCATACGTCGAGTGCCGTGTGGACGGATCTATGCAATCAGGCGCGAACGTGAAGGACAAAGTTTAGGCATTGTTCAAGAGGGAACCGCTGAGATTCGAGAAGTCATACCTGGTAGCTTGGCTGCAATGCAGGGACTCTCATCACGGACGCCAACCATGGATGGCCTTTCCTTAACATCATGGGTTTTAACTGAGATCAATGGCCGACCGCTGAATTTGTTCTTCAAAGAGAATGAAGTGAGAGATAGGCTGAATGCAGTTGGTCTCGACATATCAATTTTAGTACAACCATTTGACTTGGTCAAACAAATTAAAAAGCAGCTGAAGACAATACGAAGTTACAAAGATTTCATTGTCCAGTGATGTATTCTCCTGAAAATTGCCTGTACCTACCCAGGTTTAAAATTACTATTAGGATAGTTATTAAAAATCAATAACTATTGCTCCATGATGCCTTTTTATTTTATTTCTATCCTATGTAGAGTTCCCATGGTTAACATGTATTTAAGTACCTCCCACAGAAACTGAAATTCAATTTCACAATCGGGCAAGTATTTTTGGAGATGAATGGCTGAGCCGAATGTGTCCTGCTTGTAGACCAAGCAATGTGAGTACTATCTTGAAATAGTCAGATCAATGCAAAAACGCTTCTACTAAAAATGTTTGGTAGTTATTTGAAAAGAAAGACAGTGATGGTTTTCTTCTCAAATAAAATTCCGGATTTCTTTTTCTTGGAACACCTTACTGATTGGACTAAATGTATTATGTTAACATGTATTCAGTATTTGGTGATGTATGTCTCTGTGATGTTTGATGTAAGAAGTCATCATTAGACTATGGTGACTGTAACCTATGATAAGGTTTGCAGATCTCTCCGATCTCTCCATGCAGCTGCCAATGCCAGTTTCTCACAGAAAATGCGTATTGTGCTTTTTTTCTCCTAGACATTAACCCTTTAGTTAAGTATGCACCGTACCAGTTAATCAAACCAGCAATCAAGCAGAAAATTATTCAAAGAATGAAAAGTTTGAGAATCTAATCCTGTATTAAATTTTCTTATTAGCAGTTAACAGTCATCTATTGCATATCATACAGCATTGGATTGCAATCTTTTTTACTCTTTTTTCTTTCATTTAACGAAGAGCAATTACACAGCAAAGGTAAATTTGTGATTGCTGCCATGTCCATGTAACTTTGGAATACATTCTCAGACTTTCTCGCTTTCTGTATAGTTGACGTGTGAAACTCGCAGGCTGTATTGCAAAAAGAAATTGCTTCTATTTTAGGCCAATCTATTGATCTTCTCTTAGTAATTACATGGAGAGTCAGGAAAGAGATGTCCCTAACACAAAGAGTCAAAAGATCTATTTACTTCAGTCAAAAACAGCTATTTCTCAAGCCGTACAATTTCTTTAGTTTGATACTTAAAGTATCTGCCAAACTTGTAAGGTCTGATTTTTTCCTACATTTATTACTGTAGAGATGAAATTCTAAAGTATAAATTAAATTTTTATCTTACAAGTAAGTCAAATTTAGATTCTCCTTTCCATAATTAAGGGGCTGGGAGGACAAGGCGCATAAAAGTAAGTTTTAAAAAAAATTGAGTTATTCATGAGCTCAACTAAAACTAGTTTGAAAGTATTTGTAAGTATTTGAAAAATTCACAATTAAAATCCAACTTTTGAGCATCAAAAAATGAATTTGAACTTCCTTTCTACCATAAGGCTCCAAAGTAATTTTTGAAACTAAACACCTATTTCTTGAAATAGCAGAAACTGCACGTTTGTGCCTTGTCCTCCAAGCCCCTCGATTCATCATTTCTCAGACGAAAGAATGTATCTTTATTTTGCCAGTGCTGTATTTCTACTTGAAAATTGGAACCTCACTGGGAAACTGACGAGGTTTCCATTACCAATTGAAAATTTTGCCGATTTCATTATGGTAATGCGCAAAAATCGGCATATTTTGGGAAGAAATTGCAGTCATATTTTTGGAAAAAAATTGAATTGTTTGAGTCGATTTTGCATTCTTAAAATAGAGTCGCGTTCCTGTGTCTGAAAAAAAAACGAATTTCAGCCAAAAATTCTACAGACTTTCAATGGATCACATCGTTAATATTTACTACAAAATTTCACCAAGGCCTTAACTTCTTCTCGATTTTCTCTCATCCCTTTCTTAATTGTTTCTTGCAGAAAGAGGTATCTAAACATTCCGTAAATTTTAAGAGTTCTTCAGTAAAGAAGAACAAGAAAGGGGTAAAAAATAATGAAAACTCTTTAAGAAAATGGTTAAAATCAAATGCAGTGACTGGCATTAATCCAGGATTAATGGCAGTTTTCAAGTTAAGAAATTTCTGTCACTTGAGCTATCTTTTGGTTTCAATTACTGCCCTTGACAGTCTCAATTGACCATTTTAAGGTACCTGCACACCATCTTTAGGCATACCCCTGAGTATACCAGTAAAATTGAGCGAATGATAGTGGTCATGCTTGAAGGGGCTGTGTCTCCTGTGTCAATAGCTGTTGGTAACATCATCTCCTGCAATAACTCGAATGTAGTATCTTGAGTCCTTATTTTTCAACAAATGTTTTATTATCTATCATTTTATAGAAGTCTTATCCGTTCTTGTGATATATTTTTAAAAACGGACTAGAATATTTTCGCTTTTGTTTTGATTGTTTGTATGTTTGAAATTTTTACAACAGTTTGTTTTGTTATTTTAATTATACCACCAATATAATTAACATGAAAATTATCTTCTCTTTTTCGTACCTTACTTAGCCTTCTTTAAATTTCTGCTCAAATCTTATCAGATAATCTCTCTGTGGTCCTCGAGCAAAGTATTTCAGCTATGCATTTTTATGAAAAAAATCAGGTCCTCAGTGAATTTTGAGAAAATTTTCTGTCATCCTCAAATGGCAGGAGGAATTTAGGAGGTCCTTTAAAATTTATTAATACCATGGTAATTATTGGTAAAAAAAAAAAAAGAGTTGTGGTTGTAAGTAGAGTACCTTTATAGACAGAGTATGGCCATTCGTATCTTTTTACTACAGGAAAACTGTTCCGCTTTTTGATTGGTCAACGAGTTTTTAGGCTTCAAGATGCTCTTAGGGCCGTAAATAAACAAACAAGATGGCGGCTCACCGTAACATCGATAAGAAGCTAAATTTGACAAAAATGTCAATTATACGGCAGTAACATTTTAAACTAGCATATCTACGAATAACACACGAAAAACACATGAAAACATTGTTAAATCGCCTTTCACCTTTATCACAGGAGGATGTAAGATGTGCATAACCTCAATCTTGCTTGCTGATAACAGCCATCTTGTTTGTTTATTTACCGCCCTAAGAGCATCGTGTCAGCCTATTCGCTCGCGACCAATGAAAAACCGGAACAGAAATGGCCATACTCTGTCTATAAAGGTACTCTAGTTGTAAGATCATTGAGTTTATTTTTATCAAATACAGCTTGGAAAGTAAAAGAGTGTAAGCAGAATGATAAGGTGGGGAAGGGGGAAGGATATCAAAGTGTTAAAGTGACTACACACTGGATGGATCATAGCCAAACTAGTGTCTGATAGTTTACTGAGTTAATTAAGTCAAAAATTGATGTAAAAACTTAAATTAACTTTTTTGGAAGAAAATATCAGAATGATGACTATGAGGATAAAACACCATGCAAGGCATTAATTCTCTAAAAATTTGATAGCAAGTTGGATGCAAACCACAAGTACTAGGGTTGTGTATTCGATGTAAAATTTATACACTGAAATTGGGAGCTGAAAATAGAAGTCATTGGTTTGTTGTCGAGTCGTTCTCTGAAATTTGCAGGAGTCTTGGAATTTTCAACAAGAGTGAGATGCAACAGTTATCAATTAAAAATAAAACATCAATCTAAAATATCTGAATAAATTTAATAAGCACTTTGGATGAAGACTATTCAAATTTGAAAAATACGACAGAGGATCAACGACAAATGACTCCCATCTTCAGGATGAAAAACTTGACACGACTCAAAAATTTACTCTGACTACATCTACCGATTTTTAAAACCTGTAAATGGGAGTAACGATAGTAGAATATGACTCAAAAACTCATGGATGAAAGTTACTCTTCTTTTTCTTTTCTTTCACAAGAAAATCTAAGTTTGCCTAGCTTTATGCAGAACAGGAGCTCAACTGAGGTTAATCCAGGTAGCTGTCACTTCATGAGAGGATTATTTGACTCAAATAATTAAGAATGTCCATCGTTCCTTGATATCACAATTAGGTATTTCTAAAAAATTTTGTAAAGTCAGGGTAATAATCCTTCTCTTAAATATAAACTCGGAAAAATTGATACACGTACACTGTTCTTTCATTGTGTTACAAAAAGATAATTTTTCTTAGTATGATTTTTTCTTTTGTAAAACCTTCTTGCTCTTTTCATCTTACATGTAATTAAGGATGAATTCCTTTTTTCACTATTTTAGTGTGGTCTTTAAACTTAACTTTAGGAAGACGCCTGGAGAAAATACGGGCAAAAAATGAAATCACAGCCTTTAATCTGAATTGCTACAGGGTTTCAAAGACCACAGATTATCAACTGATATTTGGTCGGAGAACATTAATAAAGGAATGGAAAACATTGAGCAGTTGCTAAATTTATATAAAATCGATCGATTAGATTTTAATCAACAAATTATTCAATTCGATTGTACAATTTTATTCAATGGAAGCGTGACCTGCCACAATATAATTAAATCTGATAATAGAGGTGTGCTCCAAAATGGCAATCATCTTGCATAGGTAGTCTTCATTTGAGCAGGACCAGGAGGAAATACAGATATTTACAACGTTATCTTTTAAACTTCCAGGTTCAAGAAATTTTGAATGTGAACTTGAACCCTTATAATTCTGAATTTTCCATCTTTAATACCACAAAAACTTATTAGAAAATAATAGGCTCCATTTTGATGAATCGTGAATTGTACGAGACATTACAACCGCATGGCGCAGAATTGTGACCATCCTGTCACTGATACGAAAATACTAGTTCTTGACTTTGTTTTTCGACAAATAATCATTAACTTCTCTTAGGAGACCTATGATGTCATCATGTTCAACCAGTTGAATTGCCTCATCTATCTGCACCCATTTGAAAGAGGTATGTTCTTCAGATACTTTGACAGTTTCGTTTTGATCCTTGAGCTCAGCTAACCAGTAGATTACTGTTTTGTTCTTATCGCCCACCATATACTGGAATGCAAAACATTTCAATTTAAAAATGGTCCGGTGGTAAACAGATAAATATTAAAAAAACCGAGACTTGTGCTTTTGTAATCAAAAGTGATAGCAAACTTAAATTTTAGAAGCCTTTTTCTAGCCTCTTTAATGTACCCATTTCCATCACTACGGTCTAGAAACCGACAGTTGAAGTTAAATTACGACATCATTTACTCTTCCTCTTTCTGCCTTTCAAAAGAAAGACTCTAAAAACAAAGTTTTTGGATGTTATTAAAAGTTTCATTAACTTATTATTCCAATGGTTATTATTCATGGATCTTTCGTTACCCATGATAACTTTCATTACAGTCCACCGGGAGGAGACTTGCTACATCTTCAGAAAATGTTTCTCAATCATGAACAATGAAGGTAGCAACGCCAAAATTAAAAATTTTGGTCAGTCAGTTAGTACCAATTGTCAATAAGTTATTGAAATCAGCCTACAAAAAATTAATAAATCCGTAAATCAATATCTGAGCTGAGAGATGGATTACCGTTAAAGTCCTTTGAAAATCTGGTATGATTGACAGAGCTTTTTGAGGTAATCCAGTTTCTTCACTTGTCTCTCGCCATGCGGTTTCCAAATCAGATTCACCAGGATCCACGTGTCCTACAAGAGGGAAAAGAGACTAAAATCAACTATGGAACATTCGAATGGTTACCACTGATTTTCCCATTAAATAATAAGTACAAGATGCTCAAAAACTCATCACTGATGGAGCATCATCAATTAGTTGGGAATTCAAGAGTACATGATGCGGTGTCCCAAAAGGTGTAAGAAGATACTTTTTTGCAGATCCATTAAGTTCTCATATTGATGTTATGGAAACAACTACAGTTTTTACTTAGTCTGTTATTTATCAAGATTGATCTCGCCTCAACAGTTACTCAGAAGTACTGAGTCCTAAGCAAAATCGGAACATATCCGACCAATAGGGGGCAAACACGACTGAGAAACAGTGTGCGATCCTGATTTTAAATTAACTAACATGTATCCATTGTTCTCTTTTGAGTCTCAGAGCTGATTCGACTACTAATTGGAGTCAAAAAATTTCAAATTGATGCTTTTCATCTTTCGAAATTCTAAGATTATTCCTGGAGAATTGACTTTTTCTTTGAATTAAGCTCATCAAACTTTTCAAATTAGAGCTTTTAATCGGTGAGCACCCAGAGCTCATTATCAATTAGAGTAGACCATACTTGATATTTTTTCCAGAAATTTTCAAAGATTTCTGTTAGTTATATAAGTACGTAGGCATAGAATAAAGAGACTAACGTCAACAGAAGCGAAAGCCCCCGCCATTTTCATGTCAACGAAGCATACCGAAAGGAGGCTGTTTCAATAAGTACTGTTTACGTTTGCGGTTTTGGAGAGGTCGAATAATAACGGATACATACGTTTTAAGGAATTGTAAGAGTTTTCTTTTAACTTATTTATCGTTAAACCGAAGAAGTACTGTAAATTCGCTTAAAATTTAATGTTTTTTTCCACTTTTATATTTGTAGGTAACCTCGAAATTGGTTTCAATCTTCGCAGAAAAATGTTAACATTGGTTCTTACGGAGCTTTCGCTTCTGTTGACGTAGTCTATTTATTCTATGACGTAGGTGGGAGCAGAAAAATTTTCAGGTTGCATTATTGTTTCAATTCTTTTTAAAAAGTAAGTAACTTAAGAAAATGTTGAAAGTCAATATAGTCGCATGCTTATAGACTTCAGTCATGGATTTAATACATCGACGGTGAAAGTCGGCAATCACATAACTCGTTTGCGGTGTCTGAAAATCTCCGCTCCTACGTCATTTCTTTAAAGGAGAACAAATTGACATCATTTCTCGGAGTTTTTGCAGAATTTTCTTCGCATTGAGAAGAAAAATCATGACAGTTTTAAAGAATTGCTGTTGAGTAGTTTTCCATTTAAAAAATAAAGTATGACAGGGAGTCTGCGACTTCGCAAACCGAGTTATGTGATTGCCGACTTACACCGTCGACATGCTGTATCTCACATATCAGAGGGCTTTTCACGGCTCCTTGAAAAGATATCTTAGGAAGAAAAGTAAACAGCAAGCTCACCCTTGGGTGGTGACCAATGATGGTGACCATATGATGCTTGAAGGAGTAAGTACTCAATTATGGTGTTTGCACGGCGGAAAATAATAAATCCTGCTGCTCTCAAGGACATTGGAAATGCAACTATCACAATAATGAAGTGAACAAGAACAGGAAGCAACTGTCATTCGATCTGAATACACCTGGTACGCTTAAGGTGGCTTCCTACGTGCTGTAACATAAAATGAAGGTGATACACATTATACTTCACTTGATTTGTTCTTTAGATTTCATTGGTACCCTGTAACAACAAGGTAGAGTCTACGTGAAATAAGTTTATGTACTTTTAGAGTGAAACAGAAAATCCTCAATTCCTCTCTTAACTTTACATGTCAAAGTGACGTCAGACGATCTCCTGACACGGTCTAGAAGTGCGTAAGGTTATTCGGTGTGGACTCGAGGAAAAATAACGAGTCCTATATACTTATACTTGGAAACCCGGTACTTGAGACTGGATCATTCCATGCCTTTTCACTACATGGATTGCGGTTATGAATTTAGTGAAAAAAAAATAAGGTTGCAAGACTTGAATTTGAGAGTAAGAGAGTGTCTTTGGTAAGAAATCATACGCTTGTAAACCTTGGCAGCACTCGTAATAAGAGGGGCGGCGCGTAGGATCCCCTCGAAAGAATCTATTCCAACTTTCCAATGGCTTTGAATATGAAAACTCCATGGTGTATAAGTGCACCTAACTTTTTGTTAAATTTGGGTGCAATTCTGTTGTAAATAATGAGGCATATCAATTTGAAATATAATATAACGTAACATAGAATCAAAAGTTGAAAAAAGAAATGTAAATTCAATTGGATTGAGCTCGATGAGACTTGTTTGCTAGAGGGATGGCAGTCCATTTCATGAAATCAATTTAACTTAATTCATTACTGGCACAGTAAATTTTAAACAATTATTGCCGCCTTTTCATTCGAATGATACCATTTTATTATCAGAGACAAGTGCTATAGTCTGGAATGTTAGAGAACAATTGACCAGAGGTGATAATGGGATTGAGAAAGTGTCGCATGGAAAATAAAGGTGGGTAATGTGCAGAAAAAAAAGGCCAAGTTAATTACATATTTACCTGAGGATCCAAGGAGGAAAAACTCTTGGAAAAACAATAACAATTCAGTGCACAAATTACTAGGAAAAAATACGAGAGAGTGATAACAGGGACGAGTTGTGAGATGATTCTGATGAAAACTGATAAGAGCGAAATTAAAACATTGTATACTGATAACGTTTTACGGCTTCCCCCTCCACCCTTCAGCCCTCCTTCGTCTAGTAAGTAGTTAGTTTGCAAAATTGCTACCAGAGCGCTGCACACTATGTTTGCTGAGTTGTTGACCGACGCTGGCTGGTCGGTGAAAATCTCTGAAAAAAGCGTGAATTTTCTAGGCCTCAAATTAAATTTGTGAAATTTTCTATCAGTTCTACACGTGAGTATCTTTTTAATAAGTTACAATTTTATTAGAATTAATCCTCAAGACAACTCTGTCTATTTTTCGTCCTCAAACAATCCGCTCAAAATTTGTACGCATACTTCACTAATGAGCTTTTGCTCTCTCTTCGAAGATTCTGTGAACGATACCTACTGATGAAGCAACTTTAGACACATACTTTATTTCGTTCGCTGACCTTTAAAATCTTCCGATATTATGGTCCGTATTTTCTTGCCACACACATACTCACAAACCAAGTTTAGTTAGTTCTAGCCAGCCTGTTATCGGAGCGACAATAATCATTTAAACAGTTTTTATCATCCGAAAGCTGATACTCTTCCTTCTGTACTTCCATGTCGTTTGGATGTTTATGTCTGTATCAGTAGCGAAAAATACACTGTGTCTGAAGTATGTTTTGAAGGTGTTTAAAGTTCATGGAGGTTTAATATGTTAAGAGAAATTGTACCGTGTGAGGACTCGGCTTGATCACTACGCTGCCGCACCATCTTAAAGAGGAAAGAAGGATTCAGAGATGGTTTCCAGAATACAACTTTAATCAATTAAATTACACAGTCTGTTCTAATAGCAGTTCAGGAGTTGTAGTCAAAAACTCGCGCAGAACTTCTTATCTTCTTATTCCCATGATGGATCTGTCTTGAACTGTTGGATTATGCTTTTAAGCGCGAAAAGAAGACCCTCTGCAGCATTAGACTTTAAGATCAGATTTTAATAAATCTTAAGGTTAGCATATAAAACTGACGTAAGATTCTTAGATACTAAATTGGTCGCCCATTTTGAGGTCATGTGCGGAATGCGCTCACTGAATAGTTTCTCAGGATCCTTGAGTTCCTCAAATTTCCCTACTCACTGCAAATAATGTTAAAAAAATGTATTTCTCAGTTGAGTTTACACTGTTCAGTTCATGAAAAATCTCTAAAATGTCAGCTCAGATTAGTATCGTTCAAAGAATTGTTGCAGAGAATTGATTCGGTTACCAAGCATTCAAAATTCTTTTTACAGCCTTTGGTTTTCCCTTTGACATTATTCTGTTGAAAGACACAGATTCAGAGTAAATATAAGGTCAACCTCTATTGAGCGTACACTGTGACCTCTGTGCATGCTGGCTAGTAACAAAATCTAGCATCAGTTCAACTCCTGTTTACTTATCTGTTCAGGTGTAGAACCAAAACAATTTTTTCCAAGTCAGAATCCTGAGATAGAGTCGAAGTGCTCTTGAGTCCTGTAGTGGCAGTATCCTCAGGCTGATTTGGCATGTCCAATGGGCTGCTATTCCAGTCCTGTAACTCAAATATTTCGTTGAATTTTTACCTGATTAACGCGACATATTGAATGTCACTTTAACTTTATCTGCATCCTGTGACAAATCTTTTTATATTTCATTCAAATCAGCGCTTAATGGCAAAATTAATACTTCTCTCGTATGCCACATTTTCGAAGATAGCATTTTTTTTCCCTCCGTGAAGTTTAATGATCCAGCTTATTTTGTGCACAACATTTATTTTTATTTTGTTCTTTTTTTTAAAAAAATAGCCATCCCTCTCATCATGGCTGACAGTGAAGATGAATATGACCGTAAAAGACGAGATAAATTCCGTGGAGAGAGAACTGAATCTTACCGCAGTGGAGAAAGGCGAGAAGAAAGACGCGGTAGAGAAGACTGGATTGAAAGGTTTGTCGTCATTCTTGACTTATTTTTTCATTACTTTTAAATCATTAATTATTACTGAACTATAATTTAGCAAAAGAGCAGTGTATTGTAATCAATAATATTCAAGTCATTCGGTAGACCTATCCCCATCTCTAATCTGTCATCATTCGAGATGTGACTTGTTTCTGTTGGCCTTACAATAGATCTAGTGATAGGATTAGCAGCCTTTGGTGTTTCATCCACAGCCAGTCTAGGGTACAGAAATTTTGCTACTGAGGTGTCAAGCAAGGTTACAGGCGTAAATAGGAAAGCTGCCAAAAAGGATTTTGAAAATTGAAGACCAGAGTCTTCAAGTGAGAATCATTCAATATCTACAAGATTGCCAGTAACTGAATAAAGTATTCAAAGAAAGAACGAAATATTTAAATTTGATAAATTCAACTAAACGAGAGGTCTTTGAAGGGAAATACTAATTGAAAAATAGGAAGGCTAAAACTTCCTAGACCCCTGTGCCAGTCTTTGGCAGGGTAGGTGTTTTGTTTATTTATTCTTTTTTTTTTTTATCATCTTTCAGTGCTTGATTTTAATTGATTTGAACAGTGCATGGAAGTTTTTTTTTAGAAATTTCAATGACCAAAATTCATCAAGTGTTTGTGGAAAAAAGATGGAAAAATGACTTCTTTGCCTCACATTGCGTCAAAGGTCAATTTCAGAAGAAAAATACTTTTTGAAAAGTTTAAATCCTCAGTTAACTTGTGATAAAGAAAGTAAACAGCTGAGGAACCTTCTGTGAGAAGGATCTTGTGGGAGGAAACTTCTGAGGATCTGTACAAAGGAACTTTTACAGATGAAAACCTTTCTTTTCCATTTATTTTTTTATACACCTCTCAGTGTAATTCTGTGAAATTCTGTCTTCTTTCGTTTATTTAATCTGAAATGAAGGTGGATGGGAACTCAGCAGCTATGTTCATTCTAGTTACTGTTCTATTTTATGTACCGTTTTCATTTTCATGTGTATGCATCACACATTGAAATGAAGTCGATTCGATGTTGCTTAATAAGTCTGAAGGTGTGCATGCAGCCTCACTCATCCTGTGTGACATTAATGATTTTTGCTGTGTATCGGTTCTCCTTTGAGTTTACTAATATTATTTAACAATCAGTCCTCAGTGGAAACTCAAGATCTCACCAGTGGCCCATGCATCAATCCTTTCCCCTTTCCCAAGATTCCCAAGGTAAACTTTTCCCTTTTTTCTTATCCTTCATTCTACCCAGGGATCTGAAACAAGGCCTCCTCTGCTGGTTTAAACCTGATTTTGGCAAAGATTATCTCAGGTCTTACCACCCCTTGAATCTTCCATCACTCACTTCAGTCACTCACTCACAAAAAACGTAACCTTGTGCAACCTTGATTATAATTTTTATGAAGAATGAGAGCCAAGCTGCAATGCAGTTTAGAGCAGCAAAAGGAGCTTTGCTCTAGATATCTGTGGGCTGATTATTGAAATTGATAGACAAAGCGATAGATAAAGGAGACATAGGGAGTATGGAGCGATCCGATTGGTTGAAACGGGTTTTTTTATTACAGTCTTGAAGGAGAAATGATGGACTAACTCAAGGGTCTCTTGTTGGTTGCAGTTAGTTAGTCTATTATTTACCTCCTTTGTCTATTGCAACTGTCCATTTCAACCAATGGGATCGCTCCATATTCCTTATGGCTTCTTTGTCTATAGCTTTGTCTATCAATTTCAAGAATCAGCTCACAGATTACATGAATGCAATATACATGTCCAGCATAACATGTTGTTTTAAGAAATGTTTGTCCTCCTCAAAATTTTTCCCATTCTTCGGGATGAAAAATACGAATGCTGTCCTGAAAGTTCAGGATTAATCCACATTATGAGGCAACAATAAAAGTCAGCAAGTTGGAGTTCGGGGAATTTTTTAGATTGTCACCAACAAAATAAACCCTTTTGGAGCACACCTGAAATCATTTTTCTGTACCGGAAGTAAACATCCAAACTTTCGCAGCAGTTTTTCGGGATTATTCAAATTTACCTTTGCGCAAACTTAAGGAACTTTTACACATTTCTAAAAGCTCTGTTTATTGTGTTTTAAATCGATCATCGGGAACCCTCAAAAGAATCACTAAAATCTGTAAGTGATCTGTGCAACAAGTCCTTAAAAAAATGCTGTATCCTGGTCAAATCCTAACAGAGTGTGCACGAGGAGGACCCATTTTTTAGGTAAAAAGTTCATCCAGAGATCTCTGTAGACTGGAACTTGCCGGCTTTTTTTGCCAACTCATATGGTGGACTCATGCAAAACTTTTTGGACAGTCTACGTAAGTATTGGTAATGGGAAGTGCAGGTTCGGGAATGAGGTACTAATTTTGTTCTCCTGGTTCAAATCTTTCCTACTCCATCCGTCCTGTTCCTCCTTCTAATTCATAGGATTTCTCTTTTCAGAGATACCTGTCAGATTATAATTAATATTGTTGGTATAAGTCGGAAGAGGTTATGTAGATTCACTGGTGATTCGTGCAAGTTAGCAACTTTGGTTTACATGCATTTAAATCCATCATAAACAGCGATTCCATGAGAGGCAGCCTGCATTGATGCACATCGATTGTCTCTTCTACTTTTCTAAAGACAAAACCCGGTGTTGCTACCAGCGAGAATTGTCACTGTGGGCTGATTATTGAAATTGTTAGACAAAGCGATAGATAAAGGAGACATAGGGAGTATCGAGTGATCCTATTGGTTGAAACGGGTAGTAATTATAGACTAAAAGGAAAAATGATGGACCAACTGTAGGATCTCTTGTCAGTTGCCGTTAGTTAGTCTATTATTTACCTCCTTTGTCCACTGCAACTGCCCATTTCAACCAATGGGATCGCTCCATACTCCTTTTGTCTTCTTTGTCTATAGCTTTGTCTATCAATTTCAATAATCAGCCGGCTGATCAGATTTACCGAAACCTGAAAGATTGATCTACCTGGTTGTCCACAGGAGCTTTTATGGCTTCTTTAGAATTCCAGGCAGATTTAAAGGCAAGGATTAAAAAGCCTCTTTTACCCTATTTTGAGTTTTGATTTTAATCCTATTTTTATTGTTCACCTCGAATTGTTGATCAATCAGGAGGCACAAGAACAAGAGCATTCGATTGAATTTTATACCAGAGAGGAGCATTTTAGCCTCTAAAACCAATACTCCAAATTAGTATTGAAGTATAAAAGTGCATTCTATAAAATATCGATCGCCAGACCATTGTCTGTCCATTTATCAGATGCTATTTTTCATTGCTTCTTCAAGGAATTTTAATTTTTATTTGTTTTTCTTCCCACCTATAGAGACTCCTGGTCTGGTCGAAGTCGTGGCGGTGGACGAGGGGATTATAGAGGTCCTGTTAGAGAAAGATACAGTCCTAGTCGATCACACGAACTCTCACCTCCTATGAAGCGGATGAGACATGACTGGTAAATTATCATCATCCATCTTATTGATTCTAAAACACTGCAAAGTATCAATTCTGTCAATATCTGATTGCGTATTGACCATAGTCAGATTAAATGCCTCAAAGTTGTGCAAGGATCATGTTAATTTATCTAATTGCCATAAATCTACAAACTAGTCCATTAAACATAGCACATAGATCATAATTGAAAAAAGGGTAAAGGCTGCATAATAGACTTTTTCGGCCTTCTGACACTATTTACTCTTCAGACACCAGAACTTTTCAGTAATGAATAAGAAGTAGTGTGATTGAAAATTGCTTCAAAGAGCCGAACATAGTTATGAAGCACAATATTCAATTATTTCTGTCTTCTTTGAACCAGGGATGATATGGGAGACAGGCGGCTAGGCTATGAAGCAACAGCTTACAATTACAATGTTTGGGCCCCCCAAGCGCCTGTGCAAGCTTACTCCAATAGCCACAGGTATTGAACTCATTTTACATATTTTTTCCCCTTACCATGATTTCATACTTACTATTACACAGTGATTACTACAGTGATTTGTGACTCTTCCAGCTGTGAAGGAAAACTAAACATTCCTTTTCTTGTTCTCAATGAGATCAAAACTTTTTTTATTAATGATGTAGTTGTTTTGTATCATGGTAGTGTATCAACGTGTTATTTTTTTCCTTTTGAAATCACTTAACTTATCTAAAATTTTTTTTGTTTTGTTTTTTTAAACATGGTAACAAGACATTTAACATAATAAATCAAATCTACAATCTTGAACATGTTTAAGTGTCTTAAGCCATTCTGAATCAAAATGTTTGTCAAACAAGGTACATATTGCTGTAAAAATTATTTCCTTGGACAATTTAAGGTCCTTAAATTTAGTTCTTTGTATCCAATTTTTCGTATCTGCGAAGCACAATAAAAGTAATTTAAAATTGTGTTTGTAACTTAATTCATTCAGAGCGGCTGCAGCTGTACCACCGCTGAGTGGAGGAGTGAGCATGGGTGAAATGCAAGACACACAACCTCCAATGCTGTCTTTCAAATCTTTCCTCCAAACTCAAGATGACAACATAACGGACAATGACGCTATAAAAAAATACAATGAATACAAACATGAATTTCGCAGGCAACAACTCAATGAGTTCTTTGTTGCCCATAAAGAAGAAGAATGGTAAGGGCTTTCTTCGTTTTTTTTTATCAAACTAGCATCTAAAACGTTAAACCCAACATTTCATCACTCAATTACTGCTCTTTTAAAGTACATTGCACCCCTTCGAGAAATGTCTACCAAGTTCTTTCTTGATTTGAAGAACTATTAATTATTGAAGTTCTTTGACTTGTATCTGAGGCATGCACATGTATGCATATTTGTTCCAAAGTGATTTTCCTCAACGAGTGAAAAAATACTTTTAAAGTGATTTGTGCTGGGTTCTTGGCCAAACCGGCATCCGATTTATTGTTTCAATTAAGTGAAAAAATCTTGGCAGATTTCGACATTTTAGCAAATGAAAGGATGATAGCCCTTGTGCATGAGCCTCCAAAATCATTCTGAACCTAAAAAAATTTCAAAATTCATTGACATGACAGCGGGATTTGACTTGGAAAAATATGTTGCATTTGATATGGAAGTTGTTTACTGTAAAGAATGCAGTCTTTTTTCCAAGACAAATCCTGCTTTTATTCCTCTGAATTTTGCAATTTTTTTTTGGTTAATCTGATTTTTAGGCTCATGCGCAGGGGCTATTGTCCTTTTTTTAGTTAAAAAGTCAAAACCGGCCAACCTTTTTTACTTGATTGAAGCTATTTATCGCATGTTACCTCGACCGTGTCAAGAACCCGGGACAAATCACCTTTACTGACTTAGGTAGGTTGTTGCGCACTATGACCTTTAGTCTCTTCCAGAATACCTCATTCTAAATTATTGAATTGTGTGAAGCTAGTATGACATATAATCTATTCATACAAGTTTTCATTGAAGGCATTTTGGTCCAGCTGGGGGTCCCCTGAAATAGGGCCTATCTTGAGAGAAGTATAACCTCAAAAGATACTATTACCTATCGGTCGTTTTTGGTCTTGTACTGAAAATCGGACCTCTGTATACTATAAATAGTGATAGGGTTGCCCTACCACAGCAAAGGATCTAGGAGACTCCAGTTAATGTAACCAAGCACAATGTAACTAAGCATTTCTTAGCTGCAAAAAGCCATCATCTTATCAGGGTTGCCACAGCTAAGGAATACCTAAGAATATCAAAGAATTTTAAAAAGTCAGGGAAAGTGACAAAAATGCCACAGGAAAATTGTCTTGTCACCTTTATTTTCTTTCTAGAATGGTTTTGACGTTTCGAAGAGCAAATTTTGCCCGAAAACAATTTCAAATCCTGTCTTTTGAAGCATCTGCCTTATCCTCAATTGTCAGGGAATTTTACCAAAATGTGACAGAGAAATCAGGGAATTCCATCTTCTAAATTCTGCAGCAACCCCGGCTAATAATTTTGAATGCAGCTTCAATTCATTTCTGCATTGAATCATCTAAAAATCTGAATTTAGGCTGATTCAGATCATAACCCAGAGTCAGCAGTTTGTTTGCAAAGAAGTTATTTACTAATAGGAAGTTAGCATATTTGATCCTTGGTTTGATTATATTGCTTGACATTTCCACTACAAATCACACGATTTTGAGACAATTACGACAAACCACAAGAAGTCTTTCGAATGCTAGATTCAGCTGGAGGTTTTGAGATTTAGGTAAACTGGTTTCAAGCAGAGTTGCAAATGTCTCTGCTCTTCATCTCTCAACCATTCCCTCTGGTCACAGGAAGTATTCGTTTGTAAATCACTCGCCCAAAACATTCCGTTTTGTAATTAGCCATATGCCAGTTACCGGTAGGGCATCCCTAACTTAAAATCTCTGTACATTAATTAAGGAGTCATCACATGCCAGCATGAATCTTCAAATTCTTCCAGTCTTTTTATTTTTCTAGTTTCGGTATAGTTGTAATTTACAAAGATTTTAAATGTGTGCCTTGTTTTTCCTTCCTTCCTTCAAAAAACCAAGTTCATCTTGACCTCGAGGAGGTAAATTGTTCAGCCATAAATCCTCCGAGTTCCATCGGTTTTAAAGGATTTTCCCTATTATTGTTTTTGGGCTGTATTTGCACATAACTCGTTATCTCAAATCAGCCTAATTTAAAAATTTCCGAGTTGAGGTTGACACAGAGTGCACATATAAATTTAAAAAAAAAAAAAAAACTTATCCTGTCCTCAAAACGGCAAAAGGTCTGAGGGAAAAGCACCTGAAAATATGTGAAAATTATATTCAATCTTGAATTCTCCCAGCAAAAAAATATTTTTTTGCGATCCTAATTCAAGCTTTCCTAAGTAACAAAATTTGTGCCTTGAGTTTAAAGCATGCTTGATTTATTGAATGGAATGGAAAGTTAAAACATTGATAACTAATATTCTATTTCAGCCACTATGAATGGAGAAAGGATTCCCTTAGGCCTCCTTGTGCTCTGCTTTTAGTTCTTTGTCGCGTATTTTTTAAACGCTTTAAAGTGTCACATAAAATGTTCAGTGTCTGCAAAAAATTCCTTCCGCTGTTAGGGTTTTGAAAATTTTTCATTAGATCGCGCATCTGATATTATACGGCCGTTTTTGGTTCGTCATCAGCTTTGATTGACAAGCAGGTGAGGATATCTTATTCTATTAAGAATTAATTATATTCTTTTTTTAATTGCTAATTTCACTAGCTTATTGTAACTATTTGCATCTAGTTTTTAGTTTTATCTCACGCTGAAAATGTGAACATGAATTTGGTGTCCCATCTCAGTTGTCAACAACCACTGAGGTTGTAAAATGAAAAAATGTAATTCTCTCAGTTAATGACTCCAGTCCAGTTACTGTTCTCGTCGTTGCCATCTGAAAAATTTCTATCTGAAGAATAGACCATCGCAACACTCTATCATACGCGGGTCTCCCTATTGCCATTCACATGGCATTAATCATAATTTTCTCATCTCAGTATGAGATTTAGTAAGCTCCCCATTTAATGGTTTATTTTTTATCAATTAAGTGTAAAAACATCTTCAAAGAATCCTTTCAAATTGTGAAAAATCCTCGAATTTGTTGTCACTCTAATCTGAGGATTTTAAGTTTTTAAAATAAAATTATTTTTTACAGTTCAATCACCATCCAGTTATTGGTAGTTAATTTCCTGCAGCCAAAAAATTTTTCCTGCCCATACAAACGTAATTTTATCAAATGATAAGAATGTGGGTAAAGAAAGGCTGCATCTCAAACCATTTTGGTCGCGTTTTACGTTCAAGGCTGTATTGATTACTGTGCAAAGAAACATTACTGGCTTTGCAGTGAGGGCAATTTTTCTACCAATAGGTCACATGTGAATGGCGTGACCTTACAGGATTTAGGTGGTAGATCATTTGTGGCTAGTGATCAGCCATCAAAAATCAGGAAGAGGCTCATGTAACTTGGTGTCCTTTTTTAAGAAAAAATAACTATCGCTTGGAGAGATTAATGTCATTATAGTCAGCAAAATAGAGCCTTGAGTCAAGCCTAAGCGTTAGTAGTCAATATAAAAACAGTGGAGGTGATATCAGAGTCTATATCACAACCTTAAAAGCTCTATTTAATTTTTTCTTGGAATGTAAGTTTTTGTGCCATCCGTCCTACCTGATTGAGGTGTAACAATTGTCCATGTCTTTAATTCACTTTCAAAGTCTGTTTCTTTGCTCCCCCGTTAAGGTCTCTCTGATATGCTGTCACCAGTTATAAGTTCTTATTTTTGTGTTCATGTTTTCAGGTTTAAACTCAAGTATCATCCTGAAGATTCGGTGAAGAAAAAACAGGAGCATCAAGAAATGCTCAAAGTAAGTTGTTATCAACTTATTCAGTATTTGTATTTGATGTCCAAGTGGAGATTAATCATTCGAACTTCACAATGCTTTATTTTAATACAATCAATTCTTTTATTGCGAGACTGAAAATTCGGCCTCATTGAAAAGTATGTCTTTTATTATTTCTCAGAAAATTTCCTTTTTCTACTGTGAGGAGTCATCCGTAAAAATTATCATGGGATAATAAGAATGGAAGGGTATAGAGATATCCAAAAGAAAAATTAACACAAGAGCTGGAGGAGAGAATTTTTTTTCTTTTTTCAAAAGATGTAAGAGCCTTTCTCATTCAATTGTATGCTTCAACTGAGTTAAATTTGTGCTTTTCCAGAGACGAATTGAAGTGTTCGAGGAATTCTTAGGTAATGGGCGTATTGACAAAGTGACAATTGACAGTGATCAAGCTGATAACCTGCAGAAGTTACTTGATGCAGTCGTAATCCGATTAGAAGGTGGCACTGACCTTGATCTGCAAGCCATTGACCAACCTCCAGGTTAGTTTTTCATTATCGGTCAGTAAGTCTGTTATGTCTTATTCCCGCAACTTTGGAATATTTCTTTGTAAATGGAACCCTAGGGTTTCAGGTGTCCCCTGCAAGCAGTATTAACCAAACTTTCAACTACTTAGTGCCTTGAAAACTTGCTAAAAAATTGCAGTTATAAAATGAGGTGCTGTACGCTCTTTTAATGAAGTACGCTTTTTCCGCCCAATATGTTTTATATGTATTTTTTTTTTTTTTTTTTTTTTTTTTTTTCAGCGTCTCATCAAAATTTAAACGAAATTTAAATAATAGTTTGAAGTGTTATAATAGTACAATTTATTCTCTATTTTGACAAGAAAATAAAACTAAAAATGAGGCCTTAACTGTATTTATTATATCATTGTGATTTTATTAAAGTGAGAAACCGTGCCAAGCCAGCTTAAAACACTGGCCTTGATGCCCGCTGTCATAGCAGGAGTTTACCATGCTTGTATTCTGATGGCTCCATTTTTCATTTCATTTTAATTGCCCCCCTATGTACAAACCATGTATCTTTGGATAGGTGACTTTGATGAAATCGCATTTTGTGTTGGAAAGACGCAATTACTGTAAACTCTTATACTGAAAAATGCCTCAATTGAAGGTGCCAGTCTGGTGAAAGAAAAACATTGCTGCCTCATAAATTGTATCTTCTACCTCTGTTCTAGTGGCCAGAAAAGTTAAATAGTATCTTATGGTTTACTGTCTTTATTTGGCTTGTTGGATGTCTGATTTTTTTTTACATTTTTGTCTCCAGAACCAATTGCACCAGTTCAACGAATAACACTTGAAGCATCCAAGGTCGTGAAACAGTAAGTTTAATTTTGCCTCCAAAATCATCTTGAAAGTAGAAGCATGAATGGCAGGATTAAATTCAATTTCTGTTCATTGAAAAATTATCAAGTATGCAATCATTATCTCCCATTTTTTTTATCGGGAAGTACATTATTTATAAAATAATACCAGAAATAAATGACAAGAAGAAAAATTGTATTAGCAATTTTTATCATCCCATTGCTCTTATTTTTTGGTACTGAACATTGGTGTTAATAATTTTTTATTTCATTTATTTATGTATGCACACGATTATTAAAAACAGGTTTTGCCACTTTTGTAACTGCCATGTTCAAGGTTTTTTACATTAATTGTAAGTTTTGCGGTAGGAGAATTGAATTAGGACAAATTGTGCTCTTTAATGAGACTTCTAATAGCAAGTATTCTAGTTGTATCTCAAAATTTATTATCTTTAGGCTTTTATCATAACTCTTGAAAATTCTCAAGCTGAAAAAAGTGCCATGAACCCTGCTCTAAAATTCTCATTTTGCGCCTCATATTCAAATCCTAGCTCTAGCCCTTATGAAATTATGCATGTTGCATATCAATGGTGTAAATCGGCAATCACATAACTCGTTTACAGTGTCTGAAAATCTTTGCCTCTAAGTTATTTTTTTAACGGAGAACAAATTGACAACATTCCTTGAAATTAATGCAGAATTATCTTTGCATAGAGAAGAAAAATCACGGCAGTTTTAAAGAATTGTCGTTGAGCAATTTTCCGTTTAAGAAATAAAGTATGACAGGAAGTCTGCGACGTTGCAAACCAAGGTATGTGATTGCTGACTAACGCCGTCGATATGCTATCTGTAGGCAAGAAAATGAACCACAAGTATATTGTATTTTTGACAGAATGCGCCTCAGTCACAGCATATGTCTCTAGCCTGACAATGGAAGGCCTAACCAAAGATATGTAACACCTGCGGAGCAAAATTATCACATACATACTAGTCGCTTTTATAGTGCTCTCTAGTGCTTTGCGAAGCCTAACCGCCATAGTTTCCGATCCTCTCACAAACCCGCAGGGAGTTGGCACTCTCTCATTTCATTTGAAAAACCAACCACCATAAATATTCCTAAAATATTCACTTTTCTAAAATAAATTTGTGTTCTTTGCTGCGCCGATGAATCTGCACCATTGCTTTTTTTCGACTTTAATTTATTTATTTTCTCTCACAGGGAAGTAGCTGAATCTAAAAATGAAAATGATGATGCAGAAGAAATTAAGGGTAGCGATAATCCCGAGGCTGGGTCTGAACAAGTTGAAACTGCTAAGGTTAATGATGATGAAGAAAAACCAAAGTCTGAAGAGGAAGGCACTGCTTCACCTGAAAGTAATGATCTTGAATTTTTCCTCTGCATTCTTCAAATGACTACTAAATACAATGAAAATTAAAGCTCTAAAGCTCTCTGAAGATCACCCTCAAAATGTCACTTGCAATATACTTTGAATAAAATTTCACCCATGGCCTGGTTTAAAATTGTAAATCCAGCTCACCAGTGAGATTTCAACATTGTTTTCATTATTTTATCATCTCTCTCGCTTGAGAACAACGTTTCTTTGAGTGAAAGTGCATGCTCAATTTATTTTGAAGTGCTGTACAACTAAAAGATGTTATCAGTGTCGTAATTTCTTCAAAATTCCGGAACATTTATCTCAAAATCAAAAGACAAGGTAAATCCTCGAGTTAACAACTTACTTCTGTATCGTTTCAGAAGCCAGTGAAGAGCCCGATGTTGCTGCAACAATTGAAGAAACAAAACCTCCATCTGAACCCCCAGCGTCACCAAAAAAAGATAAATCTGATGATGAAGGGTAAGAAAGTTTGAAATTAGTCTTTCTTTCTATTTCCACTTTTTATTCACTGATCAAGAGAAGAAATTAAGTTAGTTTTTATAACCAATATATTGTGTCTTAGGAGGCAGCAATTATCTATTCAAAGTTTAGTGAAGAATATACAATTTATTTCGAAAACAGAAATAGAAGAAAACATCATTATTTAGTCATTATTGATAACACGTAATATCAACAACTATTTCCTATGATAAAAACTTAGACAATATTATATTTGGAAGAATTCATGAGCAACGGAATACGAGAGGTAAGCAGGCCGTTCCAGGCAGGCAGGAACATTTGGAAAAATCCCAGTTGGTTCATTAATATTTAGGGTAATTTTGGTTTGTATTCCTGGTTACTTTTGTGGTCCTAGTCCGCTACTGAAAAGTAAGTAAAGGAAGAGACCAATGAAAAGGTTTTTGTTAACGTTCAAGGTTTGTCCGGAAAGCGGAATCCATTGAATTATTCACCAGCAAATCAATTTTTAAACAAGGTGCTCTGCTGTCTGGAAACTCAGAAAGCATCAGGAAAAAATAGCAACTTTAAAACTTGTAAAAGTCAGAGAATTTCTCATTTAGTTAAAAAAATCAGGAATTTTTTATAGACATAGACAAAGAACTAACAAAGAAACAAAACGAGATCCCTAATATTTAATCTTTAGATTTTCTTATTTTTAATTTCTCGCTAACGAGTTTGGAATCCAGAACTCTAAACTAGTTTACATTACCTGATACTGTTTGGGCGGCTTCCACAGATCAACATCCCAAAAAGAGAAATTTTCAGTGGTTTCCTACAGTGCCACCTATCAGAATCTAATTTAGAATGAAGCATGTGAGATTTCTCTTCAAAAAAGGAAGGGAAAACTTCAACTCCAATCTCTAGGAAGGACTTATGAGTCAGGGACATTTTTCCCCAAAATTTGCTTGGAACCCTATGGGAGAAAGGTACAAGGTCTTGAACATGTGTTCTATTTCTTGAAAATTTCCGCCCAGCATTGGGCAGATGCCCTACAGGTGAAAAAAGGTCGGATCTTCACTCGATTGATGAAAGAAACATTGAATTACTAATTAGGAATAATCATCCTCAGTATTGTTCCAAGGTTATTGATAATCCTATTAAGTAGGCCTCACTCAAGTAGAAGCCATCAGTGCATTGTTTCTAATATATTTTGTCCCGGGACTCAACCTCTTACCTTTGCTCAGAAAGACAGAATCAAAATGAATCGTAAAATGTCAACTTGAATACTTCTCAATTTTGTGATGTGACTCCAATTTGTCCATGTTTATACAGGGACGAAAAGAAATCTCCTCCTGTAGAGAATGGAGATACTGATGTAAAAATGGATACAGAAGAGGGCACAGCCGAAGTAAAAAGTAAATTGGAAGATTCTGAAGATGGCGAAAAATCTGAAGAAAAAGCAGAGAGCGAAACTACCAAGCAACAGGATCAGGAAGAAACTGAAGGTATGAGGCAACCAAAAATTTTACCCTAGAGTAGGAATCCAGGTGATGATCTCTTCAGGCGAATTCGCTTTTTGGTTGTGGAGTTTTTAGAATCTGATGATATCATAACAAGGGAGGGTAGTCTCTCATTTCTTTTTGTTTGATCATTATTATCAGCTAGCTAAGAACATGGGTAGCCGGAAAAGTGTCCTTCAACATGTAAGATAAGAGGATTATCAATGGTTAACGAACAATACCACTTATCTGTAAACGGAGGTTTTTGCAGAATGAAGAGAAGACTTCGCCATTTTTGTAATTTTAAGGTCAGATTTGTATTTTTTTTATACATTACAGCATCATTAAGGCGTTCCCGTACAGAATTAGAAAAAAACTAAATCAGCAGTTTGCTTCTTTTACACTGTAGAATACAGCAAAGCCGCTTACTCATTTTTGCCAAAATTATCAGTTAGGCGATATTGTTTGTTAGCCATTGCTATGGTGTATAATTGTTGGTGCCAAAGAGGAGAGATAAATAAATATTTTTTTAAAAATGAGAATATTTTGAAATTTCCTTGGGTCAGATTTTTGCAATCACCTTATTATTTTGCTCATAAATTCCAGAATCAAAACAAGGAGTGGATCTTGAAGAAAAAGAAACGGTCGTAATAGAAGATTCCAGTGGAGAAAGTGGAGAGCTTGGTTTAAAAACTGACGAGAACAAAGAAGAGGACACCAAAACGGTAAATCAAATTTCTCTCCATTTCCTTTTCCATTTGTAAGAAAAAATTGTTTTTACATCAAGTAGGTCTAGAGGTCTAGACCCCCGCTGAAAATGAGTTTCCCTCCTTATGACTTTAAAAGTTTTAGGATGAAGTTCTAACTTTGCACTTAATTTATGTTTGGGCCCTCGCGAGCACCCTAACAAGTTACTAAAAGTGTAACTTGGAAAGTTATTCCATAGTACATATCTGGCGTCAAAATAACGTAACCATTGCCTCTTGGTTTTGGTAATACCTATTAGTTGAGGAAATACATTTTAATGCCAAGTTGAGGTTATTTGAGGAAAGCACCTCAAAGTTAACACAGTACACAGCTTCTACAGTTATAGCTAAGTGGGAACATTCTGGAATGGGCCATTTTGCTCTGATCTTACCTGTCTCTGATTTGTGTTCTCTTTCACATGTAGAAACATACTAGGCTTCCTCTAAGGTATTCCAGTTTTTGAATTCTAGTTGTTTCATCTTGTTTCATTCAGTGTCTAGTACCTAATATTTTTTCATTCAGCCTATTCCTTTGGCCAGATTTCTAACGATTATCCACTGCCCTTATGGAATCTCCATGGCGGATTCATTACCCTATTATTCAAGTATTTCAAAGTTGTCTATGACATTCATGTATGTTGCTATATTTTTTCAGGACGACAAACCAGAAGAGTTGAAACCGAGAGCCCTCCATAGAACATCCTCTCTCTTCCTGAGGAACTTAGCCCCTTCCATTACCAAGAAAGAAATCGAAGATGTGAGTTTATCTCTTAATATTTTCTTTGAATTTTAAATCAGTACTTTTAGTATTGCAAGTGCGAACTCAAACTCAAACATGGCCTCAAATCGAGCCTTTTAGTGAATCAGCCATCTTCTATTTTTAAGCTTAAGTTTCATCTGAAGTTTGGTCATCCATTATCATAAGCTACATGACAGAGGATTATTGGATGGAAACAGTTTCATCTTATTGTATTTTTTTAACATATTTTAACTTGTTACTGATTGTTTCTACATTCATCTAATTTTTGCTTCATGGTAAACTTATGAAAAAACCAAGACATGGACAACAATCTGAATGAAAATTCCTGTCTTCTATTTGATCAGTGTTGCATTATATGCTATCAATGACCATTCAGTTTATTCATAATTTGGTGGTGGACAAGAGCCTCTAATTTTTGAGGCGGTCTGTTCTGATTTAGTTTTTTATTATTTTTTCACATCAACATGGATTATGAGTTATTTCTGTATCGATCCTCAATTTCACAACCTCTGTAAATTGTAACATCTTTTCGTGCACTTTGTTCAATTTTTCAAAGAAATGTGTCATTTTCAGAGGCAATATGAAAGTAATAGCTTTCTAGCTTTCCCACCATGTCTAACCTTGAATCAACAATTTTTCTCATTTCAGCTTTGTAAACGGTACGCTGGATACCTAAGGACAGCAATAGCTGATCCGCAACCTGAAAGGCGGTGGTTCAGGCGAGGCTGGGTCACTTTCCAGAGAGATGTAAATATTAAGGAAATCTGTTGGCATCTCAATAATATTAGGGTAAGGATAACTCATCTCTGTCGATTGATCTATAAGTTGTAATGCTTCTAATGAATTTTTAGCACTGGAGCTCACAAATTATGAGACTGGGTAGCAATTGCCAATTTGTAAGGATGCAAAACTTGTGAGTGGCAAACTCACTCATAATGAGGAATGTCTGCATTGAGGTTTAATATGTTTTATGAATTAAATGTTCAAATAAATTAAATTTTTCACCTTTAGTCACCTTATCATGTAATGTTATCAAGTTACTGGAATCGATGATCGTGAAATACTATGATCGTGGATATCCCCATTGATACCTCTTTGAATGTCCTTTTGATTTTTTGAACTGCTTTCTTAGTAATCTTCTATCTTCAATCCCTTTCCTCGAAAAGGGCGGTGAGAAAATTGTATGAGCTTCGTCCCTAGATAGATTAGATGTTACCTACCCATTCTTTTTGACTTCAGGTACGTGACTGCGAACTTGGAGCTATTGTTAATCGAGATCTAAGTCGGAGGATACGAAGTGTTATGGGACTAACATCACTGAAACAAATCATTCGGAATGATATGAAACTAGCGGCAAACATAATTCAAAACTTGGATTCTCGCTCAAGCCTTTGGGTGCCGGAGAATAAAGAACAACAGGTGATTCTTACTTTATTCCATAGCAAAAGTTCCATTTACTGCATTTTGAAGTTTGATTCCTCCCATGCCCTCCCAAATATTCCACAAGGACACTGTTAAAAGTTTCTTGCAATTACCTCGATTTTGTGATCACCAGATTTTTTTGGAGTTTGTGGTGATACATCATCTGGAATTGCGAATTTTTCGATTTTAGAAAAATTTGCCCAGCTTTTACATATGAAACGCTTGGCTCAACTGCCTCGCAAAACTGATATTAGTTGCCTACTCATAGCAACCATGCTTTTTAAATTTAAAAATTTATTTTCCTAATTTATGATGAGCACATTTCTAATTTTTTGATGCATCGTTAAAACGATTGTCAATCAATACTCTTGAAGCTCCGATGGCTTTACCAATGAGTTCTAATTGTTATTTTTTCTCTGGAGAAGCTCAGTTCATTTGTTTTCCCAGTTATATCAATTGATACTACTGTAATATATTATTAGGCAAAAGATGATTAGAAGTCCATTTGCGTGTTCTATTTGAGCTACATCTCAGTATTCTTATCGTAGATAAGAAAGAATAAAGGAAAAAAAGAATAACGCACATGTGTAGCCTCCATGTATTTTACAACGTCAAATTTTTAGAAAATTGTTTTTCTGCTCAAAAAACTCTGATTTTTTTCTTCTTAAAATTAAATCCTCTGAAAATCTGATAGTTACTGGAGAAACACTCGGATTATTCTTGACAAGAAAAAAACACTATAAAACACTCCTTATCAGGTTATTTCTGCCTTTAGCTGCAAAAATTATCAGGTAATGATCCCGTCAGACACCTCACAAACTTAATATTCCATCCCTTTGTATCAAAGTAATCTGCCAATTCTATGACTACCCAGCTTCAATTTGACGTCGGAAATTCATTGAATTAATTATTTTCAGGAGGGTTATGGACTGAAATCATTGAATCCTGTGCTGCAGAATATCACTGATTACTTAATTGAAGAAGCGAGTGCCGAAGAAGAAGAACTTCTGGGTCAGTCATCAGAACCGGATGCGACAGAGGAAAAGGACATCAATCTTTTAAAGGTTCCTTTACCTACCTTAGATCAATTTTCATTTCTATCAATGTTTGTGCCTGTGCATTGACATGAAGAAACCTAATATTGATGCAGAGGTTTTGAGTCACTTTGAAAAATACCTACAAAAGTATCATATATTTCGTCCTGTGGATGATATAATAGAATCAAATCTTATCTGTCTTGTAGTCCGTGCAATGTGAATATTATTAAATTTCCATAATTTAGGATTCTAAAAGAATTCCGATATCAGGCACTTACAGGCAAGACAAATATTGTCATACGATTTTTTTATTTTGTGTTGATTTCATAGTATGAATGATTTATCATGTGTTTTGTGAGAAATATCTGTCATCAATGAGCCAAAATCCATAAGATCAATACATATGACTTTCTAGCATATGCAATTTTTTGTGGGACAAATTTAATATACATCTGTTTCTATTTTCCCCCTAGGTATTAGATAGATTGCTATTTTATCTACGAATAGTTCATAGCGTGGACTATTACAACCATTGTGAGTATCCCAACGAAGATGAAATGCCAAATAGATGTGGAATAATGCACACTCGTTCGCCTGCCCCCGCTAACAAGGTTCGTCGTTGATTAATCTTCTGAACTCAGCATTTTCCGCCCAATCATTGTGTAGGACATGTAATTTTTTATAGAAAATTTGTGTGGTCTCACCACACTGATTCAAATCTTTGAATCCTGATTAAAAATAGGCCTTAGGTTCATGTCCTTGGAGCTTAACTGCCCCATGCAGCTCACAATTCTTGAGCTCCAAGTCTGAAACATCCTAGTCGTAAATAAAGCAAACTGCTTTGGCTCCTGCCTATAAAATTTTATAACGAGAGAAAACATGAATTAAAAAAAACACATGAATATGAAAATAGCAGTTTCATGCGCACTGGCCCATCTTCAGTCGTAGATAAGTTCTCTACAAACAAAACACAAGAAATCGGGCAACCAAGGCTAAAAAACAAACAGAATGCCTGGGGCATTTCAGGGTGATTTCAACCCCTTCCTCGACCAAAAATATTCAAATCAAAAACCCCTTAAACCCCATTCATGATGACAAAAATTGTGATTTTTTTTTCTTGTTATTGTGAATGAGGGTCTAAGGCGTTTTTGATTGTTATACATTTTTGAATTTTTTGTTTCCTGGTCAAGGAGGGGGCTTGAACTACCTCAAAATGTCCCAGGCATTCTCTTTGTTTGTATTTCAGCCTCTGTTGCCCATTTTCTTGTGTTTTGTTCCGTTAAATTATTCGTTCTATTGTTGTGTATTATTCTTAGGTCTCCACATTTTGTAGATGGAACAGGCCATGTAGAGCCAGCTCCAGTGGAAAGCAGGCAAAAAATTACCGGCTACCCTCTCTAATGAAACAGCTGCCCTCTTGCATTCCAAATTCCTGAGATGCCTCAGCATACTAATTTAGATGTTTAAATTATTCTCAAGGAGCATGGCTAGATTGCCAAAGACATTCTACAGTTCTGGATTTGCCAAAAAGTTCTCTTACAGGTTTAAACTATGAATTGTAAAATGTAAAACAAGGCATTCAAAATGTTAGTGTTGCCCATTGTAATCTCTGCTCTACTCTATTTTGTGTATTCTTATCATTATTTGGTTTTTTCACTTTGATACAGCCAACACAACAGGAAATCAGTGACTACTGTAAAAATTTCGAGGCCAAAATGCAGTCTCTGATTTTTCAACCTCCAGAACTAACGAATGAGGAACTTCAAATGTTGGGTGCGAAAGACACTGAGTCAGAGGTAGAGAAGTTTATTGCAGCTAATACTCAGGAACTGGCAACAGACAAATGGCTGTGCCCACTTTCAGGCAAGAAGTTCAAAGGTCCAGAGTTTGTCAGGAAGCACATATTTAACAAGCATGCTGAGAAAGTAGAAGAAGTCAAAAAAGAGGTGAGAAATTTGTCTTTCTATTTTTTTTAAATAGCAAGCACGTCAACCCCTTTATACTGAGAGTCAAGACAATGTGAATCCATTTCTGATTGGTCCCCCATTTTAGGCCTTCACAGTGTCCACAGTGTCACTAACGGGAATAAAGATTACATTTTCACCGATTGCAAAGATTATAGCCTGGAATGGACCAGGGAATTACGGGTTCGGCAAGGAACAAACGGAATGAGAGAAGGGACGGAGAAAGGAATTTGAGAATAGGCCGATCAAAGATTACAAAAAACGTTCAATTTCTGTAGTCTTTATTCCCATTTGTGACTCAATCAAAGATTACAAAAAACGTTCAATTTCTGTAGTCTTTATTCCCATTTGTGACTCCATGAGGGGGTTTTGTCTTGACTCTCAGCATATAGGGACTCTAGTCAACCCTAGTTTCCAATTTTAAAGTTTTTCAGTACAAACCTTCAACGCTGTGTCAGTAACAATCATAATTCTTATTTTACGTTCCTGTATTTATTGTTCCAATTGTAATGTACCCTCTCATCTGTATGTGAATGTAGAATAGGGCCTCTGTTTTGCTTTGCCAGTCAGTGGCATTTTGTTTTGTACAATTTTATTTGAACAATTAAATTTTGCGATGGAACTAAAGAACATTCTGTGAAATGGAAAGAGATACTAGGAGTAAGTAAAGACTTCTAAAGCTTTTATTGCTAATGATTTCACTTAAAACATTTTTCTATGATATTGCAGGTTGAATATTTCAACAATTACCTACGGGACCCCAAGAGACCTCAATTGCCAGAACACCCAGGGAACAAACAAATGAAGAAAGAGCCAGTTGCAGAAGTACCGCCTGCTTTTATTCCTCACATGCAGTATGGCTACGGAGGTTATCAACCTTATTCACGAGGTGGATATGGTGGATATGCCAGGCCAAGGGCGTACAATCGTGGCCGTGGGGGTGGAGACTATCGCCCGATAGTCCATTACAGAGATCTCGATGCTCCACGGGAGCCAGATGAATTTATTTAAATTTTTCATTGACTACTATCTCTGACTTTTCTTTTGTTTATTGCTTCACTGTCATCAGATTTCATAAGAGTCCTCATAACATCATTGCGGCTAGGCATAACACAATGTTATGCCTATGTTAACATATTGTAAATTTCATGTAATGTTAACATAATATTTTGCCTATTAAAAGCATAATGTGTGTATCAATGACATAATAGTTAATTGGTGACGAATTGATATGAAACAATAATGTATAGAACAACATCATGCATCAGATTTTATTACATTTTTTTAAGTTGTTACTTAAAATGATATCAAATTTGTTAAAAGAAAAAGGAGGAAAAAAGAGAGAAACTGATTGTAGCAATGAAGTATGAGCAATAAGCTAACTCAAGATTTTCTTATCTGTGACAAGAAAAAGTGATGTTGATAGATATATATTGAAAGTATGTACCTTGGCCACTTTGTGATCAGAATGCCTGGTGCATTTATGTAAGGAATGTGTTTTGTGTTGGAATTAGAGAACATTCTGTAAAATGGAAGATCAGATTGATCAGCAGTTCTCAAATGAATTTTAATTTTGCCATGGCTGTATGTATGGTTTTTGTGTGAATATAAATTTAATCAAAATTTTTAAACCGCTGGCTCCGTCATATCATTTGAACCACCTTTTACATTCTCTCTCTGTATTAGTTCAGACCCCTCATTTTATCTTTTTTAATTATTTACTTACTTTTTTAGTATTAACCGCGGTTAATTCTTCCAGCTGTTTTTTTCCATGAATAAATTTTTGTCAAGTATTATGCTCTTTTTACTCTTCCTTCTTCAATCGTTTCATCAAAACTCTGTTCAATCAAATTTTTCTTTGAGGATTTACAACTTTCACAGTTGACATGAAGTACCTCCTATTTGTTAGAATTTTGCCGGATAAATTAATCCTATAACATTAGAAAGTACTCTTTAAGAAAATGTTACAACTATTTGTTGTTGAAAAATTGTGTGTTATCATCACAATGATGCTGTTACAGCAAAAGTATAAAACTGCACATCTTGATTGGGGAATTGAATTCTTCAATTCTTGAACATTGAATTCTTCAACATTCTTGATTGAAATTGTAATTTCCAATTGTTTTCCATTTCTGAGAAGTATACTTTAAGAAATTGTTTTCAAAAAACAAATTTTTAGAGAATCAGATCAAGGAAAAGTACATGTAATTGTTCGTGAAAACGATGATTAAATCTTTTTTGAAACGTAATATGAAACCGAAAATCTGCAGCACAGTAAACTGATACACTTACAATTAGAAGCACATCATTGCTGGTGCTTTGAAATCTGACCTGTGTGAAGAAATTTGATCTTATATAAAGTTGAAGGGGAAATAATGCAGACAAAATCCAACTTCAGCATGTCCAATTTGTCCTATAAATGAATGTGTGTGAAAATTGGATTTTAGTAATCAGGAACACAAGCTAATAAAAATACTTTAATGAGTTCCACTTCATTCTTGATTCCTAAGACAATATGGAATTTTAAAATTGGACTATAGTATCATGAATCGATCAATAATATTTAATATTCAAAAGAAAGAAGAAATTGATCGAGAGGTCAGAACCCATCCTGTGAGTGGAATATGTGAAGCCTGTTTTTGTCCATGGGATGATACCAGACAAAGGAGGCAACGCACTATGTATTAAATAATCAATTTAAAAATTATTGGTCCTATAGTTGACTTGAGATTGAAGAGGCATACAGAAGATGGGAAAGTTGATTTTGTTCTCAAACTTAGGAAGAAAATATTGTTCTGCCTTTGAGAATCTTGGGAGAAGAAATCCCGGGTTATCACTAGGAAGTTTTCTACGTGGAAATCAAGGAGACACCAATTTTCAAAAGTTCCCGCTCAAAGTTAAAGAATTCGCCATATTGAGTTCCTCCAATCCGCCCGCCTCGGTTCCGCCTCTGGTTGAGGTTTGTTCTGTGAACCGTGGCCATATTGAAGTGTCAGACAGGATATTTTATGGAGTCGGTGGTCACTGGTCACAAGAGTGCGTATTTAGATAAATTGGTGGATTAGTCATTCCATCAAAGTCAAATCGTCGTGAATTCGTGCCGTTCTCTCTTCTCTGTGATCGCTTTAAGTTTTTTTCTACTCACAATTTCGTTTTCATTTTCCAGCCAAAATGCATCCTGAATAGTAAGTATTGTAACCCTTCTATTTTGCTTCCGTCTTTGTTCATGTTTACGTGGGCTCTCTTCCAGTTGCTCAATTCCGTCATTCCGACCGTAGACTGATTCTCAGTTTCCTCGTTCAGATCATAGAGTTTTCCTCTTTTTGACCTGTTCTAATCAAATCCCACTTTCCCACAAAGTCAATGGCATAACTTCCTTCACCCACTCTTTCCCTGAGCAATGATTTCAATTCACCTTATGACTCAATTATATCATTATCAGGGCTCTGTTGCTGTTGATGAGAAAGTCACTTCTTCATTTATTGAGGAGTTATTTTCCACCCCCAGAATTATGTGATGAGGGCTGAAAACGCCTTTAAGTATGAATGTTACCCCTGAGAGGACTTTGATCAGCCTATGATTATACCTGAAGAAAGTAGGTTTTTCTATAATGGAAACAGAAAACAAGTCCAGTCTAATCTTTGGCTGTCGCTGACTCAAAAGCTTTTGTCTTTTACCTTCCCTAAGTTACAGTTGCATCTTTGTGGAGTAGTAGCTGATTTTCCTCTGTCATTTATGTAACAATTTCATTGGTAATTTGTGACTGGGCATCCAACAAAATCACTTTTCCAGAGCCAATCTTTGATGAGAAGTACTTTATTCTCATGTATACATATCATGGTTTCTAAACGGATGACTCGTACTTGCTTCCTCTGTTGATAAGGCTCCCTTACTTGCAAAACTTTTGTCAAAAATTCAAATTTCTCGGAAAACACTGTGATGATTTTTTCAACACCTTACCCTATCATCTCAATTGAGAGAGGTGTGCGTGTGCATTTTACTGTTATATGGGGAATGACGAAATTGAACCTATTACTTAATTGTGTCAGGAATGGAACTTGTGAGGCATATCATTTTGTTTCTGATCCTTCAAAAATGTGGTCAGTCATTGCTGATATCACTTATTATTATCAGCGGGCAGGTTAGTTTCACTATTGAATCTTGGGAAGAGTCGGACAATGAAGTTCTGCCTGTGGTAGTGCCGTAGAATAATCTTATTGCATAAGTAGCATCTCAAAAACTTTCAGAAAATTAACTTTTCTTTACCGTGGACCGTACTTACTCTGGACCGTATAACTAACAATGGTATGTTTTAACATATGAACGGAATAGCTTTCCCACCGTTGATACAGAATTAGGATAATCCTCCTCTGTGGTTTTTTCCTCAATGCTTTTCATGTTTCTGACTTGAAATATTTTAATGACCATTCGAGAGAAACGCATGAAAGAATCGTCTGAAGTAATTTTATACGGTGCTTCTAAGTTATTAGTATCCCCATAGGGTGTTACAAAAGTTTTGTCATCAACTCACTGTAGAGCAAGCAAATAAAGCCAGAGGGGTGTGTTGTACAAGTTAAAGATCATTACCTTAGCTTTCCAACACGACTTTGTTGAGCTCATTTGGTTAAACATTCAAGGAGGCGTGGCGATGTGTTCATGTTATGCTCGGGAAAATTTTACACCTTTTTTTAGAGCGGAAAATCAAAGCTAAGTGGCACTTAATTACACCAAAGCTCATCATTGAGAATCACAATTTAAATTTTCAGTTATTTATTTCCTTCTTCAAAAAAAGGTTCCACATTCTCCGAGAGGTTACATGAACACGCGCTTATTGCCTTAAAATTGCTGTAACTCAACAAATTTTAGACCAAACAAGTTCCCAAAACCTTTTCATTGATTCTTGTAAGAGTAAACAGATAAGCGGGCAAAATAGGAGTTAAACAAACTTCAAGGACTTTTCTTTAGCCTTCTTACGCAACTTAGTTGAGTGTAATTGGTCAAAAAGCTAAGTCACAGGGATTTTCTAGCAGTATGCTCATGTAATCCTCGGGAAGTACAAACTCTCGTGTAAAGTTCTACGCATATGGATGCGCATTACTATGATGCATCATCAAAGAATGTGTAATTTCCACCATTTCTCAGGATGTGTGTTTGAAAAGTTTGTAACTTGTGACAATGACATTGGTTGTCAACAGTTAGCTTCGGTGGTACTAAATACCAGTTAGCTTTGTTTTTTCTCACTTAAAAAACGTGTCTGTACTCCTTTCATGGCATGATCAAGTGAATTGATGACCAAATGAGCTCAACAATATCGCATTTGAAAGCAGTGAAATGATCTTTTAGCTTGTACAACCCACAATTTGCTGGCTTTATATGCTGGCTCACATAAGAGACGACAAGACTTTTTAGACATCATATGTATGTAGCTCCCGCTATATTGTAATTTTTATGCTTCCTATTTAAGCGTTGTCTAGTTCTCTTGTGAGAGTAATCTCTTCATTTTTTTCTGACAAATCCTTTCTCTGTTTTTTTTTCAGTGATTATCTTTTCAAACTGCTTCTGATCGGAGACTCAGGTGTTGGAAAATCCTGTTTACTGCTAAGATTTGCTGTAAGTTTATTTTACTACTTCAATCTCTACCATTTTACAAATCTTAAGCTTTTGTTCCACTGCAGAGGCCATAAATTGAAATTCATGTGACAGCTGGCAATTTCAAGGAGAACAGCTTGCACGAAAGAAAATGACCAAAAAGAAAATCGCACATGACCCCTCAACTAGTTAACAAGAGGTCCTGCTGATCCATGTGACAAGTCTGTTTCTTGGTCTAAGAAGAAAGACGCAAATTGAATCTATAATATTTGTTTTCTCTCTCCCATTGTTGCCAGATAGTGCTAAGCAATTAGCACTTTCCTCCATTAAAACTCAAATAAAATATCCACAATGAATTGCACACTTTGGCAACCTCGCTCTCTCCTTAGGTTTTTTCTCTTCCTTATACTTTACCCAGCTTTTCACCTATCACAAAATATTTTACTATGATAAAACCACCAGGTGTAGTAGAGACCTCTCAGCTAACGTAATTTTGAATGAAAGTAGGCTTTTGCCTGTCGGTCTCTTCAAGAGAATAAGACTGGAAATTTGAAAAATCTTAAAACTTGAAATCTTGAAAAAAAACCAGTGCTGTCTGCACAATCAAACTGAATCTCGGTCTGGTTTTGAGTACAATGCTCTAAATCATGTACTAAATAGTGAATAGAGGAATCATTTCCCTTAAGGCATTGCTGTTTTAGTCAATTGAATGATTAACACCTTACGAAAAAAAAAAAGTGGACGTTTCTGTCATTCATAGTTGAATTAATCCCTAAAGTTTTAGTGTATTTTCCAATGAAAGAACACTATTTTTCATCATCAGTTCTATGCGTGCTATGTCATTATAAGAAGTCAAGGAATTTTGATCATTTTGTTCATGGAAAACCCGGAAAAATCATGGAATTTTTCCTGAATGTGGTCAAAAGCTTCAAGCATGTGCATTTTTGGGTCTTTCCATCAACGGCTCTGACTTGAATTTTTTTTTCCTACTTGAAGAGCTGCCATTCTTCACTCATTATTTTTCTCTGTAAAAAGAGCAAAAAACTTAATACAGCCACTGCAGGAAAATACAAAATACTTCAGTGACTTTGCTCTAGCTATCTCTATTGAAACGGGTGAGTCAAAAGTTAATGTTGGCGAGCAATACCAATTTCTACATAATGAATGAGAAGTAACTTTTGAAACTTTTTCTTCACTTTTAATTGTTTTTCTCTTTTTCTCTAGGATGATACATACACGGAAAGTTACATCAGTACCATTGGTGTTGACTTTGTAAGTATCCAATATTTTATCTTCCTATCATGTTTTTTTTTTATGATTTAATTCCATAATTTAGCAACGGCCACAGGGCTGCAGGTTTGCTCCACTACAGGACTGTTTTGCTGCAGTTTGGTTGTTTGGAAAAATGTGAAGACTGCAAAAATTCTGGAACTTTTATCCGAATTTTTATTTTTCATTCATCTGAAGTGATAGTGGGTGACAAGTTCTTTATATGTCCTAGAAAACCCGTAAAAGGCAGGAAATAAGTGATGAAAAGGGTAAAGTGCACTCGTCATAGCGCACAGAGATAAAGATCTAGTGTCTTGAAAACACAGTTGAGCAAAAACAGTGTTTGTCTACTTTTAATATAAAATTTTCTCTAATATTTTCTCTTCGCTCAGATTATTTGCTTTAACTTGTGTGACCGCAATCTCTCTTCAATGGGATCAAGCCAATTGTATCTGCTTGAATTTATTTTCTGATGTGTCATTGGTTTGGGATACATTATTGTAATGTAAACTAATTTGAGACTGAATGTTTAAAAAACCATTTAGCATTCATGGGGTGACTGATATTTGTTTCAATGCTTCAGAGAGTTGATGGTCTATAATTTTTTGTTTTACTTCTATTTTCAGAAAATCAGGACTATTGACCTAGATGGAAAAACTATCAAGCTGCAAATTGTAAGTTATTCTCCTTATTTTCTGAAATTGAAAGTATCTTTTTTTTGGCTACAAAATTGGCAATTAATGGTTATGACACATTCATAGCGGTATAAAAATCATGAGCTCTTTAGAATTTTTAAAAACTGATTTTCAGTAGAGGAATAAAGCTCGTTTTATTTTGGGTGTCGAAAGATGTTTTGAAGAAGGAATACAGTTGCTCAATCGATCTAATTCAATTTGGAAGGTATGAAAAAGACGCAAGAAAAGCAATATAGGGCAATGTGGCACCTACCTCCAACTATCACCGAGTCTCTGTTTGAAACGTTGACTTGAATGAACAGATGCTGATTAGGTCTACTTTATACTCTTGTCTTTTGGTGATTTTATTCTACTATAGATAGACGACAGATTTTATATAGATGGTGAGACTGCAAAAATCTACAGTGTATCTCTTTTTCAGTATTTTAAAATATCCGCTCCTGATTTATTTTATCAAAAGAGAAAACAACACAATTGCTCAAAATTTTTGCAGAATATTTTTCACATAGTGAGGGAAAATCAGGAAAGATTCCAAGACATGAAGTCTAGTATTTTTCCGTCTAAAAGATCATTTATGACCGGAAGTCTGCTGCGTCGCAAACCGAGGTACACGTTTTTGCTATTTCCCTGCCAGTATGCGATTATGTCTTTTGAGAGATATTTTCCAAGGGCATTCCTTTATGCTACGGATGTAAGGAAAAGCAAATTGAAACATTGAAGATCTGCTGAACTGCTAATTCATGTCAATCCACAACATTCTACAGCATACTCTTCTGCCAGTAATTTTTCTGCGATTACAAATTTATTCAGTGATCTCTAGCGTACCGTTAAATGGACTTTAAAGATCCCCCCAAATTTTTGCATTTGTGCGTGAATTTCTCCTTATATTACAGCAACAACTATTAAAGCAGAAATTGTGAGCCTAGTTTACGCATGTTTTCAACTACTGCAAGGAAACATGAGTAAAACTGAACCTACTGTATTGGAAAAGGAAGTCACTGACCTCTTGTAATTACCGTTCAGGCACCTTGTAAACATAGCTGGTCCTAAATTTACAAAATATAAATATCACCAGATATTCAATTCCTTCAATCCCATACTAAAAGAATGTATCCAAGTGGTCTGTCCCCCTCAAACAGCAAAAATTTTTAGCAGATGGAAGATCACTTAACCACTAGGCAAGGTACAAATGTAAGCATGTAGATGTGTGTTTTCTCATCCAAATTCATGTAAAACAAAATATGTGCAGCAAAAATTATCAAAAGTAACTCCTTCGTTAGGTATTAATATTTTTCATTGGTTAAATCCATATTTCCTGCTGATTTAAAAAAAACGATCAACTACTGTAGATAAATTGCACACTGAATGCTACCGCAACATTCACAGCGGTACAAAAATATGGCAACCTCAGTCTTGGCACTTTGGTTCAGCTTTTATATGTTGTTTAAACATCGGTGATGTCATGGCAAAGAAGGAAAACTGTTGCATTGCATGATATTTGTGAATACTATGATTTTTTTGTAAGCGGAAATTTCAAATGTTTTTAACCAGTGCTAAATAAATGCATTTACATAGAGTGTTCCTGAATCATGTAACATTCTAGGAAGAGGGGGGTCGAGGAGGGCATTACGCCATTTTGGTTTTACCAGTTAAAGGATAGAGACCTATGTTGCAAAACTGTCAAAGGGGGGGGGGGGTTAAAATGCCTTAAAAGAGGGTTATGTAATTTATGAACTCTCTTAGGAGTGATATTCAGTAATTTTCTTTGTAGGAATCGTCTTCTAGGTGAAATTTTGAAGAGGAAATATGTATCAGAATGCTTAAGACGATTCGATGGACGCCATATTTTGTGTCAGAACGGCATGCGATAAATCGCATCAATTGGTTCCATTTCTTTAGCTACTCATCATTTTTCTCGAATTTTGAGATCGCAATTCTATTGTCAGGAGACTAAAGCACTCACCAATTTTAACAAAGAAATTCATCGTAATAAAGGAGTGGTTTTTTTAGAGAGAAAATATCGCATTCGAGTGCAGTTTCGATATCAGTATTGTATTTTAAGTCTTGTAAAACACTTGGTAGTCACCCAAAGGTAACGCACCAAGAGCTACAGCCCTGAGATAAATGTTTGTTTTAATTTTTCAGTGGGATACAGCTGGTCAAGAACGATTCCGCACAATTACATCAAGTTATTATCGAGGCGCTCATGGAATCATTGTTGTATATGACTGCTCAGATGCAGAATCATTCAATAATTTAAAGCAATGGCTAGAAGAAATTGATCGTTATGCCTGTGAAAATGTCAACAAATTACTCGTCGGGAACAAATGTGACCTTACAACCAAGAAAGTTGTCGACTATGAAACTGCCAAGGTATTTAAATTCCTCATGACTAAATCTATTTTACTTCCATATTCAGGTGCAATAGTAACTATCAATTAGTTCTCTTGAAAGGAACAGTGTTTTCGTTTTTCCGCTGACGTGAGCTGGTCTTCCCTTTTTCGCTGGCTTCTCAATTTTGCACACAATCTATGGTCGCACAGCTTAGAAGTTTCTGCACCTCTAATTGCTCTTCTATTACAGATTCAATGCCCATTCTTGTCGTAGCTTAATTCGGTGGAACTTTTAGAAGTGCCTTTAACACTCCAGTGAATTATCACCCAAGTGAAAAGAAAAAACGTCTGATCACATAAAAAGAGTACAGGGGCAAGTGCTGGCTGATTTTTATGCCATGAAGCGTCTGTGATTCATAATATTCTGGATCCTGCAATTTACAATTTGAGTGCCACAAGATAAAGAATTCATTAAGCTAAGTAGTTATGTTTCAAACCTCTCTTTAAAAAAATTCCTCACTTGTAGGACCCAAGGGAAGATGTGTTTTTGCTTCCCTTTATTTCTTAATGTCGTTTTCCAGCCAGAAACTGTAGGTACACAATATAGTAATTACAACGCTTGTTGAACAAAGATAGATTTTTAATTTCTTTCTTTGGTTGTTCCCAGGAGTACGCAAACACATTGGGAATTCCATTCTTAGAAACGTCAGCAAAGAACGCTACCAATGTGGAGCAGGCATTCATCACAATGGCTTCAGAAATCAAAAACCGCGTTGGTCCGCCTAGTGCAAGCGCCGACACTACTAGTAACACAAGAATAGACCCCGGCCGACCTGTTGAATCAACCAAGAGCGGATGTTGCTGAATACTTTTAGCGCTCACTTTGGCTCTCATTCATTTGAAATTTCGTATTGTTATCTATTACCACTTGTATAATATCCTGTTGTAATTTTATACTATATATTTTATCTGGCTCTAATTTCATCCTGAATTGAGAAAAACTAAGTCACTAGCCTTCAGTGAAATATCTCAAACAATGAATTCAAATGTATCAAACCAAAACAAAGTGGATTGTCAGGGAGCCCTCTTTATAAATTAGTATAAAAACAAAAAAAATAAATGAAAAAAATATTTAGATAATTGCTTTCACAGTTTCATTTTTAGTGGGGGGTGGGAGGGGAGAATCTATTTTTATCGTAAGTTTGTTGCAAGTATGGAACAGATATATAAATCTTACACAATTAATTATCCAGAATCGGAGTGTCTGTGGATGTAAGCAACTTAGAGGAAATAGGGCAAGTGGAAGTTCCTTTTAATGCTAAACAAAATCAGATTGTTCCACCAAAAAGACTGAATAATTTCCTCTTGTGAAATTTTCCTTTTCCCCTTCTCTTGATTACATTTTGGAACTTTCTTTGAAATATGAGAAGATAGCATTTTTCGTTGTATGTTTTTTCTGCAAAAAATATTCATATTATTAACATCTTAAAATCTTCCTGCAGATCATTTAGTGAATTAAGTCAGGAAATATTTTAATTTTTCTATCGCCGAATACACAGACACTCTGATTAGGTATTCGAATTATTTGCAGCCTAAGTCATCAGAGGTGTCTCTAAGAATTGTCACTAGTCGTTTTTTCCTTGAATGAAGTGTTAAATGCAAATCAATCTATATCATTCCAAAGTATGTCACCGACTTTTATGGCACTTCCTTTTTTCTACCTTTTATAAAAGTTTTGTGAAATCAGAGAGGATTTTTGTACTTGATTCAAATAGGGGGGGGGGGGGTCAACTTTAATCAATGATTTAATTTAATATCCATCTATGCCTCTTAAATGCTTGTTTTAATTAAATCAGATATGGGAGGTATTCAAGGAAAATTTTTAGTATCAGATAGAGTCCATCCCGAATAAGCTTATGCTCTTCAAGAGTGCGACCAAGATCAGCTGTGTCCAGTTTAGTACTGAATGTAAATGCAAGAATCAATCTCTCTGCTGTTGCACTCGAAAAATGTGTGAACTGTAAACCGACAAGATTTCAGGCATTGATAAGACCAGCAAAATATTGAAGAATTAATCCAAACCGTACATTATTTTTGCTCCATGGACTCTCCATTAAGATACCGTGAGGGAAACTAGTATAACCACCAAATTTTTTTTTCTTTAATCCTGGATAAACTTGAGGGATCTTATTGGACTAGACGAAATATCATCATTTTAAATTTCTGTTTTTTGTTTAAAGTAATTTTTTCCTTTTCATTTACTTTTTTACTTGCCGTGAAAGTTTCGAATATTGAATTTAATCTAAAATTTCTTCGTTAGCAAATAGTGAATAACCAGCACTGATAATCTTGCCTTTTCTTGGATGCATTTGGATAATGAACAAATAATTTTGCTTTATCAATTAAAGAAAACTTGCATAAGCTTGCAAAGATTGCATGCTATAGTAATATAATTTGCATCCTCGAAATTGATAATCATAAATAATTGATCATATTTAAAGAGAAAGCTCAGTCCAGTGAAAAAGCGCAGAGGCACGAAAGTTTTTAAGATCGTTCTCGTTAATTTCTCATTTCTTTTTCAGAAGTCAATGGAATCATTGACTGAGAAAATGATGAAACAGTCGAACTGTTGATTGAATGCCTTTTTCACCCCCATCAGTGTATTTCTGTCCCCATGTATTTCAACATGAGACTGAAATTCAGTTAAGACTAGAAGTTCTTTAAAATTTCCTAACCTGCAGTAGCTATGGATATTTCCTAGCATAAATGATAGCATGGATCGTTTGAGATGACTTGAATATGTGGCAGCATTCTTTTGATTTTTCTTCCCTTGTTTGTGAGCATTTTGTGCTCATCCAGTGCCCAGAAATATTTTTGTTATCAATTTTTTTCTTCTTTATTTCTCTCTTTTTTAAGTAACATGTTTTTTGTCTGTTAAATTTAAGTTGATGTAGTCTCCTCCTCTGATCGCAGTCATTCGCGATCGTAGTTTACATATTTCATTAAGTGAATAAATTTTCATTCAGGATTATTAATTTTTATTCCTATCGAAGAAAACATAATGAACATTTTGAGCAGCTTGAGCTTTGCCTGTCACCTTCCTACCATCAACACAGTGTGTAAGTCTCTTCTCAACATTTTGTATGAATTCCAAGAATCTCCAAAAGGAGTTTGCCTGCTAGATATCTAAAATAGTCCCGAGTTAGTAGCTGCATAGTTTTGCCACTTGTCATCATTAAAGTAGATAATCTTCTAAATATATCACACAAATTAAAGTCCTCGAAGCTCTGCCTTTTTTTGTGGTCTTCAACGTCTTTGACTAGAAGCTTTTGCCGTGTCTGCTACCAGTCTAGTATTACCGTAAAATGCAGTTCCCCAGACAACAGGACATATTACATTTCATCGCCGTCAAGTTTCCTTTTGCTCATTGTGCTTCTATCAGGGAATTGTTGAGAATTCTAAACTAAAAATCACTTATTTTTCTTCTGATTGCAAGCAAAAATCAGCAAAACTTCGGACATAAATTGCAGAGGCACATTATTTAAAAAATTTAAATTTTTTGTCAATCTTGCAACTTTGGAATGGGGTGACGTTCCATCGACAGGGAAGCAATGAATGGTGTGTTTTAAGAGAATCAACCTCCTAAAGCTTTGGTAAAATTTACCATAGTCACAAAAGTAAGCCTTCTTCTTGGGTAAATAGGAGATTTTTAATGATCTTTTGTTCAATTACTGGAGCCGGAAGATTTTGCGGTGCGTTCTTACCAATAGTTTTTTTGTACAGTCACAGCTGTACAGAGCCTCAAGGAGGAGACTCTTCAGCTGACAATCTTAGCAGGAACCTTTATAATGAAGCAGCGTGGCAGCAACATTTTAAGAGCATCTATATTTACAGTTGTGAATGTATGAAATAAAATAGTAATCTTCAATTTAAATTATGTGTCCTTCATCAGTGAATGCAATTTCAGTTGTCTCCTGTTTTTGGTCAGCGACATAATTTTCTGTCTGGTAGCTCCGTTCATTTGTCTGAGGGTCTTACTTAAGGCCTGTGACTGGTGCGTGTTAGATATCTTGCCCCTCTCGCGAGTCCTTACTCGGATTGTTCTTCGAAATGAAAGAAAGGCAAAAAAGCGTGACTCCATCCTTGAAAGACTTGTGGTTTTAACAGAGTGGAAGAGAATCATAATCCCACGTTACTCCTGTGAGTGCTAATGCATGATGCTAGAATTTTTAGAACATTACTCAGCAGAACTCTAGACTCAGTAGTACTAAAACTTAATGGGCAGGTTTCCAGTGTAGGAAATCAAATCCTCATTTTTTATTACAATAAAAAAATCTCCTGATCAACAAAAATGCTATCGCATTTCTTCTTTTCAACCTAATAATTCCTAGGAGAGGGGGTTTAAGTATTCTCTACAGGGTCATGTATAATCCTTGCTATTGTGCACTCTCAGTAACTAAATGGTGAGAGATATCAGTTGATTTTACAGATAATCTTGGCAGTCTTATTTGTACACAACTCTTGTGAAAATTCACCTCTAAGACGCAGATTTATAATTATTATTTGTAGGGAAACGATTTGAAAGAAACGACAGGTTTGGTCAAAATGGTTTGTAGAGTTCATAAATGCGACTCTCATTTAAAAGTTTTTGAACATAGTGTAGCCATTGACTGTGCGCACAGTCTCAGAGAGAGAGAAAAAGAACACTAAGAGAAATAATGTGTGCTAGCAAGAAACTGAATGGCAGAGAGGCACTTGTCGAATGTAGTATGTCTAATTTATGAAATGTTAACCGTCAAGCCAATACCAAAAAAAATTGATTTTACTTAGTAAACTTTCTAATTTGACTGTCGGTCAATATTACTGCCCAGCAAGTATGACAGCTGACTAGTTTCCACGATTGCGAGGCTCTTACCTCTAATTATTACAGCTTTAAAATTTAGCTTTAACGGAGAAGTAATTTTTTGATTCTTTGAATAGATTCATCTAATTGTTTAACAAGTGTGAAATACTGTCTTATCTATTGGAGTCAACCAATAACACAAAATCCAACACATTATTTTTTCAGCTCGGAAAGGGTAAGAATGTAATGGATTTTTAAAGGACTAAGAAAATAAGAGGATTGTACTTGAATATATGTGCGAGTAGTCGGTCTCAGGACTGAAGCACTGTTTTGGTGGACCATACCTTCTCCTTTCTTGTGTGAGGAAATCAGATGAATCCTCATAAATTCCAAACACGAATCAACTTTACCGATTTAGAATTTCTCATCAACCTTTAATCCCATCAAAGAATATATAAGATCTAGGTACGTACTAGATATTTTCTTATTCAAGCTTAAGAAAGTAGTATCGTAATTTTTCTCCTCTCCAGAGAGAACATTAAATTTAATCAGAAGCTGTTGTCACTATCAAAACTTCAGGTTGGGTTGTTTAGTTGTTTTTTTTTTTTCCAGTTCTGCAAAACTTTTCACTTTTTTTAGCTAACACCGAAAGGTCATTTCTCATGCCAGAAATATTAATTTGTGTTCGCTGTCCCTTCTTCAATTTAAAATATCCCTTATCTCATTTATCTCAATTTCTTCAACCTCAGTTCAACTGGTTATGAAAAAATTTTAACACTACCTGATTCCATCTTTTTAATTCTCGTCCATGTGTAAATGTGTAAAAAATGTTTAGGTTTAAATTTTCTCTTATGCTTGGATTACCTATCCGTGTGCGTTTTTATGTGCCTGCACATTTGCTTTCTGCATGGAATACATTATTATCTTTTTTCACATATGAACATAGCTGTATGTTTAGACAATAGGTACGTACTTATACACTTCATTTAAGGCTTATTATATAATTAAATATAATAATTTTAACTATCCAGTAAAATATGCCGTAAAATAATGTGTGTCAGTAACTGGCTTGGAAGTGCTGAATTTTAGTTTGAAGGCACATTATTCAAAGCCATTTGTAATTCACTATTTTTTTTTACTTAGGACTGAGGCAAGGGAAGATTGTATTTAGTGTTTTTTTACGATTAAAGCAACCTAGTTGTTTATTTTATGATTTCACCTGGCTTCTACTAGCCTTAGCAAATAAATTTATCAAATTTTAATGGGTTTCTCTGAGTGATTGAACACCTTACCCGTTCGTTTCTGTGGAGAAATTCTCGAAAAATGGATGAAAATTAATCAAGTGGATTTTTACAAAGTTCTGGGTAAAATTAAAAATGAACTACTTGCAAAAGAACTTAAATTGGCTAGAAGCCGAACACCTCACTCTAATGAAAATTGCAAGAGTCTGCTCTGCCGTAGAGATTCACCATTCTTCAGACTGCATTGATATCAAATTCATGTGCTGAGTTAGCATCTTCTTTCACCTTTGGAAATGCTTCAGGCTTTCAGTCTCGCAGCGTGCTACCTAAGAGTATAAAAATTTACTACAAAAGCTGAGAAATTCCTGACTTGATCTCCTGAAAGTTGCAACTCAGGACCTTACACCAGAAACCAAGGGATCCGGCGGAGCTAATAATTATTTGATACGTCCTTTGAAGACGTCCTGAGCTTCGCTTTAAACTTCTTTTTTTGCCCAATTAGATAAAAGCTAGGCTAGAGAGTGAATTTTTTGGCAACTTTAAATGCGTTTTCCTTTGAAATATTACACTGCTACTTTATCAAATTTGTAGAGCCTTGGATGAATATATGCAGCAGACGCCGATGGATTCTGTTGTAATTTAGAGGCCTTTAGTTCTTTTTCTCTGTCTAATCCTCATGGCTAGCAAGGAAAGAAAAGGTCTCCTCCAGCATCAATTTGATGTTGCGACACTTCTACTGGATATTGCATGTAAAAGTGCCGACAAATCCTCTCATTGGCCCCCTTTTTTCTCAAAATTGGCAGACAGAAAATTTTATATCTAACTCTTATCCCGTTCAGTGTGTTGTGAAGAGCATCATATTAAATAATGTAATCTGGCCGACGCATAATATGTTGAGATTATGTTCAGGGTCCTTTTCTCTAGCTAGAAAAAGTGCCACTGAATTAGTACCTTTATTGGATGTCCTTCGCACCTAATCAAAAGCTAGAAAATTAATAGGAAGATAAGTTCCATTGTCATCATTTTTATTATGCTCGCAGCCCACAAGTGCAAAAATAATCAGTTGTTTGGCATGAAGTGTGAAAATAATTTCGTAGCCTCAAAAGACTAATTTCTTATATTTATCCAGACAAGTGTAAAAAGATTCGCCAGGCAAAGGAGACTTCAAACATAAGATCCTTTCTGGTTATAAACCTCAGGCTTAAGTTTGTCAAAAAATTAGGAATCAAATTTTGAAGGTGTGATTTTGCCATTTGACAATTAAAGAACGACTTTTTGGGGTTCTTTGGGGTTTCAAAATTAAGCTTCGGCGTAAAAATTATGAACACTGAATTTTAGGTAAAATTAAGAAATTTTATTCATACTTATGAATAAAACATGTTTAAACAACAATTAGAGAATAATACTTTCCCAGCTATAGTATTGAAATTATATTTTGTTAAAATGCTCCTTCCGAACTCTAAAAGGGAGAAACAAACATACATACATTTTCAAATACATACATACATGTAAATACATACATTTTCAAGATTTGTGGGAGAAATTTTATAGAAAAGAAACATTCGTACTTGACATTTGTGACCTAGAAAGCAAAGTCTCAAGGACTGATGATCATTTTCAATAACATTTTTGACAAGAGCTGATGAAAGTTTGAAAAATAAATTTAGTGAGTGAACCTTGGAACAAACTAAGACGAATTTTACAGGACAAAACAAAAAAATCCATGTTAAATCAAATGAAAACTTCACAAGTCTGATAAATAGAAGAAAATGCACCGGTTGGAATTAGAAAAAGATGATCATTTTATTTAAAACAAACTACTCATTCTTGTTAAAATATTCGTCAGTTCTAATTTCAACTTTTTCATTTTTTCTCTTGTCTAGTTTTTCCTTTAAATTTTTGGCCACAATTAAAATCTTTTCCAAATCCAATATCTGCGTTCCTTTCAGGATTGAAGAATTTTTCAGCCGCTCAGCAAATTCATATGTTTCAGCGAGGTCGTTGTCATAGCAGTAATTCACGAAAATCTGAAATTCAAGAACTAGATTAGTAAAATTCAATACTTATATGACTCATATACACTTACCTAGTACATCAATAGTTGACTTTTTAAAGAGAAATGTTCTCAGCTCAAGCGGGTCATTTCAGTCAAGTCATTGGTTTTGTGGTAAGTTATAGATTATGACATATTGATCAAAAAGTCAACGAGTTTTCCTACCAATCTTGCAAATCAACCTCCCTTTTTAAGCTGTGGCAAAACCATTGACGATATATTACACTTCAAGGTGATTAAATTGAGATTCAAAAAAGAAATTGGTTGAAATTGGTAAAACAACCTATAAGATTTTTTTTCGTACAATTTTTTTTTTATTTTCCAACCGTCTAAAAATTCTTTATGCATACTTAAATGGGCAATTTGAAACCTTACTTTGACTCTTACCCCCCCCCCCCCNAAATTAAAGTTTTTTTAGATTAACTCACCAGAGCTCCATTGCCATCTTTGTTTTCGATCACAAATTCTAAGAAATCTCTCAAAGTTTGTGCTTCAGGCACTCCGAAAATCTCCTGCTGGCTTCTCCTGAGTTTTTGGAAAACAGTGTAGGCATCTTTAACTCGTTTAGCGTCAACAAACGCTTGCAATATGCTACCTATCATTGGCCCAGTCCACCTGCCAAAAAAGCAAGAGACACTGATTATTTTTCAAAGGTGGGTTACATATTAAGACTAATATCACACATTAAAAAATACACTAAAAGGTCCTAATGAGAACTCAGATCCTTAAAAAATTCGGGAAAAGAAATGATTCACAGACTCATGTAGTTAAAAACATAAAACATGCCCTACTGTTAATTAAATGCCCTCCCATTATTTTCTTTTCTACTTTACTTCTTTGGCTCGGTGCTATTATTGCAATCCACCCGAAAATGATGGACTAATCAAAAAGATAGGTACTGTGTTAGGATGGGCTTTGTCTCTACAGAACGTTTTCCCGCAATTTGTCGCAGCAAAAAGTTGCTCTTACTAGATTACGACAAGTATGGACTGAATAAATATTAATCGCAGTACCAATTAGGGTCCTTGTAGAATTCTAAGACCGACTGTGATTAGAAGAAGAGGTAATGGGAAATTGTCAGATCTTTTGTTGTTCATTCCATTGTTCGTGTTCGTTAAATTTGAATAATTAGGTGGATTGTTAATTTTCTTTGATTATTTCCTTAATTCCATTCAAATAAGCACACGATTTTCACAAATTTATCTTCCCAGGCAAGCTTGTTGGGAAAACGTGAGAGCCCTGCCCTGTGGAGATTGTAACTGCGGAAAATCGCCAAGGTTTTTTTCCGGCGATTCGACTGTGCGACAAATCTCATAACAACGTTCCCGAGACAGGGCTTGGGATCATGTCTTTTGCGGTGACTTTTCTTGAGCACAAGATCATTGTACCATAACAGTATTTGCTAGGATGATCGTTGCAAACGAATTTCGTTTTCGACTGATAAAATTAAACGGTTCTTTGGTCAGAAATTCATAATTTTGTGACTACTGGCACTATTGGCTACCTACCAAAATTTTTGGATGTAAAAGGTTCCAAGATGTTGATAAATATCACAACACCATTTTTACAGATTGATTCCTTTTTTACACAATTCTTAAATTTATGAGAAAAATGCAGGAAGCTTGAGCAGAATTAGTAGGCAATCTCGTAAACTCGTTCATGTGCAAAATTCTGTGTGCACACTCACTAATAGAGGCACAATATCCTCCACGAGTTTGGGTTAGATTAAACTTCATGGGTGGATTCAAGCAAATGAGACCAGGTGCGGTCTTTAGCTTGTGTCACACTATCAAAGCTAGCCATCAAAATATCAAAGTCAGGTGTTGTGATTGGCTTATTTGATGACTTGGGCCAATAATAGCACTTGACCTTGACATTTTGATGGAGTATTTTGCCAGTGTGACACAGGCTAACGAGAATCGAGTTTGGACTAATTCAGCCCAACAATTTTAAGGAGAAAGGATCAGCATGATCACAGGATCTGACAAATCTTGCTTCAAAGGATGTCAGCACTAGCCAGAGATTCAAGGAGGAATCGAGACCACTTGCTCTGCCTCTGGGACAAAACGATGATGCATGAAATACGAGGATGTAAATTTTTCCAGGAGACAAGGAATTCTTCGATCGGTTGCCATTTAATTCATCCCTTAGCACTCATTAAGTCCTTGTTTATTGACATAGAATTGAAAATTGTATTGCTTAATACTAGACAACAACCGCCATCCGGTCTGAGGTTATGGAACGCAAGAGGCCAAAAATCGTTCTTTGAACTCAGTCTTCCAAGATCAAATGTAACTCATCAGAGGACAAAAAGTACCCCACGCTCATGAGCATGATTGTTAGTTTGAGACTGTGCTGATTCAATCTCACTAGGCTCTCGACTGTTGCAGGAGCTTGGTACAACTATTGCAAGAGAGAGTTGATGAACGAGAATGTTTCAACTAAAAGTGAAAATTTCAAAGTCAGAAGCCACAACGATGGTAAACTAGAGACAGAAAACTGTTTGATGTTCGAGGCTCCTGAACTTGAAAGTTTAACTTATATTTGAAATATTTTGTTCATCACCTCATTCCTGCAAGAGTTGCACCAAATTCCTAAAACAGTTGCACGGTTGAGACCAGGCCTTCGGATCCTTGCATAGAGGGCTTGCTAAATTTGGATCACAACGTAAAAGGTTCATAAATTAATTGACACAAGATCGGCTTCCCACCGGTTTTGTTGACATCTTTTCTAAAAGGTGCATTGTCATTAGACATCAATATTTTCTTTCTTTGCCAGTCTTCAATTTTACACATTTTAACTGACAGCGATAAATCAACATCTTAACTTCTTTAGAAATAAAGTATGAAAGTAGCCGGACTCACATTATTTTCTTTCTTCTTCCTGGATTTTCAATTTCTATTTCATGCCACAGACCTGCTGCTATGTTACCAAGTTGTTCATTTAAAGGCGCGACATTTGTATGGTTCTTGTAGATAACACCTGTAAATTCTGTCAATACATCCTCGCTCCTATTGAATTCAAATAACTTTGCATCAGACCACAATTGAGGCAAATACTCCGTAGCTCCATTCATGTCAACGGCCCTGATGATTTTCTGGAACAGATGCACATTAGTGTGATTATCACATTCTCTGGGCTGAAATAATTTCTTTCCCTGATGACCCTAAGTTTATTGCATCATCAGATAAATCTCTATAGTGACACTTTAAGTTTGGCCAGAGGGTAAACTTAATCTTTGGAAACTTTTTAAAAATAGTAAAAAACCATCCTAAAGTACAAAAAGCTCTCTGCCAAAAAAGCGACGGATGCTTGTAAGGAAGTGAGAAGAATTGTCAGAGGCAATGCAAAAGACGGAGATGCAGAGGAGAAAGTCCTGCAGCTAGTAAGTATTTATGAAAATTCTAAGTCTTGATCACTGTCTATCGCTACAAACAGGGGGATACTTAGAGAAGAATTTTACAGCAAAAAAGTAAAAAAATTATTTGAACGTAACACGTCCTTCAATTCAGATTGACCTGTTAGCATTTTAAAATTGTACTGATTTAAAAATGGTCACAGGCTAAATTGTTAAAACACATAAACTACCAAGATTCAGAAAAAATTCTGAACAACAATTTGGTAATTAAAAAAATCAAGAAATAAAACATATACTCACAATCATTACAGATTGTTCCGGAGTGTAGATTCGAGGAACTACAGTTTCATACAAATTCATGATCTCCTCTATTGATTCAAGATCACAAACTAAATAGAAGAAATTGCGGCTGTGAAATAGAAGTACGTTAAAATACATTAAAATGTAAACGATCAGGGGACAGGAAATAATTCATTTCTAGGAGGATGCTAACGTTAGATAGAAACAGTTGGGCAAGAGATGACTTTTTTGCTGTTCCAATGAGTTTAAAAATCATGGAGATGATTGCAGAGCACTCTAAAAACTACATACGCACATTCCCTTTACTGGTACCCTTCGATGCCTTTAAAAGAGAGTATGTTGACATGCTCCCTAGTATAGTATCTTAAAATATATTTACTTGTTCTAATGTTAATGAAATAAGTGGATAGCTTGTCACATTCTTGAAAACAAATAATTATGTTTTTCTTTACATTGGAGTCAATAGCATTAAAACATTTGAGTCCAAAGTCATCAAACTTATTAAAAAAATAGTAGGTTATTCTTCTATAGTTAATATTTGTTGAATTATTTACAGATTAAGAATTAGATTAAACTAATTTTTTTTATTGAGTAATAATGCATCAATATATTTTGAATCGAATTTCAGGTCTAAGACACACCCTCCTTTTGGAAAATGATATGTATTTAGAATACAAAGCTAGGAAAACATGGAGGACATGACACTTTAAACAACCTGCTTTGCTTTAGTCCATTCCAATTCTCATTGATTGGTTCTAGTCACAAATAGCTTTTAGCAACTTTTCTCAGAGTATGCAATACCTTACCGATCCTAGATAAACAGTAAGCACCCTTGAAACCTTAAAAAATTGCTACAAAGGTCAAAAAAGGTTTATAGTTATCAAATTAAAATTTTAAAGTCAAACTGGAACAGCTCTGGTAATTTTCTAATGCCGTAAATCAGGAGCAGAACAAATGAGAAAAAATTGTCATTGGTGCCTAACTGCTGTCAATTTTCACCGTTAGAACGTTACTAACTTCTAAAATTATTTGGAATGGTCAAAGAAGATTTTCAAGCTCTAAGAATTAAACTCTGCAAAAATTAATCATACTTTGGTGCGTTGTGCTTGTCACATTATTAATAACATAATTAAGCTTGCCTCAAGAATATATTGTTAACAAACTACTGATTTGTGCACGCCAATTCAAAGGTGAAACTGAAAATAAACTGAAACACACTGTTAAAATTTAACATAAATTTCTAAATATAGGATAATATAAAAGTGCTGGGTCCACACTATGCACTACATATTGAAGCCCAAAAAACTGTCATTAGATTAAAAAAATTGAACTCTGATGAGTGTCAGTGCAAGACTAAGGGGAGAAAGTATTCACCTCAGGTAGATACATTGGAATACTTAGTTCAGCCCCTCAATTTTGCAAACATACTCGTTACATTTCAAACTTATGAATCTAGCGAAATTTTCTTTTGAAATTTAGAGCCTTGATGTCCCTGCAGAAGAGTGTGGACCCAGCACCATTCTACCACCCTGTTACTTACAGTTCAGACCACATTTTAGTGTTTTTGTTTAAATATATTAACTATCAATATTTTTAAAACGACTCACTTGCACAAGTATATTAGTTTTCCTGATTCGGACGCGTTTCCAGGGCTCTGCTCTAATTTTCAGCCCTTACTATGGTCGACCAAATTGCTGGGTCATTCGCTGGTAATCGCTGGAGAGTTTTTTTAAAAAAAGCTCTCAAAACTTTCGAAAACCCAAAAATTTTTGCACCTACCCTGGCCACCAAACCTACACCTGACCCTATTAGATATTGAGAACAAAATTCTATTTGATAAATTTATATGCTCTTTAATAATACTTACTAGTAAATTGATTCTTTCAAGCTGTCTCCCATCAAGTCGTAATTGTTTCCTGTGTGGAGGACATTATTTAATCGGTACGCAAGATTTAAGTCTTCCAACTTGTAAGTGCAAACATTCATTGCAGCCACAAAGAAGTTGATGTCTTCTGCATCACGAGCTTCCAAATTCCCTTGTGTCTCCAAGAAATCAAGAATTTCATTCAGTATTGGTGGTTTGGCACCCTCTGAAACATGCGACGAGAGCAAGGGAAAAGACAGTATATAAGCTGATATGCTAGGATGGAGGAGGTGTGGTACTAAATAAAAGGGTGGATGCAAAGTGGATCACAACTCATTACTTGTAAACTGTCAGGCCAATTAGCAAGTTGAGATCTGCGACTACTTTCCAATTTATCTCTTGGTTTAGGCGTCACTGTTGAAAACAAAAAAGTTTGAGATACTGCAGTGAAGTATAATGACTACCGATCAAAAAAATTATACTGATGGCTTAAGTTCAAAAGTGTAGCTCTGATTGTAATATTACAAGCCCCTGCTTTGATTTTTTTAAAGAAATCTAGTTAAAAGTTCCTTTCAAAATTTTCAGTGAAATTTTTCACTCATTCAAACATATTAAAAAAAACTTTCAAGTGAACATTTCAGTTACCTATCTTTTTACAAAAATGGAACGTAATGGGAGATTTTAAAAAAACTACATTGAGTGTGCTCATGTTTTACTTTAGTAGGAAATATAAACATTCATATGCTGAAGTTTTGATAAAAATTGTTTTTGATGAAGAGATAAATATGAATGAATAATTTTTTTCTTTTCTCTTTGAGGGTAAGTTTTCATTTTTTACTATCCACTAAATTTTTCTGCATTTTAAAAATCAGACACGTAGCTTACTTAACCACTCAAAAGATCTCAAGGTCATGGAGACTTCAGAAAAAGACAAAGTGTAAAATCCTTGAAATATGTACTGGTCTTACTAGACCTTAGATGGGAGGAGTGGGTGACAGCCAGGTTGCCACTGCCTATTTTTATCTGTCTCATTTAAAATGATAAAACTTCTGAAACTTCTACCTTCCAGGTTTTTTTTAAAATAAGTCAGTTTTGACAATTAAACAACCTGACTGTTATGCCAGTGTGCTCTGTCTACACGAATGCACAAAACATTTTAATGATTAAATAATAATGAAACATAAGCTGAATTCAAGAGCAGAAGAGAAGGACAAAGAGATATATCTTTTTGAAAAGTTAGACTTTGTTTCATTTTCCTTAAAAACTGAGTTCATACAAATACAATTGCTTAAAGCATTCCATAATTTACCTCTTTTGAACATGATTTGCAGGAGGTGATAGAATGACGCAAGAGACGGCTCAATTCCAAGCTGCTTGAATTCAGTGATGAGCGCCAGAGCTATTTTAGGGCAGTTCTTCATCGTTGCCATTGCAGCTAAGGTTGCCAGAGCAGCATTTAATGTCTGAATATTAGGCATCACCTCTTGACTTTTCATCTTATCGAAGATTTCCTGAAATATGAAAAAAAAAACAAACGAAATGAATAAATAAATTTTGATAGAAACCCTTAAATATGTTACTTGAAAAATCGAAATTGCTCTTTAAATGGCTGAGATTTGGACTTTATTTTGCAGTAGGAGCTACCGTACCTCATCCATAGAGGCAACTATTTGAATAAGAAAAGTAATGACATAAACGTTGTTCCTAAAATGAGTCAGAAACAGTAGTTCTTTATGACAAAATGTATTCCATTAGTACCTAACCTGAATGATCATTTTCCTGATAACTTATCATGAGATTTCAAATTTTTCCGGGAACACAATGTCCGAACTTCTAAGTTTGATCAACCATAATTAAATGCATTGAGCATGCCTTGTTCTTTGTAATTTTATTTACTTTTTTCAGGCTTTCAGCGATTACTTTCTATAAAAATAACGTTTGAGATTGTACCGCCTTATTACTATTTCACTTACGAATATATTAAAAGAAATTAGCTTGTACAAAAATCAAGTTGAGAGAAAATGACGAAAATTTGGAAAGTTTACAACGAAATCTTGTAAATGTAACGACCATTGTAAAGCCTTGAAAAAAACATAACCTCTGAGCAAGGAGAAACAAACCCTGACGAACTGCCACCTGAGTGTGAAATCCTCCCTGACGAAACTCGAAACACGGATCAAACCATTAAAGGTTTCTAGACTGATTGGAAGATTTTTATTGAGTACTTCTTCATATAAGCTCATTGCTTGATTGACCTAAAAAAAAAAGGGGAAAGGGGATGAGAACTCTATTTTGATGGCTACAACATAGAGACAGACAAGAAAAAGACTCTTAAACAGATTCACTCGATTGAAGACCTTTTAAACCAGTTCAGATTAAAACTAAAATTCGGAATCAATGAACAGAAAAAATATTTTGAAGTCAGAAGGAAAACAATGAGTTTATTAATAAAGCTCAAAAGGGAAAGGACTTATTCATAAAATATGTAAACCTACAGGGCGGGAGAGGGGTAAAGGAGAGCGTTACGCCACATTTGTACTTACAAGATATGATAGAGAGCTACATTGCGAATGCATTAAGAGTGGCTACGGTAGGGATGGTTGAAAAATCCAAAATTTAGAGTTATGTACTTTGTGAACAGCACAAAAGGAGTTCTAATGAAAGTACTTCTTGCATCATAGTTACTATATGATGTATCAAATATCGATCGTTAATTTAAACATTTCCATGATCTAGTGGTCTTGCTGCATTATACTGATCATAATCACTATTTTACAGCTAAGCTAGAATTCCCGCACAAATATTTCCTAATTGACATCAATGATGAGTCTATACGTAAATGAAAAAAAAAAAATCAACAAGCAGGGATTGAAGCAATTATTTTTCAGTAAATTACTAACTCTCATTGAAGTGACTAGACCTATACATTTCTCTGAATATTAGACATTTTCTAAAATTATAAATATTGCCACCTCCCAACCAAAGCATTACAAGCTCCATTGTTGCTTAGGCACTATACAACCATACTTCTTACACTCATTACATGCTTCACGGAACAACTAATGAACAGAATTGCCTGAAAATTTTACTTAATATTTTTCTGTCATCAAGATTAATTTTTAAAATTTCAATGAAAGTATGAGCAAAAGTTTTAAAGAAAAAGTTAAAACAATATTGAGTTATTTGGCAACATAGCGTCCAGTTGTAAATGATGCTTGTAATACTTTGGCCGGAAGGTGACGATATCTGCTCTGGAAATATCTGCCTTTTAAAAACATGGATAATTCTTCCCCCTCCCCCTCTCTCAGGGGCGGATTTCCCACAAGGCAGATCTAGGCAGCTGCCTAGGGGCACGAAGTTTTGAGGAGCGCAAAATTTTGAGACACGTGCATGCTTTTTTAAGGGTTGTAGAATTGAAATCGGTAAAAAAATTTAAGGACGAAGATAGAAACGCGCGAAAAGAAGAATATCTGTGAATCTGTCCTTGTCTACTGATAAGGTCCGTGCCCCCTCTGCATTGCGTGTCTCGTCTGGATTTCGCGCCTTTGTTTTTTACTTTTTTCAACTTTTTGTCGCCTTTGTTTAATTTTGCCATGTTTTAATTCCCTATACCTTTTGATAAGTATGAAAGCACAAGAGGCTTTTGAGCCACCAAATTTTTCTCTGAAATAACCAAATAGTAGCTTTAAATTGCGTTAATTAAATACCCGAATTTAACAAATTTCCAGGGGAGGACCCCCGGCCCCTCTTTTGGCTGGGGGATGCCCCCGACCCCCCACGCGGTCGTTCGTTCTGCGAAGGGCGCGACTGTGAGATTTGCCTGGGAGCGCTAAAAAGGTAAATCCGTCCCTGCCCTCTCTGAAGACAGACATACATGTTGAAGGGAGAGTAATCAATAGAGGGACAGTACCTGATAATATTTTGTCATGCCTTGGATCATAGTGCAGATTGCTTCAGGTGTCTGGTTCATTGACTTAAAAAGTTTATCAGCAAAGCCACCATCTCTGTCAAGTGATAAAACATTGTATTACATAGTTTTCAATAATATTAAGAAAAATAACAAGAGGAAGAGGAAACAAGTTTTGAAAACAACTCCAAATTAAGTTTCAAAATTTGTCATTGGTGCTGATCAAGCATAAAATATCAGATAACCTATGATGTCAAGTGTCCACATCTGGTTGTTAAAACAAACTTGAAGGAAGTGTACTCATAATTGGGTTAGAATTTAGGAAAATACATATCTGGTCTTTTCAAGAATGTTATTACTTTACAAATAACTTGCTCCCAATGATGCAATGACTGCAATTTTGAGAGAATAAAAAAAAAAAGATATCGACATGGTGAAGAATCTAGAGTTTGGAGAATATAATCACAGTTCAAACGGGATACTTTTGAGCTTCCAATAAGCTCATAGGGTCAACAATTTTCTACTATGCAGAGTTCTAGGGATGGTTTGTCAGGCGACCACCAACCAGATAAAAAAAATATCGATATGAATGTATTATATTAAAACAAATTATTTATTAAGACACCCACTGGAGTGAATACATTAAAATTAGAGTGGAAACACCAGTTAACATGTATCTTACAGAAACATATATTCATTAAAACTTCGGAAATTCTTCATGAGTTGGTTGCCCGCTGTGTGCTGACATCAGTCAATTCAGATGAACTTCTTAAACTTGCGGCAATTTTCACAATGAGCTCTTGTATCTTTTAAGCTTTGCAAAACCACAACCACGGACTAATAGACCATTCTGAGGCCTCACATACTCTGGGGTTCCACTGTTTTGATGAAATGAGATTTTTTAAATTGATTATGTGTTGGTGAGAATATGAACTCCAGATCAGCAGGTCACTTGTTGAATCAGTCATCTTGAACGATACATTCCAATCAAATGGATTCTTTTTATCGCTTAAGGTTAATAGACAACGATTCAACAATCCAGGCGCAGGCTTACCTGTGCCAGAGAGAGGGTATGTTATTGAATCAAAGGCGGCTTAAAGTGCTTGCCACCTATCACTCTCTTTCCTAACCTGGTTCTCGGGGTATGAAGAAAGAATTGAAACTTGGTATATAAGAATAAGAAAGAACAGCATTATGAAATCTTTCTTTGTGCCTTGCATGGCTCATTGCTTAGACAAACTTTTAAATAAATGATTCCTGCATGAATGAAGCATGTTTTGGTAACATATGGGGTTGATGAAAACTGCTCTTTGGAAGAGGTCCACATTTGTTGGAGCATTTTAGAATAAATTAACACAAGCTACCCTCCATCATAGACTTAAAAAGAGGGTTATTCAAAATCGGCGATTTTACCCTACGCTTGGATTTTGCCCGGAGTTGGATATGTTGTTCCCTATCACAAGACACGCCTTTTTCCGGCATTGGCAAGTTCACCCGAAATTTTTCCCGCGCGCTACAGCGTTGCCAAGTTGAAAACAGGCAAATTCCGTAAGTGGCATCAAAATTGAGCTATGAAGTTGCGGTCTTAACGAAAATTCTCTAAAAATTACGCACTTTTAGGAAATGACCATGTTTTTAATGTCGCATTAATTTTAACATGCATTATTGCCAAATTTCCGATTTTTAAATTCGACAAATGTTACATATCCGCAAATACCCAAAAAGGCTATCTTCAAATTTGAATAAAAAGTTGTCTAATCGATAGTTCGTTCGATTCCGCATCCATCGATATATTATAGCTCGCTGGGAAACTTTTGGTTCGCGAGATATCATCATTTTTGTGAGCAGCTTTATGGAGCGACGACGCTTTTTGAGTCCGGGCGGATAGAAATTTTAGCCTCCAAAAACACCGGGTAGCATTAATTCCATGGTTTCCTATGTAATTTTTGGCGCTGAATCCGAATTTGACCATTTCATAAAAAAATTGTCACCAAGATGTTGCCAAATTTGGCAAAAATTGCTTAAAATCGGCCTTTTTGGCGGATTATAGCCTGTGACTTGCCAGGAGTTGATCAGACGACAAAATTGGTTATTTCCACAGTTAAAACTCGTTAAACTATCTACAAGCTGAGTCAAATTCTTTCTGCTCACGGTAAAATTAAACGCGCGACAAGCAGCAAACTGAAAAAAAGACACCAAAATTGGCGCTTTTTGCGGTTTTTGTCGTAAGTTTCTTGTTTTCCGATTAAGAGAATGTTTCTTAGGAAAATCTGAATTACGCCGAGTGTAACGACAAACTATTGTATTGTTACATAATATATAGATAAAGAGCCACTTTAACAGCGGTCTCTCGCTCTCGGGCCCCGCGACGCCTAACCGCCCTAGTCCCTTGTCCACCCACAGGTCCTCAGTAATTTGGAGCGCCCTTGTTCCTTTTTAAGCTCCTTATTGTCCTTTCCTGGGCGTCTTCTTCAGTTTGGTGTCGTTACTTTTTTCTATTAAACTCCATTATCTCAGAATTATAAAATAAAATTGTATACTAAATATAGGGTAATGAATAATAACGGTCAAATACCGCCAAAATTCAACGATTTGTACGTAATTTTGGCAATATTGCAATGCGTCTTGTCTTGTTTTAATGAAGTCAGTCTGAGGAGTACATTTCATTCATTAATTTTTAGCAGAAAATTTTCCATTATTGTTTCAAAATGTGGTTTATTGACACGATTCGATAAAACTCACTATTTTATGAATTTTTCCTCTCTGAACTAAATACCCTAGTTATTAGTATATATCTAAGTTGAAAATTAAATTATTCTACAGAAGTGTATTATTTTGCAAGAGAGATACATTTATAAAATTTAAAAATAAGAGGTGAACAAAGAATATAGGACAATAATATCGAAAAAACCAGCGAAAATTAAAGTATTTTGTTTAAGCTTGGCAACATTGGAATATGTTCGATCTTATTTTATTGTTCAATTTTATTAAATTCTGCTCATGTTGTTCATTAGTATAGTCAAGAAACATTCTCTTAATCGGAAAACAAGAAACTTACGACAAAAACCGCAAAAAGCGCCAATTTTGGTGTCTTTTTTTCAGTTTGCTGCTTGTCGCGCGTTTAATTTTACCGTGAGCAGAAAGAATTTGACTCAGCTTGTAGATAGTTTAACGAGTTTTAACTGTGGAAATAACCAATTTTGTCGTCTGATCAACTCCTGGCAAGTCACAGGCTATAATCCGCCAAAAAGGCCGATTTTAAGCAATTTTTGCCAAATTTGGCAACATCTTGGTGACAATTTTTTTATGAAATGGTCAAATTCGGATTCAGCGCCAAAAATTACATAGGAAACCATGGAATTAATGCTACCCGGTGTTTTTGGAGGCTAAAATTTCTATCCGCCCGGACTCAAAAAGCGTCGTCGCTCCATAAAGCTGCTCACAAAAATGATGATATCTCGCGAACCAAAAGTTTCCCAGCGAGCTATAATATATCGATGGATGCGGAATCGAACAAACTATCGATTAGACAACTTTTTATTCAAATTTGAAGATAGCCTTTTTGGGTATTTGCGGATATGTAACATTTGTCGAATTTAAAAATCGGAAATTTGGCAATAATGCATGTTAAAATTAATGCGACATTAAAAACATGGTCATTTCCTAAAAGTGCGTAATTTTTAGAGAATTTTCGTTAAGACCGCAACTTCATAGCTCAATTTTGATGCCACTTACGGAATTTGCCTGTTTTCAACTTGGCAACGCTGTAGCGCGCGGGAAAAATTTCGGGTGAACTTGCCAATGCCGGAAAAAGGCGTGTCTTGTGATAGGGAACAACATATCCAACTCCGGGCAAAATCCAAGCGTAGGGTAAAATCACCGATTTTGAATAACCCTCTTTGTACAAATGTGAGATTTTGTTGTGAATTTATGATCTATATCGACGGCGTAAGTCTGCAATCACGTTTGCGGTGTCTGAAAATCTCCGCCTCTATGTTATTTTTTTAAAGGAGAACAAATTGACATCATTCCTTGAAGTTTCTGCAGAATTTTCTTCAGAGAAGAAAAATCATGGGAGTTTTAAATAATTGCCGTTGAGTAGTTTTCCGTTTAAAAAATAAAGAATGACAGGAAGTCTGCGACATCGCAAACCGAGTTATATGATTGCCGACTTACACCGTCGATATGTGATTTTGATTTATTATATTTTAAAAGACTTTTGCACATTACCTGTGTATGGTACGGGTATCACACCTCCTGCAAATCTTACCAGCTACGATGAAAATTTTTTTACCAACACAGCACCAATAAATCTCATTGTGTCATCAAGAGTTTGTTGATGTCTTTTTCGGTTCTCTCAAAACTAAGATCATTCTATTCCTTTTGGGACAGTCTACGTATGTGCTGAATGATATGCAATAACAATCCTACACCTACCTCATTTGCAAGATTTCAGAAGTTGCCATGTCAATTCATTTGGACATCTTTCTATTACTACTTTAGCTATTTTGATTCTTCTTAACTTTTTCAGATTATCTAAGTTTCCATGACCTAAGCTGCAAATAAGTCTATAGAGTAGAGATGGCAACAACTGGAGAGGGTTCGAAAAAATTTTCTTCTACCCTTTAGATGCAGATAGAAAACTAGTATTATGTGATTCGCGTTTTTAATATTGATAAATTTTGACGCTCAGTACACACTCTCTTATACACACATACAAAATCAACTCTCATTCAGAAATTTTCTTGAGATTCTTGCATGATGGAAACTTACTGCCACGTTTTCCTGGCTATTGTTCTCTGGTTTGCTGTATACCACTTTTCTTCTAGATATTCATCTGATTTACCGTCTTTTCCATTGTAAAAACAAACTAGTTCAAGTAAACTTTGCTTCAACTCATCTGATACAGCTGAAATGAAGAAGAAGAGAAAAGAATATGAAAACAAAGTCATCATAACTATGCATACTAAGACTGCAGGGATCCTCATATAAACTGTGCAATGGTGGTTTGTTCAGAAATAAAATATTTTAGATAAACTTGATATACAAAAGGAATGTAGTTTTACTAATAAATCTCAGAATTTGATGCTTGAACTAATGATTATAGTAATCCTTGATGTGAAAGAGGTCTGCCATGGCCAAGTCTGTAGCCTGCAAAATTACTTCCTGAATAGAAATTACAGCCTTTTACGTGCTACAGTAAATGCCATAGACAAATCCTACATGCCTCTGCACCTTGCGTGTCATGATCTGAATGAAGAACAGCCCACAGACCCTCTTGCTGGCCAGTTAGAGGCCTGGGCCTTCATGTTGCTGCACGGACGCTTTTATAATTCAGTTGCGCAGGATCATGTCAGTGAGGGATAGTCTTTCTTGTGGCTATCAAAAGGGCCGCTGTATACATAAACGGAAGGGTTTGTTCTCGCAATGCAAGACCAAGTGATTAGTACCAGGAATTACAAGAGGTATGTACTGAAGGGGAAGATCGAGAGTGATAAATGTAGAAAGAGTAACGCTGCATCAGAGACAATCGATCACATTACATGTGGTTGCGCATTGCTTGTAGGGAAGGAATATGCCAAGCGGCATAATAACATGGCTAACATTATACACCTAGCGCTGGCCAAGGATTGAGAAATATGTGAAACTGCTGAACCCTACTACAAATATTGCCCTGCCACAGTCCTGGAGAATCAGCTCTTCCCGCCCTATTGGGACAACCCAATCTTAACTAATAAAACTATCATGGCTAACAGGCCAGATATAGTGCTTGTTGATAAGTGAGATCGCATTGCTTACATCATTGATATTAGCATCCCTAATAATCATAACTTGGAGATGAAATATCAAGAGAAGATGGAAAAATATCTGCCCTTAGCTGCGGCAATGAAGCAATTATATAACCTGAACATTGTTTGCATCAAGCCCCTGATAATGTCAGTTACGAGAATAGTTCTAAAAAGTTTAATTAATCATTTTTGAAACCTTGAAATAGAGAGTTACCTGCTTCGTTCAATGCAGAAGTTGGTCGTCATAATCATGTCAAGTATCGTCAGGTCGTTTCTTAATATCGATTAATTTTTTTTCTTTTCATTTGTTTCTCTCTTTTCTCTGCGCCTATGCCTAGTCCTATATCATTTGTTTAGTTTTGATTTTTGGATTTAAAAAGATATTTTTAATTTTTTGAATATTCGTGAAAATCAACTATGCTGTAATTTTCATACCTATGTTTTTTTTTTCCATGAGCTCATAGACACAGATGGCATCGGAGACAGAGGATGACTGAATAAGTGTTTTCAATACGGCTTCATTCACTTCACTGTTTTCATCATAAACTGCTTTTGGAGCAAATATCTGTAACACATCATCGCATCAATAATTGAACTTACAAGAAAAAAAGTTGAAAATATGCAAAAAAATGATTTCTGACTTTTAATGATTGCTTCAAAAGGCATTCAATCATTTTAGTATCCAAAGATGCATTATTTAATTGAAAATTCCTTTGTGACAAGTTATCCATCATATTTTGTGAGATGATAGATCAATTCTAAAAAATATGAGGTACAATATGCCCTCCATAAAATGTTTACTAACTTATTATATTTAAGCACACAGTCTTCAAGTACTTCATTAACATCCGATTAATTTCATTTGCATACCCCCCCCCCCCTCTCCTCATCCCTAATCGAGCTGAATTTTATACATTGGCGACAGTGTCAGGTTTTGAAATGACTATGGAAAAAGACATATATATCACACTTACACGTTCACATATTCACATTGTAATTTCACAACTCAGAATGGTCAAGTATAGGTATGAATACATAGCTGCTTGAATGTTTTGGCTATTTTTACTTACTGATTCTGTGAGATGGCGTAGCTCAGGGGGGGGTAGAGCGTCGCAAGTGCTAGTGCAGACGCCAGGCGTCGCAAGAGCAGATGCAGACACGCGTCGCGACTACTGTGCAGACGATGGCGTCGCTAGAGCAATGCAGACGCAGGGCGTCGCAAGTGCAGAGCTGACACTCGTCGCAACGGCAGTGCAGACACAACGGGATAGACGCGAAGGCCAAAGAAGAACCAAAATGGGTGATGAGTTATGATGTCTATTACTGACCGCTACAAAGGGCACACAAATCGTACAGGTTTTGACTCTGGGTCGATGGGATGAGGAGCGGACTAGTGCCGCTCGATCGCCAGTCTCTCCAAGAATCCGGTGAGACCCTGGAGCCACAGGGATGAGAAGCGGCCCACGGCCAGCTCGATCGCCTGTCCTCCAGAGAATAATCCCAGGGCCCAGCTCCGAGGAGCTCCCTAGGTCTCCGGCTCTGGCTACCCCCTCCACTTGACTCGGAACCGGTCAAGCCTCGCCCTGCGCATGCGCAGAAGGGATACTACCCCTCTGCCCTCTCGCTGGGGGTGCTCCACCGCTGCCCAGTCCCGTGACGTATGGGTTTTTGTCAGCGCCCTCGACTTGGGTGCCAGGTCCCTGGGCCACTCTCACAATTCCAATGGAGGAATTTCAGAAGGTAAAGCTGGATTCATTGTTTTTGGATCATTTTCAAACAGTAATTAAATTGAAAATGTAAAACCGTGATAATCTTTTTAACCTGTGCAGTATCATCAAACAAGATGGCCACTTCTCAAAAGCATGATAAGAATAATTCACAGCTCGGAAGGTCTTTTTGTTCAAGAGCTATCAAATTTCGAATAATTCATACCTCCCCCTCTTCCTACTTTTTATCCTCCCTTAAATTTTTGTTGGGACAGAAATTGGGAGAAAAGATCATTAATCCTGCAAACACGTAACATTTAGGGAAGCAAAGAGGGGAGGGAGCAATACGGCTGTTCATAATCACATTCCTTTCATCTTGCGAGAGGCTAAGGATAAGTACCAGGGATTTAGAGCTGAGGTTTGAGGGAGCATCATAAACGGAGCCGCATCGGCGCGCGAGGCGGAGGCCCAACGCGGACTTTCATGCCGCGTCGAACAGTGCGTCGGGCATTTGCTGTTGAGGCGGCTTAACCTGTTGAAGCCGACACCCGACTGATTTTCTGATGCTGCATCAGTTTTGATGCTGAGTCCAGCATCAAAATTGAGGCGGCTTCAATTAGCAGACACGTCGGGTGCCAGCGCCCCGGGCCCGGCTGCCAGTCAGCTAATTGAACCGGGCTGTGTTTTCAACCCTTCCTCGGCGTCCACTACTTAGAACTTCTCGGCGAGGCGTGGGCCACCGCCAAGACAAAGGGGTGTTCCGCGAATTCATCACCAAGTCCAAGGGTCGCGGTCTTCTGGGACAGCCCTGTCGGTAATTAAGCTGGGTGGCGGGTCCGAAAATTGATGCCGTATCGGGCCGCAAGCCAAGGGTCCGGCCTCAGAAGTTGAAGCCCATGTTGGTCCCTGAGCCAGCATCGGGCTTTAATGCCCGAAGCCGGCGTCGGCAGGTTGCGCGCATAAGGCGCGGCGCCGCATGCCCGCTACCTGGGCATACAGCATTAATGCTGAAGCTACGAGTCGATGCTGTACAGCATAACCTCATGAGGCGCCTCAAATGCCTGATAAGTACTCAAACTTTTGATAACTTACCGGGATGAATGGCTCAGCTACTTTGTGGTCAAATAGGTCAGCATGCTGTTGTCGTACCCACTGAGCAGCTTTTCTGCCAGACTCTTTGGATAAAGCAAATGCTCTTTTTGCATAATTGGATGGTGGAATCAGGAATGGGTCATCATGGTATTTGTAGTGTGCTCCCGTTGTGTCTGGTGTTAGAGTTGAAGCCAAGGTCTGGAATAAAACATATATTTACAAGCTAAAATGTGCAAAAACTTGTTGTGACTTGTGTTTGTTAAAATTACACTGGGTGAAAAAGCACAAAACAAAGACTTGATCACAGTTGAATTGATCATTCTCAAAGAAGCTCACAATCAATGCCAGAAATGGAAGTTCAGAAGAAACAGTAAAAATGATTTTAGTCAACCCGGTCTGAATCTTAGAACTCAGAAAAAAGTACTTATCAGAAAAAGCTAACTTGCAATAAAATTGTGGCGAATTTAGAGATTGTCCTTTAATCTGAACCGGAAAAAAAAGATACAAAAGGACAGATGCTTGAGTCGTTTTGAGACTGAATGGAGGAATTCAAACATCATTTCTCCATTAGGAGTCAAGCTTGTGGAATAAACACCCATTTTTCTGCTCATCGCTTGTGCTATGAGAATCATCTATGGCAATGCAAAAACAAAGTGTCAGTTACACAAGTTTTGGTTTTTTGGCACTCGAGTCTTTTTGAGGAGAACCAATTCAGTTCTGAATGGGAAAGAAAAGTTTTGAATAATAACAGTGAAACTAGTAACGAAAATGTATGATGATGAATACATCAAAAATCTTATATTAGGGTTGATGGTTTGATTGGAATTGCACAACTCCACCACAGCTAAGCCAAATATTCAATTTTCAGAGTGGTTGATACTTTGAATGCTAGTGACGATTAAATTATTAATTAATTTTGTATTGGCTTCCATTCCTTCATTTTCTGTTTGTAATTTTCTCTTTTCATTTTGCAATTAGGAACTACAATTTCTGGCTCATAAATGGACCGTGTTAAACAGAAAGGAACCAAGCCACATCAGCCATTGCCAAATTTAATTGAGCAATTTAATTTTTTACATGAAAACGAATGTACGGATTTTCGTGCGAATTTCAGTGGATTTTCTCTATAGTACAAAGCAAATTCCTTAGAATTTTCAAAGGAATCCACACCAATATTCTCTCGTAAAAAATTAAATTGCCCAATTAAATTTGGCAATAGCTGATGTGGCTTGGTTCCTTTTTGTTAAACGCGGTCCAAATATAACCAGTTTTTCACATGGGGAAACTAATGGTACATACGTTTTCAATATCTTTCCAATAAACATACCCTGTTTCTTAAGTGAGCCAGACATTTTATTTCCTCACTGCAGAATGAAGTCAAATTTTATCTCATCTTTATTTAATATTAAAAAATAATCCGTCAGGCTCAACAGACAGTGTAACTAGAGGGCTGTATCAGCATTTCAAGAACTTACTCTGAGGATGTCAGTTGGACCTCGCTGGATTCGGGCAGGAATTTTTATTTTTTGAGACACTTCACTGTTTACAGCTTTCTGCTCCGATATACTGCGGAAAGCAGGATATTTCTTGACTTGAATCCTAAAAAAAATGACATAAAAGTAAGTTGGTTAGATTGGAATGAATAGAAAAAGCAATTAGTGGAAATGTAACTATTTTCTACCTCGGATACTACATTCACCTCTTTAAAGACCTGCTAGGTGGCTAGAATCATTGATAGGAAGGCGGTGCACTTACAAAGGCTTTCATATTATCCATGAAATGCAATGGATTGAGATCCTCTACGGTCTGGAACAGTTCCACAACATTCCATGGGGGAAAAAATTCAAAGTGTTGCTACAGGATTTGAAGTTGATCAGATTTCACAAAGATCCAAAATTATTTAAATTAAGCTATTGGTTAAACGTGTTCTTTAAGGTAGGAGAAGTTGAGGGATATGAACACAGTCGGCAATCCTTAGGACAGTGAACTTTATTCCGAACAATGAAGTCATTACTTGTAGGAGGGACGGGACCAAAGACATAAAGACGGAGCGCTCGTATCTAAAAGCACGGGGAAAAAGTGAAGCTAGGTTCGGCGCTGCGCGCTTGTGTGAGTGTGTAAATGAGCGCGGGAATCCATGGCGGCAAACGGAAATTTGATTTGAACTTGTCCTCTTGATTTTTCCTTATTTCTTCTTCGAAACGTGTTTTAAATGCTTAAAACGATTATATTAAGAAAGTTCGGTCTGCGTCCTAATATATTACACCTACTTTTGCTCGATAACAGGCAGTAATCTCAGATAAAGTTAATTTTTCTTCTGCTTATGGTGGTTCTGCAGGTTCAAACAGGCCGTTACAGTTCTAGATCTACGTTACTCCCAAATGAAATCAGTCGGTCGACGACGGACCGAAACTAACCTAAAGTTAATAAAATATGAGTGTGTACCTGAATTTGGGCAAAAATCAACCTAAAATACTTTGTTTCCGCAATTTTATTTATTAGTTCCCGCCCTACATTTGAATTCAAACTTGTCCCGATTTCGCCGCCAATCCTCTAGCCAATAAGTAGAGGTGATTGAAAAGAAGCTCTAGAAGCTTCATTTTTTGCTTTTAGTGCTCCGTCTTTATGTCTTTGGACGGGACTGCAAAGCTAAACACCAAATGAAATGAGGAGTAAGGAATTTTGGTGAGGAATTCACGAACATATTACTTACCTGACATTTTGAAGAAGAACACTCATTATCATTCAGTTTGATCTCCGATGGTGCTGAATTTTACAGACGATGCTGGCCTCTCATCGAAATTACAAAGTGAGGTAATACCTAGGCCCACAAAATGGTGATTTACAGCACTTTCGAAGTTGTAACATTTGTAAAAGTTGATAAAATTAAAGTGCGACGGGAATCTTGAGTGATCAATGAACAAATAATGATTATTTGATTGTTTGAATGAAATCAAACTATCACACGACACACTATAGAGATAGACTATAACCCTAACCTCAAAAAATTCTTATGAAAACATTGTTTTCTTTAGTGACGTCATAGCCCTCGATGGATCGTTGTCGTCGATTGTCGATTGATGTCACCAATTTTTCTAAGTTCACGTCATGATATTGTTAAAATTACATGATAACTATCTTAAATGATAGATAATGTTAATTTAATAAAATACATTCTTACTTGCGAACTGAGTTTTCAAGAGAAAAATATAATGTTTGGTGCATCGAATTAGGATGACGTCGTCGCTATAAACCAGTTTCAGTCAGATTACAAAAACAATCATGATTCGTGTTCGTGTTATCAGTGAACAAGTCATGGACGGGAAGTAATTTATTGTTTTTTACCTACATTCTGCAGAGGAAATCGAGTAATTATCTGGTAAAAGTACCGTTCATTATTTGCTTCCCTTATACAATGAGTGAGCTAAAGATCGCTCGGAGTGAACCCGTCGAAATCAAGGGTTGGCTGTTTAAATGGACAAACTACATCAAGGGATATCAAAAACGATGGTTTGTCTTGTCAAATGGATTACTCTCTTACTACAGGTTTGTTCCTTTTTTTCAATGGCTCTAATAATTTTGTGACCGTTGTGCTTCTAGAGCCTCTATGATGGGGATGCCTGAAGGGTTACTATCGAACATCTAAGCTCGTCCTACGCCAGTCAATTTGCCATTGTTGTGAAGTTATTTATTTGGGACATTATGATCGAAGACTAACATCTTCACCTCTGAGAGAATTTCACCTACTTCCTATCATACAATGGTTGATCCAATCTCTCATGTAATAATTCAGGTGCACTCTTCTCTAATGAGACAGCATTGCATCTAATGAGCCAGATCATCAGCAGTAATGTTGAAAGCGATGGAAAACTTAGGGTTTCAGTTTGCGTCTGCTTTCTTAATAAGTAGCCACCACAGCCACCACCTTCTGCACATTCGACGAAAAGTCACTTAATAGGTCGATTGTTGTCAGCTGCAATAGGTTTGACCGACAATATGTAGCCGCAGGTAAATAGTCGTTGAGTTTGGATACGATCTATCAGCAAATATACCCTCTTGTCTTCTAAGTTATCAAATTTAATGTAATTTTTAAATCTTTGTTAAAAACATTGAAACTGAAGTCTCCAAGTTGACAGCACCTGGTATCTTTTAGAATTAACCTAATTACGTTTCAGCACTTGTAGTGAGTAAGTACTTAAAATCTACTAAAACTGAAAGTGAAGCCACAAAAAAAAAGCTCCCCAATTCCTCCCATCCCCTTTGCTTGAGCTATACATCAAAAACCCTCAAGTGCCCTTGACATGTCAAGCAAAGTTTATCTTGAAACGCGCATCATTGTATGACTCCGGAGACCTGCCCATAATTTATTTAAGACACTTCACAGAGAGGGCTCCAGTGGGGCGATTATTGAAATGATACCGACTCTATGTTGCCGCTTTGTCGTGTCGCGCCATCGACTGAGTGGCTCTTAGTCAATTGCGCGACACGACAAAGCGGCGACATAGAGTCGATATCATTTCAATAATCGCCCTGCAGGGATGCTCAATAAATGTATGGAAAAGAAGGCTTGGGTGAGGAAAAAAGGGGTGGACTGTGGAGAGGGTTAAAAAATCTGCAAACGCGACCTACGTGATTCATGGACAACCCCTGGTTGCTGCATTGGCCGAAGTGATCAAAACTGGACTTAAGTATGAGGATTGCCACACTCGTATACCAAAATAATGGCCATCACTGGGAACACTGAAAACCATTGACAGGCATGAGGTCAACTGACCTGTTCATGTGCTGTGTTTTGTCAGTAGTGCTCGGAGGCATTTCTAATAAATTTTCCATCCTACTAAAATCTTTCTTGATGATTTCATTGTCCTTGCTGACTGCTGCTGGATCTTAAGAAGCTAAGTTGAATTTAAGAAGGCCTCTTGGTCCTTGTGCGTATATCTCATCTCTTTTGGAGAAGTTTATTTAAGAAGGAAAGTTAATAATGTAACAAAAGTCATGGCTGGCTTTCATGAAAAACAATTCTCCAAAATTAATCACTGTCTGAATCATGTTTTGATTCTATCTTCAAAATTCGCTTATCAATATATTCAAAGGTACAAGTTGCAGTTCTAAACTACAAGTTGTTTAGTATGAGTACTAGTAGGTATTTAATCACAAGAGAGCCAGTTGTTGTAAACTAATTTCAACCTTACCAAAGTTAACTTGCGACTGGATTGTTGGTGAAAGTTTTAGATTGAAAAAAAATGGTCAAGAAAAAATTATTATTATTATTATTATTATTTTTTTTTTTTTTTTTTTTTTTTTTTTTTTTTTTTTTTTTTTTTGCAGATTTCAAGCAGAAATGGAACACACATGTCGAGGAACTATCAGTATTCATGGTGCTGTCATCCGAAGCATCGATTCATGTACATTCTACATATCCAATGGTGGTGCTCAAACATTTTATTTACGTGCAACCACGGAGGTCGAGCGACAAAAATGGGTGACAGCATTAGAGCTTGCCAAAGCAAAAGCTGACGTAATGGAGTCAGGTAGAGTATCTATACAGCTGATTACAATTGGCTGCAATAGGTTAATACTAAAACAAGCTACGCTTCAGATTGGTGTCCTCTGATTCAAAATAATGAGACTTAGAAACAGGAATCTCCAGTCGAATTATGTTGAGTCTTAATTATTTTTAATGAAGTTTTTACATTGACTATTTTCACAGAATAACAAAAACTTATTTCTCGGTATTGAGTAGGTTTCTGAATCTGAGTTGGATTCAAGTAACTTTAAAAAAAAAAAAAAGTATAAAGAATCTTCTCAAAAAGACAAAAATCTGGGTAAGGATTGGTCCTCAATTTTCCCAGAATATTAATGGCTGAAGTAAACAAATGCGTATCTGGAATTGCTATTTCAAGAGTCTATGCTCATACTTTATACTTTATAAAGAAAGCCAACCAACAGTTTCCATTGAAATTTCTAGTTAATTTTTTCACTCATCGTGAAAAAACCCCACACACAGAATTACAAGGAAACATTCAATTAGTTTTCCTTGAAAAAATAAAACATAATCAGGAATTAAACAATGTAATTAAGGTACACATTTTTTGCATTGAGCCACTGAAATATCCAATAGTGATTTTGACAGTATGCAAAATTTGATATCTTTTGAAAGATTTATTAATTTATGAAAAATTATCCGTCCATCTACCATAATTTGCAAATATGTGGAACCTTTGAATTTTTCACGATGTCAACTTTGACCATCTACTTGCCTTTCAAGGAGTAATTTATCAAGAATTTTGATTCGAACAAAGAGAATGACCTGTTGTTTTTATTACTTTATATTTGTCAGCACGAATTTAGATGTTAACATTTGGATTAAACTTGTAAATGATGACAGGAGCTGCAGTGGCCCCCATCAGGCCTAGTCCACACAGTCGTACATCATCGAGACTTGTTTGACCAACCATGACAATTTAACAACACAAGTTCTATGAATAGCTGATGCTATCAGAATGTGTTATAGCTTGATCAATTGAAAGCAAATTGGGTGGGTTTTTCAAAGGCAAGCAGACAGCTCTGCGATTTTCATTAATTAAGTTTTCTAGTTTATTAGATGAGTTTTGTCAGTGTTCATGGTCCAAATCAAGCCTTGTGTGTATGAACCTGACTTTGATGGTTGTCACCCAAGGGTTGTTTTGAGTCCTAGGTGAAGTCTTTAAGGTTGCAATCAACATCTGTCCATCTTATACCCTCAAGCAAGTATATTGATGGTGAAAGTCATAAAAGGTGTATCTTGATCTTTAATGTTGCTTTCTTGTTACATTTTTTTTTTCAATGGAAAACTGTTGAATATTATTTATCGGAATTCTACTGGTTTTCTTTATCTTGTGCATATTATTCTATGAAAATTTCAAAAATTAATTTTTACTGAATTTTCTCTAAAGAGTAAAACATTTGGGAAGATTTAGAAATATTGCAATTGAGATTTACATTTTGCCACTTTCACCACCAATAAGCTATATAGTCTCGATAAAAAAAATCAGATGGAAGGAGATCTATCTCTTGGGGATGCATGCACCAATGTTGACTGTTAAAAATTGATTTATATCAAGCTTATCAAGGGCTGTTGAGTTTAGTTCATTTGGCCATTCTGGTTTTTTTTTTTTTTTCTCAGATGAAGAAGACAATTATGATGAAGTGACTGAAACTGCATTTAAATCATTGGAAAATCTCCTGGATGAATTACAGACAAGTAATGAATTGATAGTGAGACATGGAGAAGCTTTACAAAAAGCTCTGTCTAAACTCACTTCCTCAGAAAATCAAAAAGATATCACCACACAAATCAAATCCATCCGAGAAAGAGCAACTTTATTTAGGATAACATCTACAACTATGATTAATGTAAGCTATTCATAAATCAGTATTTTCAAAGGTAACAAATGTCAAGTCCAAGTTTGGAATTTGATTTTTTCCTCTCAAAATCTGTTGTGTTTGTATCATTATTCAGTGAGAGTAGCCTCTAATTTTTTGAGTTCATCTAAAAGCCAATGAATGGAGGCAGTAGGTATGTTCTGACAGGTCACTTGCATAGACGGATAGTATTCTGCCTTGACAGTTCATCAAAATTGTTTTGTTTAATTCATAAAAAAATATTTTGAAGGATTTGCCATGCAGCCTCATGCATCGCCACTTTTTATACCTCTCAAAAGTTGTGCTTTATCGTTGATTTTTGAAAAAAGATCTGATCTCCATGTCCGTTTTGAGTAGCTATTTTCAGCAGTCGAAGAGTACATCCTCAAAAAGAGACCCAGTTAAAAAATTATCCGTTTTTAAATAGGATTCAGATCTCTAATACTTTATACTTTTACTTGGAAAAATTTTAGAACATTAATTGCAAAATTTTACCACTATGGTTAGTGCTGTTGCTTTATCATGTTAATATACATTTCTGAAATTTTCAAACAGCATTTATAAAGAAATGCAAATTTTAGATTGAGTTACTTTCCTTAAGAAAGACCGATAGCAAACTACTTTTTGAACCGAAATATGGTGGATGGATCCACAGAATTTGATCTAATTTTGTTCGTTAATTAATTTGGTTTTTAAAAATGGAAACGAAAGCATCAATCAGAATCATCCTACGCGCATTAAATTATACCTGACTTTCTCTCATTTTTTATTTTTTTACTTGAAAACTATACAACAATCGTCCTTGAAATTTTATGAATGTACAATTTATTATCTAAGAGTTACTCATAAAAAGTTGCATTATTATCAGAAATTAGGTTAAAAATGCAGTTAGGTTAATTAGATTGAATCTATCTAAATCCTATTTTTTTAGATTTCTCTCAAAGTTTTACAAAGTATATTTTCTGAAACTAAAATGGAATTTTTCTTTGCTCCAGACTTCATCCAAGTATCTTGACCTAGCCCAAATGTACGGGAAAAAGTGTGCAAAATTGTTGCAGCAGGAAAGGGAGAAGCGAATTCAACTTGAAGAAATGGTAGAGCAAATGGCAAGAGAGCAGACTCTCATGGAGCAAGCAGCAAATCAACAGTCAATAACAGGTTAGGCTTTCCGTAAAAAGAGGGTAGCGTTTTGAAGTTTTTGGATTGTTATGCCATGCCTGGAAATCCATTTTTTTTTCTTATGATTCATTACCAAAAAATAGGATTCAGAAATTTCTATTTAAGTAGTTTGTGCATGTTGTATCAGGTTTCCCTGAGAAACAGATGAAAGGGAGTGATAATATTTAGCTCCCTCAGTTGCAGTTTGAGATTGTGCACCTTGTTTTTATGGATCTTGAAACATCAATTTGGAGTTTATGTGCTCTCTTTAGACAAAAAATATTTCAAAGAAAATTTAATTTAATTTTATGGGAAGAAAACTAAAAAAAAGTATAAAATACAAAACAATGAATGAAAAAAAAAAGAAGTAAAGAATGAAAAAAAAGAAGGAAAGAATGAAAAAAAATCAAATAAAAAAAATGACAAAGGTCAAAACCTTAAAAAAAATTGAGGAAAATTGTACGGAGAGAAGAAAGTTTCTTTGAGTCTGTGGAATTGTTTTCAAAATTGGTAGTAATGTGGTCGATGTCTTGTTGATTTCTCTAATAAACATGCATTGTTACTCAACAGGTTCTCTGAAATCTGAGGAGGACGACGAAGGCGCAGAATTTTATGATGCTGCCGATACTGCTGATAGTCTGAATCCTGCGTATACGATTGAGACTCACCTAATGTCCCAAGTGAATAATGAACCTAGTTCATTAGATGCACCTCCACCTCCTCAGCTTCTAACCAGTGCAGTAAGAGACTCTCTTTGTATTTTTTCAGTTAAGGGTTCCTGCAGGTTCCATTCAAAGCTATTTGTATGTTGTACTGATTGTGAGTGAAGAGATGATTTTAAAATCATATCATTGTCATTCATAAAAGTCACCTCCAATCAAAATAAAAGTTTCATTACTTTTATGATCACAGATTTTAATTACCCATGTGTAGTAGAGTCTCTGTTATCCTGATAAATTATGAATTGATCTTGTACGGACAGACCAAATGTGGGATAAGTGAAAAATTAAAAGTGAACATCGCTACGTGTAACGCTACAGCACACTGCTTACCACCTACAGGAAGAAAAAAGAAACTTTTTTAGTGTAGAAACTTTTGCTACTTTCGGTCGCTTGTAACAATCTTATGATTCCTCTGAAAGAGGAAAACTCCAGTTTCCTTTTATGATGACTTTCTTCGTATTGTAAATTTCAGAATGTTGACGCAGATCTCAGTGGAGGATCAAGTGATGAAGCGGATGAAGGCAGTCATGTGAGTATTCTTCTCTCATCTGTCGGTTAAAACTATTATTCCCTCATGCAGGGATTGGGAGTCGGGTAAGCGGGCAAACTTGATGCAGGAGTGATCTCTCTTCAGCGAGACTGGGTACGCACCCTCTGGAGAGAGTCTACCCTTAGCATGAGACCTATATCGGTCTCTCTCTATCGAGGTCACCCTCTAAGCAATACCGTAGGGCAGACTCTTTGCAGCTACAGTCTCTCTGGAGGGAGGTGGGGTCCGGTCTCAAGGACAACGCAGACTCTCAAGGGAAAGACCATTTGGCTGCGCGATCACGGGAACTTCTCAGAAGCGGACATCGAGGGATGGCACGGGCCAGGGGCAGACTGAAAGATGATAAACATTTGTGTGGTTTACGGCAAGGATTATTTCCGGAAAGACGGAAACCAGGAATCCCTGGCCTCAGTGGAGGCGCACTGCAAGCGTATTTATCCCTGCCAGCGCACAGGCACCATTGAGCTTGAGTTTCTTCATCAGCTAACAAAGGATCTTGATCTTGTGGTCTGATACCGGGTGTCGGCCGATGCCTGGTCTCAGGCTAGTGGTTCGAGACTGCCAAAAATAATTGTGGCAGACCATCACCTCTAGCTCGAGTCTGCCTGTGGCCTGCCTGCCGACCTTGCACTCCAAGACTGAGCTTGAGTCTGAATCTCTACAGACTCTACTCGCGAGACTGTTATAATCCCTGCCCTCTTGATTATCTTACTGGAACAGTAAGTACCTGAGTCAGTTTTTTATAAGCAGGGTCGCCACAGTCAGAGACTTTCAACAAGTCAGGAATAACCTTACAATGCCAGGAAAAAATCGTTAAACCACCTTTATTTACTTTCTAGAATGGTTTGATAATCAAACAACAAATTTGCTTGCAAACTATTTCAAATGATGTTCTTTAACCATCTGGCATATTTTAAATTGCCAGGGATTTATACCATAATGTCAGGAAAGTTCATTTTCTAAATTCTATGACAACCCTTTATAACTGATAGCTAGCTTGATATATGCACACGGGCTTTTCCTACAGCTTTAATTTTCAAAGTAGACTGTCTCCAGAGGTGAGAAATATAGTAGAAATAATGAGTAGGTCTGTTGCATAGAAAAGATGCATAGATAAATTAATGAAATCGCATGAAAGTCATAATGAACATATGAAGAAAGTCCAAAATTCACTCTTCAACACCCAATTTGTGTAGTCCAAATCTTGCATTTGATTTTCAAACCCCTCGCATCTGCCAGTATTTCTTTTCATAGCCGCCAGCAAGTACGTCTAAACAACCTCTCAAAATGTTACAAATCTTTCTCATGTAAAATGTACTGTTTGTTGTGTGTTTGTGTATGTGATACTTTGGCTAGAAGGTAATATGCTCTGTTAAAGGATCGATTATGAATTTGACTTTAAACCCCAGCCTAACATTAGCTGGATTTTTTCACTCGGATCTTGAAAACATCATGAGATATTTCAATATCCTCAGTTCTGAACAGATGTTTTTTAAAGAGCACTCTTATCTACACCAAGTATCATTATCACAGATGTTATTTTTATTTCAGGTAAATAATCAAAGTGGTGCCAACAATACAGTTGATAACCAAGGTAATAATACTTGTGAGAAAGCAGGGTTTGTTCTAGAAAAAGTGAGGGCTAATCCATGGACACCTGGTCAGCCAAGGAGAAAAAGAATCAAAGATAGACCAAATTATCCGTTCAATGTCTGGGGCGTCATGAAGAATTGTATTGGAAAAGATTTATCAAAAATACCAATGCCCGTAAGTGCTTTAACTTTCTCGTTGTATTCTAATTTATTCTGTACTGTAAAGGTTGTTTTGTAAATAACTATTTGTTGATAGAAACGAATAGCAACCATCATGAAATAATGAATGATCTGTATTCATAGACAACTTTACAGTAAGTGTAGCACTCAACATTAATGCTAGTTATATTCATGTGCACTAATTGTGCATGATGTCCACATGAAAATATTTCAAATTGTAAATGAAGGAAAGTAAAAGAATATTGCACCGCTCATAAATTGACTCCTTTTTTTCTTTGCTTTAAGGTGATTCTAAGTGATCTAGGGACAAGGATTGCCACTAAGTTGCGCTGCCACACAGTCTGTCTTTGAAAAGCAAAAATTATCGTATTGTACAAGTTAATGCAAGAAACTGATCCATAACAAGTAGCTGCATTAATACTGAGTAGCGTCTCATCAAATTAGTGAAGATTCATTTAAAGTCTATATCAGAAACTACTGTAACAGCTGTTGCTCATTGACCCAAAGTGCAAGATTACTATAACGTTATCCCTTTATGGCGCTTTCCTACCTATAGGCTCATTTTCAATGAATCCTCACACACTTGATGTTATACTACTCAGTATTGATGCTGCTGCGTGGAATGGATCATTTCGTTGCACTAATTTGTACACCATGATATATATTGTTTTTGGAAGATACAATCCGTTTCGTAACGCAACCTAATTGCGGATCTTGTCTCTAGATCACCTGGAAACACCCTAAATCTGTAAACTCAATGTAATGCAATATTCTCTCCAAATATTCCAGTATATCTAAAATTCTTCCATATTTTTTTAAGCCGGAATTCGGGAATGTAAATTTTCACAGAACTCAAATGGCTCAACTCAAAATTAACTTTCAGGAATTCGGCCCTTAGGTGCGTTTTAGATCTCTACAAATTTTCTCTGGAAATAATGAGCACTTGTTCAAAAGTAGTTGAAAATACTCTTTAGTAGATATCAAACAAGTCGAAGAGTTTTCAACATTTTCTGTGTATGGGTCAGTGAATGTATTTAGAAAACTTCAGTAATGAGTGAGGAAGAAAGTGTTGGATTTTTCCTAATCTATGTTTAAAATTGTTCCAGGTGAATTTTTCAGAGCCTCTGTCTATGCTGCAAAGGCTAACAGAAGATTTTGAGTATGCTCAAATATTGGACAAAGCTGCCACGTGTACAGATATGTGTGAGCAGTTAGCATATGTAGCTGCTTTTACAATCTCTTCTTATGCAACAACATCCAATAGGACAGGGAAACCATTTAACCCGTTACTTGGAGAAAGTTTTGAATGTGATAGGAAAGAAGATCTAGGATGGAAATGCATTTCTGAACAGGTTTGTGCTAAAAATTGACTATTTTAAATTGTAGAGAATGTATACCTACAGTCTAGTGAGCACTTTCCATCATCAATAGTTTTTAGCATACCGAAATCAGGGTGGGGATTAGCCATAAGCCCCTGCTGTATCAATGAAGAAAAATGTATAACATCAATTTTAACATCAAAATTACAAACTGGGAATTTTGCAAGTAGTATTTAGCAGAAGTCAGTGAGTGGAAGTTTTGTTTGAAGGTCAGGGAATTTGAATATTTTTGAGTCAGGGAAAAGCAAAAAGAGTCAGGGAAGTTTTGTTTGAAGGTCAGGGAATTTGAATATTTTTGAGTCAGGGAAAAGCAAAAAGAGTCAGGGAAATTAGGGAAAAATCAGGGAATGTCAGGAAATCAGAAAATCAGAAAATGAAGAAATTATGGAAACTGTGCAAATCTCCTCTGTCAAATTTTGGTATTGCGGTGGTTTTCAGGTCCCATCAGTGAAATATCCAACAACAACAACAACGAAGACAGGCTGAAAGTGGGTCACTCTTGACATTGAACCCGCACAAAATGCTGAGCATCACATGAAATGATTTATCTCTAGATATTGGAAAATTTCGCCGCCGCGAAATTTTTAAAATGTGCTCAGGAATCTGAAGCCCGAACAGAAGCACCAATCCGATCATAACCCCCTGATTACGAAAATATAGAGCGAAATAACGCAAAATTGGCCATTTCCGGGATTTTTCGCGAAATCGCTCGGATCTTGCGAAATCATCCAAATTTATCCGCAAAATCATCCAAATTTATCCGCAAAATCGGCGAAATCCATACATTTTTGTGAAATTTACGTATGTATGCTTGTAAGACAAAATTTGCCGCGCTCTTTTTCAAAATAAGAAATTATGGAGTTGTTTCTGAGCAGCGGTCGTCATTGGCTACGAGCTATATCAACGTTCGCCAATGGCATCAAAATACTGATGAAAGAAATGGCAGCAACTGGGGCATAAACATAATCTCAAATAATTTTAACATGTGATCAAGTGAAAGCTTTATTTTAAGCTGTCAAACGCAAGAAGTGCTACAAAAATAACAGGGAAATCAGCAAATTATCAGCGAAATTCGGGAAAAATAACCGCAAAATCGGGGAATAATGAAAGCGAAATTTTCTAATGTCTACTTATTTCACATTGAAAATTGACAAAAATAATGCCAGGGCTAGTCTTCTAGTCGAAAAGTAACAATTGTTCGGCTGAAATTGCTAACTGATAAATTGCCAAGATTTCCAGTTTTAGAGTACGTTCATAGCCCCAGACAGTTGGGAGTTGGACCTGGGTAACCAAGAGCTGTGTTCAAGTGGAGTCTTGGTTTTGGTCCTGCAGTTTTCTCACCTGAACCACAAACTTTATTGTTTTTTTTTTGTTCTTTGCTTAGGTGTCCCATCACCCTCCCAAAGTTGCCCAATTCTGTGAAGGAGAGTCATGGAAGAGTTGGCAAGAATTCACCATGGTGTCTAAATTTCGAGGAAAGTATCTACAGATTGTTCCACTCGGAATAACTCACTTGGAATTTAAAACAGGTATTTATAGCTGCTAATTCATTTCTGTCTTTCTTTACTCGCTCGCATTTCATTAATGAGATTCATTCAATCTTATTTCAAAATGTTTCTGATCAGTAAATTCAAGTTTCTAGCTCCATTTTTGCTTGTAGTTTTTACCCACTAATTATACTGACAGCATCACATGACCCTCCAGTTTAATGTGATTGCACTTTTTATTTGAGTTTTTTCAAACAAATCTCCCAAAAATAGCTTATTTTGTCAGTAGGTTATACTCTTCTCATGGTGCATAAAAAATTAACTTAAAAAAATATTCAGAGATAATAAATAGTTTTGCCCCTTTTATTATGAGAGTTTCATTGGTTTATATTTTTTGGTTTTTGCCTTTGTCGTAGAGAAGGCTATTCTTCTGCCACACGGTGAGAAAGACATAGATATGAGCTTCTTCTGTGTCTCTTGTCGTGAATTTTCTTAACAAAAAGGCTAAGAGATGTGTATTACCAAAATAAAGCGAGGCTCAGTAAAAAAATGTACAAATTAAATTTTCTCAAACTATTATCATGTTATTATAAAAGAGTTATCTCTATTGTGCCTTCCCTGTGTACTTAACGTTACATTCATGCCTCAATGGTATTTTTTTTGACATGAAGGTGATCACTATACCTGGCGCAAAGTTACCACTACGGTCCATAACATTATCGTTGGGAAGCTATGGGTTGACCAGCATGGTGATATGGAAATCGTAAACCACAAGGATAATTCTGTTTGTCACCTCAGCTATCTTCCATACAGTTACTTTGCTCGAGATCAACAACGAAGGGTAAGTAACTTTTTTTTCATTGTTTTGTTTGTTTATTTCTCTTTTGTTTCATTCTGTTATTTTTCTTTTCCCTCTTGACCTTATTTTTCTTTTCTTTCTTGATCTCTGTAGTATTTTTCATGGTATGCTCATTTCACATCAAGTATTTACTTACTTACGTACTAATGGCGCCACAGCACGGGGTGGGCTTTGACTTCAAAGACGACGCGTCTCCATCCTACTCCGTCCATGGTTTCTTCTTTCCATCCTAAAACTTAGATCAATTGGACTGCATTTTGCAATTTGGACCTATAAAGTCTGGCTCATCTGAAAAAACACTCGTGTGCATAGGGAAACTAATGGCACATACGTTGTTTTTAAACCGGGCCGGGATTTATAGGTCCAAATTCAAAAATGCAGTCCAATTTATTTGTGTTTTCTCTGGGTATGGGTACTTTGTCTTGGTTTTTGTAGCTTGGGTGTTTTGACGTGATAGGGTTGCTAGCCCTACGCACAACCCTCCTCCTTTTCCTGGGCTTGGGATCAGCTAGAAAGGAACAACTCGCCTCCAGGCGGAGTTACATTAACTATTTATTCCAACCAAAAACATAGGAGGCAATTTTGTAACAGCAACAGTAGAGAAATATACCAAATATCCAGATCATTATAATAATGAAATTGAGAGATCTTCGAAGGAACAAATGGAACTCATCTTTTGATGTAAACCATTTTTGTTTTATTTCGTTGCTTTTGTATCATTTCATCAAGACACTAAGATTGAAAATATTCGCTGAGTCAAATTGCCCTCTTAGTTTGGTTAAAATCATTGTCAAGTCTCAGAAGTTTGCAAGGTTCCCGAAAAAATTGCAAAAGAGGTGATTTTTGCAGGACATTGTAGAACTCACCAAGAATTTCTTCTACCAACCCAAAATCGTTAAGATTTGGAAGCAGAGAGGGCCAAAAAATGTTGCTTACTCATTTGTTTTATTAAACTTAGATCATGTGACTAGAAACACAGAGGTAAAAGAGGAAAGTTGAATGTATCTGAAATTGCCAGTATGATAATGCTCTCACAGGAACTCCAACATACAATCATTTCTGAATTCATATTTTTGCTTAAAGAGAGGGGTGTGAAATTGAAATAATTTCAGAAACTGTCATGAACAAACATCTCAAAATTCTTTTTATGACTCCCAGAACTGCATGGTCAATTTTAATGCAACACTGGTTCTGTTTAGAAAATCTAACAATATATCACATTTGTAAATAGAAAATTTAAACAAATTTCATAATTAAAAACTGAAAAGATTATCCTCTTTTGCAAGGTGAACCCTAAAATTTCTTTATTTTAAAAGTGAAGTTATTCATATTTGTGGGCTTATAGGTGAAAGGACAAGTAAAGGATAAAAATGGTACGGTGAAGTGGCTTGTCGATGGATGTTGGGATACAAGTATTAGAATCGCCCCTGTGATACAAACAGAAGGTGCCCATGAAAATAATTCAGATCAACCAGGTACATGGATCACAGCTTGGGAAAGAGTCTTTCCACCGTAAGTAAAAAAATTCTCTTGTGAAGCTCTCTTTTTTTCTTCTATCACTTTTTCACTACTGTAAACCTCAAAAGGATCATGCATGGAATACAAAGAAATACGGTGACGGCTGAATTTCAATTTAATTTATATGATGTTCCTTACGGCTTCCTGAGAATGTTGGGCTTTTCAGACCGAATTTTCTTTGAGTCAATTTAAGAAATCTAATCTACTGAGAAAAGGGGGCTGAAAAGCGAATTTTTCGATGTTTTTATGCGATTCTAGTAGAAATATTGCAATATCTCATAGGTGATCAAAGGGAGTTTTTACTTCCTTGCAGGTTGAGAAGTTCAGTTGGATGAAAAAAATCGAATTTCCACAAAAAGTTCCATTCCTAATTACATAATCGAAATTCGATCACAGCATGCAGTGCATCGTCCCCTACACGTCCCTCAGAACACAAGTTAGAAGACCAAAAAATTAACTTTTCAGCCCCATTTTTCTTGACAATAGTCCATAGGAAGTTTGATTTTTTAAGCACATTGCACTCAGGTGATTAATCGTAAGGAGCATTATGTGTAAAAATATTGAAATTTAACCAGCGCCAAATTTTTTGGTATTCTGTGCATTGTCCTTTATCAAGACGCTTTTTTAACCGAGAATGAAAGGATTCTGTGGATTGTCATAGTGTTGTGTAAGAAAAAATTACCACCTAACTCTGCAAACACACCTTTTTGACAAGAATCCTCTCTGCACCATCAAAAAGACATAATTGGACTACATTTTGCAATTAGGAACTAAAATTTCTGCCTCATCCGTTAAAACACTTATGCACACAGAGAAACTAATGGTACATACGTTGTTTCTAAACTGAACCGGAAATTGTAGTTTGAATTGCAAATTAAAGTCCAATTGTCATTTTATAAAACAAAGTTCCATATGAGAGTGCTTCAGTAGCAACTGGAAGATTTTCTTTCCATCTTCTCCTTACTTGAAATATCAAGAAAAGCAATTTTGCCATTCTCTTGAGATGTTGACTGTCAGATGGCAGTCGACCTTAAGGTGATTCGATGGACGCCATATTTTGTGTCAGAACGACATGCGATGTATCGCATCAATTAGTTCCATTTTTTCAGCTATTTGTCATTTTTCTCGAATTTTGAGATCGCAATTCTGTTGTTAGGAGACTAAAGAATTTACTTACCAATTTTGACTAACAAATTCAGCGTAATAAATGCATGGTTTTTTTTAGAGGAAAAATATCGCTTTTGATACTGATATCGAAACTGTACTCGAATGCGATATTTGTCCTCTGAAAAAACCATGCCTTTATTACGTTTCCTGATTTTTTAAAAAATTCATATTAGCACGCACATTAGATAGCAAAAACCCGTGGTCATGCGTTGTGACGTCAGAGTCACGTAATTTCGAGGCGCTGGAAGGAACCCCGTTTCTAAACTTTCGACGCCTTTTCTCCATGTTCCAATCATCAGAAAATTTTTAAAAAAATACCTTAACAATCAGCACACCACCAACTTCTAGAAACTGAATTTAAAAAAATGCATGCAACAACCCCATTGATGCGATACATCGCATGTCGTTCTGACACAAAATATGGCGTCCATCGAATCACCTTAATAGCTCCTGCCACCGAATGCCCCCAACAACTGCCCCTGCGTTGTGTTTTTTAACAAAAATGTTCTTCGGCTTTTTGTCCTAGTGAGGAGTCTTCAAAGTATTACAACATGACCGAATTTGCCTGTCAGTTGAACGAAATGGAAGACGGTATAGCACCAACAGACTCTAGAAATAGGCCGGATCAGAGATTAATGGAAGAAGGTCTCTGGGATGCAGCCAATATTGAGAAAGTAAGATTGGAAGAGAAACAAAGATCTGTTCGCAAACAAAGGGAGAAATTGGCGGAAGAAGCTGCTGCCGAGGGTAATCTTCATTTTTGTGCCAACTTGTCATTTTTTAAAAAAATTAGACGTCTTAATTTTCCAAAAACTATTGCACAGGGTACATCACAGGAATTCAGTATTGGATCTTTTAATATAAAATCCTTATTAGAGGTTGATGAACTTTGAAGTTGAATTTTTCAATCTGCCAACTTTAATTAAATCAGAGCTGAAAAAAGAAATTAACTCTGTGCCCTTGTGTTTTTACTCACGGAGGTATAGCATTAGTGCTGTTTCATTGTATTTTGGTTTTTATTCACAAATTAACTCAATTCTGGAGGCTCTCAAGACTTGAGAAACTTGTATTCTTTTCAATTTTCATTTCATCCATTCGAATCTGTGCATCAGTCCTGCTAGCTTCCATGGAAACATGGGAATCTGAGGGCATGCAGCGTCTGTCTTCTCTCTTAAGCAAGGAAGGGAGCCCATTGCTGGGTATTTATTTTGTTGTACTTACGGCACAGGTGTTTTCAGCAAATAATTATGTGATGGCTATCCTTGTGAAGACATCAGCCAAGTAGCAGGACATTTTTCCATGGTTTTGGTCCCTAGTTTGCTTAGATTCTTCTTAAATTATAGCATCAAAGATAAGTAGAGGGTAGAAATAAAGAAGTAATTAAAAAGGAGAAGTGAAAGTTTGCTTAATAGAAGAGTATTGACTAAGAGAGAGATGGGAGTACCTAGCCACTGTCAGACAATGTAAACCTTGTAGACCTTGTAAATTCCTTATGATATGTTACTCTTCCTCGTTTCATATTATTATGGTATATTTTTAGGTAAATCTGTTCCTGAGTATGAGCCTGTGTGGTTCCGGAAGGTCATGGACAAGTATACTGGTGATTACTGTTATATGTACAATGATGAGTATTGGAAATGCAAGCAAGAGCAAGATTGGTCGCGGTGTCCAGATATCTTCTAGTAACGTAATCAAACTAATTTTTAATATTTTCGAATGTGGTAAAAGTGGGCAGCAAGCATATTCATCTTCTGCTCATCATAGTGCAATTCATAATTTTATCCTTTGTTATCGATTTCAGAATTCTGATAGATCTTTGTTTTTTCTCCTCTAAGGTGAATAAGTTATTGCCAAAGGCAAATTTATTTCAGAAATAGATGCGCCAGATCATGTTTATCATTCTTAGTTTTGTAACAAATTGTTTTCTAATGTAAAACTTTACTGTATGTGGTAGGATTGAGCAGCAAACCTACTTCTGCTCAGTGTAGTGCAATTCATGATGTTATCGTTTGTTATCATTTTCAGAATTCTGATTGCTCTTTGTTTTTCTTGTCTTGCCGCTAAAAAGTTGTTGCCAAAAGCAAAGTCATTTCAGAAATAGGCAAAGTTCTTTCGCTCTAATATCAGCAGAACCAAGGATTGTCATTCCCTGACCCGTATGATTTTGGAGGAATAGAATGGTTATCATTTATTCTAAAAGATTCTGGAATTCTAAATATTTCGTAAAAGTTTTTTTTTCCTCTTCTTTCTTTCAGCTAGGTAATGTGATTTAACAATGGAATTTTTCATTTTGGATACTGTACGAATTAATGGTCTAAAACTTTCTCATGTTTAAAAAAATAATGACACTAAGAACTTCCTTTCAAACTTGTCCTCTAAAATTGGCTTTCTCTGTATGAAATCAGCCTTCAATCCTAAATTTTTTTCATTTTTTTAAAAAAAATATTACATATTACTGCTTTACCAAAGTAATATGTTTAATTACTTTGCCTGACATGCATGTTTGGTAATTAATAATTTTTGCCCTCAGAGAATGATGCAAAATTGCTATATCAAACTTAAGCGTTAGTCTAAATATTGAATAAAAGTAGAAAACTACAAATTTCATCTTCAAAGTAGCTATCTTCTCATCGCACGGATGTTGACTCAGGTAATCCTGTCATTTAATCACATAGTCCCATTAATTATTGGCATGAAAAGTATTTTTAATATAAGATCATATTCAATGATTACTTTTTAAGCCTAGAGATCTCTCCTCCTCCCCTCCCTCAAAAAGTCCCTCGATGAACCAAAACATAAAAGGCACAACCTTTCTTTCAGACTTTTCAGTCAAAAGTAAGAAACAGCTATGTCCAGCAAAGGAGCATTTGAACCATTTGGCTCTCTTTTAAATTTCTATTAAGACTATGTTTTTTTTGTCGTGTCAGGATAGCCTTCCACTGCTTATTTGTAGTTTCCAAAAATGACCTAAAATCGTTTCTTTAGCCTTATTGTTAGCATGAATTTTTTTACATCATGTTCTTGAAAACTCTGCCTCGGGAGAAAATCTATTCTAATTTCTTCCCTCGAACTGCTCGATGAAAACGTTCCACCAATATCTGTACAGTCCCTAAAAATCTCAACCATCAGCAAATTGGAACCAATTAAAGAGAGGGGAAAGTAGGGTGGGTGGGGGTAAAAGGCTGCATTCGTTAAACCGTTTTTTTCGGACTGAACCACCCATTTCGGCAAAAAGTGTTAACACAGCTACTCTTTACCCTTGGGCACAAATTGTGATGGTTTTCTGACTTTAGAAACGACACTGGTGATTGGAGGAATTTTTTTTTCAAAATAAGTTTTTTTGCAGCCATGTACCCCATGAGTTGGGGCAAAAGGCCGCAAATGATGAAAGGTGATATAGGGTATAAGGAATGATAGGTGGGGAAAAAAGCCATAGATTTTCATTCACCGCCATGATGTACTAATAATTCATTTCTTCGATGGGAAAAATAGTGGGAGACTTCTTCCTACCCATTATGAGGAAAAGAAACCGTTTCTGATCACTTCATTGAAATATACAAAACGCGATTTTGGACTGGGTTGATCCTCTTGCTCCATTCGGCCACCATTTTGGAGAAAATCGTCAGGCAGATCGTAAACTAAATAGTGATGGCCTGAAACAACCCCAGAATTCATAACTGACTCATACCCTTCATTGATGCTGAGCAATAATTGTTTAGTAGCTAAGTTCAGTAGGCTATGAAAGAACTTTTTAATCGCATATCTTTCTGTCTGAAAAGCGGCTTTTTGCCTAAACAAAAATTGCTTCACCATTTCAAACATCTTGCCAGGATGTTTCTAACACTCTCCCTGTTGAGTATTCCCATCAAAACTGCTGTGATTTCATTTCCAACAGAAACTTTTATTTACAAGAATGAGAAGGTGTGGCTCATTGTTACCCAGCGTGGCCCTTTACCCCTACCTATCTACCCTACTGAGGCCAGAAGGCTTTTTGTATCCACCAAATATGTTCCAAAAGAAGAATTTACCTGTTTCTGTAAAATTCCTATGGAAAAAATGACTCTTTTTAGACTTTTTGGTTTTATTAATTGTTTTTTAAGCCTGTTTTTTTTTTTGTTTTCTAGTTTAAGTGGAAAGGAAGTGATGAAAATAAATTACCTACTTTTTCAATTCCAGAATTTTCTGCAATTCAGTTTTATTCTCTCTACTGTTGATGCGATTCTTTCGTCAATTGCTGTGGTTTTACAATTAAATAGAGCTGTGCATATTCCCGGCTGAGGGAAATGATAGTTAATTGTTTGACGGTATGATTCATTGTCTAAGGCAAATGCATATTTAAAAAACCAGAGTACTTCAGCAGATTGATAATCTCAGTCTAATCAACTCGCTTCTTCAGTTTATTGCTACTATAATCTGATCAAGTTGGATGTTCTAATCCTGACTGCTATTAATGAATCATAAGCACAAAAGGATTTCCAAAATTAACGTTGGCGAAAGTTGAATCTTCAGGTCCAATCCAACTTAAAGCCTTTTTGATCGATGCCATTGACAAATACTTTAAAAAAATTAAAAAAGAGTATCTTTAGACAATTAATTTTGATCAGAAATTTATTTGTGTCAAGAAACATTTTGGACTGTGCATTAAATACAAGTTTAAACTTAGGAATGTAAAAGTATAAAATTTAAAAAAAAAAAAAAAAAAAAAAAAACTACAGAAGTAGAAGATGTAAGGCACTTACACATCAGCGTTCACACTAAGAATCTAACAGATATCATAATGTCTCAAAAAGTAGTTTACGGCCTGGATGAATTTTAAAGCCGGAATTACAGACTGAATTTGGCAGCTAAATATGAGAGTCATCGGTCGTTGCTCGACAGTTGAAATTTTGTAATTTTTTTAGTCTTTCTAATCCATACTTGTATTTTTTTTCAAGTGCCTTACAGACACACTGATAACGCAACACGTGAAAAATTCAGGGCACCACCCAACAATAGACCGATGGCTCCCTCATTTGGCTCCTTACATTCAACGTGTGATTCCAGCATTACTGTAAAAATATATCATTGAGTAATATTGTGCTTAAACCAATGCAAATTGGCTTACAAGAGCTTCTATATTCAGACTTCATATTAATACACAGCCATTATACTAACTACATTTTAGTTTTTTATACAATCAATTTACTTAAAAAGTAATACAGGATTAGTATTCAACGCTCTAGTGTAAAAATGCATCATTAAGTAAAATCGCGTTTAAAAGAATGTAAATTGGCCCGTAAGAGTAATTAGCAGAGCTCACATCTTTCATATTCAGACTTCATCTGTTTACACAGCCATTATACTCAGTTTATTCTAGTTTTTAATACAATCAAAACACTTAAAAGGTAGTACAGGATTGTGCAGGACTAGTATGCAACGCTCTAATGCTTAGTGCCTTCTTGTGGCAACAATACCTATTCTTAAAAAGGAGAAAACAGTTGAGAGGAAACTTGTAACCTAACTTACATCACCGGATCTGTAGGAAGGAACCCTTGCTACCAGGAGAAAATTTTGCATGACTTTTTGCAAATGCATGAAGGAAGAAATTCTGGAAATTTTGATATAAGTTTGACCCTGAAAGCTCTCAAATTGAAGATGGTATGAGTCCTGAGGCTCAAAGATAAAAATTCTTAGGTTGCAGAGAAACGTGGTTTAAGTATCATGGTTTAAGTTTCGTTTTATCGAAAAAGACAAGGAAAATTGTTTCGTGGGAGAAAAGGCCCCTTTTTTTGAGATCCAGTCATAATTTGTTTTCCATTGATGGATTAAAAACAAAACTAAGGAGAAGAAGGGTCGAATAAATCTAATAATAAATGGGTTTGAAAAACACAAATGTTGTCATGATACATGATTGAAATGGAACGTTGTGGGGGAAAAGAAACTGATCGAGCCAATCATTCTAAAATTGGCACTTATAGCCGATATGGATATCTAATGTACGGTTTTTAGCTACCGTCATTCTACAATAACTTTGAATCTAATTTTTCCCAACACTTGAAATTAAAGTGGCAGCTGATATGACAGCTTTTGGTGCCTTGAGCTAATCATAATATTCAAGTCTTTAATTTTCATTTTTACAGTCTTGTAATACTAGGAGAAAAGCTCACAGGAACTTTCTCGGTGAAAGTATTTTTTCAGTAGGGTTGTCAAGTAGTTCTAAAAGTTTAAAAAGTTTTCTACTCTAAAACTATACCAGATAAAAAAATCTACCGGCAGATAGTATGTGCAGTAATTTTTTCCAATGGAGAATTTTTGTAACCATCTCCTTTCAGTGGTATTAAAGCACACCATTCAGACAAATCAACAGTGAAACCTCAAAAATGCGTTGGTGGTTGGCTATTTTGAAATTTTGGCTACTATTTTATTTTGTAAAAGGAAACTGAACCAACATTATGGCTTGAAATCTTCACAGAATATTCTTCACATGGAGAGGAAAGTTTTCAAAAAATGACGATCAGTAGTTTTCCATGAGGGAAATAAACTATGACAGGATTCCGCAAACCAAGATGCGCATTTCTGCAGTTTCGCCATCAAAATGCACTTACTCTCTGGGACGGGAAATGCATCAGTACTTTGTGTTGGCAGCATTACAAATATTTGTCAAAATGCTTCATACTTTTTGACTGAGCCTATTCAGAGGAGTCAATTACAAATCCGATCAGTTCGATCAGTTACAAATTCGATGTTCCTGGAAAAAGGGAGTCTTAAGACTGCACTAAAAATCCCTAACCATCTAAAACGAAAATATACTGTTAATCCGATGTCATCGAATAGAAGGTATCTATCACAAAGATTGTTTGGAAAAAATGCAAAGCACTTATACGGCTTAAAAGTTGTTTTTCTGAACGCCTTTAGTGCGCACGTCACATCTGCTTCATGAAATCTCACTATCCAGAAGCAAGATGATCATCAAAAGAAAGGGAGAGCAGGAGAAAATTTATGATAAAAAGAGTCCTAGAGAGAAAGGGGAAAATACTGACTATATACTTGTTTGGCTCAATTTTGTACGTAGAGCAGCATACTTTCCTTTCATTTGGTTTACTTGATCCTTCAATGAGTTCGTGAGTTGTTTCTGAAGTGAGTGTACTTGTCGGATATCTTCTTGCAGGGATTCGTAATCCTCCCTGATTTGGTGAATCCCCTGCATCAACTGAATGACTGATGTCTGAAAAGTTAAAACAATTGATGTACTAAATAGATAATATTATTACACTCATCCGAAAGTTGTACATGTTGCATGAAGGAAATACTTCTTTAAGGAGGAAAATTTAGCGAGAGTTTCGAGTTTTGATAGTTGGTGAGATATATCACGTGTCGACAGTGAACCTACCAGACCATGTATCTTGTTTGCGGTATTTAAAAATCTCCGCTCCCATTTTATTATTTCCAAGGAGTGTAAATTGATATCTTTCTAATGAGTCTTCACAGAGTTTTCTTTGCACAGGGAAGAAAAATCATGGAGGTTTTAAAAAATTGGGGTGAGTGGTTTTCCATTTAAAAAATAAAGTATGACAGGAAGTCAGCAATGTCGCAAACCAAGAAACGGGGTCTGATAGTTTCACCGTCGATATGCTCCTGAATTGATCTTATCATGCAAAGAACAGGAAAGGCGACAGAATAGTTTACAGTGATCAATTGAATTTGAGTTGATGACTTAACTGGGAGGAGCAATCTATTAAGTACCTTTTTGTCCACTTCGATCCCTTTCTGAAACTCATCCAACTTCCATGCTATGGTACCAAGCCGCCCATCAGCAGTTTTCACCTACGAACAAGAGGAAAATTGTGACAACAGACAATTATATGGATGCATTAATAAAGCCAGGCATTTATTTGCAAGAATAAGAAAAAAATATAGAAAAGAAAATAAGAGTATAGAGCCCCAAACAACATTTCTGACTGAAATTTGACAGTTCATTGTGAAGTTAGTGTCTACATTCTGAAGATTGACCTTCTTGGAAAAAGTCTGACTGAGGTCCAGGATTAAACAAGATGAGTCAGACATGTGAGACTGTCTGTCAAAAAACAGGATCTCGGTGCGAAGAACCAAATTCTTTAGGAGAGCAATTTGTATCAAGTTTGGCCCAGAAAAATTTTGAGTTTTAAACAGGAAACACCATGATTATTGTCCCACAGAATAAGTACACACAGATCTGTTCATTTTTGTATCACTCACAATCAGTTAGCTACATTTTCCTGTTTGAGGAACCAACATTACAATGATCGTGATCAAAAAGTAATGTAAAAAAAGATAGAAACCTGGTAGAAGTCAATATGCATCAATGACCAGGCTATCACTAATTCAATACTAGTTACGTTTAAACTAGCACTTTTGATACCCAACTGGTGATGCCAAGCGCGGAATAAGGACCCATCATATATAAAAAAAATAGTTCATACTAACTCTTGTTTCTTATCAATACCTCATCGATTCAGGTCGGTTGAGAATCTAAAGAGTGTGCATCCATTAAGACCCTGGTTGAAAGCAAATCCTCTAGTCAAGGCTGTGGACAAGCATTATTTAGAAGAGGCAAGTTCACTTAAATTTCCATTAAGATCAGATTTTTGCGTTTACATGTTATCTTTGCTGTGAATCCTATGACACACTGCATCTCTTACATGATCACATCAAACTGTTATCAGTTGAATGCATGGGCTGCAAAAGCGTTTAAACTTTCAAGGTTTTCAATGCTCTCTCTTTTCCAGATATGGAACCCTAAACACGTATTCAAACTGAATTGAAACGCTAGTAAGTAAGAACGTCTTCCTCAGAATTTTGAACCTATTTTCTACTCTAAGTCATTTAAACTTTCAAGCGGTATGTGCTGGCGAACATCCTATAGCGCATAAATATTTTCTTGAAGGAGTGTACTAATATGAGGAGGAACTAATATTTGAGATAAGTTATTCTATAAAACACTCACACTTTGCTCCATGTTGTCGATGGCTGCCTCCATTGTGATTTGATTTCAAACAGAGATTTTATTTCCCACAATAAGGAGACTTGCTAATTTTACAGTTCAGAAGAACGGCATAAAAAGTGTTCAGACGCTCCGAAAAGCAAAGCAAAGAGAGTAATTTTAACTTAGTTTATTGCAATGAAAAACACAGAGAGATTCGTTAAAAACACAAGTAAGTAACGAGAATCAAAACAAAAACACGATAATTTTTTAATTTGATAAGCCGGTAGATGGTACAGCGCTCTGGTAGCAGGGTCTGGAAGTTTTGTAGTTAAGGGCAGGTCCAGTAGAGTGCGTGAGGATCACAAAACCAGCTGATGTTTTGAATAGTGATAACGGGTGGGGGCAATAGAAGGGGGGGGGGAGGACTTCACAATCAGTCCAGTCCACCACCACCACTTCTTTTTTTATTACTTTCTCATTTTTTTCGCAATCGCGACTTCGTGACGAATTTTTGCCCCAGATTGTCGAATTAATATATCTCCTTTCCGCCGCTCTCGGATCCAAGTCAGTTGATGAATATTTCAGTGGATTCAGTAAATTTTTCAAAGGAACGTGGTTAATGCTTCAACACGTCGGCGCTCATTTCTGATCTCTATTGAAGATTAAATGATAATTTTCGAGGAAGGGTCATGACATCCTAAAACGCCTAGTGAGGCGATCTATTTATAACTTCGACAGCAGGGAATTTCTCGAAGGTCCATCATTCGACTTTCCAATTCAGTATAAACCTTATCAAATATTCATACTTAAAGGTACTCACGGTCCATGATTATTTGCGAAAATCTCAGATCAACTTTTAAGGCTGGAAAGAGAGACAGGTTCGTTCTATGTTCATCAGCATTCATCAGGTACATATCTAAGTACCTATATTCAGAATCAGGACGGAACAGCAACAAATTTTTCATCCAAATTTTTTTTCGCATGGGAGGGCGCCGAAAAATTAATGCTCGACCACGTTCCATGTTTGTCGGTCTCTCTAAAAAGTCGCTATATTTTGAACGCCTGACTCACTATCAGAATCATGCGCAAGTTTTTCAGCTTTTTCACTTAAAAAAAAAAAAAAATTGTGGTGCGCAAGAGGCACTTTTTAGATTTTCGACCCATCCCCCTTTCTCTTTCATGTGAAAACCCCCTTCTCTACCCTACTTAAGAGGCTTATTTTTAGGCAGTTTCGGACCAAACCCAACCCCCCTTCTCCTCCTCTAAGTAAGTATTTGAGGGCCTACTTCAGAAAAGTCCTTCCTTCAGAGAACCTCTGCAGAGAACTCTTAAAAAAAGAAAAAAAATTAAAAAACTGCTCTCACCCCCAATACAGAGATGCACAATTTTAAAAAAAATGTATAAGATGTTTCATGAACGTTTTTGAAAAGCACTTCAGAAGGTCATAAAAAACCTAGACATAGCAAAAACTGGGTCGTGAAAGGTTTGAGAAAATGAATCGCACATTCCGTTTTTCCATTTTCTTTTAGATTTAAAAGCATAATGGATCTGAAGTTTTTTGGCGGCAAATTTTGGGGNGGGGGGGGGGGGGGGGGGGCTACGAGGTAAGAGGACGCTATTCGCGAGGCAGGTGTTATCATTTCCCCCTCCTTCCTGAACCCTATATTTCGTGAAATGATTCCATTCTTATTTTAACATCTTATGGTAGTGCCAGTGAGAGCGAAACATTGGCGGAAGGAGGGAGGGGACAGGGGGGATGCCTCTCGATAGTCTCAATGGACTGCCCGAAGGGCAAATCGCAAGCTTCCGTGTGCCGGCCCCCTCTTCCGAAAATTGCTGCCGTTTAGACTTCTGTGAGGCAATTACATACAGGAAGATAAAACTGCAAGAAATTCCTACGTCGCATTTTCAATGCATGTTGACAGCGCGTCGCAATGGTACGTAAACATGTTTGTCTCCCAATAAAAGCTATGCAATTATTTTCGCTGCGAAATTTGAAGCCGACGCGCAGTCCTAGCTGATGTCACGGTTTCTTTCAAGTTTGGCGAAAATCATTTTCCCGATCAAGTGCACCGATTTGTGGGGAATCCCATCGAAATTTTCGCAATTTTTTGAAGTTGAGCTTCAGCAGAGAGGAGGGGGGTTGCGTTCTGCGTTCTGAGTGGCGCAGCGGCGAGCGGCGCATCGTACGATGTGTCGCACCATGTCGCACTTATGGTGACGTCACTTCGTACAATCAGAAAACAACAACAAATAACCCTTCCCTTCTTTTTCTTTATTCGCGTTCGCGGACGGCGGATTTGCGCTGCTGCCCTTGACAGTTCTGCATAATAGACTCCATTGATCATCATATTTTTATTTACTTATCAGTGTTAAAGAAAATCATGATTGCCCTGTGTGTACTTGATTTGATCTTGAGTAAATCGTGGTAAATCAGCACATGTTCGTTTGATATCGTATAGTTGTTGGTAAGTACATTTCCTAGTCTCCTGAACTTACCTATGTAGTTTTTCTCCCAATGCATGAGGCTGAAGAATTCGATCTCTTTTGTTTCATCTGTTTGTGAGATCTATTCAGGACGATCGAAGTACTTGAATGTCTACCTCTGCGCTTCTGATGAATATCTAGTTCGTCTCCTTCATACCAGCTCATGGAAATTTTCACATTGTATTGAGATCAGTCATGTAACTTTGTTTACTCTTTGTTCTAATCTGTAAGTGTGCCAAATTTTGATGCCACAGAATTCATGAAACTGTAGCGCCTTGCACTCACTGCTTCCCGATTCCAATACTGTGTCCGAGTGGTTCCGTATGGTATCTAATACCTGGAGGGGCTATGGGACCTGGCTCCCCCTCTCCCCTCTTCTAAAAACCAGGAGAACATTTCTAACAAAGATGTGCCCAAAATGAAATATTTTTGATGATCTCATTAACTATGCCTGTTTTCAAATATAATGAGTTATTGCTCCCTGTTGTTGTCACTCCCTTTCTGATCGTATATTTTGGACGGTCTTCTTCACCTAGCAAGAACCCTCTTCAGTCATTTACTCATACCATCCCAGAGGACTTCAGTGTCAATTGAAAGAATCTTCTAACTCTTGTCAATTCAAGAGAAAGTTTATTCTACATGGGAAAACAATACAGCAATTTTCAATGATCTTTGCTTGTTTGTCTGCTGTACGCACTTTAGGACCGTGTCTAGAAGGGTCAAGTTAACAAATCGATGGTGAAGCTACCAAACTTATCTCCGTTTGAGATGATGTAAATCTATCAGATTCCACTCTTTTGTAGAGAAGGCCTGATCATCGTTTTTTCTCCCAACTTCATGTGATATTTCTTCTGTCTTTGAAGAGTTATCTTTGAATATTTTGTTCCAAAGTGTCAAGTTGTTGTCACCAGAACAAATAAAATATGAGTGATTATTTTCAAACACCGCAAGTAAGATTCATGATTTGGTCATCCAAAATCAAAATGTAAAAAGGAGAAAGGTCCAAATAACACGAAATAATAAGAAGTGCAAGATGTGAGAACTTCGGGATAGTTTCATCATATTGCATCGCGTGGTTTAAAACCTCAAGAAGGAGAGACTTGTGGGGTTTCTTATCATAAAAATTTCTCTCAGAGTTTCTTCTGAATCTTAGATGTACATACTTTGATTAATAAAATCCAGCGAAGTTGTGTCAATCAACTGGTATTTACCAGAGGTCGAAAAATTTAACTTTTTCGTCTTCGAATTTCCGAGACATGTAAAGTTCTTTGAAGTGAAGAAACAATTTGTTCAAAGAATCTAACTTAATGGTTAAAATGGTTCATTTTTACTTTCTTTGCAGTGCATGGCTCTAGTTGTTTTCCTGTTGGTCCAAATCTTTTATTAATTCTCACAAAACCTTGTAAAATTCACCACCTTATCTCCTTACTATTTCATTGCACTTGAAAAATTGCATCTAATTTGTTACTTCTGTCCTTGCAAGGCAACAAGCTTTTGAAAGGTGTATTGGAACAAAAACATTTAAGCTTAACTTTAATTTGGAATAGAAAAGCTCTCCTCCAGACATTACCTCAACACTTAGCATATGCACCCTCAATATTTGTTCCAGGTCTAGGAAACTATGAACTACCTGGGGAAAGTCATAAATAATTTCAGATATGTTTACAATGAAATAAATGCAGCTACACTGACTGGTGCCATTGACGTTATCGTTGTTGAACAGCCTGATGGAACTTTCACATGTTCACCATTCCACGTTCGGTTTGGCAAAATTGGTGTCTTACGTAGCCGTGAAAAAATAGTAAGTTGATTGTCGACAACACCTATGGAAGGTGCTAACTTGTTTTCTTTACTCATTACCACTGTTTACCACTAGTTACATCCATTTTTGTCATGATTCATCGTTTTTTCTATTAATACTAATTCAGTTCTAATTCATTTATTATATCCTCTCTGTTTTTACAACCACAAAGCCATCATGTTTAACATAATTTCTCACAATAAGTCTCCCAGCCACCTTTTTGATAATTTATCATTATTTTGTATCAATCGTAACAATACAAAAGCTCTAATGATAAAGCCAATCCAAAGAACTTTGCTGCTTTAAATCAATCACAACAAATGGTACCGAATTAACCCAGTAGTATCATCATAATTTTTGTCTTTCCATTTTGTATAAAACTATTCCATTAAAAATTACAGGTTGAAGTGGAGATTAATGGAGAACCAGTGGATATTCATATGAAATTGGGAGAGTCTGGTGAAGCATTTTTCGTTGAAGGAACATCTAGTGATGAAAATGTTCCTCCCCATTTAGCTACTTCACCAATTCCTGACACATCTGGATTCTCTCCAAGTTTTGATGACTCCGGGACCAGTGAATGGAAAGGGTCAGTTTTTCTTAGCTTTATACAAGCTTCCTTCTACCTCTGCTTTCTTGAAGGGAGTCTATCAGATTTTAAATTGCTAAAATCTAATGAATGAACGAAGAAATATGATTTCTGAAGAAGAAAATAATTAAACCTTCTAATGAAGGGAGAATCCAGAAAAATTTGCAAAAGCTGACATCACATGGAAGTTTTCAAGTGCTCAAGGGATACAGATTTGCTAAAAATAATTTCAACAGTTTTTTTTTTTTAGAAGGGGAGACAAGGCACATCATCAGTCTAAGCAGAGCAAAATAAAAAAAAATTATTTTAACAACATGGATAATTCGCTCTTTATAAAAAGTGAAAAAGATTTCAAAAAATTTATATTATCAGATTGCAGAGAAATATTTAAGACTTATGAATTTTCAGCTTATTTAGAAAAATGTTCAATTATTATTTTTGCCCCTTTTATTCGAGGGCTATGTCTGATTCCTTGGTTTGTAGGTCTAGAGTCTTGGGAGCTATGTAATTGGTCCTGACACGTGATGTTTCTTTATCAATCTGAAACCAGGATTTTTCCTCATGACACTTAAAACCTCAGTAATCAATACTTGTAGTCTACGCTTTTTTATGAATGAAAAACTGATTTGAAGAAAATCGATGTATCAGTTCTATGTATCTAACATTACTCTATATTCTGTGTGTATCATTCTGTAATACCTATATAAATCTTTTTTGATTCCCAAATCAGTATCAAAGACGCATGAATCGTCTGCAAGTAACGTAAACTTTTTCTTATCTTTTCAGGATTCCTAACAAATTGGGAGACCTCAAAAATAGTGACAATAATGACTCAGCTCCTGTTGTAATTGTAGCGGGCAGTGTTCCCAAAACATTCTGCGCTGAGACTGTTGACGACCCAGGTGAAAATGAGAAAATCCGTAAGATCAGCATTGCAGCAGGCGAGTTCCGACCCATTGATTCGGAGCCTTTCTTGTCAGAAATGAGCGAATCCTTGCGTTTGAAACAGAGCCTGAGCGGTCTTGATCTTTCAAATGATGTAATCCAGACATACCATGAAGAGGCTGTGAGGACATCCTCTTCTCTTCCTGTTAGCCGAAAGAAGCGGAGAAAAAAGTCTGTCATGAAGAAGAAAGCATCATACAGTGTTGACCAAAAAAATGATAGTTCTAGCAGCAGTAATGAGCATCAAGGAGAGTCGGAAGGAAGGCCTGATACAAAGCCAGAAGAAAGTTACACAGAGAATATTGATAGCTCTATTTTCCAGATGGAGGATCTTGATTTTAACAAGCCAAAGACTAGTATGGTAAGTTTTTATAGATTGTTGCCTTATCAATTAAAGAAGAAGTCACAACTCACTGTTGAACTCTCCAAAAATTTTCCCATTGCCCAGCTAGACAAGTATTAAGAATTCTCGTTCTACATTTTGCTGTCCATTTCCTCTACCATTCTCAATTTTAATTTAGCAGTGCCAATAAACTGGTTTAAGTTGTGACACAATGCACTCATTGTTGATTTCACTCGCTGACTATAATATGAGTTATGAATTTTTTGTTCAATTAAATGAAGAAAGTCCTTACTCCTCCAAGAAACTGCAAATAAATTTTAATGGGATCTCATTTAATTCCCATTTGTTGACATATTATTCAAACTTTCCTATCTAGAAAGGATAATGTATGCTAAGGTCTGAGTGCTGACGTCCTGAGAAAATGAACAAAAATGAATGCAATCAAGGTCTTAGCTTTTGGTGCCATGTCCCAAATTCTTCGAAAATTATTCATGACCTATGTCTGTAGTTGCCTGGAATGATGAAAATCTGTTTAAATAATGATGAAACAAGGGTAAAAAAGCGATTCCGATCTTCTTTTGTGTAAATTCCTAGCTAATTTCACGACTTGCCTCTATACCTTACGGAACTAATAAAAAATTTTATTTCAGGATGAGGTGCCAGATTTAAACGACACCAAGAGTGAGTTATCCCGAGTCTGTGATGCACCAATAGAAAGTGATATTCATTTCTTCAGTGATACTGAAATTACGCCTGGATGCAGGTAATTCACGTGAACTCATATTTTAATCATTTATCCAGTTTAGTCCACAAGTTTCACTTTGCGCTTATCTAGGTGCATTAATTAAAACACAGGAAAGCACAAGTGAGTGTAATTATTGGTAAATTATGGAAGCGGGATGTTGGTATTTAGCCTCATGTGTCCTATCTCCAGTTATATTTTTTCCACTGATACAAACAAGTTCTTCCATCCTGTCCTTGTCTATGAATAATGAAAAAGATGAGGAACAAGTTGTATGCGTGATCAGACTTTTCTACTAGCTTTAAAATCTTAGTAACATGAGACAATTCAATATATTTCTATATTCTTCAAGAGCTTCTCTAAGATTTTTTTTGTGAGCCAAATTTTCTCCCTCTCCAATTCCTGATTCTTGTCTTCTAAATGTCATGGTTGAATTTTGTTTATAGTCCTCCAGTCAGCAGAGAATTTGCACCAATTAAATCTGACTCTGAATTTGAGATCCAGCGAACGGCAAGTGTTGGCTCAAAGAATGAACTAACCAAGAGCAGTCTCGGGGCTAAGGAGCCGCAGCAAAGTTGGAAGTGGGGAGAGCTGCCTTCTCCACCGTTGGTCAAGGAGGTCTCACCAAAAGAAGCCAACAATGAAGAAGAAGCCAAAAAGCAACAAGAAGGTTCGTTACCAACTATTATTGTGTTCAGAGAAGTATGAAAGAAACAAAAAAAAAATTAGCAGAAATAATATAATGTCGGAACCATTTTTCCAGTTCAATCAGTTTAAGGCAAGCTTGGAACAAAAATTATTTTGTTCGATGGTGAATCATTAAATGAGACAAGATAGGCCTTCACAAGTGCTCAACATATTTAGTGGATTTTAGTTGTGCAGTTCCAGTGGACATTGCTCAACATGAATGTTAAATCTGGTCTCAAATTTGCTAACACAACTGAGCTTAAGGCTTAGGTATGAGCCCTTTTAAGCCAGAAGCACCGACGGTTAACAGACCTCTAAAGTCTCACTGATATTGATTAGTATCTGGAAAATCAGCTAGCAGTAATCAGTAGTAGTTGTGAATATCCTCAGTGTGCACATCACTGCTTATTCACAAGAGATGTTTGTTTAAGTCATTAATAGAGCACCAGCCAACCGACAAGTTACTATGACTACGATAGGTTGATTCCAAGATGGATAAAATTTATATGACCCTTAGGAATCATTTTAGATCACTTTTTCAAGTTTGTCGATGCCTTAAAGAAATATTCTGCACTTTTTTTCAACAAAAGCAAGTTTATTCAAATTTTCGTTTTGTTTTTTTTTATTTTCTGAAATCACAGAAATATTGATTAGGCTCAAAATGTAATGATGGGGGCCTAGCTGTAAAAACAGTAGTGATTTTAAGCAATTCTCCAGTAGAAATGTCTACTGTTAATTCTAATCTGGCTGTGATGCTGTGTGATTTTGTCATCCTCTAGCCAAAGTATCGCAAGCGCCATGCGACGTTTAAAAATTTCCACTGCCATTTTATTTTTGTACAGAGAAATTGTTCAACAAAGCTGTCAGAAAATTTCGCTGAATTTGTTGTTGTGCTGTCGATGAAATTCAGTGAAATTTTCAAACAGATTCAACCGGCAATTTCTCTGTAAAAAAATAAAATGGCGTCAGAAATTTTTCCATGTCCTATGGGGCTTATGATACTTTAACCGGAAGGTGACAAGGTACTGCAGATAGGAATGGTTTTCAAACATTTTGTTCACAAACCTCTCTGAGGATCCAGGACTACTGATTTTAAGAATTCTATTAAAGCATTGCTTGTCCTAATACTTAATCGAAAATTCATAATGAGTAATTATCCTCTGCAAAGATACAGTGGTCTGTGCTTTTTTAGTATATTATCCAATTTATACTGAACACTTCATTGGTATGATCCATACAGCTGCTGCTCACCGTTCCATGTTGCAAAATATGCTTGGGTTTATGAAGAAAACCAAACACATGAGACAGTCAGAGGGAATATATCTTTCCGAATTAAATCCAGATGAATTGGACCCAGAAATTGCTGCACTGTATTTTCCGTCTACGTATAAGAATCATAATCTCAACTCGTCAGGTAATCATTAACTCAAAGTACAATATTTTTTGACGATATAATAGAAGATTGAATTGCAATATTTTAGAAGCTGTAAAGAACAAGTTTCAGGATTTTAAGGCATCCTGAAAGCACTCGTTTTGACAGCAAAACTGATTGATACAAACGTAGCTACGCTGTCTTTAATTTCAAGAAAAACATAGTTTGTGCAGCCTTGAAATGTCCTTGCATTTTTTTTCTCATTTTTATGTACTTAGAAATACTTGATTTTTGAGGAAAAACATGAAAGTACTTGAGAGTCCTTGAATTATGAGTTTCAGGCTTGAATTGTAGTAAATAAAAATTACAGGTGAGTTTCTGCTATTTACTTAAATTTTGCGCTTTTATTTTCAGTATCTTTAATCCTCAAATGTTTGTTTGAACTTCTCATAGAAGCTCAGATTTGACTTTAATGCGGTCAGATGAAGTAAATATATAGAGGGAGGAAGCTTTTTTATTTCTTTTGAGATAAGTGTCCTTGAATATCCTTGAAAAGCCTTTTTAAAACGACTACAAAGTCCTTGAAAGTTTTTGAATTTTCAGTCAACAGTCCTTGAATTTTATTTTGGTATGGCTGTATGAACCTTGTAGAATCATGAAACAGCCGTTGTACAATCAGTAACAAAGCATGGGATCACTGTGCAAAATTCATAATTTTCCAAAATATCTGCTCTCGGACATGAGCAACTAAAAACGATTTTTCTTCATCAAATCGTTCTACCAAGTTTTAATGTTTATTTGTAATTTTCCAGGAGCAGATTCACATCATTACATACCTGACCATGATGAGGATGCTGAATCAGGAAATGGGTCATCCCTCCCTCACTCTCCCCACAGTGTCCTCGGCTCTCCAACTGGGCAGTCAACGATGTTCCAGTGAGTGTTAAATTATTCTACCTTCCCGCGGAAATCCTAAAAATAGTGGCAAGATAGGTACCTGTCATTTGCCATCCAGTGCCTACTAATTAAAGGATTCCGACAAATTATTTATTTATTTAGGATGAGAAGTATGTGTCAGATTTTATTGATCAATTTCTTTAAAAAAACCCTTGTTATCTCTTATAGAATCTAAAATTTTGGCTGTAGCTAATTTCCAAAGTTGGTAAGAACCGTAAGCCAATTAGAGGTGACCTCTTCGTTCTGCTTACAGTAAATATTACCACTAAGACGTTTGTTCCAATCATGACTTCTGTTTTCTTTTGGGCTCACAAAGAGGCTGATTATGGGGTTATTCACCGGTTAATTGGTGAATGCAGCTGAACATTAAGATAAAGACAAGCTAATTTGTAAGCGAAAAAAGGAAAGAAAAATAAATAAAAAAGAAAACGCTTACAAGACAAAATTGTCTCTTTTAAAATTTTAGTCCTGTTGAGAGGTTTGAATAACTTGTGAAACAAATTTTTACATTTTTGCTGATACCGCACAAGCCACGCCAATGTACAACAGTACATAATGGGATGATATGTAATCTCAATGCATCTGTAATCAAGTAAGAGTCTAGACGATAAGAGATGGTAAACTGAGAAGCCAGTTCCATGCGAAGAAAATTAATTTGAAATTTATGATGCATATCGGGATTCAGAAGTTTATCATTAAAGTTTTAAAATCATATTCTGGGTTACTTGTGTTTCAGTCCTCCAGAAGACGTTCATCTTTCACTCTGCGGAGGACTTGGAACGGTGGAAGGGCCAACTGAAGAAGCATTCCTTTCCCATCTCGTTGATTTCAACCAATTAGCAAATGATCCCAGTCTTTTAGAAAATTCTAATCTAGTCGTTAAAATTGGTGGCAAACTGTACAATTGGCGCACTGCAGCCCCTATCATTGTATCCATGGTCACTTTTCACAAATTTTTACCTCCTGTAAGTACCTTTAATGTTGCAGTCATTCAAGTTTTCATAATTAAATAAACACTAGCCATGACCTTTACAGTGGACCGTGTCTGATTTTTATAATTTTAACTCTGAAAATGTGTGCAAGTGAGGAGTGAACATCTTGTATTCCACTATTAAAACCAAGTGAAAAACACTCATTATGTACCAGCTCAGCCAGAAAGATAAAAATACAAAGATTTAAATGGCTGAATAAGTAAGAAACAAGAAACAAAAATCGAGGAAAAAATTAACATTCAAAGCTGGTTTCTGAACCATCAAAAAATGCGACCCACTGTTCCTACACTTGCCCCACGAGTTCAGCCAGAAAGATTTAACGGTTAAATGAAAATGGAACACTACCAAAACAGTTCAAGGAAGTTTTGTGTTCATTTAAAACTACTTTCTAAAAGAAACCGTTGGAAAAAGGATCAGTGTATGTGTTAGTGCGTATCTTGCAAGGATAGATGTCTGCATGTTCTGATGGAAAGTTAACTATTCTCTTCTAATACTATCCCCATCAACCATTGACTTCTATCTTTGGTGATAATGTTAAGAATCCGAAATGTTTTTTTTTGTGCTCTTTATTCAAATGTTCAATTGCTTTTTACAGGAAACAGTTGAGCGGTTATGTCGCGACTGGATGCCCAAAAGCAACAAAAAGCCAGCTAGTAGTAACAGAAGCTATTCGTCATGGTTCATGTGGTCTCGTGGCTCAGACTCCAAGTCGAATTTGGATGGTAAGTAATGTTTGTTTTATTTTGGATTGTATTCTGTATCAAAAACTTCACAATTCACCCGTAACTTGGAAAGATTCCGACTCATCTTTTAAATTTAAGACTTCTGTAGATAAGCCCAAAGTAATTCACCTCATGGAGGTACAGGACACTAATTACTTGATTCGTTTAAGTTAACAATAGTGTATAATTTCCTCTGTCTGTAAAACTCATTCTATTATTGACTGAGTTCATTTGAAATTTTTTTCGAAGCACGCTTCACCTCTCAATTTTAAAATGGCTTCATACAGTATTTGTAAATGTAGCAATAAATTTCTTTGCCAAGAAATTTTGCATAGTTTCTCTGCCAGTGGACGAATCGCAAGAAGAAAATGTCCAAGTTGAAAAATGCACCAGAATTTTTATCCGTTATTATAATAGTCACTATCTACCGACTTATTTCATAATGTGTCATTATATATGATGAGTTCAATGGCTGTGCAGGAACAAGCCAAACATTGGTTGATCCTGTATGATGTATATAGCATAACAGGCATTGCTGTTGTCGGTCATTTTTTCAACGATGTCCCAAACAATGTTGTAGGATGTAAGAGCTATTAATAATAAATCATCCTTTCAAGTGAAACATTCAAGTCTTCTCTTTTTTTAGCCTCGGCAAATTCAGCTAACGCATCTGCTATTATGGATGAAGGTAAAAATCTCGAAGACAAGTCTAAAGATATCTCAACAGAAAGGAGTTCAGACAAAGTGGACGGTGAAAGTAGTCTTGTTCCTGATAAAGCTTCAGTACCTGATAAAAGTGCAGCAGCAACAGAGGCTGACAATGAAGAGACAGGGAAATCTGCGGAGACTGTCAGAGAAAGTGAGAAGGAAGAATTAAAGAAAGTCGATTTCGAAGAAAAGACTGTCAGTGACCAGGTGGTTCCTGAGGGGATTAGCAATCCAGCAGAATCCCCAAAACCCACCGAAGTTAAAACTAGTGATAGTGTACAAATACCTTTGTAAGTATTGATTCCTTTTGTTTTATTTGATGTGTGATGATGAAATTAACAATTTGAGACTGTGGGGAGATTGCATCATTCATTTCTAAAGAGTCCCCGTTGCTCGAAATCAGTTCAATTTTCGTATCACTCTTTGGCAGATCTTTTTGTTCAGACAAGACTTCATGTTAGCAAACAGTCAATCCGACCCAAAACTCTGTTAATCTTTGTTCTAGCACTATAGGCTGTTGTGGTCAAGTCGCAGCATATTGTCATTAGAACTATGTTTTTCATTGGATGTATTTATGCTAAAAGGAACTAAGAGGAAATTAATCAAATCAAAGGAACTATAATAAATGCAAATTTGATACTTAGAGTTCCTTTTACCAAAAATACATCCATTTTAAACAAGAAATCAAACTCTCTGTGTTACCTAGAACCAGTAGGAAGGTTTGTTAACCTTGTTTATTTGAGGGTTGGATTTTATTTTTAAAGTGCATAAAGATTTTTGAAAGATCTTAAGTATGTTTTTCAATTTTTCTCTAATTATTTTTGGTTTTCATGTCCTTTGAACAGATCTAATGTCAGGAGGAAATCTGACAGTCTCAGGCTAAGTGAATCCCATTCTTCTGACTCTGATACTGAAACAAATACAGCTAGTTCTTCCGACAAATTCCGAAAAACCCTTAGACTTTCTTCGGAGCAAATAGTAAGTAGGAGTAAACTTGATATTTTGCCTTATTCTAGTTTTAAGTTTTATGTAATTATCAATTGGGTCCGTGGTATCAATTTTTTATTTCATTTTCAGAAAGTACAGAGTAAACTAAGTCTCCAGGAATCATTTCCAATTTTTCAACTGTAAATGGCAAGGGAATCCCACAGAGGAAAAAAAAAGAGGTGGTTGCATTTCGGGAATCTCGGATTTTATCAATGAAGTAGGTCGGTACAGACGGTTTTTATCATCAATTTTCTTGGAAGTAATGTTGTTTATGGGAAAAAGTCATTCCATGTAAAGTATTTGAAATTGTATTTCGAGTCGATCTGAGCAAAAAAAAAAAAAAAAAAAACAGATGCCATGGTCCATGTTTCATAATTCGAATTTCAGATTTTGCTGGGATATTGACGCCATATGTCATAGGGTAAACAATCCTCAAGGTGCGACCACCTCTCTATGAAGGAATCCCGTTTTGAAAATGCCAAAAATGGAACCAATTTGAACCAGGTTTTTATGATGTGACGACTTGACCAGGTGGTGGAAACAGCATTTGCTGATTGGCTACATTTAACTTAAATTTAGCGCCTTGCTCCATCAACTCGATTGTCAGTTTTTGATTGGTCGGATATTGATTAGCTTTTTTTTTACTTTTCAGAAATACTTTTTTGATGGTCGGATATTGATTAGTTTTTTTTCCCCCCCTTCAGAAATGCTGTTTTGATAGTTTGATACTGATTAGCTTTTTCCCCTTTAGAAATGCTTTTTTGAACGTTCTAATAAACTTATTGAATTCTTCAATAAATTTTACGCACGAATACCTACCACACCACCACAAAAATACCCACCACAACAAAATTCCTTGCCACTGCTTCATTACTATGAGCACCTAGCTTTGAGCCTCATTTCAGGTTCTCGAAGGGTTAACTATCTCAAACTATTTAAAATGGAGGAAGCTATTGATATAAGGAACTGATGTTTTAATTTGGTCTAAAATAATTTTGGGGAAGGGGGTTAATTGAAACCAGGAATTAGAAATCAATTTTATCGTTTTGCTCGTTCATCATATTCTTCAATTTTTAGCTTAAATATTCACAGCTTCTTTTTCAGTTTTTATACATTGATGCTCATCTTTTATTAACTCTCAAAAATTCCTTTTTCCAGGCAAAATTAAAACTCTTGCAAGGATCAAATGAAGTTGTTTTTAGTGTCACGACTGCATACCAGGGAACATCACGTTGCAAGTGTTTCCTATTTCTTTGGCGCTACGATGACAAAATAGTCATATCTGATATTGATGGCACCATCACCAAGTAAGAAAAAAAAGCACAAAATTTTTCTGACTTTTTTTCAATTGTTAGTGTCCTGTATCTTGATTTTTTCATTGTCAAACGTGATTTTTTCTTGGAATCAATACCTTTGCTTATGGACCTCTTTGGTTAGCTTAACTTTTAAGTTTTCCTCTTGAAGAGACAAGGACTCTGATTAATAGCTTCTTGAGCAACTGTAGTAGATGAATAACAGTGCAAGGAGGGGTTTTATCTATGAAGATCACGCGATCAGCAAAGCTGTACATTTTTAATAGTCATTTTATGGATTCTTTTTTCTCCTTGTTTTTAAAAGACTTTTGATATGTACAACAGAATTTATAATATCTTTTTGTTTACAGGGTGAGCGAAAAGTCCCCGACCCCCCCTCTAACTTTTGAACGAATTGAGCTAAGGAAATGAAACTTTGGGAATGTTCCTATCTCAAAGGGGACCATCTTTTGAGGGGGTCAAAATTTTGGTCCCCCCCTCAGGGAGGGACAGGGGCCCCCCAACTTTTTTTTTTCAAATGTCAACCCCTATCTTGTGATACCTCATTCGAAAGAGCATAAAAAACTAAGAATTTTGGCGCAAACCGCAGATCAATATCTCAATTTTTGACCGAGTTATGATAGGTCAAAGGTCAAATTCGACCTATTTTCAAAAAATCATAACTCCGGTTCAAATTATCGTAAAGAAAAAAATAAAACGGGAAAATTTACCACATTGTGTTCGCTTTTACGTAAAAATTGCAGAAATCACTTCGATTTAATTTTAAGGGGGGGCTCAGACCCCCAAATACGTCAATTCAAAGGTCATTCAATTTTCCTGCAAAATAAGCCAATTTCCTCTGGATTTGCCTCCACATTATCTCAGTAAGGTCAAAATTAGTTCACCATTACGTTGGCAAGTCCCCAAATATCGGGAAAAGTTAAAAAAACGAAATTTAAACGGTCAAATTTAATCACCTTAAATTTTGTTTTTTTAACTTTTCCCGAAATTTGGGGACTTGCCAACGTAATGTTGAACTGATTTTGACCTTACTGAGATAATGTGGAGGCAAATCCAGAGGAAATTGGCTTATTTCGCAGGAAAATTGAATGACCTTGGAATTGACGTATTTGGGGTTCCGAGCCACCCCTTAAAATTAAATCGAAGTGATTTCTGCAATTTTTACGTAAAAGCGAACACAATTTGGTAAATTTTCCCGTTTTATTTTTTTCTTTACGATAATTTGAACCGGAGTTATGATTTTTTAAAAATAGGTCGAATTTGACCTTTGACCTATCATAACTCGGTCAAAAATTGAGATATTGATCTACGGTTTGCGCCAAAATTCTTAGTTTTTTATGCTCTTTCGAATGAGGTATCACAAGATAGGGGTTGCTATTTGAAAAAAAAAAGTTGGGGGCCCCTGTCCCTCCCTGAGGGGGGGACCAAAATTTTGACCCCCTCAAAAGATGGTCCCCTTTGAGATAGGAACATTCCCAAAGTTTCATTTCCTTAGCTCAATTCGTTCAAAAGTTAGAGGGGGGGTCGGGGACTTTTCGCTCACCCTGTATATTATGAGCAATACTGGCAACATTTTATCAGACATTTTTATTAACTTTTTTTTTGCACAGATTCACATAGTGTTTTCTCCTGTGAAAAGAATTAATATATTCTTCAAATTTAGTTCCTGCCAAGCTAGGATCATATTTATCAGAGTGGAACCAGCACAATTACATTATTTCTAAGAGTCAGGACTTCCTTTTAGCTTCTTAAGGGTCTAGGGGGCTTTGGCATGATGAACTTCAGAGCCCTTGGGGTCTATTCCCTATTGATCTGAACAGGTTTCAACCTCATACAACCCAAAATAACGGAGAATGAAGCTTGGCACAAGTAGTCTAGGACATCCTGTATATCTCTAAATAAATGGTTCCTGCCTAGCCGCTAGCCTATAAGTAAATAGGTCCATAAGTGAACTGATCTTTTGAAGCGTCTAATAACCTTTCCTGTGTGACTGCATCCATGGTATTCATTTTTACTCCTCTTCGTTTTTCAGGTCTGATGTCCTAGGGCATATATTACCCATTGTAGGAAAAGATTGGGCCCAAAGTGGGGTAGCAAAACTGTTTACAAAGATCAAGAATAACGGCTATAAACTTTTGTACCTATCAGCTCGAGCTATTGGTTAGTATGTCATATGTTAGCGTAATTTTTGCTCAGATCATCATTTGGTGTAATTTAAAATTTCATTCTTAAAGTAGAAACGTGCCTGCCACTGTCAGTTTCATACCTCATTAAATTCATGAAAGCACTAAACAGGAAATCAAAAGGTTATGAAACATTGAGTAAGGGTGTTAAATGATGACTGCCTTTGTGGGGAATAACCAGAAAAGCATGCGTAACTATGAACATGAAAACAAAATGGTGGCACTACGCTTTTATCCTTTATGAAGAAGGACCTCTTACTTGTGTCTCAAACATGTAGTATCTTGTGTTTTCCATTGTGATGTTCTGAAAATAGAAAACCCACAAGCAGGGAGGTTAAAAAAGGGTTTTAAAACAAATGCTTTTTTTCTTTTTTCTAGGGCAATCACGGGTAACTAGAGATTATTTGAAGTCAATCAAGCAAGAAGATTTGTCTTTGCCAGAAGGACCAATGCTTCTCAACCCTACTAGTCTCCTCAATGCTTTTCATACGTAAGTGGGCTCTCATTTCTCCTTTCAAATGTAAGTCATCACCAGTGGACAATGCCGAAACATGGAAAGGAATGCATCTCTCTATTTAAATGTTAACAAATCTCCGATTATGTTATGCATTTTTACAAGAAAACTCATGAAAGTATCGTCTATACATTTTCTGTGAATATTACTGGATAATTAACAATAATCTCAGAAAATTTTAAGAAAAAATGCTATTTAGTTTTTTTCTTATAAAATTAAACTTAGGTAAGGAGTTGCAATTTCACGAGTGAAGGAAATTTATTTTTACTGTGTTCATTAATATTTCTTAACCAATATATGATATTTAGTAAGCGATCAATTCAGCGGTCTCTTCAAAGCTCTCTCTTTTTCTGGGGGTGTGTGTTTTGTATCAATAGTAAAGCCAGGAAACTGTTAGTACTCGACCATTAATGACAAAATTGTAATGATTTAACAGAATGAACTCTGCACAGAATTGGGACTTGAGGTCATATCTTATTGTTTATACTAGAACCATTAAAAATTGACGAGTCAAACATTGCACAAATGACGTAGCCACCAAATCAGCCTACTGTAGATATACTTCCACCCCTCCTCCGAGGCGTTAGCTGATGTGTGATTTATTTTTAATTGCAGTGAAGTCATAGAAAAGAAACCAGAAGAATTCAAGATCCAATGTCTGCGGGATATTCTTGCTTTATTTCCCCCCAACTCGAAACCATTTTATGCTGGCTATGGCAATAAAATAAATGTAAGTACCTGCATGGATTAATCATAGTTAATTTTGCTGCCTGAAGTAAGTCTGAGGATAATGATGTAGATCCATGAAAAGAAAAAAAAAAAGGGAAATAATACCCTCATAGTGTTTCACAAGAGTTTTAGGAGTCAGCCACTATTTTTTAGGGACCAAAATGATCTTTGGCATACGAAATCTTTGCAAGGAACACAAATTGTAAGTTGAATTGCGCAAAGAGATAGCTGTCTCAAGAAATTTGCGGTGGGTTGTGTCTGAATTTTTCAGACACTACATTTGGTCAGCACTCAAGAGTATTAGGAGCATTTTGCACATGGTGTCCAGGGTAGTTGGTGAGCTGACAAAGACGTTTTCTATTCTATTATGACAAATAAAATTTCCTGTCTCTCGTACCACCACTGACAAACACTTACTTATCAACTAATTATAAATTTCAGTGAAATATTTTCTTATTTTTCAGGATGTATGGGCGTATCAAGCTGTTGGCATTCCCATCTTCAGAATATTCACAATTAATCATAGGGGAGAGTTAAAGCATGAGTTGACTCAAACTTTTCAATCCTCGTAAGTATTTAATTATTCTTCTTACTCATTTATGTGTCGCTCAAATGTGGCTTGATATAGGCATATGGTGGTGAAAGTAAAAGTTAAGTTGCCTCTTTAAAATCCTGACTTCATCCTCTGATCTCTAATCTTAATGCATTGATTACAACATCAGACTCATGGGAAGTACATTGAAGTTACATCAATTGAGTCTAAATATCATCTATCCATTGTAAAAATTTGTTTGGTGCTATGCCAAAAAAACGCTGAAATCCGTTGGATCGACAATATTCTAAATTGACATCTCAACTTTCATGTTTGTTACCACCGTTCTGATGTTTTAAAATATAATGGGTGTGCTATAGACTTTAAGAATTTATCCTTTGGGTCAAGCTTTTATCATTTGCCGTGAAAAGGGATATGAACTCTGTTTTAAAAATTGAGTGGCTTGCGGGCTACCTTTCATCACTTACTTCAAGAACTTTTTAAATCCTGTCCTTGGACTTGGCAAGGCCCCCCTGAAATCGTAACAGATGATCGGAACTCAAATTTTGTCCTTCTTTTGCTGTACAATTATGTGCTTTTCAATTTACTCTTTATTGACAATCAACCGTTGAATAAAAGGTTAAAAGAGTAGGTGAAAAAATTAATATAGAAAATGAAGATCCATCAGGTTCATGGGGCTAAAAGCTTTGGTTACAAGGTTATTCCGTCAATCAGTGTTTAACTGATAAGCATTGATTTATGATTTCAGTTATTCTGGTCAAAGTTGTATCGTGAATGACTTATTTCCTCCTCTCGCGGTGAGCAGCTAGCCAACATGCTCACCTGCACACCGCATCAAATCAATTTACATGTTACTCAATGTTACCAATTTGGTAAGCAAATTTATGGGTGTCTGAATCTCTTCCTTGACACCCAGCTTGCTGCTTGTCCTAATATTTTCATTTTTCGTACAACTAACAATCATCCCATTTTATTTCAAGCATGAAGCTTGTTTTCCCTAATTACTGGGTCATGAGACGTCAGATTTTCATCGCTCAATTCTTCATTGCTTCAACTGCTGACAGCATACTGTCGGCACAAATTAACTGAAAGCGTCGCATCATCTCTCATTTAGTTCACTCATCAAAACTTTCTAAAATTTACAGTGGAATTGTGAGAAAAATACGAAAGACTTGATTTTTCTGCAGTTTTGGTTTTTCTGGAATTGCGGCAAAATTTTGCCTGCAAGTTTCCTTTCTGTATCAAACTTGTTTTAACTGGTAGACATTCAATTGCTGAATATGTTTAGTCTTTCTAAGCAGCAGCAAAACTAGTCCTTAAAATGCAACAAGAGCGTAGTGCCTCTCAGTTTTTTCGTTCAGTGTTCAATACCATTAAAATCTAGGTATTCACTCCCAGGGCTTCCTCAGCTGTCTTAACTTGGAATATTGTTTAGAATATGAGTTCAGCCAATCAGCAAACGCCGTTACCCTTGCCTGGTTATGTCATCAGCGCCCACGAAAAATATTGTCTCAAACGGGTCCCATTTTTGGCATTTTCAAAACAGTGTTTCTGTGCCATTTAGGGTTTAAAATGAATCCTAAAAATTCCTAGGGGCCTAGTTCACTCTTTATTTTCAGAAAATGAATCAAAAGAAGTATGTACCACTGATTCATTAGTTATTTGTATAAAAAACCTATGAATATAGTTCCTTCTAGCATAAATATGTCCATTTAACATTCCACTCATGTATTCTCCAAAATTCATTGAATTTCACCAAGAATTTAACGTAGAAGTCATTTTTTACTGGAACTAGCAATTTTCAGCTTGGTTTCCCTCGATTTCTATTTTGTTACTAAAATTTTTTTCATCATGCTACCGCAACAAGTTAATGATGATCAATTAACCAAGCATGCAGTTTTACTAAGAACTACCATTTCTCCCAGGTTTCACTAAACAGCTTTGGAACTGCTGAACTTGCTGATATTGTTCTCAAGCTTTGATAAACTTTTTTATTTTTTTGGAAAGATTACTTGATTTGGAGCTGCAAGTCGCTTTTTTGTAATTGAACTCAGTACTCTCATTCCTATAGAAAGTGATTTTCATCGAGTTGTGGCGAATGCGGAGGCAATTGAACATCTCTTCTAATGTGTCATCACCAGGTCTTCTTGCATCAATGCCGTGTTTGACCCCCCAATGGTCTATTAGATTGTCTCATGCGCATTTTGTATAAATGAAACTTTGTGTGAAAGAAATTTAGAGTGCAAGGTTATCTCAGACGATTTCATGTGGAGGAATCAACTTGAGCATTATCATTGTATAAATGCGGCATTTTCCCGTAATAGTGAAACAATTTTGAATTCGTTCCATGTCCCCAACCCTCTGCCCACTAAATTTTTAGCTGATGCTGACTCATTTTGGTACCTGAAATTTTCATTTCCAAACAGTATCTTAAATACTTTTTTTTTAAATATTATTTTATTTTATCAAGTATTTATAGGACCTTTATATATTAGAAATCTGAAGTGCCTCAATCATTCAAGATCTTTTTGTGATGATCGAATGAACGGACATCTTCTCTCAAATTCTCGAACGTTCAACTGCAGCTCTGAAATTCATACTTGTGTGACAGTAATTGCATCTGTACATTGTCAAGTTTAAGAATCAGTGAAATCTCTCATCCTGAGTGAACTATGTATATCAACGAAAATTCATAATTTTCAACAGCTTACTCAGTTATAACAAAACGTATGTCTAAATCCTGTCTCTTTAATACTTTGATTGAAGAGGACATTTTACTCTTCTTTTATCTGATATCTAGATTGCTTTTTGTAAAAAGGAACCAAGGGCATTCCAATGTTGCTAAGTTTTGGCAACTTAGATTTTTTGCAATTAAATTACTGAAATCATGCAGAAAATTAGATTTACAAAAGTAATTTTAGTATTGAATTTTTAGTTGGTTGGGAGTAAAGGTAAAACTTGTTTAGATAATCAGTTTACATTTGCAAGGTAAAAAAATCGCACAATCTTAGCGACAATGCTTGTGGTTCGTTTTTGCAAAATGCAATCTATTTCCTTTTCAATAATTCTTAAAAGTATTCGATCATTTCTCTATCAATCTGGCAAGATCCTAATCGTGTAAATTGCAGCACACGGGGGAAAAAATTATTTGCTATACTCGGAGACTTTAGAACAAGAAGATGGATTTTAGTTAGTGGTGCGAAATCTTTGCCACCAGTTTTTTGCTCTTACTAAGATTGTTTTTGTTCTCATTTTCCAGGTATTCAAGTATGACTTTCATAGTGGATCAAATGTTTCCCTCCCCTCCGGAAGAGTCAACAATGGAAGACTTCTCGCAATTCTCATACTGGAGAGACCCAATTCCAGCCATAGATCTTAAAATTGAAAAAGATCCGTGAAGTTGCTTTTGTGATTAGAAATTGGTGCTTTCACTGATCTTTATTTTGATTAATCAAGTGAATAATGTAGTTGAGCCAATTGTGATGGCGTAGAAAAATTCAGAACCTTCCTCTCACCTGTTTTGTCTTGAGTCCGGCATAACGTGCTCAATGCACTTTTTGTAGCATAGCTAATTTTTCCATCATGCTTCACCCTCTTATCTCAGAACTTTACTCAGATAGAAATAGACGTGTCAAGAAAAGCCACAAGTACTGGAGAGAAAAATGAGGCCAAAAAATTAGTGATGATTTTAGTGTTGTCTCCTGTAGAGTCATGTAGGAGCATTTTAGTCGGCCAATTTAATATTCATGAGTTGAAAGTAATAGTGATTCAGAAAAATCAGCAGAATTATAGAAAAAGAATCAATTTGCTTCACGGCCCTCTGATGTAATCTGAAATTCAGCTTATTTACAATTGGATGACCGATACGTGACCTTGACGGTAGACGGGACCATCAACACCACCACTTTGATGTCATCACTCTCTTGTGATGCTGAAACAAAATAGTCCTCATGTGTTCTGCACACAGCCTACTTGAAGGTGTTCGGTATCAGTTGTCAACCATGTATTATTTTCTGTTTAGTTTAAATTATTCCATAATTTTGTTTTGTTTTGTTTTGGTGATGAACCTTACTGAGCTCCATTTAAGAGCTTTTGCATCATAAATAATTCAAGTCCATTTAACAGAGACTTTACTCGTTATTTTGGCTTTATTTGAAATTATGATGCTGACAAGCCAATCCTTACTATTTGATTTGACTGTAGCATTCCAAGTTTAGTTCTACCTCCAATTGACTTTAATCCAGTGGTCGGGGTTCTAAGCTTTTTCAATGGAACAGAAGTCCAATGGAAACCCCATCTTGCTCTGTTTATCAGGTCACCTTCTTTTTAACTCTTTCATTAGATAAAATTTAGTCAAGCTTTACCTCATCCAACTATCCTTTGCTCAGAGAGGAGGTTTTATACTTGTTAAAAAGTGCTTTTAACTGATTTCTTGCAAATGGCGGATCGTTATAAAGACTGTTACTTTTTTTAAAAAACTTAATGCGAGTGGTTAATGATGCCTCATAACATGATAAAATTTTTGACTATACAGCTCAGATGTCTGAAGAGGTTTTATACTATTTTCTACCTTTGGTGCCATATTTTGCAAGTCTTAAAGACACATGGTGCCTCCAGACTGACAAGAGCTTGTGCAAAGTTGTAGTAGATGAAATCATTTTTGGGCATCAGTGAGAAAATGGGATACATCTTCATGTACAGCTTCAAAGAAACAGGTTTCTGTTGCAGAAAAACTTATGTTAAGTTATGCTGATTTTCTTGAAAGCCAGTGTAGATGGATCCCATCAGCTCTAAGATGACCGTTTTTGTAAGTAGCTCTAGTGTTTCTAGGTTGCCCTAAGTCATATCAATGTATTGATTTTCCCTCAGAATTTTTGCAATTTTACTTTAGTTCTTCTCTTTTTTTTTTTTTTTTTTTTTTTTTTTTGTTAAGGCATTTACTTTTGGAATTTTTGTTTCTAATACATAACCTAATGCTCATTTGTTGTTTTTACCTCAGATAGATAAGATATTGTGGCTTACAGCCGTCATTAATGAATTAATGATTGAATTTATTATGAATCAAAACTTCAATGAATAAAAGAGTTATCCATTGTTTATTATGGTAAAATGTTCTGAATCAAAGCTTTAAGAAAGAAACTGAACCATCTTATTTTTTAAGGGAAAGCCCATTCAATCTGTGTGCATTTTTTCAATATTTTTGTGAAATTTCACGATTTTCTGTTGTCAGAGTCATAGGTACAACACTCATCATTCTCCACCGGGTCAGGTTATAAGTACATCAATGAAGCTTTTGAATTTTTCGCTCGTTTCTCAAAAGTTTGCTGTTTTTCCTCTGTGTCAGTGATCTATTTTTCAAAATATAATTATGAACAGCTGTAACACATTGACGCGCCCAGAAAAATCCTGTGTTAAGGAATAATTATTGAGGTCTAGCATTTGTTACTTGTCAAGGCTCTTGTAGGACAACTTTTTTAAGAACCTCAAAACTTTTAAAATAATCTGATTTTAACTATTGTATATAATGAAAGTTAAGGGAGTTTTAACTCTCTTAATAAAAAATAAATTGAAATTTCAGTCCAATGTTCAGCCAAGCCCGATGTTGGTTTTTGCAAACACATTGAATTTTAAGTAACTTTTCAACTCTGGTGCCATGTAGTATGACTTTATAATGCTGAAATATAGGGAGCACCAAATACAGTCGTAAAAATCAGTTTGTGGACCACAAACTTCTAATGTTGTGACAAATGACTCAAAAGGGAGAATCGCAATGTTTAATTAGATCTGATGTACAAGATATAAAATTTGGAGAGGCTTTGACGGTAACTTCATGCACATTTTTAAACACACCTAGCAGTGTTTAATGATATTTTTTAAATTACACCTAAGATTGTTACTCCGAATGTATTTAAACAAATGTATAGATTGGTTTATCATTGTTTTAAATTTTGTGTTGTTAATTTAGTTTGAGAAAAAAAGAATTAAACTTTTTAAAAAGAAATTCTATGATTTACTTCACTCTTTAATTACTTACCAGCTGTTCACTGTTAGCCAGGAGCTCCGTCTGCTAGATTCATGAACATTTTTAGGGTTGCCAAATGTGGAGAGGGGAGGATTAAAAACCCTTCGACTAAACTTTAGAATGGAAAGCTAGGAATAAATGGCTGAGTCCTTCCTCATTTATGTACCAGAGATTGTATTTTTTTCGTCAGTAATTGTCAGTATGTACTTTTAAAATTACTGACTTTTGACCTTTTTCTCAATAACAAATGGATTGCATTTTGCAAAAAGGAACCAAGAGCATTCCAATGTCGCTAAGATTGTGCAAATTTTTTTACCTTGCAAATATAAACAATCTCATTTAAACAAGTTTGATCTTTAATTTCAATAAACTATAAATTCAAGACAAAAATTACCTTTGTAAATTTAATTTCTTGCATGATTTCAGTAATTTCATGGCAAAGAATGTACATAAATTGCACAATCCTAGCAACATTGGATCATTCTCAGTGATACTCAGGATTGAAAGCAGAAAAGTTGTTACGAAAATGGCATGGAGCAACTTGCAAATCAGGTTTTTTGTCCCGAATTGTCTTTCAAAGACAACAGGAAAAAAAATTATGAAATGAGGGTACATTGCAAAACACTAAGATAGAAAAGCATTGATATTTTAATTATTAGCTATTATCATCTGCGTATACTTTTGTACTTATAACAGTGTTTTCCGACAAGGACGTATAAAAATATAGAAATTACAATTGAAACAATATAAAAGCCAGTAGGTGCATAATATGGCTGCCAGCTGGTGATATGGAAAGGATTGTAATCCTTAGCAGACAGGTACCCATAAAACTGTAATGCAGCGGTTCCATTTGGGGCAGGACATGGTAATTGTACTATTATATCTTGGTGTTGCACCTGCAAAGTTGAACAGAAAGGAAAACCTGTTAGGTGTTCTGCCAAGCAAGGAAAAAGCACAGTAACTGTCAGATTTCCGACTAAGATTATTTCGAATATCAACAAAATTGGGGATGGAGAATCTGCTGGAATCTAATTAAAAATTGTCGACAACGTATAATTATCCCAAACAGTAACACTTGTTTCACACACTCGTTTTACATGGGAATGAATGAACAACTTGAACGCTTCGGAACTGGAGAGCAAACCTATCTATACGACTGTTTTTATCAGTATGTGGTGTTATGCCATGGAAGATGATCGAATGCTCGCTGATTTGCATTTTGGCCAGAAATTTGTCCATTGCTCAGATTTTGCTTAGTCTGATCTGTGCATATGCTTGAATTTCTTGGCATCGTAACATCTCAGAAACAAAATGCTTATCGTTTACATTTAAGCTTCATTTGATGATGGTTTTTTAGTCGAAAAACGAATTTGAGAACGTCAAAGAGCATTATCTAGTAGAGTGATTCCTCCAAATTAATTTTTTCAGTGAAAGAAAAAGTCGATTTTTCAATAAGTATATTCTCCAAAAACTATCCTCTTTTTGAATGTAAAGATGTCCATTTTATGAGCAAAAATTATTACAAAAAGGAAACTTCTGCTTAATTATTTGACCCATTTTCATACTTAAATAGGATGAATGGTAGATTTGAACAAATTCTCTATTTTGGCCCTCAGACTTGGCCTTGTTTCAAAAGAGTCAGTAAATGGAAATTTTGGGTGCTCTTTGCTGGCATCAAATGATGAAGAATTCACCCTTCTACCCTATGATAAAACTGTAACATTTTTTTAAACTTTTTCCCCATTTTTGGGCCCTTGTGCTTGACTCCACCACAAACTGAGTCCATTTGCAAAATCTGTCTTCCCCTGTAAGTTATTTTGCTTGCAAACTGAATCATTTTTCCTTGGGAAAATTGTAATTTGACTCAGCTGATTGCAATGGACCAAGGTCTATTGTCACCAGCCTAAGAAAGACTGAACGAATTCAAAGCTGCCCAGATCGATTCAGTTAGCTCAGGTTGATCATAATATGCCAAGGCCAATCAGCAATGGCCTAAAATCGGGATTGACTCAGAACATATGCAAGACTGATGTATGTATTGAATTTATCACTTGAGCGTGGCAATAATAGTAATTTTAAAACTGCAATAGTTCTGAAAATGGAAGTCTCACCTGTTTATTCCTGCAGACAAGATTAGCTGCGTTGAGCACCAATGTCTCAGTGGAGAGCTCCTGCTGTAGGAAGACAGGCATAATCCACCGAGATGTTGACAGAAGTCCTACATAGTCGAAATAATTAAACCAAGGTGACTGTTGAAGATCACCGTGAAGATCGTTGAGATGAATGGAGAAGCCGTTGACAAGTGATAACACAATGAGCAGTATACTCGACAATATGGCAACAGAAATACAATTTGGCAACGCATATCCCAGCATTGTTACAAATGCCTGGGTCCCACTTAAATGTAATAGCATGTACACTGAAATCAAAAAGTAAATTGAGTTAGCATTATGAAAGTTTTTAAACTTGAAAGACCCAATTTTCCTCATGAAGATAGTCAAAAATATTGGTAAAAATTGAGAATAAAAATTGAGAAAAATTTGATGATCTTCGGCGATGTAACATACTGTGCAAAACTCCAGGATGCAACTTCTTAAAGAGTCGTGTCGGACTTATTTCCTGCATCGTTTCTATGGTAGAAAGTACAGTAAATTACAAAAAATTTTAGCAAGAGGCGTCCATCTACATTATAAAAGAAATTCGCAGTAAATTGACTCTTTTGCGTGCATGTATACCAATTTCAGATTTTAAAAAGAAAATTAATTAGAGTAAAAAGAGCTTTTTCAGTTATTTCTATTTCTTGCATTTTGGAAATTAGAGAGTGCACTTAGTTCACTGGAATATTCCCAAATTTTTTTAATGATATGAAACAACAGGAAAAAAGTTCAAGGTTGCGTATTTTGTACTCTCATTTATTAGCACTGAGAAAGCCAAAGTGGCATCCAAAAATATTCCTTCTGTGAGGGTTTCAGGCAGACTGCAAGTCATGGTCTGTGCAGCTGTTATCAATGCACTGACCATAGATCGCGGCAGAGGGATTGCTTGGTCAAAAATATATTTTTTTACACCATCTTGGCTTTCTCAGCTACAGTAAAACTTCGATATAACGAACATTGATATAACGTATTCTTAGAATTAACGAATTTTTTTCGCGGTCCCGAAAAAATCCCTATCTTTTCAATGTAAAATATAAAGTCTGTATAACGAATTTCGGTACAACGAATATTCGCTTTTACGAAGGAGATCTTCGGTCTGAGTATGAACTTTACCATGCAAATCGAACTCGATTTAAGGAATGCACGGGAATTTCCGCGCGCCCAGCAACACCGCTGGGGAGAAAGCATGCTTGTCTTCACCCGCATATTGTACGTCGATGTTGGTGCAAAGGTCATTTTCCGATATGGCAGGATTGGGGATTTCCGAGGCGCACATGTTTTCTCGAGTTAACATGGTGATTAAGGAGCTACGTGAGCAGTGTCATCAGTACGATTTCAACCCCTGCCGGGTGCTCATCACTACCACTGCGCAGTTTTACTGATCAAGTGCTAATCGGGCGGGTGTTTCCCTCCGATTTTCCGTAAAATATCGTCATAGATTAAGAGGGGGAGGGGTGTACACAAAACTGGAAGAAACCGAACATTTCAAAAAAATTTGTGGCCTAAAATCGGGTTTTCCGCGGTTTTCGATTTAACGAATTTTTTTGCCAATCCTCAGAAATTCGTTATATCAAAGTTTTACTGCATATCCAACTTTGAACTGGTTTTGTGTGGGTTAAAATTGATAAAAACATCAGATGCCTAAAAATTCTGTGAACTAAGTGCACTCTGTATTTTTCAGAACTACAAGAATTAAATAACAAATCAATAATATGTAAATAAAGAGCAAAACTTACGAATATAGAAATATATTTCATTTCCCTGCATGTCACCTGTCATTGCATACGCAGGGATAATGTATGCAAGCCATATCACCAATGATGTTGGTAGGCCACATAGCAACTGAAAAAAACAAAATAAACCAATCGATAAAAAATAATTTTGGTGCTTGAAGTTGATGGCAAGAGAATTGGCGGTGAAACTGCAAGAATACGCATCTTGGTATTTCGGTTGGGGACTTCCTGTCATACTATATTTTTTTAAAAAATACTCATTGTCATTTCTTGAAAACTTTTCTGTGTGAAGACTATTCTGTACAAATTTCAAGAAATTGTGATGGTCAGTTCTCCTTTGATAAAATAAAATAGCAGCAGATATTTGCATTCCTTCAGATTCACTATCAAAATGCATCAGCATTTAAAAAGTCACTCACTTGAAAAGGCTGCAGATAAGTTTGCAAATTGTATGTAATTAGATCAAAAATAACTATATTCATTGTGATATAAGCCCAGTCATGCATGTCCTCTTATAGATCTCAAGGCTCTTGTCGGAATGGAAATAGTTCTTTGATTTGAATGAGTCCAATTGGATGGATTCAACTGGAATGAGCCCTACTTCATTTCACATTGCCAAATTTTCCCTCATGTCTGATTTTTTCACAAATCATTATAGAAAATGTGTATGATAGGCACCTAAGCATTCACACGAACACAAACATTTATTTGAGGCAAAAGAAGAGGGGTCTTTTCTTATGACTATTTCAATAGGTGCTTACCGCAACAAAGATGTAGATGAAACGGCTGTAGAGTCCAGCCTCAACATCACTTTCAACAGCGGCTCGATCATGACCATGAGAGCGAGCCACAGCCAGTAATAGCAGCAAAGGCAACGATCCAACACAAAATATTGTATGATGAAACCCAAGCCTGGAATATTGTAATAATTCATTGGAGTTCAAAATAAAGATAAAGGATCAATATGGTAAAAATTTTCACAATGAAAGCTCACGAACAGAGCACCAGAAAAGGTTGCTTTCGATTTGAATGCATTTTGTCTAAAAAAAATAGTTCAAGCACACATTGTGTGCCTGCAGACTTCAGAAACAAAATATCCTTGACCTTTTCTAATTTTCTCTGGCCAAAATTCCACATTTGAATTCCAGGATTTTTGCTATCGACAATGAATTTAATGAGTGTCATAAATTGAACAAAATTTACGAATAATGTAACTTAGAAATTTATCTTTGAGTTCTAAAATTTACAGTAAGTTTTGCATTCACCAACATCAAAAATAACATTATTAGAGTGAATGTATTTTCTGAAATTTTCTACCTCTTAAAGTGATAAAACATGAGGGAAGGATTTAAATGTATCTTTCCGATTAAAATTTTCTAACTGAATGATGGGTAAAACTTTTTCCCTGATTCTTTTCAATTTTCAAGCTCTTCAAACATTCTGTTACCCATATTCACACACACGCTCTTAGTTGAACGCTTTCTCTCACCAATTTGGATAATTTTTATTTTGAGATGGGTGTCCATCCTCTCCAAAACTAAGCAGATCAACTGTTTATAATGGTCAGGGCCTTGGGGAGTTTGCTCTGTCGTAGATTCCTTGGTCTATGTGTATAGCTTCAGAATAGACTTATGAACGATCTTTCATTCCTTTGCCATCCATTTTGTGTGAAAATAAGCACTTCATTTGTCTCTTGTAATGATTGATAATGGATCTACTTCAAATCATCCGTTAGAGAGGCCTTGGTTATGAGAAATTATAGCCAGGAAAAAGAATAATAAATGAAATATACCTATCATTTAGTGTCAGTTGTGGATCCGTTTGAGGCAAATTCCAGAAAACAGCACCAATGATCAATGAAAGAACGATGGCAAGGAGCAGATATGATAGCCAATCGAGAAGACTGCTTGGCTGAGAGTATACCATTTGGCGACTGGAAACGAGACAATAATTACAGACTGCAGTTTTTCTCATTCCCACTACTTAATTAACACGTTATAAAATATTTTCAATTTAATATTGAAAAAGTTTTCCTTCATACATCCGCTCTTACAGTTCAGAGGTTAGTGTGCACTGAACATAAAATGAAAGAGCTGCGCTAAAACTCTAATTCTTTGTGCAGGGTGTATCTTTCCTCTCCCATGCAAAAATCTTTGGATGGTTAAAGAAAAGTTACATACATACAAAAGGCCATTTTTACAAATCTCCCAGGCACTCTATGACATCTAATCTCCACAGTGTTCTATCCTCCTACAGTCTCTCAGGGAGTTGGCACTCCCTTATTTCATGTAAAATCCCCTGGAAATTACTGGGCGTCCGCCGCACCCCCTTCGTCTCCTCTCAGCAAGAACCCAGTCAAGCTTCTATTCTAGCAGCCTTTCTTTCATTAAATGGGTTAACATGCCCATACTAGACTAGATTTTTGGTCGCCTTTAGTGTCATTTTTCACTTCTGTGATCTGACGCTCTCTTCTAATATGGATTTGATCCCTTTCAAAAATTCCTCCTGACTTCCGCCAGAGATCCATCTCTGTTGTTATCAAAATAACCTGTGTTCGTTTTTTCAGTTGCTAAACTTCAAACCCATCAGTCGGCATTATTTTCTCTGCAACATGGTAAACTCTCCCCTTGTTATCTTGAATTTTCTTTGAATTTAGACAATTCTATTTGACAGTGCTATAGCTTTCTTTCCTGGAGTGTCTCTCTCTTCGATAGCTTGACCCATACTTCCATTCAGGGTCAACCAAACACCCGAGTGCTTATAATCCATTTAGCTTTGAATCTGCGGTCCAATCTCCAATTCAATGCTTTGAAAGAAAAGTAATATCCTTGTACAGAAGAAAATGCACTAAGCTTTTAATTCTGATTTTTGAGGAGGGAATAACTTACAAGACTATGGCACTGGCTTGAGAGAAAATCCCCGCTCGCCTAGTTTTTCCGGGTAAGGCTTGAAGCGGTCCTGGATCTGTCAAGGGTTCCTGCCTCCGTTTGAACAGTTCTGATAATTGTTCAATTCTTTGGCTAGATTCCAACATTGCCTCTGCAGATAAATCGTCCAGAGTAACAAGATCCACTAAAAATTAAAAAAAAAACCTCAAATTAAATTATTGATTTTAGGAAAAGCTATTTTCCTCACAAAATAGCGGAGTAAAACATAATTAGTTAGATAAAGATTGAAAAGTTTGCCTGTAGCAGAACGTATTGCACAATACACCCTTTTTCCAGCAATCAATAATGCGGCATCTGATAAGCATAGGATATTATCCTAGAGAACATGTACTTAAATTTTTAAGATCGTCTGTTGATGCGTGTTGATCGTCTGGCTAAAATGTAAGCCACCTTCCTTCAGAAAATACCAGCATTTAAAATTTCCATGGGTACAGGTGGTACCTATGGCAGTATTTTACCTGTAAAACTTAGTCATTTTTTAAGACATTGGATGTGGGATGAAGCGAAGTAAAGGAGCGGTAATATACGATGATACGTGTATTGCTGACTCACCTGGTACATGCACACTGCCCTGCATCAAAGGGCACAAAAGAGCCGCGTCCAACTCTTAGCAGCAAACAATTTAATTTTAAACCATCAATATTTTGAAATGGGAACTTTTTTAATCAATAGCAGAGTTTTCTTAGATGATTTATGCCAAAAGTAAATTCGAAAAAGTTATTATACAAATTTTATGAAATTGATGATAAACCATCACTTAATGAGACCCCTTCTTACATAATCAAGATACATTTTACACATTCTATTCCTGTGGGAAAGGTTTTGCTTTGACTGAGATATGTTTGAAATCGTCTGAAATTATATTAAATGAGGATAAATAAATGTTACGTATTTATTTTAATAAGTAATTAGTTTCCTACAATGAGAAATAGAACTTCTAAGTTATCCCTAAGAAAAAAAAAAGAAAAAAAAAAAGTTCTTCCTGAGTACAGAGAACTTGAAAAGGAAAGGCAGTCACTGATAAGGGTTGACATCACCTCAGATTGTTGACATGAACTAGTTGCTTCACTTGAAGCGCAATTTCAGCTGCTTGAGCAATGCTGGTGATTTTATTCCCTGCATTTATTTATGTATACTCATACTATGGAAGCTATGCTGGGTACAAAATCCTTAGACATCGCTCAAGTGTTCTTATGGAGTTGAACTCTTGTGAGAGATTTACCTCGTGATAGGTAACTGAAAATATATTTTCACTGTTTCCTGACTTGAAACTTTTTCATTACTTGCTCAAAATTTTCAACAATTATGATGAGGAAAAAAACATTGCATTCAATGCAAAGATTGATTTCTGTATCAAATGCAATACTTTTTTTTAGCTAAATTTTGTTTCTGCCTTTCTACATTTTGCACTCTTTTTCAAAGTAAGTAATTCTTTAGCCCTATGCATAAAGGTTCGCTTCATTTTTTGTAGCTGGAAAGTTGAAATCTGCCTAGACTTTTTACTTAACAAACTGCAACAAATATGGCGTGTCAGGTTGATAACACCCAGGACACGAGACAAATCACCTTAACATAGAACAAAATTAATTGGTGAAATTGAGTGAGAGCTTACAATAATAATCTGATGGGTTCTTAAAGGCTGGGCATGGATAATCTGCAGTGGCAAAGTACGGTAACAGATCTCGACGGCGGCCAGAGTACATCATTCGACCACTGGAAATCAGGAGAACACGGGAGACCATTGTGAAAATTTCGTATGTTGGTGGATGTAGCGTTAGAATGATTATCCGACCCATCATTCCAGCTGGGAAACAAACAGAAAGATTATTATTTGTATCTTTGAAAGCAGAAATTATGACAAAACAATCATATGAACAGTAAATGATCAAACATCATTCTTCCCCGAGTGCTTATTTGCACTTATTGTTTTAAACTTAAACTCTGCATTGAAACAACAACAAACATAACAAACGTTAAACGTTGAGAAAAAACTCATTATCAATGATACTTACTTGATCCCCCAGATGCCCACTGACGAAGAAACTCTACCAAAAAAAATGTATCAAAAATATCCATGACTTGTGTTGGTTGATCAAGAAGTAGAATTTCTGAGTCCGATAAAAGATGGCAGGCAAGATTCAGTCTTTGGATTTCTGATGAGGTTAGACTCGATACTTTGGTGTTCAGAACTTGCGTTAAGCCTAGTTCTTCGATTAAAAGTTCCATCTGAAACAAGAAGAAAAGGAGGAAAATTAATTGAGTCATTTTGTAGAGCCTGGAAATAAGATAAGACCTGGTTTACAACATCATAGATTTTCAAAACCCATAAATTCTGCTCACATTCTAGAGAAAAATGCGCGATAGAGAAGAATGCACAAATAGAAAGGAAGAGGGCTAATCAATAGTAAGCGCTCAAGATACAAGCTGGTTTTGAAAATGGAAAAAATAATAGAATGGACTCAACGTCACCCTAATTTACTGTAATTTTCCCTCCGCTTTGATGATCCTGTTTCATTGAAAGATCTAAATATATGTAGAATCATATTGAAGGCTAAAGTGTGAAACTGCGCATCTCCGTTAGGGTATTCCAAATTTCTGAGTTTATTTTTTTGAAGAGAAACATGAAATTTTTATGGAATATTCTGATAATAGAGAGGAAAAATCAAAGAAGTTTCCAAGGAGTTACATTGACCAATTTTCCAGAGAAAAAAAATTAAGGATGACATCGCAAACAAAGATACATAATTTTGTACTTCACCCATCAATACTTCATACATTTTTTCATCCATAAGGTGGTGAAATGGTGCTGGGTCCACACCAAGTTGCAGGAAAGCAAAGCCAAAAATTGTTGGAACTTTTTGGCTTTGTTTTTCCTGCAAAATGTTGTGGACCCAGCACCATTTCACCACCTTGTTACATACAGTTCGGGCCATTTTTTAGTGGTTTTTTTCGTTTGTTCAATTACCTTTGTTAACATTTACTGAATCTTCTGCCCTCAATAAAATGGGCAATTAGACAAGGCCTGAACTTGAAAAATGTGTTACATGTTTTCTCTTCAAAATCTTATGTAAAAAACAATTCACACAACAAAGAGTTTGAAAATAAACTTCATTATTGTGCTGGTTCCAATAAATGTCCATTAAGTTGAAGCCATAGTTCTGGTTGATATGATAATACATTACAGTATTCCTTTGATCATATTTCAAAAGATAACATCGGTTTGATAGATGAATGCATTTAACAGCTGAGTTAGAGACTTGTAGCTTCACTCTCTGATCACAAGTCAATAGAAATACAGATTTTAGACCTAAAAATAAGAGCATATTCGCTAAATGTTCAAAGAGTTTTTAACCTACTTTTTCTGTGAGAGAATATTTAATTCCAGTAACCCTGGGAGATCTTCGTAACTTGGAATAAAAGGTGAGAGTTTGAGCAACATTGAAATCAGGCGAAAGAAACGTTTTTGAGCGGACATATGTGATTCGCTGCTTCAAAACTTCTATGGAAACACTTTGTCCATTGAGCAAAATATGGTTCGCACGACACTTGCACCTTCCAGCTAGAGAATCTAAAAATGCTGTGCCTTCTTCAGCTGTAAAACAGAAATACATGAACTGCTATTTACAAAAAAAGAATAGTGAGAAGTTGCAAGTTGAAAATTCGAGTTGAATACAAGGCTCTCTCAGAAAAACTGGGGCCTGTATTACAACAAAACTGAAAAAACTGGGTGGAAAAGACATGATAAAATTTTTAGAGACGCTCGGGACACACATAAAAAAAATTGGCATTTTACGATGGCACCTGCATTTTAATAAAGCAAACAATGCAGTTGTTTAAAATTTTTAGTGGTCATGAGGTCTAATTATTTGATTGATCAAAGAAGAGATTTCATGCCTTTGGAACACATTGATCAGAGATTAATGAATGATTGAAATTCTTCATTTTTACAAAGAAAATACAATGCAAGACAAAAAAAAAGTCTCACCAGAAGTTGCCATCACTGATAGTAGCTCTCCAGCCCGTACTTCAAAAGAGATACCTTGGAGTAAAGCTTCATTTTTGTTGAGCAAAACATCTAGACCCCGAACCTTAACATTGAAATAACACAGTATTCTAAATTAATTATAACTGCACCTGACTTAACGCACTGCTAAATAATAGGAAATACATCCTGCACATTTTCTATGGAATTTGTGCCCATCTTTTTGCACAATCAAATCCTGTTGAATGTGAGAATTTAAATGGTGAAAATGGTAAATCAATAATGCAGTCAGTCAAAGTTAATTTTCAGATCCCAGGAACTGAATGTCATGCTGCAATCACACGCTGAATTTAGCAGCTGAATGTGGAAGTCAACAGTCATCGCCCAACGGCTAAAATTTAGCAAATTTGAGTTATTTTCATCCAGATATGTGTCAAATCTACTCGAATAATTCAGACAAATTCAACATTCGATGGTTGCTGAGAATCGATACTGAATTTTGCGTGTCACGCGCAAAATTCAGGAATCGGGCCGATGACTTCCACATTCAAGCCACATTCAGCTCCCACATTCAGCGTGTGATTGCAGCATCATTATTTTTTTTCTCCATTTTGCTTTCCACTGCATCACTAAAATAACCTTCTTTCTTCTTTCTTGCTCTTTCAACAAAACTTTAAAAATACCGAGGAATTCGTAGGGTAAAAAAAAAAAAATAAAATAATATAAATTGTAGCCAATGAGTGATGATTTTTAAAAGGTCCAGTCAAATCTGAAATATCTCTTTCAAATAATTAATTCTTATGCATCTCTGCATTATCAGTGTCTGGTGTTGCTCTATTCAGCTCAGATCTAAGAGATGGAATTTGCTCTTAATGGGTTTATTTCCCTTGAGATGATAATTTCTGCTTCAATGAATGGAGCATTGATGGCTATGATACAATGTCAACGTTTTTGCCTTTGGTTTGAGAGGTGCTTCATACCCAATTATGCTCTTTTTAACAATGCTTAAACTCAGGGCTCAAAAAATTTCAGCTGAGTTTATCTGTATTTTGAAAGAAGTTGCACTGATAGCTTACTAGCAAGGATGCCTTTGAACATCCCTACTGGTACAAATCACTTACTGAAGACAGGTCGTAGAGGATGTGAAGTGAACTTACTTGCAAGTGAGGGTATTGACCACTATACATGTTGGGTCGCGTCACTTGGAATGACATGATATCGGGCTCAAACTGGGGGACATAACCGCCACCACTGAGAATACTTGCTGATGAGCTGCGATGCGGACCAATATTAGGCACAGCTACTGATGCAGGTCTCCGATGTAAAAAGCTGGAATTTTAAAACAAAAGTTTTAGAGGTAATTACAGGCTTAAGAGTTAGTTCGTGTTATGACTAAGAGCAAATTATGTCCGTAATGTGCTTACACCAAATTTAACAGAAAGCATGAAGTTGTACTTTGGAAAAAAAATAAGTTGGGGGAGTTTTGAATTTAAATTTTCTTGTCAAGTTCTTTCCTTGTCAAGTTCTTTCCTTGTCAAGAATTCAAAATAAAGGAAAAACATTTTAAACTTGATAACAATCGTTCAACTTTGTCACCAACATTGAATTTTAGGTAGGAATGAAACTTCAAACCCCGTTTTCTCCATTCAAACGATTTACGACAAAGGTACACTTCTGATAAACTTGGTCTTTGGCTTGGATAAATTTAGAAGTTTGTTTTTAACTCTTTCTCAAACGTAAGGTACATACTGAATTTGGTCAAAGAAAAAATTATTCTTTCAACTTGCAAATAATAAAAATTATTCATGAAAATAGCACAGGTTAAACTCAGCACACAGGAAGCAAAAAATGAGTTAGACTCAAGATATAACATTACACATTTACATTTTTTACTTCAACAATAAAATTCATCACTGTTGGAAGATCCTGAAGATCTTCATCTTGACCCTATGGTCATAAACGGTGCTGATAAAAAAACTTTGATGAGGGGCAGTTTGCACTACTTTGTGTATTCTTTTCCTGCCTAGGGAATTTAAAGAATCTAAAGTGAGAGGGAAGATTACCTGAATCTGCCACTAAACACTAGTTCTGGGCTGGGAGAGCCATAGAGGGTTACTTACTCAGCGTGTTGAGGATGGATATGATGCTCCATCTCTGAGACTGCTCGCAAATCGTGGACACTGCGTCTATGCTGCGGCCTCCTTTCCATTCCGACCATTCCAATATTATGATGTTGGTGGCGCATGACTGCTTCTGCTGATAGAAGGTTGGCTTCACTCATGCTCTTCTGACGTACACCCTTGTATTCTACTGGACCCACCATTGGACCTCTTCGCATGACCGGCTGCAACATTATTTATATTAGAGTAATTATTAGATCATACCGTATGGGGTATACCGTATAGATACCGATATACCGATTAGATATACCGTATGGGGGACTGTACTGTCACAGGTTTAGCAATCCTGCGGACCCCAGCTGGTAGCCCCTGCCTCAAAGGGGTTTTTGGAATTGGTCACCGGCTTCTAGGCGCATGAACCACCCAGAGAAGGGTAGATTGGGCTCTTAGTCGTAGTGAAGGCAACCAATCTAGGAGAGCGCACTTCGAATTCAAACGCTGGTCCTCCAGGTTGGGGGTTGAGTCATCGGGCTGACTCCTCGGTACTTGTTAAAAATCAAAAATGTTAAACGACCTAGCCAAAAAAGCCTCGGTGCCCATGATAAAAAACGGATTTTACGACATAAATTACGAAAAAGGACTATGGTATTTGGGACGTGGAATGTCCAAGGCATTTCAAGAAAATTACCGGAAGTGATATCGGAGATCAAAGAGCATCAAGTGGATATTGTTGTTTTGACTGAGACTAAAAAGAAAGGACAGGGTTCCGAAAATTACGAGGATTATGATCTGTTCTACAGCGGCGTGCCCAAAGACCAGCGGGCGCGGCAAGGGGTAGCCATAATGATGCGGAAAAGTCTACGCAGATTTGTTGTTAATTGGGAGGCTGTCAACCAGCGCATCATTAAGATGAACTTGAACTTATACGGTCATAAAATCACGCTGTTCGGGGTGTATGGAGTAAATGATGATGCAACTGTCGCAGTCAAGGACCAATTTTTTGAAGATCTGAATGAGGAAATCACGAAGGTGGCAGCTGGCAGGGAAGTAATTGTTATGGGTGATTTGAACAGCAGAACGGGACGACGAGGCAACTGCAAAGTTGTTGGACCGTTCGGGGAGGATGCTGTTAATGATAATGGAGATCGGCTCATCGATATTTGTTCCCAAATGGAGATGAAAATTCTGAATGGTTTTTTCCAGCACAAAGACATCCATAAATACACCTGGGTCCAGCCTACTCGAGGATTGAAATCCATCATTGATTACGTGATAGTGAGGCAGGCAACTAAATTGAAAGTGCAGCAAGTACGAGTTTACAGGGGACTTTCTTGCGGCAGTGATCATCATTTCCTCCGGGCAGATGTAGCGTTCCCTGTTAAGGGCAGTAAGGACAAACAGCCAATGCAGCAACAACAGCAGAGGCAGGGATCACAAGAACAAGAAGTGTGGTATAATATTGAAAGTTTGGAGCACCCCAGCGTTAAGGCACTGTACAGGCAACGCTTGGATGAGAAGCTGGGGGACGGATCATCTGGAACCACGGAAGAACAATATCAATTTATTAAAGAATGCATCCACTCTGCTGCAAAAGAAGCCCTAGGTGTTTACAAGCCCAGTCATAAAGACCAGCGCCCGTACTGGTGGGATAGAGAAATAGAAGACGAAATTAATCTGAAGAGGCAAAAACATCAAATTTTCTTGTCGTCTAAGAAAGCGGAAGATAAAGTTGCGTACAGGAAAGCTCAGTCTAAAGTCAGGAGCCTCATAACAAGAAAGAAAAATGAAGCTTGGGAAAGCAACTGTAATCGAATCAACACCTACCTAGGGGGAAGAAAAAGTGCCGAGAGTTGGAAGCTAATTAAAGGTTTACGCAGGGACATGAAGCGGGATATCTTGTCTCCGATATCACTTAAAAAACTGGAGGATCATTTTAAAGATCTTTTGACGGAAAGGCGCCCAGAGTTTCGAGACAGCAGCACGGACAACGGAAGAATGAACAACTTGGAGATTCACACTTGTGACATTATTAAAGCGGTCAAAGAGCTGCAAAATGGCAAAGCACCGGGTCCAGGTGGAATCCCTGTCGAGTTGGTTAAGAGCGGGACTTCTAAGCTCTTCGAGTGCCTCAGAAAGCTGATGCAGCAATGCATTAGGGGTGACGAGGTGCCAGGGGAGTGGAAGGAGTCCTGGATCAAGGCCATCTACAAAAAGAAGGGAAGGAAGGACGATTGTAACAACTACCGGGGGCTCTCAGTGACCGGGACAATAAGCAAAGTGTACGGGAAGATACTGAAAGCGAAGATCGAGGACGAATGGCAAGATCACGAAGCAGAGGAGCAGGCTGGTTTTCGAGCTGGCAGGTCTACGATAGATCACCTCTTTGTTATTGTCCAGGTCATTGAGAAGAAAATGGCCGTAGCTCAGGAGCTGCATTTAATTTTTGTGGATCTCCAGAAGGCGTATGACAGTGTGCCGTTGGTGAAACTTTGGGAGGCCTTGGAAAAATCGAATTTTAACGGGGGGTTGATTGACGCTGTTAAGCGATTTTATAAAGGGAGTTTTACCAAAATTAAGTGCCATGGGGGGTTGTCAGCGGGATTTTATGTTACTAAGGGTTTAAAACAGGGATGTTGTTTGTCGCCAACATTATTTAAAATTTATCTCGAGTGCGTGCTAAAAGAATGGAAAAAGAAATGTTCTGGTATGGGTGTCCCCTTGGGTGATCTTGAAACTCTGTTCACTCTGTGCTTTGCTGATGACCAGGTGGTGGTTGCTCAAGATCAAGACGACGCGGAATACATGATGCGCAAGTTAGTAGAAGAGTATCGGAAGTGGGGTCTGGAAGTCAGCATATCCAAATCTGAGAAGATGACTTTTGGCGGTGATCAGCAAAGCATTGAGTTGGAGGATGGGCAGCAGATCAAAGGCTGCGAGCACTATAAGTACTTGGGAGTGCGGTTGACCCAGGATGGAAGAACTGATCAAGCGATTAAGGAAAGAAACACCCTGGCAAGGAAGGCTACAGCGATGTTAAATGGAATCCTCTGGGACCCTCGGATTTCCAAGGAGAACAAGAGGAGAATTTACGACGTTGTAGTCAAGAGTATTCTTACATATGGATGTGAAGTTTGGCAGCTGAAGGAGCGGACAAAGGGGATGCTAAGAGCAACGGAGATGGATTTCTGGAGGAGGTCTGCTGGAATTTCTAGGAGAGATCCGGTCCGCAATGAAAGAGTGCGTCAGATCATGGGAGTCGAAAATGACATCATATTCGACGTCATGACCAGACAGCTTGTCTGGTATGGTCATGTCAATAGAATGACGGACGAAAGGCTGCCAAAGAAGTTGCTTGATTGGGTTCCTCCTGGAAGGAGACGAAGGGGACGCCCAGTGAAAGGGTGGCGACAGGGGATTTTAGAAGAAATGAGGGTTTGTCAACTCCCTGAAGGGCTTTGGGAGGATAGGGGACTTTGGCGGCTAGGGGTCGCAGAGCGCCAAAGAGCGCTATAAAAGCGACTTTATACATACATACATTATTAGATCATAAGAGAGATTACCGTAAAGACTTTGCTATGGAGTACATGCAAAACGGGCCCAATCTTGCTAGAAAAGGATGCCTTTGAGACTTGACACATGCAACCATTAGACAATGCTCTGTTTTTTCCCAAAATATTGAGCTGAACACACAATTTTGGGAGACGCAGCAGGGGCTCAAGGCTCATAATCAGCAAAATGTTCGCAAATTGTTTACTCAAAGAAAACAATTTTGTACAAAAAGCTGTTTGCACAGGGGTTTTCAACGCAATGAGAGCTTTTAGAAAGTTTATCTCAAGATAGGGTTCCATTTTTAGCGTTCAGATGCTTTAGAGGCTGTGTCTTGATTTAAAGTCAACAAAACCCCACAGGGTCATTCCATGTCAACTCAACGAGGTTTTGAACCTCGATCTCTCGGATCATGTTCAAACTTGGTGTGCTGCAAGTTCCTATTGAAAAAGAAATATTCCCCAAATTTTAGGTCATTTGGTCGCTCCGTTAATTTTATACGGAATTTCAAAGTTTGGAAAAAAATGAGTTTTTTTACGACCGATAAAACTTTGAACGGCTGTTACTTTTCAACGGTTCATCGGAAAAACTTGAACTAGGTCTTGTTTTGAAGCCTAGAGGTTCTTCTTTTTTTTTTAAAAAAAAAAAAGGTAAAAGTGGAGGGTCTCTTGTCTCTGAGTATGGGTTATGCTAGCAATATCATGACCTAAAAATAGATAGAAAAAGAGTGAGATCTTACTCCATGATAGGGTGTGTTGCGGAAGTCAGGATCACTCCGAGTTCTCAGGTAGTACGATTGAGACTGATGAGACGGGCCGTAATGTGAGTGATGCCTTCCGCTTCGCCCTCCAGGCCCACCGCCCTCATCACTGGAATTATACCCACTGGAGCCGTCTCGAGGAGCACGAGACCCTGCTCGGGGGCCCCCTGCAACAGCGTTGGGCGGAAGCACTCGAGGAAGTCCAAACTTCAGGTAGGTATACATATTCGAACCCAAGGGAGATCTGAAACACCCCGTGGGAAAATAATATAATGCTTTCAGTTTGGAAGCAAGGAGCACTCAATCCTGAGCAAATTGGACGTATTTCTGCAGAGTGGAACTAGGTGCATTATGACGTGAGCCCTGTTATGCATATAATCGTATGGGTCTCAGGGCTCATGCCTTAATGCACATAATTCCGTTTGACAGAAATACGACCAACTATAATAATTTAAAGGTGAAAAATCCGGTTATTGGAAGCTTCTTTATTCTACATGATTTTATGAGCTAGAGGTATTAAAAAAACCAATAGGATTATTTTTGTACTTGAAACGATTTACTTATTAGAGAAACGGATAAAGTAATGCTCATTTGCAAAACAAAGGTTACCCTGCGACTGAACGCTCCTCAAGGATCATGTTAAAATTTTTTACGAGCTATTTACTAGCTTTTTCCGTACTTAGCACAAAAAATAATTCAGCATACATTTATTAAATTACTTCCTGCAGTGATCCAAACAAATTTCATCTGCCTAAAAAACTGAACACCGTAATGATTTTTTTTAAAAAAAAGGGGGAGGATGTGATAAAATCCCCCCCCCCTTTACTGAGATATTGATCTTAAAGTGTGTTCATAGAGGTAGCTAATAAGTTTTGTTTTACAGTGCTCACATGCATGAAAAGTAGAAATGACTTACTTTGGTCCATAGCGGGGGTGACTTAGAATTGACTGAACGGTTGATTCTCTTAATTGAAAATTACCATAGGGCAGGGGTGACTTTTCACTTGATCCAAGAGCTGAGTCTGTAAAATCCGAGTTTAAATTTTGCCTGAAACAAAATTAAAGGTACAAAAATCAAAAACAAATGTTGTCGGTTCAAATTTGGAGCTAATTATTAGTACCTAACTATAGATGCAGTTTGAATTTATGTTATCAATTTGATGGATATTTGGAGGCAGACAGAGTAAAATAAAAGAGAAAAATCTTGTAAAAATCTGAACCTAGCATTAACAACTGAATTTTTCAACAATTTTCAGTGGTATGCTCCTTACAGCTCATCACAGAGAGGTCCTTTTCAAAAAAGCTCTACCCCCTATAGCAAATGATAATTTTTTGTCAATTTTCTTCCAGGTGCTCTCGCAGTAGCCACGTCCACATACATATAGTATAGAGCTCAGTTTTGGTATAAACACGCAAGTTCATTGCAGCATTTCAAAATTTATGACATGGATAGTTTCAGGGGGAAACATTGAGAATTTCCGTTTCACGGCCAACAAAATTCAACGGTAATGCAGAGGATATTTTTTCATAGACCTATTCGGGCAATACCGAACTGTCCGCGGCAGAGGCGGGCTGGCAACTCGAAGCAGCCCGGAAAATCGCCGACAGACCGGTCCATCGCGGTGCCCCCCCCCCTAATTTTCCGATATTAGCTATAGGCCTACCTAGGCCATTTTGCGAAAATTGCCGAAGTTAGGTTTGATTGCTAGAGTTCATTTTTGTGCGAGAGTGATACCAAGAGTATCTCCCCGGAAATTTTGCCACATTTGTGTTAAAAAAAAATGCCCACTATCTCTCCCTGGAAGTTACCGAAGTTCGGCGTTTTCCGGACGATAGAACTTAACAGCATTCTAAGTTGAAAAATTTCCCCTCGTAAATTGTAATTTCACCAAAAGATGTACGGGATGGCAAAATCTCTACAATCCTGTGTGATCTTAGGATTACAAGCTCGCGGTGTGCACTGTCTGGGGAAATGGTGTATGTACACCGAGACCGGGGTTCGACACCAAGAAAATACGACTGGACAACGACTTGAGTGAGAACGCACCGCGGTATACGCGCAATGCATGAAGTATCTTGCAGACTTGTAAGGCGCCACCATGCTCCGCGCGCACCGGCGCGGCGCACCGTGCTGTACGCGCAACGCATGAGGTATTCTGTCGTCTTGTAAGGCGACATTATGCGTTCCGAGCTTTGCGCGCTAAACCCACGCCGCACTGTGTTGGACGCGATTTTTCGAGCTTGCGGCGTCATCGGTTTTCAACTTATGATTTTGAATTTTTTGTACCTACAGTTCGTTGGAATTATTGTCATTTCGAATAGTAAAACATTGCATATAAAACTCAACTAATTTTCTTCTTATCATTTACATATTTTTATAAATAATTTTAAGTAGAAAAATGCAAGTTAAACGACTTCAACGTGTAGGCTTCCTCGTTACTCAGTGATATAATTGCATGAATATATGGACTAAGTTTTGCTATTCAGAACTACAATTTCTAGCTCATCTGTAAAAAAGACTTGTGTGCATAAGGAAGCTAACGGTGCATACGTTGATCCTAAACGAAGCCAGAAATTGTGGTTCCTAATTAATTGCAAAATGAAGTTCATTATATCAACGAACCCTTCCGAAGCGAAGAGTATGGACTCGACGAACCGGAGGGTTTTTTATTAGTATGTTTCTTGAATGATCTCTCATGAAAATGCCTTCCATGAAAAAAATGTACATTGCGATGTCTCATGAAATCGAAAACGAGAAAGTAAAAAGGGTTCGAATAAAGGCAGAGATTCTAATTTTCGTCGAATGACCGTAAGGGTGCGGTGGAAAATAACTAAATGTTTCGGTCGGTAGAGAGAATTTCCACGGCAAAATTCCTCGACTTTAAATTCCCAGATTTTCAATGACTTTTTAAGAACTGATCACCCTGCACTGAAAAAAAAGTTACGGGCTATATAGACATACCGTCCGTTCCGGGCTTAGAGGCCGAGAGTTCCGGGTGCTTGAGCCGTAGCTCTGATTGCTCCGTGTGCTACGCCCGGCATTTCCGGCCTCTGAGCCCGGAACGAGAACGGTCCGTAAGAACGGCTTCCACGGCCGGAGTTTTCTGTTCAGAGTGTAAAACACACATTATACACGGAGAAAAAAACTTCGTGCGTGGGACCCGAAGTTTAGGTCATGTGGATCTCTGAAGTTTCCGGATTGAGCATCTGAACACTTAAGGTCTAGCTGCCAAAGTTCAGGTCTGATACCTGAAACTTTAGTTCTTACATCTGAGGTACTTCAGTTCTTACATCTTTCGTACTTTAAATGTGAGAACCGAAGTTTTTCGGATGTGAAAACCGAAGTACTTCAGATGTAAGAACTGAAGTTCCAGATGTGTGATCCGAACCTCGACAGCTAGACCTTAAGTGTTCAGATGCTCAATCTGAAAACTTCAGAGATCCATATGACCTAAACTTCGGGTCCCACGCATGAGGTTTTTTTCTCCGTGTATCTGGGGAAGTCTGGCAATTCCTGAGCACGACAACAAGGAGGTGCGCATTTTTGGTAGTGATCATATTCTCGCGTGACCCAGTGCGAGGTCCGTCGTGTCTGACTCTGATGTCCGTAGCACGCGTCCGACCTCCCATTGTGCCGCGGTTCTTTCGCCTCCATCGCTGTCCCGAAGACCGGTCCCACTGCGCGGCTGATTGCGGGCTCCTGCCATGCCCATCCCGCGCGCGGCCGCTTCTTCGAACCGCATCAAGCGTCCCAGCGGGCGCGCGACATCGCTCGTTCCCGTCCGCGAACCGCGATTCTCTCCGACGAGACGAGGAGCCATCGACGACCGACGCCCCGGCTCCGACAACGTTAATAACCTGCTGCGAATATAGAGCACCCGGGTCCTCGCGTTGGCGCTTCGGCTTCTCGGCTCAGAATACGTTGCCGACGTATCGTACGCTGGGGTACCAAACCCCAGCAGGCTGATTATTGAAATTGTTAGATAATGCTATAGACAAGGGAGACACAAGGGACATGGAGGAATCATATTGGGAAGCGCAGAGCAGAGATGGAAAATGAAATTTCATAGGGCTCGAATAAATTTCACAAGAGGTTGAAATTTATTAATTTTTTTAGAATTATTGATTAAACCTTTGGAGGTCTGAAAGCGTTTCAGATCGTCTTTCTGTTGATGCTGCGGTATTATGCTACTCTACTGAAGGTGCCAGACACAAAGAGGGGGCAAAAAGGGGAGTTTAGAGAGAAAAACCCTAACCTAACCTCTGAACTTAACGAAAACATTTGCAACGCGCGAATGTTTTAGGCTTGGGGTGAAAAATTTCAAAATTTAGAATCACTGTTTCTAGGCGTTTCTTAGCCTCCGGAATGTATTCCCAAAAGTTTCAATAAATTTCATGAAATTTCACTCGAATGAATTTCATGAAATTTTCCATCTCTGGCGCAGGGTGGTATGAAACGTAAGAAAAAAATTTCAGTGAGATATTTCATGAAATTTCACGAGGCTGTGAAATATTTCATATTTTTCAGGGGTTAGAGTATGCAACCCGCACTCAAACACACGAAAATGGAAAAAAGTCACAATTTTTACATTTTGCGAAACATGAAAAGGAAGCGGTATTTTTCAATATCTTTCATGAATTTCTATAATTCCAAGAAATCTTTCGCACGAGACATTTCAAGATTTTATTTTTCATGGAATTTTACCACCCTGGGGAAGCGGGTGGTTGCAATGATGAAAAAAGGAGGTAGGTAAAAAATTAACTAACGGCAACCCACGAGAGACCACGGGTCCCGTGGGTCCCAGCAACTGGGCCCCGGGCGGATCAGCCATCAGCAAAGTAGGGGGTGCCACTGGCCACTCGGCCCGCAATTCAAATTGCTGCTCTTGTTTTCTCTTTGCCTTGAAGACTCAAAACACACGGGTCAGTTTTGCATAGGGGTAAACTATGTAGACGTACCTACGTCTGTACGTCGTCGGATTAGGCCGTTTCTGCCGTGCTAAGGAAAAATGCCGTATTAACTTCCAGGCGTTGCCAAATTTCCTTTGATAAAACACGAATTTCCTGGTAAACTTGTATAAATTCTCCTTCCAATTTTTCACATGATTTTGTGCGCAATTTCACCTGAAGTTCCTGAAAATTTCAAGGAAAAATATTCATAACTGTCTTTAAAAATACACATTTTATCGAAGGAAACTTGGCAACTCTCGAATGTTCATACGGCGTTCTTCCTTAGCACGGCATATTTGAACGGAATTAAGAGCCTCGGCATTGGGGAAAATCGGTTGACCAATTATGCCGTTCCTAAAATGAGCTCGATATATACGAAAATTTAGTCCAAATATGATGCCCGAAGCGGGTCATCCTTGACCTTGATCGAAAAGCCGACGATCGAGTTTCGATAATCGGCTAGCTGCTCAGTCGTAAATCTTGAAACTTGAAAATCCGAACTCGACAATGAGGCCGGAATTTGAATTTCTAATATATCTTACTCTCATAAGCATTAAACTCTGACTGAACTGTCTTTAGTCAGGTAGGAATGATCCACTCCTAGCATTAAAATCAGCTTCAATTCAACCTGTCCAAAGTGTCCACTTTTGCATTCTTTCGGGGGGAAAAAAGTACTTTGAGATATGGTGGCTAGAATTCGCGGAGAAGAAACACGAGTTTTGCAAACCGATTAAGTTTAAGTTCTTTCAGGTTCAGATGACTGAATCCTCGGTCGCGCGAACTGAACTCCTTGGTTGACAGGATAGAACTTTCGTTTGGTCATAACTCGACGTATACAATTTAACGAACCGAAGACTTCAAAGACTTTAACGCAGGGTAGAAAAGTCGGATTGGTGGAAACGCGTTATGCAATTGCATATCCACAAAATGAAGGAGAACATGAACTCTTGTCGGCTGATCCGGAGACTTTAACGCAGAGTAGACAAGTTGGATGGGGCGAAACATCCGCGATACAAATATTTTGGCTTCCAAGAGGATACAATTGCACACCTACGAAATGACTGAGAACATGGTGTTCTATCATACCAACTACTCAGT